GAATAGCCACTTTGAAGGATTTGAGGGAGTCGATTAATATCCTCAAGGAACGGATTATCCCATCTCTCAACAAAAATACGCGCAGAACGGATCATTGCGCAAAAGGGTTCCGGAGACAATTGAAATCCGGGAAGTATTTAGTCCTCCGAAGACTTCTTCAATTATTTGTTCTACGTTATTTAGTCGATTCAGTTTGAATTTGATTTCATGCTCCGCTTCCGGAACACCGGAAGATGGTGTTTAGTCAAACCCGTGTTCGGGGAAATTAAGGCTGTTACAGAATAACATTCTTTAGCGAAAGCAGATTATTCCCAAGTTTCTCAACTAGAAGGCGGACTCTAGAATTCTGTTCCTGGTTGATCTGACAATGGATTTATAAATTTTAAAAACTGGGAAACGGTAGTCCCGCGCGGTCAACAATAAACAAGCCTCTCTCCTTCAGTAGAATAAACTGGGCGTTATGCCTGAAATAATATTTGAAATTCGCTCATTTGATGGAAAGTTTGTCGCTTTTCTTGACGTTTGTTGCGCCGCGAGTAGTTTGTTTAGCTTTTCGAAACCGTCAAAGGCGGTGCTCGTCGACTTATAGTGTCATTTTTCGTATAAAATAAAATACCTGCCTGCTCTGAAATTGTACCAGAACATGGTTCAATGCACAATGACAATTTTTGAAATGAAAGATAGGACATTTTAGCTTTACTTTGTTCTTGTTGTAAGGGTTTTGCTCTGCTGAGTTTTATTGCTTCAAAAGACGTTATAAATTTTAATTTATTTCACGTTTCGTATAAAGACAGGGTATCTACATTGTCTTACGAAAAAATTGATAATTTTTTGGCTTCCATTTTATAAAATATTTCCAAATATCAGAATTGCTATCGACAAGTTCCTAAAGAAAAATGCGTTTTTCGTTTCATTTTCGGAATTGAATGAAAAAACAGTCGATCGAAGTTTTATATGCGAGTCTAAGAGATTCTACCGCCATCTTTTTATGCATAATAATAGCCAAATTCAAGATTTGCCAAGATTGATAAGGATACCCCGCTGTGGCTTGCACACCATTTATCACTTCCAAAATCAAACAGTTGTGTGCACTTCAAAAGTTCTAGTTTTCTCTCCTCTTCCAAGTTTTTCAAATGCTTCTTCCAAGTACTCAAACAAAAGGAAGTAGCGGTTGGCGAGATGTCTAAATGCAAGAGCGATTGCAAGATCATCCATCAGTGATGGACCATCACCAAATTCCACGGCTCAAATGTCTTACCAAAAATGAATAATAGGAATAGTTGGAAGTGAAGTGCTCCCCACGTTCGTTTCTGTTTTCAGTGAAGGGAATTGTCACGTGGAGCACAGTTCGGAAATTTTAAGAATTCTTGTCGAATGTCAAATGTCGCATCGCGATGAATAAGCGCTGACAGGGGCAAATAGCAGCTCTTATAGTTCGATATAACTTTTTCAAGTGGTGCATTGTTTGAAATAATTTATGGAATTTTGGAAAAACTGGACCACCAAATATAGGGTTTGAAGAAATTTTTACTTGTCTCTGATTGGCTAAGATAAGTTATAATGGTCTCTCATTGGCTGAGAGTCCCCATAAAGCCCCATATTTTCGGTAATATGCCTACTTCAAGATTGAAGACAACGAAGAAAACCTCCCAAGAACAGCAGCTGGGAAAACGCATCTCAAAACAATTAAAAAATCTCCTTCTTCCCATTTCCGCCATGTTCCTCCCGTCGCCTAGATAAGCTTATCGCACGCGCCTCGACTGCCATGTCTCAAGAGCCCCAACACTTCACGCTCCTCCTCCAATTGACAATAAATAAAAATAATGTGCTCAACTAGACAAGTAGAAGTCTTCTTGGTGAGAGGTCTTGGTTTTTTGGGCGCCGCCACTTGAGTTTTTTTTTTGACTTTGATCTCGCCCAACGTTTTCTTCGTCTTCTTTTTCTTCTTATGGGGCTTTTGAAAGGATGATGAGAAGGTTATCAGGCCCTTTATGGGGAGATCTGAAGAGCTCTGATAAAAATAAGCTCAAAGGGAATTTGCAATTTGGAGGCCCTTTCAAAAATGTCAAAAATACACATCACAAAGTTCCAAAAATGAGAAATTCCATCGAATCAATTGAAAATAATCGCATCTTGCAACTGAAATTTGGACCCCGTTTTTTTAATCGAAGCAAATTGGATCATCCCTCACTGAAATTCCTGCATCCCCTAAACTAATTAGGCCACTGACCCAAAATGCCAACCCATCACCTTACTTTTTTTTCTGTTTATGAAATAGAGCTTCTTCCAAAAATATGGCTTTTGCGTAATATTCACGAGCCAAGAGATTCCGAAAACAGCGGATTAAAACGGAGGAATAACCCGGATGTGGAATTATCCGGGACTTTACTGACCTCAAATTCTTTTCCAATCGAGGGAGAAATGGTTAGTAACAAGAAACTTTTGATTTATTGAAAGCATCATTTTGATAATTCCTCGAAACTGGCTGTCCTTCACACGTGATCCCGCTCGTCCTTTCGCACAAGTGATGAAGGGCCCTTTGAAATATTTTTATGAGTCAAGCTAAAAATGCCATAAAGGGCACCTTGGAGAAAACCTTTTTAATTGTGTTTATTGCGCTCGCTGTAGGAAATCGGAAATGATTGCGCGCACGGTTACGGCTTCCGCTGGGGTACCTTTTTCCTTCAGATCTTTGTCGTATAAGGCCGGCACGTGACTTCCTGCCAAGGGTTTTGATCCTTTCAGATTTATCTGAGACGCCTCTCTATCAGAGCTACAGTAAGAGCTTTTTCTTTTGATCAATCAAGTAGTTTTTTCTAGCCTTTTGATCAAACATCTGCAAACAGAATATTTTTCAATATAAAACTTCCTCTACAAAGCGGCGAAAGTCAGAAGCACTCGACAGAAAGTCAACTTACTGGCGAAGATCCAGCGAGAAGATCCAAATGAATTGATAAAAGGAGGCATTCAATTAAAATATTAACTTACACCCGAAGAGAGGATCATGACACCAAACAATGCACAAAGGATTAAGTGGATATCAGGCTTTCCTAAGGAAATAAGAGCTTCGTTGATAAATGAGCCAAAAGGCCTTGAGCTTGTATTTTTAAGAACATGGAAAGCGAGCCTTGGAAATATTTAAAAATATTGGTACGAATGAAAATAGCGGAGAAACCGCTTCTTCCAAATCCCCCATGCTTGGCCGAGGAGCCAATAGAGTATGGCAAATCCGCGTTTAATCCTCATTCGGACACATGTTTGAGCTTCCGGTCTGTCTGGCCAAGCCTGGCAGGTGTATTTATTTCGATTTTCCGGCTCTGGAAAATAATTTAAAATTGGAGGCGAAAAGTGGGAGTCGAGAAATTCTAAACCGAGCGGTCAGCAGTGGCAGGACTGGACCTAATTCGGTAACGACCCTAATTACGTGAATTTGATCGATCCTCGGCACCTGGAAAGGGGGAGGCCCGTGTGCCCAATGTGTCACTTGGCGTTATTTCAATGACAATAAATCATAAAGAGGGGCACTTTTAGTAAACTGCTGCTCCACTTTCCGTGACAGCTTTACTTCGTCCAGATAAAATATTGAAGCTTCAAGAAACGACCGATTCTAATAAGAAAACGGAACTTCTCGCTTCAGAGAAATTTAAAAAAGATAATTATACGAAAGAAGCCGTCACATTTCCCGTCTCAGAATAAATAGAACGCTCACTTCAAACTACAAAGGCGGCGTTTTTGGTGAACCATACACTTGTTTGCGTTAATAAATGCACATTTGGCGGTGGAGTTTTTTCCCGGTTCAAAGGCCGCGTGCGAAAATAACCACCAGTTACTGCGAAACCCGCCTGTTTGTTTATAAATGCAAAACCGAAAAGTGCTCCAGTGAACGGTTTTTTGACACCTTCACCGAGCGGGATAATGGGCACTTTGAGCCGGCTCCTCGAAAATTCCGACTTTATAGAGGAAAAATGCCATGGATCCGAAAATTGGCGAAAAGGCCATCGAACATGTCAAGCAAGGAGTCAACTTTTACGCGGACATGGCAACAGCGGCGGAATTGGAGGGCGGGACAGTTGGACGCACGCGGAAGGGATTGTGAATGACGGGCGTGTTTCATTACGCAATCGGTCAACCGGTGAAATTTTTACATGTCAAAATTCTTGTTAGACATATACAGTCAAAACGCACAATTCCGGAACTTTTTCAGCGAAAGTGGCAAAATCTCCGGAATTGTGCGGATTTTCGATAAAAAATTTTTCTCCTCTCAAAAAATCTGATTTATGGGGTGAAGCTCAAAATGCCCTTTTTGGATGGACAGCACTGACATCTTATCCTAAAAACCGAGTTTTCGAGGTTTCCTCCTTTGAAAATGCCAAAAAATAGCAAAGATTTCATAAAGCTGACATTTCTTTTACAGAAAAACATGAAAAAACCAAAAACACAAGCCGAGATTCCCAGTATTTTTCTTAAAAAATGCCCGAAGTTCAATTTTTTGTCGAAAATCTCCTGAATTGTGCGATTCAAAATTTTTTCGGCTCGACCCGAAATCTCCGGAATTGTGCGTTCCGGAATTGTGCGTTTTGACTGTAAGCATCAGCAAAAATTTTCACCAGGCGAGGGACCGATCGAAACTGTGAAAAATGACTGAAATCAAGGAAGAGTACCAGCGATAACTGAAATTTATTCGATGAAATTTCTTTTTCCTTGTTTGTTTAATTATAATTTATTAATTAAATATGCTGAATAAGCACGACTGGGAAAATATCTCCGGGCGTCCGACTCTTTCTACGTTTTGATTTGGCTAATGATCGTAAAATGCCGGTTCTGATGAGTAAGAGAGAACGCAAACCCAAAAAGTGGAGTTTTTTATTATTTCTTCAAAAGAGTCGAGCTACGTGTTGATTACCACCCTTGATTCGAACTTGATCATCGAGTTGATGATCATTTTTTGAATAAACAAATTCAACAGCGAAGATAATTCAGGAAAAAAGAGAAATTGGGAAATGTCAGACGCCGAGGGTTTCATTGATGATGGTTTTGAGGGAGTCAAGTCCAATCAGATTGATGGTAATTAAAAAAGAACTCATAATTCTTCATTGCAATCTTTTAGATGAGTTCGTTTACAACGAATTGGAAGATGTTCCTTCAAATTTAACCATGGTCGACTTGGATGACTCATTTGAAGATGTCGACATGGTAGAAGGCCTTTCCAAAAGTGTTCGTTTTGCTTCTCCTCAAGGTTCTATCTTGCATCAAAAAATATGTCCTATTATTTTTTTAGTCAGTGAAACTGCACTAGGATACATTTCGCTCATTCTAGCAGATGGAGGATGTGAAATTAATGTGAAAAATATAGACGCTCTTCTTCAAAGTGTTGGTTTAATAGGTAATAAACACTCGTTAATTCTTTCTTGATGTTCTTTTTTATTGTTCAAACTCTTCCGACCTCGAATTTTACCAGATTTTTTTTAGTGGAAAATGAAATTATTGATGCCTTTGCCGAAAGTACAAAAGATCTTGATGTCAACTTGCTTGTAGAATCAATGTCGAGTTCTAGAGCAACTGCTTCTGCGAATGAGAATTCTGATGAAAAAAGCTCCCCTGAGGTTCAGAAAGAGCAAAAAACTAATGAAGCGTCGGAAGAAGATTCAGACCTTGACGGCTGCTTCGGACTTTTCGACTGAAACCAAATAAACAATCAAGCCTGTAATTGTTTTATTGAAAATATTGCTAGACCAGGCCTCCTCTGCATTCTCCTTCTCCGAAGCAAACAGGCTCGGAAGTCAAGTATGTATCAGGGCCAATAAAGGTATCAGATGAAGTGGTAAACTCGTCACCAGATGGAAGCGTGAAAGTCGCATCGAACCAAAATGCCAACCAACCGGTGCTTGGGATGTTCATTTCGAAATACTTAAAAAAAATAACATAACAAACTTTATTGATGCTCTTACATAAGTTTTTTCATCAACTCCAATCGCTTTTCGAGGAAATACTTTGACCGGGCGAATGAGCACTGGCTGGCCTCCCCGTTCTTCACTCTTTGAAGTTGGGTATTTGTCCGATTCATGATAACCGGGAAGATCCCACTCATTCTCTGGAATTGTCCATCGCCAGTCTTTTCTCCAAAGCGTCGTTCGTTCTTCCTCAACAGTCTCACTGTACTTGATATTCACCTCGTCTGGCAATAAATCGCCTTCGATGGTCAAAGTCGCCCACAGAATATCGCCGTTGAATCCGTGCTCCCAGGAGATTCCCGGGGATTTGTTTCCGAGAATCAGATTTTTAAACCAAGCAAAGATATTTCGGAACATGTTTCCGTTGGTCAACGAATGTCCTTGAATTCGTAATAATTGAAGACTCGTTGAGATATTTTACCTAAAGTTGAGTGCTCGCAATTTCCCATCAAATACCGATGAATTTCGCCGAGTTCCTTCATTTGTTCGAGATAGAAAGAAGAATCGTCAATCATGAAAAACGGGTCTCCAGAGCACGTGACAGCAACGATCGGCATATTAGCCAGCTTCTTTCGATAAGTGAATACGTCGATATGCTGAATGAGCTCAAAGAACTCCTCGGTATCGATGTTCTGGGTAATATTCTCGCGGTAGAAGTCTTCGTAAGCAAAGGACCAGTTGCCGAGCATCATAAAACTGTGCTTCAAGCTCGTATGCATGTTCAAAACGTCCAAAACAACTGGAGCAATTGCTTTCACTCTCACTGGTTCAACAATTCCGGTAAACCATGTGGTCCAACCTCGCTTCGATCCACCAGCGACGAGGAAACCCTCTACGTCTATGTTCTTTTCTTCCTTCAAAAACTCTTCCAAAAGGTCTAGTCCCTTCGTAGCAGCCTTGGTCATTGGGAAGTAAGCAATGATCTCTTCACCCCAACCCTTGGCCATTTCTGGCATAGGCTCGCCAGTCAAGTCATTCATAAAAAGACGCCAAGTGTAGCCGCAGAATTCATCTTCTTTTCTACCATGAGGCTCGCCGTTCTCGTACCACCAATCGTCGTAGAACTTGATTCGTTGATTCGGGACTTAAATCAGTTAATCATTATAGATCTGATAACCGCCTAAAGGCAGAAAGCACTTGAGGTTGCGAAGGCACTGTTGAAAGATCACCTGCTGTTGAATCATGATTTTCGTATAAAATAGAATGCATTTCTGTTTTGACGCTCAATTTCAAGATAAAAATGTCCTTGGAAAGTTATACTGGAAAACTAATACAGACAGCGGGCTTTTTGAAAGGCCTTGTAGAGATTGGTACTGCCATGTCGGATGAAATTCAAAGAACAGAGAAACAACGAAAGGAAGTTGATGAATGATCAATGATGATGCTAAAACAGTCAAAATTGTTAATTTGGAATATGAAAACTCAAAGCTCAGAAATAATTTGCTTGCTGAAAAAGAAAGGGTTTGGTTTGAGAAGTCTCGAAATCGAAAACAACCACACTTATTTTAGTCAACTAAAATAACGGATGACCTGATCAAAATGGAAATAATCCACCGGGAACTTCAGACAAAAATGATCGAGGCGATGAAAAATTATCGAGGAAACCCACAAGTTTTTGATCTCTGCTTTGAAATTCATGATTTGCTTATTTAATTGAATGACGAATAAAAGTATAAAAAGAAGGTACCTTGAAAGATAATAGAAGTGACAATACCACCGCCGACAGCAAGAATCTTAGCCGCGTCAATGTCTTCGTTGTCATGAATATTCGGGTAGTTGTTGTTTCCGTTGCTGCCAGCTTCAATCTGCATGTACACGTGATTCTTCATGTCCTCGTCAAATTTTCGTGGCACAATGACGACCATCCAGTGCCACCAGACTGCATTTTCATGATGAGGAGAATACCAAACACTAGAAATAAAATGCATACTGTACTGTAACTCCATTTTACCTTTCATTGAGCCACTGTTGAGACCACATTTTAAAGCAGTAGATGTTATAGGTAGCTTCTCTCTCAGAACACTCTTCCCAAAGCTCATATCGAAAATGAGGATCTGGCCGTCTGACATATTCCTCCAAAGCCGTCAAATCTTCTAGCTCATACGGCGCAATCTCATCCCCAAAGCCCCATTTCGAGGGAAAGTGCTCGATTCCGAGGGCAACGCCCAGCAAAATCGAAAGAAAAAGCATCAGAAAATTTGAATTTATTTAACTTTAAATTCTGAGTTTAAAATGATCATCTGTTTCAGTTCCCATGAAATAAAGGAAGAGAATTACAAAATACCAGTGTCGAAAGCGATTTCCTATAGCCACTTGTCTTTAAATCTTTCGATAGCATAATGTGTTTATTGAGGATGTTATTTTGTCAACAGTGGCGCCCGTTGCTATCTCTGAAGAGCAAGTAAATTGGTGTGTATACTGAGCACAAGCAGCGATTTCAGCTTGAGTCGAAGGGGCGGTGTTACTTGACAGAGGCATTGTCTAACTTGATTGAAACTGGATTATCCAAATTTTTTTATTCATCAGGGCATTTCCCATTTAACAGAAGGCAGACAAAGGCCGGGACAAAGAGACAACTCTAGCTTTACAAGAAGAAATCAGAATTATTAAATTAGAGAATTATGTCAACTCATAGATTGGTCAACTGGGCGCCAGACAATAATTTCAAATATACAGGTAGTTTTCTCATCAATCCTTCTCTCCTATATTTCTGAAAGATCTGAATCGACCGAAAAAAGAAGTGTACAACGCTCGATTTCTTTATCATGACAGCGCCCATCACGGAATCAACAGATATCCTGACCGAAACTCGTACCGACCGACAAAAGCACCATTCCATACTTCTTCTAGCTCGTCATTTCGAACCACTAGGGAGTCAAGAGAAAGTGTTCTCTCAAGAAAAGCTCCACCGAAAACTCAAGAGTACAGATTTCCGAACTCGTCTAAGACTGACATTAGAGGATTTGACAACGACCAGAGAAGAGATATTTTGATGACGCCGAAGACTTCAGAAACAACAATTCCAGTCCTTGACCGTATTTTTCCAAGATATTTCAACATATTTTAAAGATCGTTTTCTTCAGGGCGGCCATACACAGATCATGGACCCTACCCATCATTTTCAATTCCAAAAAGCTCCAAACCACCGCGACGCCCTCAAACGGAAAAAGTTCCAATGCCGAGTCCTCTGCTACGCGCCAGTATAGCCAATACTTCGAAAATGTTTGCTCGATCTCAAGAAGGAGTTTCAAACAAAAATTTCACGAATGAAGAGTTCAGTCGACGCTCGATTGTTGATACTGTCAGAATGAGGTACTCTTGACAATTGATGACAAAAATTTGAAGTTTGATGTTTAGAAATAATGCTCTCGAAAGACTCAGATCTCAGCGAAGACTTGGGCAAGTGAAGCCAGTTTTGCTAGGAGGGCGAAGCCAAGGTTAGTCTTCTAAGATTCTTCAAATAAGAAAGTATCATTCAGGAAATCTGCGACGAGCGACAAAAACGATACCAAAGTTCACTTGATTATGAAAAAAAAATCAGCTCATTTCTATAAAGTTCTTCACTATTTTTGATAATTCACTGTTGAATAAATGTTTCTTCTCTGATTTGTTTGGACCCATCAAAATTTGAGCGACCGGAAGTGTCAAAAAAGCTTTATTCTTATCTAATGACGATTCAGGTAGAAAAGAAGAGGAGAGAGAATTAGAAAACGGGAAATTAAGGATTATTATTCTGACGAGGGAGAGTACTACTCTGAATACGAGTACGAGGAGGCAGATGGAGATGATTACGCAGAGGAAAAACTTGGGTCTGACAATGATGAGCAAGAGGCTTCAAATGAATATGAGAAAAATGGGTATTGTCCGATAGAAGTTGGAGACTTTTTTCATGAGCGATATCAGGATAGTTTTTAATGAAAATGAACAGTTCTCTTCACAGAATACCTGATATCTAGGCAAGATAATCAGGAAACTTGGATGGGGAGCGTTTTCTACAGTCTGGCTGGCATGGGACAACAAGCGTAAAATGTTCGCAGCGTTAAAGGTAATTGTTTTGAATGATGATTTTTTGTATGATATCCAGGTGATGAAATCAAAAAGATCATACTATGAGACTGCAAAAGACGAAGTTGACCTGTTAGAATGCATTAGAGAAGCAGATTCCCACGAAGGTTTAGCTTTTATATCCTACTTCACTTTCAAGACGATTTTAGCGCGAAGATCCGTCACAACTCTGTTAAACTACTTCACAGTCGACTCCATTTTCGGAACACACTTTGTGATGGTCTTTGGCGTTCTGGGGCCAAACCTCTACAAATTTCTTCAAAAAAGTCAATACCAGGGGATCCCTCTTCCCGTGGTCAAACAAATCGCGCGGGAATCCATTCGATGTCTGGATTTTCTACACTCAAAGTGTAAAATTATCCATACGGATATCAAACCAGAAAATATTTGGTAGATCAAGAGTCTTGATTCAAGACTGACTTTCAACCTCTTTTCTAACAAAAATAGCATTCAAGTTTCGAAAGAATACGTCTATCGCCTGGCGATCGAAGCGTACAACTGGCAGCGTAGCGGTGAAGATGCTCCTTCAGCTGGTCACGTGGCCTCCTTCAAACCAAAAACCTTCGATAAAGTTGACTCTCCTGATCCGGAAAAGGCGAAACGCCTGCAAGAACACGTCGATCGACAGATAGCCAAACAGATTGAAACTAAATCGCTAAAGGTCGACCTGGAGCAACCAGCTTCGTCTCTCCTGCCCGACTTGTTGGATCCAAATTGTGAAGGAGTAAAATGCAAACTGGCTGACATCGGCAACGCCTGCTGGACTTACAAGCACTTTGCTTCAGATATCCAGACGCGTCAGTACATGAGTCCGGAAGTGTTCCTCAGAACAGGATACGACACGTCAGCGGATATCTGGAGCATGGCATGCACTCTCTTTGAAATTGCTGTTGGCGCGCTTTTATTCCGACCAAAAGCATCTCAGCACTGGACAAAGGATGAAGACCACGCTCGACTATACACAGAGTTCATGATCGGCAACGGGTTCAATCAGTGGCCAAAGAGACTGATCATGTACGGATCAAAGTCGAAAAACTATTTCAATGAAGAACTTCAACTCAAAAACAAGAATATGATCATCAACCCTTGGTCTCTCAAACAAAGAATAGTCGAGCGCGGAATCGACGTTAGAACACTTTTTTATTCATTTTTTATATTTTTTTAGGAAAAAGAAGCGGAAGAATTCGCTGAATTCCTGTCAAAAATGCTTCACCCTGATCCTGCAAGGTTAGTTTAAAAGATTTGAAAAAGAAAATATAGCATTTGTAGACGTTTATCAGCAAAAGAACTACTTGAGGACAAATGGCTCAACTAACTGTATTCTTTTCTACTTGAAGATTGCTACTGTACTGTATAAATAAACTAATTTGATATTTAAAACCCCGAGTTTTCCTACATTCCTGAAAATTTTCAAAAAAGGAGAAGAAAGGCTTGTGAAATATTCGGTTTTGAATTTTTTATTATAACCGTATTTACAAAGATCAAGAATTGGCGGCGCCTACTTCAACTATCAAAGTAAACGACGACCGTAGCACAGTGTTATGTTTTTTAAAGATAGGGTTTTGTGAGTCAGGTTTTCAAATTTTCGAATTTCATCTAACGGGCAGCTTTTTTGACAAAATTCAAATCGGAATGGTGAAGAGTCTTTTCAAAGTGAAGGGAAAAATATGCTCTGGCAGAATCTAGTAAGTGCTTTTGGAATGTAAGTGAATAAAAGTGGGGAAGTGGTTAAAAAAAGGATGGTGAAAAAGAGGTTGGCTAAAATAGGTTACGGTGAAACTGGTGAATTGGTGAAGTAACTGAAAATTTAAAATTGTGAACAAGAGATTTTTTTATAAAATAGTTTCCTTCTTGACTTGGCGGATGGACATGGCCGCCAACGGACCCATGCGCGTTGACGAGTTACGGCGCAAGTCGCGGCGGTAGGAAGACAAGCCAGGCGAGTTTCTAGCACGCACAACTGAAATGAAAAAATGAGCTGAGGGAATTGAAAGAGATTCTTACTCGGTCGAGGAAGGGTGACAGTTGTCTTCTCTTCTGTCTTCTGCAGCTTTTGCTCTCGCTGGACATTTGGATGCGTCGGGCTTTCTCGTTTCATGGAAGGCTTGGGCGAGTAACGAGACGGGCTATTCTCGGACACTGGCTCTAGAACGCGTCGAGAGGAGCTCTCGGCTAGAAAGAGGTAATGAAGAAAAATCGCATTTGTTTACCTTTGTGTTGTTGTCGCATCCTGACCAAGTCAGCGATCGAAGTGATTCTTATATCCGGGGCTTCTAAGGTAGATTCGTCAAGACACTCCTTCATTGACGATTTCGTCGTGCTCTCTTCGTACTGCGAGAGAGACGAGGCCGAGGGTTTCTTGGAAATGAGACTTCCGCTTGTCGAGGAAGGAATTTGAGGATTGGTAACAGATGGAGAGTGCTCGCTCGACTCGTCCGGATTGTCTTCGTCGAGGATTTCGTCGACAGAGGCAGAGTGGTAGTCTTCCGTGGATTCTTCTGAGATCTTAGATTCCTCGTTCATTTGTGGCTCTTCTGTTGGCTCTTCGGAGAGAAGCTCGTCTTGGCTTTTCTCGGCGTAGTCGATCGAGGCTCGGCTGATGCAATCGGCCTTGGCCTCGTCGAAAATATCGTTGGAAGCTGCAGATGAAAGAAGACTAGCCATAGAACCCATGGAAGCCGTTTCTTTGCTAAAAGATTCATTAGAAATCGGGAGAATGGAATAAGCTGATACCTATGCATCTCTCGGAATTTCGAATACTCGCTATTGGCGGTTGTGCTGGTCGAGGGCAATTCATCACTATCAGCGATGTCGCTTCTTGAACCAAAGATGCTCTTCCTGTTGAGGATCTTCTCACTCTTCGAGCGACACTGTCGATCTAACGCTTTGGGACTACTGGTCCAATCGGCCGAGCCTGAGCGGAAAAGAAGCGTATGAGAGATAGAATTTGCATCGCGAATCGGCGCCCGGCGCCCTTTCTTTGGAGATACAAAGTTGACGATTGAGTCTTTTAGACGGGTAGAAAGTGTTTTCTGAAAACACAAGTAAGTGAAAAGGGAGTTCATGTAGGCTTTACCTTTGCGCCTGGTCTGCTTTTGCCAGAAGCTGGAGGTGCAGGAGGCATGTTTTTAAGACAATCCGGGTAGAACTTTTGAACTAGATTGACGATCTCTATCGGCGGCATGATAATCTTCCTGGCGTGTCGAATCATGAAGGTGATGTGATGTGAGAGCTTCGTGATTCCAGCCGAGGAGCCATGTTCGACCACCTGTGGAAGAAGGGCGGGAAGGAAGATCGTCGCCAACGAGGATGCCGACATTTTATTCTCCTCCTGTCGCCGCGCTGTCGAGTGCAACAACTGCAGCAGGATGCGAATCGCGATGCGGTTTACATCAGGCAGGCAGAGATAGAGCGCCTGGAGCGTTTGAATCCGCCGCCGCTTGTCCTCAGTTCCATCGGCGTGGTTCATGTCCGAGATGGAAATGTGCGTCGCAAAGTGCTCCTCCGGAAAAACGTTCTGCGGCAACTCGCGGAAGAAGATCTTGATCAAGTCGCAAGCGTCGTTGACGTTGATTTCCGTTGGAGGTTTTTCGCCCGAGTCGAGAATTCTTCGAAGCTCTTTTTTTCTTGCCGTTGCTCCTGGCTTTCTACAAAATAAACCTTAGATTTTGGCTTTTCTTTGAAAAGTGTTATTTCTTAGGGAAAATGAGAGGAGGTAACAAACGGTACCTGAATAGGCCTTCTTTGTGGATATCGATCCTGATCGTTTGAATCAGCGGATCTAGCCGCTCAAACTGGTACATATTCAGCGGCGCACCGAAGCACTTTCCTGACTTTTTCGGTTTCCGCTCTTTTATGTACAGTTTGCGGCATTCTTCCACAAACGGGAGCTCCAATGTTGTCGAAAGAAGACGCTCCAAGGTTTCCTTGAAGAAGTCTTCTTTCTCTGACCTAGAAAAACATCTCAATGAAGGGCTCATAAGATGACAGGAACAAACCTCAATCTCTTTAAATACTGCTCGAAGAATAGCAATCTATCAACGCCATTATAATCATCCATTTCTATAAAAATATTTTTTTACAAAAATGTCGCGTTTCTCTTAGCGTAAAATGGAAGAAAATAAACACGATTTCTCAGATTCAAAACGGTGGCGCTAGGCCACAGCTGCGACCTAAAGCCAATCAAGTTTTGGGGGCCCGTGGCCAACCGGTAGATCGAGGCTACTGATTGAAATTGAAAACAATTATTATTTGTCCGGTTTTGGAAAAATGACGGAACTGGGGGTCGTAAAATGCGTTGCCAGGCAACGGCCTTCTTTGAAAATTTCAACTGTAATTAAGGCCATTATTGGATTTTAGTAGATGGGATCTAAACTTGCAATCAATAATGAGAACTCGTAAAAAGCGAGAGAATGAATAGACAATGAATTCAATAAATACTGTATTCACAAATATATAAGGTATAATTACTTTTATAAGTCATTTTTTTCATTATTTTCCGTAATTGGGAATTGATTGGAATGTCTCTTGGAAAAAAAAAACAAAACTTTGTTTTGTCGTCTGTTTTGATAAATTTTACTTTCCAAGAGGAGGATAAGAGGAGATAAGAGGTTCTTTTTTGAGCATAATGTATGTACAGCGATCATGAGATTTCTTTTCATCAGAAGATTCCTTTTTAAAAGAGACTCGGGAAGCTTATCAAATTTCAAATTGTAAAGAAGGATGAAGGAAAAGTTAAAGCAAGAATGAAGAGAAAGGGAGATAGAAAGAGGAAGGATTTGTAGCGGAACGATGCGGAACTTTTCTTTTTGTAGATTCATTTTTTTCTTCTGGTTTTTCAGTTGCTGCTAGTGGAGGTCACGTTTTCTATACTTTTTTCAATCTAAAATAATAACTGTCGAAATTATTCATAAAGGATGATGATTGCTTACGGCAAAGATGTCGCTACTATCGGCGTTTTCTAGTTCATCCATTTCTTTGGCGGAGCATTTTGGCGGATTTTTGGTCGGGTACGTTTCGTGAAAATGCGAGAAGTTGATCAGGTAACCTTAAAAGACGCCAATTAAGAAAAGTCCCTTGAGCTGGGCTCACCTTTTTCCTTCTGTCCTCGTGTTACGACGTTTTTGAAGCGGTTGCCCCACTCGATTTCGTTTGGCATGTAGCTCGCTCGAGCTTGAGTTGTGCCTCCAGTGGCTTCGACCATTCCTTCAAGGATGATGATCACTTCAAACGCGTCGCTGTTCAAATCGTCGGGGCCGATGTCATACAGTGGCTTAAAAATGGAATCAACAAGGACTCAAAATATGATTAAATAGCGACTAAAAGCTAACATCTTCCGTAAAAAGGAGTAAATTAAGATTCCACTTACGGAGTCTTCCTCAATCGGATGCACGATAATTTGAGGCGTGACAAGGAATATCGTCTCCGAATCATTCCCAAGGTCGATGTCGAGATCAATTTGTTCAAAAGGAATGTGTTCTCCTTCTTCAGTCGTCCGCGATCTCACCAGTTGCATTCTGATATTCGCTTCTACCAGCACCGATTTTCGCAAGTTTCCAACGCGAACCATTAGGCACAACTTTCCGTCGCGCATGTTGATAACTGCTTTGTTCGAAAACAGCAGCGTCTTGAATATTTCTTAGAACAGGGAAACTGAAGGGATAGAACCTCTGCTCTCTTTTTTGGCCGAGAAATTTTCGCGATGATCCAACCGATGGCGAAAGCGTCGATAATCGTTGACAGGACGGATTGGACCATGACGGCGAAAACTGCCGAGGGACACTTTTCTGTTGGATGTCGGCCACCGTAGCCGATAGTTGTTTGCGTTTCATAACTGAACAGTTACTGTATCGGGCTTAAGGGGGTAGATATCAAGAATCGGATTTCTTGTCAGTGTTTTCTCAAATTTTTAACAAAGTGACCCCCTTATTTTCTGCTCAAAATTTATTTCAGATAATTATCTCTTTCCTATGGAAGCCAAAAATTAGGATTTCTTGAGCTTTCGAGGTGCTACAATGCAAATCTGGCACCTCCGATTGTGGTCAAAAAGCCCATTTTCGGAAAGTCAGCGATCTTTGACGAAAAATTTTGTTAAAAATTTTCTTGAAAATCGAAATTTCGGCTTCCATAGGAAATAAAGAAAGGTTCAAAGTTTTTGTTTCCAAAGTAAAATAAGGGTGTCATTATTTTAACTTTGGGAGAAAAGTCTGACAGAAAATGCCTATTCTTGATATCTACCTCCTTAAAGATGTGGGAAAGTACCTGAATAATACGGCGGAAGTGAAATCTTTGATATCGGAGAAGCAAGTATCCTCGCCCGCCGCGGCCTCGTACTCGTTCATTTTGCGCACGCATTCGATCGCGTCTGACAGACAGCTACTGCAGTCTTCTAGTAGACTGCACTCGTCGCTAGCGCATGCCAGTAATGTCTCGTTTCCGCACGTGTTATTTGTAAGTGTCTCGCAGGTGTTCAGCCAACTGGTATAGTCTGAAATAAGTCTCGTTACTGTACTCCCCTATTGTAATTACAGTGAAAAAATACTTACTCACAGCGTTGGAAGGAACCTGCCATGGAAAATCTTCGTGAATGAGTGAAATAATGTAATATACAACGGCGAAGACCATCCAACTAGCTACGTATAGAAACACAAATATCAATAGCGTATATCTCCAGCGCAAGTCGATGCAGGTCGTCAGCGGATCTGCCATGTAGCGAAAGAACCATGGTGGCTGGTTCAAGTTTTCAATCGAGCACCGACCCGACTAGAAATGATCCATTAGAAAGAAATTCCCAAATACCGAATTTTGAGTTATTTTATGTCTAAACTAGTGAAGGGCACTTTGTTTCCTTTATTTCGACTGTTTGATATTTGCTTTTTCTATGAATTACAACTGTCAATCGCGTGTTCTTGTACTGTTTGTCCACGCTAAAGGACAATTGGAAATTCACGTAATAACGTGCTGGCGAGGCGTTTTTGTTTGAAATACGACTTCCAACTCGTGAACTTTATCATTATCAAAATTCAAGAATGACCCGCAATTCCGGATCTAGTTGGATCCTGAATCTATTCGGAAAATCGTCAGATTCTCTCAAAATTTACGACATAAATCTGGCGTTATAACGACGTACCAGACGTACCTTGTACTAAAATTGATTACACCAAGCAAAATTGAGTCTATCGACTCTCTGCTAATTCCGAGGTAATTAGATTTATTTCACGAGCCAGGTAAATTTGGAATTTACAACTTAATCCCATCCTACTTTATTTCCACAAATATCTATCAAAAACAGCAATTCTTACCTTTGAGATGAATCTACAGGGTGGCTTCTTGTGTACCTCTACAACGGGTAGCGCAACTTGGCCATTTATATTTCCGTTTTTTCCAACTCCTTGGGTCATGCAGCGGTGGCGCGGTGGGCACTCGCCTTCTTTCTTCTATTTCAGCTATTCTCGACAGTCTAAACGACTTCGTTTTGATGAATTACCATAAGAATTTTTCGGGCGAAAAAAATTTTTTTGAGATATTTGTATATTCTGAAAGCCCGTAAAAAGTTATACAGAATCACCGAATTCTAGGGTCAGATGACGTCATTATGACGTCATCGGGCTGATTTGAAAATTTTGTCTTTGGAACGCTTTTTCGAGCCGAAAACGTTTTTAAATTATATTTTTCTCGACGGATTCGGATTTTTCATGAAAAACTACGTAGGGACCCGGGATCAAACCATTGAATATCAACCATTACCGACCGGTTCAATTTTTGAAACCGGTCGGTTCGAAAAATAAACCTCGGGTCCCTACGTAGTTTTTGATGGCGAACACCATGCCATCAATAGAAAAATCTATTTCCAGCAAAAACCGCCTCAAAAAGCGTTCCAAAGTTTCATGAATTTGGAGCCTTTTCGGACATTTATTAATAATTAATGACGTCATAATGACGTCATGTAGCCCTAGAAATTTGTGAATCGACTAATTTTGACTTGGGCTTTCAGAATATGTTCTTCTCTCAAAAAAATTTTTTTTGGCCAAAAAATTCTTATGGTAATTCATCTTTTAATATTTTTCTTTTCAATTTTTTTCCTATTTAAAAAATCTCGTTCTTGATCTTTTTTTCGAGTTTTGGCGCCCTCAAAAATGCTCCTAACTGAGCTCCTGTCATCGCAATTTTAGTTTACCCCTAAGGCACACACGCGCACTCTTACGCTAAAACACACACTAAAGCCCGGGTAACTGAGAAGTGAGGGTGCGCGTCAGTTAAGGCGTTTTTGCCATTTGCGTCTTTTAAGGCATTGCGTCTTTTAAGGCACTTGCGTCAGTTAAGGCGCTGAAAATGACTAGTGGAATTCTGATATCAACTAGGGTCTGCTAAATTACCTCGATTGTAACTATCCTTGAAATTCTCCTCATTTCAATCTCAAATATAACAGCGTATTCAAAATATTTAAATTTCAGATATTTCAAATACATCGAAAACGATCTGAGAAAATTAACTAAAATTTTAGTGTCGAACCTTTATTTTTACAAATAATAAATTTATTCTATCACGAAAAACTTCAAATTCAATCATTAACCAGCAGTTCAGCTTATAACTGAATATAAAAAGATTTTCTTGAGAAAATATTAACTCTGGCACTTACCCTAGGAATTGGTAAAGAAATATTTTATCAAGAAATCTAGCAGACCCTAGTTGATATCAGAATTCCACTAGTCATTTTTCAGCGCCTTAACTGACGCAAGTGCCTTAAAAGACGCAATGCCTTAAAAGACGCAAATGGCAAAAACGCCTTAACTGACGCGCACCCGAGAAGTGATTGAAACTCTCGTAGTAAAAATATGCGAGTGAGTGAATAACAATCGGAGATATCAATTGTTGAATGTACAATTGAGAATATTTATTTACGATTGAAGTGTTTCCACTAAGCGGCTTCGCCAAAATTTAAGAAAAGACTAAGATGAATTACCATAAGAATTTTTGGGGCAAAAATTTTTTTCCCGAGATAACACTATATTCTGTAAGCCCATGTCAGAATTAGTGAATTGCCAAAGTTCTAGCGCCCGATGACGTCATTATGACGACAGAAAAGACGCTTTTAGCATCAAAATAGGCAAATTTTTTTAACCGTTTTTGAGACGGTTATTGTTTGAGATAAAATTTTTTCTTTACGGTATCTTGTTCAGCATAAAAAACTGAACAATCACCCGACATTTAACCGTCCGATATCAGACTTAACCGACCGGTTTTTTTGGCGGTTAAAAATAATACCGGTCGGTTCGATCAAATTTTGCCGGGTAATTGTTCAGTTTTCATGCTGAATGAGATTCTGAAAAGAAAAAAATGTATTTCAAACAAAAACCCTCTCAAAGACGGTCAAAAAGTTTCAACTTTTGAGACCTTTTTTGAACCTTAAATCATCATAAATGACGTCATAATGACGTCATTGCACGCTAGAACTTTGGGAATTTACTAATTCTGATATGGGCTCTCAGAATATAGTGTTATTTCGGGAAAAAAAATTTTGGCCCAAAAATTCTTATGGTAATTCATCCTAAAATAGTAATTTTCTGACGCCGCTCCGCGGCTTTTCATCAGGGATCTTCGAAACCCTGACTCAAGTTTTCCGTACAGGTTGCTGAGTTGAGATTCTCAGAAGTCAAGTATCGCGCACTAGTTTTGAATAAACAGAGCATTTTCTTATTGGACCAGAGCCTTTTTCCCTTCAAATTTTGAGCGAAAGAAGGGAAAAGCACCGTCTAATACGAAAATGGCTTCTTGATTCAAACCTATTACCCACTCAAAAGGACACAAATCGTATATGGGAGCTGGCTGATCCATCAAATTGAAAATGAGCTGTCAAATTAGTAACTTTTTGAGACGGATTGTTGGCAATCACGCCTCTTTGTTCTCAGTACTTTAGTCCGCATTTTATTGGCTCTGTCCCAAAAGGGGAAAAATTGAAAAACGGAATTGCATAAAAAAGACAGTAAACCATAAGAATTTATTTCTATAAGAATTTTTAATGTTAACTTTTCCTGCTTTTCGCAAGTAAAAATTTCTAAATCTTCAACTCGACACTTTTTTCCGTACCGTGTCCAATAAGATCTTCAAATTTCATTCTCGATTCTTATTTGATGAGAAAATTGCATTTAGACATCAACCCATCAAATTCTAACATTGAGCTCAACCGGATTCCCGATTTCTGAGCAGCGAGTGACGTAACAATTACGTAATAACTAAAAAACACGAAAAATTGTTGAATTATGAACTACGTAGGCGACCACAATGGTATCTCAGAAATCGAAGAAAATCGCGGTATTTTATTTTTCTTCAAATTTGTCTAGTCTTGAGAAACAAAGACGAAATTAGACAAAAGCGAAAAAGGTGACTGTAATTAAATTTGTTTTCTCTTACCGAAAAAATGTTCGTTTCGTGACGTTTTCTTTCTTTTTATCTCTCGCAAAAAATTGTTAATTTCAGTCAATTTCTGGCGTTTTCTGTCGAAAATGAGAACATTTCAGCCTTGGAATAAATAAATCAATATTTCTCTTTTGACCAATCCCAACCAAGCGAAAATGAAAAATGGTCGATAAAATTAAAATTACTCTCCGCTCGTTTTTGAATTTGAAACAGGTGCTGACAATTCTCCCAAGGGGCAGTTTTCAAATAAAATTTTCGCGAAAATTTTATAGACGCGAAAATGGGCCTTTTCCTCGCACCTATGTGAGTAACTAAATCACTGTGACTAACTGAGATCAAGTTCGAGCTTTACCAAAAGAGTGAGCTTCAAAATAGAATATTTTCTACTATTTTCTCTGTATAAGTCTGTACTGTCAATTGCTTGTATTGGGCTCGGCATTCTGTGTTGAAAACCTGAGTCAGGGCCTAAAATTTAGGTTGCCGAGTCCAGTCTGTATATTTGACTGTAAATAATAATCTTTATTGAAATTTCTTAGAAATTGGCGAAATACTCGATCTCTGGCCATGCGGAAAGAATCAAGTATTTTTGAAAGGAAGAAAAGCTGGAGGAAGGCCTCGGATTTCGAGCGGATTAGGCTCGACTCGTCGGAAATGGCAGCTCTTCCATCAAATGGAGAGACAAGTTGATCGACAAGGCCGAAATTGGACAATTTAGGAAATGGGAAATGTGTACTCTTCGCGGCGGAAAAAGAGGTTTAATTAACGAATTGAGTATAATTTGGAAATGCGAAAATATTAATTCGAAATCGTGAAATTCTTCCTCGTCGAATAAAGAATATTTTTGCTTATCCGTGGTCATAAAACCTCAAAAGGGCAAAATGGGAAGAAGAGGATCTTCCTCCTCTCTTTTCCTCTTTGCCCGTCAAGGTCATCGTGCCCCTTTACAACAGGGTCTATTAAATGGGCGACAGGCTACGAAAAGCCCCTACCCCTTAAAATTAACTCGAGCACTCGTGTTGTCCGAGAGTCGTAAACTAAAACTAACGCGTTTTTCGTTTTGCTTTTACAAATTTTTATTGCAAGCAGAGATAAGAAGAAGAGACAGATACTGAAAGAATGGAAAAGTCTTGGCGAGCGCTGCCTTGTCATTTTCCAGGAAATGGACTGACAGAAATTAATAAAAAGTGATGATAAATCTGATTTTCTGGAGGAAAAATGAGAAAGCGTCAAAAAGTGACGCAGTAATGCTCTTATGACGACTTTTTGTCTACCCACTTGACTTAAAAACGCGTTTCTATCTTCGCGACTCTTGGCACAGTAGCCTGTGTAGAAGGCCTGAAAGAGCCTGAAAGAGCTTTAAATAATAAAAATGGTTTTCTTTGACCCTGACTCAGGTTTTCTACACGAGCTTTGGGCTCTCTACCTGCGTAGGAATAAAACTAAACCCATGAAAAAGAACTGAACTGCATCGTTGAATCTGACTTACGAAAACTGTGCCAATTGGAAGAGCTCTACAGCGTGTACGTGGAACAGACGTTGAAGTTCGCGAAAACGTTTCTGACTCGTCTGGACTCGCTCGGTGAGTGAATAGAAAGAAACGCTCTTCTGACCACAATTTAACATAATCCTAGTCATTGAACATCGCCAGTCGGGCAAGACGCTCAAGGGTTCCTCTCCTGGGCGCGCCAGTGGGGGTCCCTCAAGAAAAACTCGAAGAACGGGTCTAAGACCAAAAAGCAGGAGGGATTCCTTGAGAAAACCTATGACAGGCGAGGGGATTAGCAGTCACCAAAAAGCTCTTAGCAGCCATATGTTCCTTTATCCTCGTTTTATCCCCTGGAAAGCTTCATTCTCTTTGCCCGAAAAGAAATCGACGCTAGAACTCAACTTTCGACAACTCTGGAGAAAAATGTCATCAAAACAATTCATAAAACGAAAACGGCGATCAAAGAAAGAAACGAAAAATTCATCAAGGATCACAATATTCAAGCGGCTAGAAGAATCAAGGCTGAAGAAAAGCTAGAGTTTTACTTCAACGAATACAAGAAAACTCACGAAGCGCTGATGAAATTTGATAAGAACAATAAAAAAGGGTCGAAATTACCATTTTTTATGAAAATTCTAAAGGTATAGATAGATTTTTTCAATTAAAAACGCAGCTTTGAACGAAAAATAACAGTCCTTTTTGAAATTAATTATGTAAAAAATGAGTGTTTGGTCTCAGATTTTAGTCGAAATGGATCTTTCTTTTGACCCTTGAAAGACCAAAAAAGTCTGGAAAAGGGGTCCTGAGTAAAGAAGAAAGAATCGCCCGAGAAAGGTTAGAAAGCACATTTTACTTTTGAAAATTTTTATTAAACCCTTTTTCAGAAAATACAAAGTTTCGAGCATGGAAACGGCTGAAAACGATTACACAGACATGGTGAATGATTTCAACATCGAGCAGCAAAACTCGTTCGAGGACTACCTCCCACGAATTTGCTCTAATCTCGAAGATCTCCACGAAGACCTTCTGAAAAGAGTCAATCAGATTCAGCTCAATGCCAAAGACTCTCTCACGGAGAGGTAAGACCCTCTTCCGCTGAAAATAAAGAAAGATAGAGCTATTCAAGTATTCATTAGCATTTTTCTGGACCAAAAAGAGATTCTGAAAGGATCTACTTGCTTTTCTAAAGCGAATTTCGAAAACGTTCGAATTTGACTGCGACGCTTCGCTTAAAAAGAAAGAGTTTCAGGCAAACCAATAATTCCACTCATGAACTTTCCGATTTGACTGTACCTTTCAAGCAAAATTGATCGGGTCCAAACTTTCAAATCCTCGCCCATAAAGGATTTTTATCGAATTTACTCGAAGGCGACAATTCTTTCTAAACGTATTAAAAATACTGTGAGTTTACAGGTCAAAAGTCATTTCGAGCAGTTCAAATAGCAGTCTTTCTTGATTTCATTTTTCTCTAATTGTTATATTTTTTCAGCGTTCGTCTGGTGTCTGCGGCTTGTGGCTGCGTGTGCTACCACGATAAGGACTCTTTCCCAGACGTCATCTCCGCCGAACACCGGCTTATCATCGATAACGTAAAGAAGGATCACCCACGGAGCATTCCAGCCGATAAGCAGCCCAAAATGTTTCTCAATTCGAAAAACGGGTCAGTCTCGACTGGATCTTCTTCCAGAGTAAGTCAATGTTGTAGATTTATAATTAAAAAGAGTTTTTTGACTCGAAATTGACTCCTAATTCGCAAAAACGCGGGGCGCGGCAGTTCAAACTTCGCGCCAAGCGCTGATTGGCTGCCTTATTCTGAGAAACGCGTAAATCGAACCAAGGAGCAAATTTTATCAAAATGAGTCAGAGGAAGCAACCACTTATCACTAGAATCGTCAGAATAACAAATTATCTTTACGACATTCCTTCAGACAAAACCGGAGCCGCAAACCAACTTTACATCCCCGGGTAAGCAGCTGCATGATTTTTACTGCTTGCAATAATCATGTAACAACATGCTATAGCCGCCTCGGAAAAGTTCAAACACAATCCTCACATACGAATAAGTCCAAGACCTTCTCAATCACCGCCCAGTCCTGTCAAGGCGCCAGATGAGCCATACGACCCGAATAAGTTAGAAACAGGTTTAAAATTTAAAACGGAGTTTTCGGGTAAATTTCAATTTTTACTTACAAATTTCTTCAGGAAGTTTGGCAGATTCTTTTGTCTCTGAACTGGAATCTCTTCACCTGTACGAAAAAATCGAGCCGGCACTATCAAACTCTGAGCCTTCTCCGGATGATGAGATAAATGCCAATAAAAAACGTGAACCCAAATCGGGACGAATGCTTTACGACTTTGACGGCACTGGTAACCAATAAGCTCTTGATTTTCTTCGATAATCGGGTCACTCGAACCATCCATAAAAGTAATTTCCTAGATTCAAATGGCAACGACTTTCCTGATGCTGTCAAGTGCAAGAAAGGAGATCTACTGGAAGTGCTAGAGGATAGCTCGAATGAAAACTGGAGCAAGGAAGGAATCTCACTTATCATTTCAAAAACCACGGATCTGATTTATCGTCAATAAAACATCAAGAGATTCCTAAAAGGTGAAAATCATCAGCTCGCAGAACGTCGGATTCGTACCTACTCAATTCTTGGCAATAACTCCTCCGAAAAACGAAGATTCAGAATCTGCGAAACACGTACTAAAAGATTCGAAAACTGAACGTCTTGTTGAATAAATTCATATTTCCGTTCATACCACCAACGTCTCTCATTTCGTTTTTCACAGAATGAGTACACCAGACTGCAAACCTAAGTCACCGATTTAACGGCCTGCGCTTATCTATTTTTTAATTTCATTTTGAATTTTGTCATTGTTCAGAATGACTAGCACCAGCAAAAATAAAACTGATCACATGGGAGTTGCGAAAACCAGGTTTTTGGATGTTTACAACTCTCTGCCGGAGGAATACCGCTGCCGCTTCGCCAGATGGGTAGGAGGTTTCGCGGAGGGCGAAATCGATAGCCTCGCGCCAACCCAAACTGAAGAAACATTGATCCAAATTGCTGACACGCTTCGTATGGACATCGAGCCACCGGGAGGAAAACTACCAAACGAGATCACCAGAAAACCAGAAAATGAAGAAGAAGAGGTCGTCGAAGTCGATGAATTTTTGTACCCAGATCAAGTGCTGAAAATCACGGATTTCTCGACCTCAGAATGCGGCGACTGCAAGAGCAAGAATATCAACGATTTGGAAATGGTCTCGCACTCGATGTCGCAGGATGAATTAACGGTTCTTTTCGGTCAGATAATGAATGAAGTTTCGAGAGAACTAAACCATTTTTAGATGAGATAAATGACTTCGAAGTCATGGTGGATATCGGCTCTCGTACTGGATGCATTTTGTACGCAGCTCATTTGATGACAAAGGCAAAAGAGATCGTTGGAATTGAGATTGACGAAGAATGGTGCAAGATTCAAAATAGAGTCGTTGAAAAGTTTCAAATGGAAGGTAAGCATCAAGATTTGAGTCAACAAAAATGATCGAACTCTGATCTGAGATGTATGTAGGTCAGTTTGATAGCAATAATTAATACTTATCTGTAGATTTTTAGATCGAATAAAAATAGTCAACGAAGATGCAAAAAGCGAAAAATCAAAAGAAATTCTTCGAAAAGCAGACTTGACGATAATGAACAATCCTTTTCAATGGTTCTCAAAAGACAACGGAAAAAAAGACTTTGAGTGCATCCTTCAAAGCTTGAAGCCTGGATCGAGAGTTTTGCTCTGCCACATAGAAGAGATCCCGATTTTGCTGGACAGATATCTTGAAGAGATGACTCCGGAAAGTCCTCCTCTGAACGGGCCGGACCATGCATGGGCAGATGAACTGAAAGCCTTTCGAATGTTTAAAGTTTTGGAAAAGAAAAGCTAACTGAACCGACTGCTTTACTGATAGAAGATTATAAATAGTTCAAAATTTGAACTTCAAATTGTATTCGTTATTTTGTTGTAATATCATTATATTTAGAATGGAGGCCACAGAAGAAATGATCCGACGATCTGAAGAAGCCGCAAAAATCGAAGAAATCACTGAACAGGTAATTTTTCATGCTCTCTTAGAGCTTTTTGTTTAGGAAGTCTTAACGCTTACCATTCACGAGGAGATCGAGTTTTTTCATTTTATAAGTCACATTTTCGCTTTAGCGTTTTTCTCAAGTAAGAAGCTTATCTCGCTATATAAATAATTCATCGACCCTTGATTGAAGAAGATTTATCTCTCCTTTTTAGACTTGGAGAGAAACGGCGCAGGTCCAAATTGAAGAGTTCAACGCCTCGCGAAAGAAGCAACTCGAGAATCTTTCCGACCTGATCTCCGAAAACGCGGAAAAAGCTCCGGCGCCAATTACCAAGGAGGATCAATTTTCGAATATAATCGAGCTAATTGACCTCCAACGAGACTCCAACGACGGCGTAGACCGCTCTCGCATGCGCCAGGTCTTGCTCCAAATGAAGCACTAGAAATCATCAAAGAAATAAATGTCAAACTTCCAATTAAAAAGAAGAGAAAACTGTCTTTTGTACCTCATCTCGAAATTCTACCTGATTGTACTTGTAACATTCAAATGTTCTTTCCATTCGCTTACACTCTGAAAATCTGATTCAATTCTAAAAATCTGATCCTCGTTTCTATAACTTGTAATTACAAAAAATGCTGGTGTAGAAAAAATACTGAATAAAAACATGCGAATTAGAAATGCAATTGATACATCGGGACTTGACATCCGCATTCAAGCTTTTGAGAGATCGTTCGAGCACCGAAACGAGCAATTACTATCAAGGTACAGTAAGATTAAACAGGTGGAATAGACTTTCTATAACTAACGAGTAAACCAGCGCATATCTGGCGCAAGATTCAAATAGGCCTAACGCACACTTGTCTACCCGATTCAACCTTAGCTAAATGATCCTAGTTGATAATGAAAAAGAAGTGCTGATCCACCAAGAAGACGACATCGTCCACTTCGAGCGTAATCAATTCCAAATCCAAGAATTCAAAGACAACCTGGAATACCACCTCGGCGCCATCGGCACTGGACTCACTCAGTTCGAAAAATACAACGACCGAATCCTCAATCGACCCGCTTTCGATGAGAATATTGACGAAGACGAAAATGAAGAGATCGAAGCAATGACCGAGACGCTCTCGAACAACTTCATGAGCTCGCAGAAGATTTTGAATAGAGTGAAAACAAGGCAGTTCGCGAACAAGATGGAAGAAAAGATTGCGAGAAATTTAGCGTCTAGGTAGCCGCTTCGTTTTTTCGAGAACTCTATAAATAATTCTTTAGGTACGCTGAAGAAATATCTTCATATTCGACGCGTTTTCGAAAGTGCCAAGGAAACTTTTCCAGGAGACTTCAAAAAAGGTAATTTACTGCGTTTTCAATTATCGACAAAGCGGTTTCTAAGAAACACTCGGACTGCAGATTTGATGGATCTACAGGGCGATTACGAAATAGCGACGGACGAAGCTCTCGATGCGAATTTCCAACGCCAGGAGCTCGCCCTCGACACGGAATTTCTCGATAAAAGAGAAAAGGAGTTGAACAAAATCTCAAAGTCCATCAACGACTTGAATCAGCTATTCAGGGATATTTCTTCTTTCGTCGTCGAGCAAGGAACTATTCTAGGTAAACATTGCTCTTGGTTCACTATGAATTCATGAATCAATTACAGACCAAATTGAATATAACGTCGATATGGCGGCAACAAAGACAGAGGAAGGCCTAAAGCAGCTGAAAAAGGCGGACCAGTATCAACGAAAAGATCGAAAAATGAAAGCAATTTTATGTATGGCCGTGACCGTCGCAATCTTATTATTTCTACTCATTATGAAGGAGATCATCTTCTAACTTAAAAAAAGCTATCTTGTTCCATCTTTATCCTTTACGTCTCATTTTCTTCAATCTTTATTAAAATAAACTGCAATCATATTCATTAAAAAAGCCTCCAAAATAATTTTGAACAGAATGTTAACAGCTATTTGTGCAGGGCGAAATCGTTCAGTCAGAAATCTTTCCTGCTCGCTTTTGAGACTAAACGAATGGGTAAGTAGAATTCACTAATCGAATCTAAAAGCTATCTTTCAAAGGACGATGCAGCGCAAAAAGAATCCAAAAAGTCAAACTGGTTCAATCGAGCAAAACCAGACCCAACCAGGCCGCGCTACGAAGATCCCGGACAGAATTTCTTCAAGCCTTACAAAGAGTTCCGCGAGGAAAAACGACAACAGCTCCTTTCCGGCGATAATAAACGAAAAGTCCCGTTGAAAGCTCTTGTCCCAGAAGAGTATCGTGGCGCTAGATATTATACAGATGCACATATGGAAGTTGTTGATCCGAAAAATGTGAAGCCAAAGGTGTTTATGGGGCCGTATTCGATTGTTCTACCACACAGGTAGCTCTTACAGTATTATAAATGTTTTAATGAGTTTCTAATACAAAAGTTGCTAAGAAATATCTTTACTTCATCATTAAATAATTTTAAGAGACGGTAGAATGGAGCACCCTGGTGATAGAGTTCTCTGCAATCAGGCCATCAAAGATTCTTTGGAATTTCAAGCTCCGGTAAAGATAATTACTCTTTGCTCATTTGAAGAGTTCAAATTTAACTTTCATTTAGTTGAAACTTCCGGAAGGTTTTCAAGACACATCTCGCTACGCCTTGAAGAAAAACTACAAGATCAATCCTTATCGTCGCGAAATACACCGGCACCGTGCGATGAAGCTAGCTTTCTTCACTGGACTAGTGATTGTTGCGTACCGATTTATTTACTGCCCGTACATGGGCATTCCTGATCCAGTTCAAAATGATGTGGATAAATTTGTATTTATGGCTCCAGTATTAGTTGGAGTGTTTATGATTGCAAACGTCGGTGGAACATTGACAAGTAGTTTACTTTCGCTGTATTACAGAATGCGATTTAGACTGTAACTATTCAATATAAACTTATATTTTAAATATAGAACAGACTGATATATTTTGTTTTAGATGTTATGGGCTTAGTTGAATTCGATGCATTGATAGGCCGAGAAATTAAATTCGAAGAGATCGAAGATGAACCTACGCCCAAGAAATCGTCTTCCTGGATCAAAAGTTTCTTTAATTCCGAAAGGGAAGGGTCACTTTTTGAACTTGTGAGTTTTCAGTAGATAATCCGCCCAGGGATAGCTCGAGCATGTAAGAGAAATGTATTTCAAATAATTTTGCTTCTTTTCTTCTTTTTCCGCAGTTCTTATCAGTAGGTTCCAGTCACCAGGGTTTCTAGGATGAAAGTTTCTTCCAAAGTCGTTATTTTGAAGCTCGAAATTGAAATCCTGAAACAGACAATTTTCTCTTTCGCGAAACACGAGAATCTCCTTTTGCATGAGGTCAATAGTTTCGTGATTAAATAGCGGAGCAGCTCCGATGATGTACTCCAACGGATTCTTCGTATTCCTTGCTAATTTCTCGCGCTTCTCAACATAGCCGCTTAGATTATCTTGAGCATCGAGTGATCGAAATGAGCTGTGAAGGTTTTGAAGGTCGACAATCGTAAGTTGTCGACCTATCAGCTCTGGAATGGGCCCTATTTCTTGATCGAAAAGTCTCTCCATCGATGTTTTAAATATTCGAGTCTTCTTAATTCTAGTGAGCTCTACCCATCACGCGGTCATCATAAGGAAGTAGTCTCGTGACCTCTCTGAAGTAACAGCACTGAAATCATAGAAGACGCAGAGCCAAAATCAAAACAAAATGAGACGAGCTACTGGATGTCTGATGAATCAGTTAAAGCTTGTTACAATTGTTCAAAGACATTTACGACTCTCCGAAGAAGACATCATTGCCGGTTTTGTGGGCAGATTTTCTGTTGGAAATGCGCTCCTATCCGATCGTTTCCGATAAATAAAAGATGCTGTGATAACTGCCAGGCAAAAAAGAGCATCTTGAATCTCTCTAATGCTCGTTTTAGGAAGCCCAGATGGTGAATCAACGCAAAATTCAGTCAAAACCTATATCATCAACCCCACGAGTATTGAGAAATCGGTCTCTTTCCAAAGAATTCGAAGATTTCGAGTCCATTCCAGTTGGTTTCAACTCTTTTGAAGAAGTTGAAATCGAACTGCTTTACGAAAGCCTCAGGAATGGAGTTTTCGAAGCAGGACGAACTCATTTTTCTGGCGATGATATTATCACGAAACTGGGTTCGAAAACGACTGATCCGGAGGTGAAAGCAAAACGCATGATCGAGCTTGGTTTCCTTCTTGGCCCAAACTATGAGTTCTCGAAAGATGCGGTCTATAAATTCAACGAAGAAGGGACAATGAGTGGTGATCCACTTATGACCCGTCAATCTAGCCAGGAAATTCCGATCCGCTCACCGTCGAGTTCCATAAGCAGCTCGGCCGTAATCCCCGATATGCGGGAAGATTACTACGCAGAGTCTCCAGAAAGCACCACAACTGGAGTCCCAAAAGCTTGTTCTGACAACTGTCTGACTTGTATCAGCGATATGTACATGGACAATGTCAGCGAGAAGATGAAAACTGTTTCAGTCTACCGCCAATCGTCATCTAGATCAAGTTCGGCCAGTGAAGACTGGAGTCGATCAATTTCTGACTTTCATCGACGTCATTTTGAAAGCATGGTTGCTAAGTTGTTGTCAATCTTCTCCGATGGGGATATAAAAAAGAAATGGTCTGGAAACTTGATTGACGTCGTCCCGCAGATCGTCCAGAATATTTCCTCAGATTCTATAACCGCAGCTTTTGACGTCAGAAAGATGATCCACATTAAGAAAATAATCTCACCGAAAGAAGATAATATTGGGAATATTGAAAAGTTGGATGGCGTAATTTTCAGCGGGAAATTAATTACAGACACTTCGAAGAAACGAGAAACAACAGTGCGAAAAAATGTTTCGATTGTCCTGCTTGATTGCAAAATTGACTTCCGAATGGGTGGCAAAACGAGACTCGAAAGTTTGAGTGAACTGATCCGTCAGGAAAAAGAATTCCTCGATCTCTGCTGCAAACGAATATTAGAACGAAAACCCGACGTAATAATTTCCTCTCAATCAATATGCAACTACGCTCTTCAATTCTTCAGCCATCACAAATCCATCCAAGTCGTCGTAAATGTAAAGAAAACAGCTCTAAAGCGCATTTCGATCGCAACAGGATCAGACATCATCTCAAACCTCGAAGAGCTAAAAACCTCTAAAATCGGCCTCGCTCCTTCATTTGAAGAAAAACTCGTCTGCGGCGTGGACTCAATATTTTTCATCGAAAACGAAATACCTAAGAGCTTCGTCTCTTTGCTCGTTTTTTCTGACGATCTTGCCCAACTTGATTGCATAAAAGATATCATCATGTTTCTGTGTCTTTGTGTTCATCAAATGTCAATGGAAGTTCACTTTCTCAACTCGTTTCCCCTCGACGCCCCGACTATTTCAAAACGAAACGAGTTTTACTGTAAATGTTCTGATATAACAGGCCGTTTCTCTACTGAATATCAACGAGTGCCTTCCAAAGTCTCAAACGAGCAGAACTCAAGCCTCGTTTTTGAGTTGAGCAGTACGCCTGTGCAGCAAGCAAATAACAGCACGGAAAACTCCGAGTTCATTCGTTGCGGCTATCATACTTATCTCATAACACGGCGAAGCGAAGATCCCCTTCAGGAAGGGTTGAAGCGCTTTAATTTGAATCACCGAAGAGACATGATGAAACAACATCGGTTTAAAGTTCCAGAGCCAGAAGAAACATGCTACCACGAAGCGACAGATCCTGATGCCATTCTCGATCATGTAAGCAGGGATGATCTGATGGCGAGCTTTCGTGCAACTGGAAGTTATCCTTCAACGATTAGTAGTCAGCAAAAGTCAAACACCGTTTTCCCTGGAATAATGGCTCGATCCACCGTACATGATATCAGACCTTTAGTTGAGCCTTTTCCAATCCTCTTTTCTACCTTCTATCTCCGCCAAGGAGCAGTGATGACATCTTACTGTACCGCCCCTGTCGAAATTAGTCTCCACCCGTATTCTTCGACAGATTCGTCTGTCGCGGACTTTGTCCAGAATTTAATAGGACGGGAGTCAGCTGATAAGCTTTGCAAAGTCTGCACGAGGCCAGAACGAAATCATATCAAGCGAATTGTTTTTGGCGAAAAAGGGATTCATATCATCATAAAGGTCGTGCTCATCAAATTATTTATTTATAGCTTCATCTATGAACGATCGGCTTCAACTGTTCTAATATGATTGTACAATTTTGTTGAGCGCGATTAAAAGGAACTCCCCGATCAGAACCCGACTCATCAGTTATTAATGTGGAGCAACTCTTACGGAACGAACACGGCGATCTCGCCTATCAATGAAAAAATAGCAAATATGTCGATGGCGTATTTCATCAAGATTCTAACCGCACCTGCTTTCATGCCTTCTCAATTGTCGCGAATTGAAAGTTCATCCGTCTATTTCGCGAACAAAAACATGCTCTGCTCGTTCAAGCTGGTCACCTTTCGTCAATTCTTTGTCAAGTTGCCTTCGATTGCCTATTACGAAGATCAAGCTACTTATCCAGTGGAGCCAATTAAGACCGACCTCGAATTCGTTAGCAACGAGGGCCAAAAAGTATTAAATGAGCTCAACACCCAATTGAAAGAAGCGGAGCAGGAGCTCGCCGCAATTACTGTAAACAACTTTGACTGTGACGATATCATTATTTTCTACAACGAAGAACGGACTAGATTTGAAAATGTAGTGGCAGCGACAAAACAGGATTTGGAAAATCTTGGGGACTTAATTCCCTGGGAGACTTGCGCCAAATTCTTCTCGAAAGTATCAGAAATTGGTCAGACGCTGATTGGAATCATTCAAATGTGGAACATTCGCATTCAAGTCAAATTTGACAGCGTCCGGAAATCGTCCAACGAGGAAAATCCAGTGAGCCAAGATTTTGAAAGTTACGAAGAAATAAGCTCAGACGCGTTAGATGCAACGGACAAAGGAGCAACTCGAGACGATCATTTCGTCTCAAACCCGATTACCCCTTTCCTTCAGAAGCTTTTCTACAACAACGTCCATACAGTCGTCAGTCCCTTCCGAGGAAGCATTCACTATCTCCTCCAACACTCGAGCAAATACAAGGTGACTTCTTTTTCTGATTTACGAGCATTTAATTAATCTGAAAAAAGGTCACGGTGAGGGAAGAAGAGCCAAGTTCTGCTCTAGCCTTTGCACTTAGCTCCGCTAATGAACCATTTGCGCAAGTAGTCGACCGAGATCTCATAATCCACGCCGAGGCATCGACTGTTTCTCTCAAGGTCAAGGTCTTCAATCATTCCGAATTCGCCCAATTACGCAAAGCTATCGGTAAAAACAACCTTCGATCGGTAGCTTATCAATCAATTTCCAGGTTTCAAGGAAGAAGACTTCATTCATTCTCTAATTCGCTGCGAAACCTGGAAGTCTTCTGGAGGCAAATCGGGGGCAACTTGGTTCAGAACTCTTGACACGCGATTTCTAATAAAGCAGGTATGGAATTGTTTATTTACAGTAACTATATGCATTTATTTTGATCCCCAAACGAGTTCATTCGCCGATGGCTCAACAAAGACAGTCTGGCCGCAAGTCGGACAGTTTTTCTTAATTTTCCCAATTTCTTCCGTTTCGTTCTCTTTCATGATTGCACTCTGATCAGACTCAGAAATAGCAGCCGTTTTACTAGATGTTGCGCAGTTGCCCATCGTTTATAATCGGCGGCCTCTCGGTTGGCCGATTTGAAAAAGAAAAAAAAAAACGGCAATAATGGTAGTGAATCTTCTCGGCTTCGGTAGAAGAGAGGTCTCCCGGGAGCTCCCCTCTTGCATAGTAATTTTCAGCGACGGCGCTGCTTGTCAACCTCGATTTTCAGATAAAAGAAAAGGAGACTGCAACTGTCGAAAGCTTCGGGCCTAAATACATCAAGAACGTCATCAAAGGGGTTGAAAACCGACAGCCAAGTGCGATCGTGAAAGTTTACTCGGCTTTTAGGATTTCGCTGAAAACTCACTCTCGGTTTGTTTTTAAAGAAATCTTCAGATATGAAAGTATTTGTAGGAGTATTACGTCCAAAACAGACTTTGTTGTAATGGAAGACTTGTTCTGGAACATGCCGATGATTTCCAAGACTTTCGATCTAAAAGGAAGCCAGCGTAATCGAATGACGAAAGAGTCCCTCGAGAATAACGTCCTTCTCGGTAAGTTACGAATCAATAGCCCGAAATGGCTTAAAATCTGCTCAATTTTCAACTGTGGAAATCGACCTCTCGCTCAATAATTCATTCAGACAGTAATTATATCTCGTCAATGTGTCACTCGCCGATTCACTTGAACTCGGCTGCTCATCTCGTACTGATGAAGGCGTTGGCCAATGATGTTGATTTCTTGAGCCGCTCGCAGATCATCGACTACTCCTTGCTCATTGGCATTGATTACAAAAACAATCACATCGTCGTTGGCTTGATTGACTATTTACGAACGTACACTTGGGATAAATATGTCGAATCAAAGGTAATAAGTCTTGTTTTTATAGGCCTAAACAATATTTGCTAGTTTACGGGGTCTTTTGATTCGCTAAGGCAGAAGTTACGGGCTTCTGATTGGCTTAAACTCAGTTTCCCATAATTCAAGATCGATTAGCCAATCCCAAAACTCTTGTTTCGACATGGTGTTTTGGATCTGATTTCTAGATCTCTTTCGACACCTCTTTTCAGCTAAAATCATCAGTCTCCACTGCTGCGCCGACTATCATCAGTCCAGAGAATTACAAGACGCGTTTCATGAGCGCCATGAATCGTTACTTCCTGCGCTCACCGGAAATTCCACAGGACTACTCCTTCGCCTAAAACGTCTTTACCTACTTCTGTAAATGTCTCAATTCTTCAACAATTCCATTCAAACCAGATTATATTCAAACCAGTTCATTCTCTTCAAAAGCAAACCCATTCGACCTCAAAGCCGATACTTACCAAAAATGCTTTTGTTGTTGTTTTTTATTCTCACAAAAGAGTGGGAGAACTTCTTTTCACCTGCTGGGTGGGGCATTTGACGCATCGGCTTCGGATTTTTATTTACGAAATTTGATTTTTAAGAGCACTGCCAGAGATTTCGAAAGTTCGTTAAAATGCCAAACATCGACGATGAACCACCACAGAAGAAGCTCCGCGCTGAAATTCCTTCTGGTACCAGATCGAAATTTTTCCATCGACTCCTTAGAGAGTATAATAGATGGCGACTTTTTAAATGCGAGAAATTAGCAGAATTAGTTGTAAATAGTCGCATAAAGAATCACGGTACGTCATATATTTTGAAACAGAATATATGATTGATCATTTCTTTGATTATAGCCTATAATTTATAGGAGATTTTTCCTTTTGTAGAATTTCCGCTAGAATTTTGCCTTTGCAAGTATTTTTCAGATGATGCGTCAATCGCCCTCCTGGAAAAAGTATACGAGGTCCAGAAGGGGCTCGATGAAATCCACAGCAAGTCTGCCGAGGAAATCGTCGCAGTAGAGATCAAGTACAACAAGCTTCGAGTGCCACTGTACGAAAAGAGAGCCAAGGCTATTTCCGAGGTACAAAAATTAATTCTACGTTTCAAATTATTCGTAAAATTCAGATCCCTAACTTTTGGCTGACGACTTTGGTGAACCATCCTATCATCGCAGAGAGCATGTCAGAGCATGACGCGCAAATTCTCGAGCATCTGGAGACCATCGATGTCGTTGAGAACGAAGACATCAAGAGTGGCTACTCGATGGAATTCGTAAGTTCAATTACAGAGTCCTAGATTTATAATTGTCGGTAGAAATTCAAGAAGAACGCGTATTTCACGAACGAGAGCGTCACGAAGAAAGTGACAATGAGCGAGGAAGGCGACAACACCGTCGAGATCACCACGATCGACTGGACGGACAAAGAAATGCAGGAGAAATGTAAGCTGTTTACATTTTATACCATGGCTGACTGTGTAACTTAGGTGCTCCGGAAGCCGACGAAGGCTTTATCGCATGGCTACAGAGTGAGGTGGACCCTGAAGTCGACGAGATCGGAAACGTAAGACCTTCCTCCCAACATATTTATCATCCTGTGATTTAGCTGATCAAGGACGATCTCTGGCCGACTCCAATGGAGTACTACAACATGCAAGAAGAGTCCGATGAGGAAGACGAAGATGACGAAGGAGTTGGGGAATCTGGAGACTGCTAGGAAAATACATCTGTTCTTCCATTTACATGTAACGATTTGAATAAATCAGAAACAGCAAATGCTCAAATATGAAATACTATTTATTATCGGATGTTAGTTTCAAACAGCTTGGATTCGAGAGTTTTCTTCTGTTTCTTTTTTCTTGCAGCAAAGTATCCAAATGCATAAGCAAAGAATAAATCCGAATAGAAATAGGCCTAAATTTTGAGAAATTGAATTGAAATAAAAGGCACTTATGTGAGAGTAGACAGCCAAATTTTGATAAGTGGACTTTCTCGTATTGTACATTTTGTAGGTTGCTTTATCTTCTGCTTTTCACCTATCTTTATCTGATTTAGCTTTGGCATGCTTTGGATAGCTCTTTTACTGCTAAACAGGTGGACAATGCCGTTATCACGTAGAAAATTAGCATTAAAATTGGACAAGCTTTCTGCATGAAAATGAGATAATGCCATTAATTCAGCAAGATTTAGATAACAAGGAAGAGAATGAAAGATATTTCGAAAGATATGATTTTTCTTTTTGATGTTTGGGCGTTTATTTACAAGCATTGATAGTGAGTAAGTCAGTGTCTTTTCGTCTTACTGACCTTTATAAATATCGGCTTGAACAAAATCAATCTTGCTTCTTGGCGAGACGGTCTTGGCGACGGCGGATAATCTTCTGCTTATTTCGGAAGCGCTCAATCACGTTCGTGAAGATTTTCTTGTACATCGGTCCCCGTTTGCAGCCGTCCATCTCTTGAATGATAAAACGATTCGTTCTTCGACCAAACTAGTATATTTTCGTTAGAAAAGAAAGGTTAAGGAAAATCCGACTTTCGCGAGAATGGATGGACCGTCGTCGAGGTCGAAATTCTTTCGGTAGCGTTTTCTTGCTCTTGGTTGCGGGTTTTCAGAGGTGACTTTACAGTTTTCAGGAGATGCTTCAAGTGATTAGCTTTACTTCTCTCTAAACGTTCCTGAAAATAGCGAGTGCTCGAACTCGGCATCCTGCGCCTGCCTTCTTCTCCTCGTTGTGTTCGTCGCTTCCTTTTGCTTTCTTCTTTCGCAAGTCTGAAAATTAGCGATTAACTTACCGTAAAACTTGTTGAATCGATTCGAGCAAGTCTTCTTGTGCAATTCATCTCCACTGAATCGTTCTGGCATGTACTCGGAACACCATTTCACTGTCTTCTTCTTCAAGTCTTTTTGAGGTTATTTTACATTTCCAAAAATAAAACAGATGGGATATAAATAACTTTTCCTTGAATTTGTGATTTTGAGCTCTCAAAAGTTTTCTTTCCAAAAGCGAGCGCAAGAAAAACTGACAAAAGTCTTTTTCCTCCAAGCATATTCTTTTCTCAAGAAAGTTTCTTTATGAATGAACAAACAAGAAATCGTGAGTGCTCAAGATGCTCGCTAGGCGGCGTTAGAAAGGTCGTGAACCGGGATTGCTTCTAATCTACGCGGCACGAGATGCTCACACTCGTCTCGCTGGAACCAAGAGCTCGGAAGTAGGACCAAAGAGCGCAGCTCAACCAAGACCGCAACAGACGCAAGAAAAAAGGGAAAACGAATTCAAACCTAGGCTCATCAGTTTCTACAAAATAATTAAATATTGATTTATGCTGAAAAAATTAATTAGAATATAACTTCAGAATTTTAGGCGTGACTATTATTTACGGAAGTTTTTTAAGATCAAAAACTTAATATTTTTTTTTATCTTTCAAAAATCTTTAACACAGTAACTGGTACGTAAACTCTTTTGATAACTTTTGAATTCCGCGTGAATCGCCTAACTTTGGCCGAAGTTCAACTTCATGCCTCCGAAATCGCGGCTTCTTCTCGCTCCAGCGTTTAGCTCGCGGTTTCCCGCCACCCAAAGAAACGCTAAAGAGAAATGTCAGAGTATTTAAAAAGGATGTAAGCAAATATAAATGTCTTTGAAAGTTCATAAATCGAGTCAACCCAATTTAACTCTGAGTGACGGTATTTTTAAGCTCTTCCACCTGCAAAGACTAGTCTAGTTTAGCAAGGTTATTTAGATTTGTACAGTGTCTTTCTTCTTAACCCTCAGATTTCTATAAGAGATTTTTCTAAGAAGTAAGACTCCTGACTTGACATTAGAAATTTATATTTTATTGTTCTTCTTCCAAATATTTCAGGCTGAAGCTTCGATTCCTGGACGGATCAGACAGCAATCGTCACAATCACGATCTTGAGTTTCTGGAGGCTATAATTCACTTACAGTAGTAATTCACTTTGTAGTATTTTAAGGATAATATTCTCACAATGCCGCAAAGTTGCTTCCAGAAAGTCGCGATCCAGCCAACAACCAACAAAATTGCACCATACACAATCAGTTGGGCACCTTTTTTAATATAACTTTCTTAGTATTACTATGTTCTATTACCAATTGGTAGGCCAAAGAAGGAATTAATAGGATCGGCTTTTTCTAACTCCGACAAGGTGGAATGGGGTAGTCTATAATAATTTTGATAAAATCGGTTTATATCGACGTCGGTAACCCTCATTCTCTTCACGCAAAACTGCTGGAAAGCCTGCATTTACACAAAATCAAGTTAAATTCATTTCATCGAGACAAAGAAACCCTGACATGCTTATTTTCTTTGATGGGATGTGTTTGTTGCATTACAGAAAAATATATGGCGCCTTCAATTTTTCAGTGTATTTATTAGATTCTAAGACTTTCAGGTATAAAAATAAGAATTGGCTTGAAAATGATAAATGTGTAGGGTTATAAGATGAAAACTTGACCCGTTCTTCTAGCTTTGTTTAGGGGTCTTATGATACAGTTTTAGAAAGCTCAAAAGCTGAGCTTTCATTTGGGCACAATTTCAAGTGGTCTGGGTCATGCCCGCAAGGCAATTTATGACACCGGAAGTTCTGAAATCGGCACAAGAGCTCTTCAATCGATTTTGGGTGCCGGGGTTCACTCGAAATGGCTTGAAAGCAGGCGTTTTAGAAAGCTCATCGTCTAAGCTTTCTGAAAATCCAATAAAATACTGCTGACTCGCAACCTAGTGGCCGCTAGAGGCGCTAGAATAGTAAATTTTACGAATTTTTAGGTAGGAAACGCGATAATAAGCCTGAAATTTCTACCAAATTGGCAAATTCTAGTGCAACAAATCCCATTTCCGGGGCGAAAATCGAGTTTCTAGCGCCCCTAGAGGCCGGTAGGTGGCAAGTCAGCAGTATTATATTGGCTTTTCAGTAAGTTTAGACGATGAGCTTTCTAACGCGACTACTTTCGAGCCATTTCGAGTGAACCCCGGCACCCAAAATCGATTGAAGAGCTCTAGTGCTGATTTCAGAACTTCCGGTGCCATAAATTGCCTTGCGGGCATGACCCAGACCACTTGAAATTGAGCCCAAATGAAAGCTCAGCTTCTGAGCTTTCTAAAACTGTATCATAAGACCCCTGAACAAAGCTTGAAAAACGGGTCAAATTTTCATCTTATAAGTTATAACCCTATAAATGTGATAAAAAAGGGAGCTAAAATTTTTCTAACTGGGCGGCAACGAGGGATGAATTTAGTGTCAGTAAGCGGGAACGAGCCAGTCTCTGTAGTACAAAATAGAAATTCGCTATAAAATTAACTTTTTCTGCAGAAGATCACTCGATTTTCGGTGAGAGCAATCCAGCTTCAGTTGCATATCCAGACTCGAGAGTGAACAATGAATCTTCTGATGGCGAAGGAGCTAGAAAAGGAAAGTCAAATTGATAAGAAAATAAATGACAGTTACATGAAGGGAGTTTTCTTGGAAGAAGACTTGTCAGACTTGCACCACTATTGCCGGTAACAGCCTGTTTTTCAGCCAATCCATACGGAAAGTTGCGCAAATCGCGGGTCGAGCGAGGTTTTGCAAGTGGTTTCGTTTGAATGTAGATTCCATCGCTTCCTAAAATCTTCTGCAAGTTCTTCGGAGATTTGTGGTGACTCGGCGATTTAGCGACTTTTGCATTTGGTGAGCTCTGAATGGGTGCAATAATCTTCGCCGATTTCGGAGTAAACGCCGCTGCAGTTGGATTAAGAGACGAGTTTTCCGCGGTTATTTTGAACTCATCTAATTTTTCTTGCTGCGGAAGTCTTTGTTGAGGTCAATTCCGAGCTCCTAAAGTTATTTATTCCTTTATTATTTATAAAAACGGTACGTTGAGGTTAACGACGATTTGTTTCTCCTCTGGTACAACGATTGGTGTGTTCAAAATTGGGTTCAAAGAATTCTTGTAAAGATCGAAATGAGTTTTTCCGATGGAGCTTCTGTTTAAGCTAAATTGGATCGTAAATTACGTAAAAAAGGGGCATTATTACTTTTCTAGGTATTCGTGGACTTTTTCCCTCATGCTGATTGAAAGAGAGCTCAATTGTTGAAGAGCCTTGAAAGCCCGCTCCTGAGCTGTAGATGAAGAATCACCGAATCTGAAAGATCTCTGTCATCGTTGTTGTTGTCAAAAAGTTCTTACACAGAATTCTCCGTCTTTCCATCATCGCCAATTTCAACGCCATTCGCTGCGAAATCAAGGTCTCGGTCGATCTTAGAATTTTCCGTTTTTGCATCGATGTACTCTTCAATCTCTTGCTTGGCGAGTTCGACGTTTTCTGGCAATCCAGTGACGAGGAAAATCGGCTCGCCTGTGCGACTTGGCGTCGCAATGTGAGTGCGAGTTTGCTGCTGGATTTTCTTGATGGTAGTTCCTCCGACGCCGACTACCAGACCGACAACTTTGTATGGCACGCGAACCTGGGTTTCATTAGGGATCATAGATGTAATCTACTTTGACCTTACTTTGATAGTGATGGCGTCTTCCGAGGGTTCAGGATTAAAACGCTGCGAATAGCGAGCAGCACGAACGGCATTGAAATGTTCAACCGCTTCCCGAATCTCTGTTGCTGCCTTAGCGACATCTTCTTTCCGGCCTAAGATTCAATGTCGGTTTATATACTTTAGTGATCGGATTACCTGTTATGACGAATTCTGGCTTTTCAAATCGACTTGGCGTCTTGATGTACGTTTTGGTCTTCTGTCGAAGATATTTGATTTTCATGCCTAGAATATATGGTTTTTCGTTGTTAATAAACGCTTGACCGAAATAACCTCCTTTCCCGATAATTTCAGCGATGTAATCCGCACTTGGCACTCTCACAGTCTCTGTCACACTTTGAGTTTCTTTCGGTGGCTCTAACAGCGCGATATCGTTTGCCTGACTGCCTCCAACAAGTCCCAATGAATACATTTCTAGGGCAAGGCGCATCATTTTCTGAGGATCGCTTTTTGGAGCCTTCTCAGAGTCCCTTGAGCAATAATTTAAATTTTGAAACTATTCTCTTTTTATCGAAAATGATCACGAAATGAATCTTCAAAATAAGTTGAGTCTTACTTTTCTTCGCCTTGATAATTCTCAAAAATCTCTGCCATCATCCCTGCCGAAAAAAAGATCCCTGCTTCAAAGAAAAAGCTAATCAGCTGGACTCAGTTACGTCGGAATCCGTCCAATTACAAGGCAAGCTCAGGAAGATACTTTTCCGTGGCATTTTTCGAGATTCTGAAGTTAGCCCACCTCTATGTCTGCCCGACTGACTGCAGAAGTCGGATTTGGAAAGAATCGACTTGATGAATGTTTGTGTCTCTAGAAAGAAAAATTCGGAGCTATAAGATGATGGTTCTCATGTCGTCATCATGAGAACGAAGCATCAGTTCGTTTTTCAGTAGAAAACTACCGGCGTTATAATGTCACCCTATGATTCCTCTTCTGCTACTTTTTGGCACTGCTCTTGCCTCATGGCAAGATGTGGTTGCTTCGTCCCGACTACCAAGAGCTGAAGACGGCTCTATCGGAGTTATTCCTGAGAACTATCGGGTAGAGCTGACGATCAACGATTTGAACTCAGAGAACTTCGCTTACTCAGGCGTGGTGGAAGTTGATTTCGAATGGAATTTGGGCGACTTTGAATACCTCGCGCTCAACGAAGAGAATTTCTTTTACAAGTCAGTGACACTTGATGGACAAGCTGTCGAGCACTTTCAAGAGGGTGGATTTATTTTCATCACTATTCCCAGTAAGAAATCTTCAAGAATAGTTTTCTTTATTCTTCATTTTAGTTGGATTCGAATTCCAGGAAAAGACAACTGTACGAATTGAGTTTACTGGTAGATTCGATTACGTGACTTCTGCAGGCTGGAATGAAGGTTTCTTCGTCGACTACTACGTTGGCCCTGACGAATTGACCTACAGCAACATTCTCGTCACTCAGTTCGAGTCTTGCGGTGGCCGCAAAGCATTTCCAATGTTTGACGAGCCGGAGTACAAATCGACTTTTGACCTAGAAGTTACGCTCTACGGAAATGAAGGCTACTACGCATTATGGAACACGGATACGATCGATGTTATCCAACAAAATGATTCTTCCGTTACTTACGTGTTTGATCGCTCGCCAAAGATGAGCTCGTATTTGTTCTCCTTGTCTGTCGTTAATTACGTTTACGTGGAAGGAACTGCTCCTGAGACCGGCGCCAGAATGCGCGTTTATTCTCCCAAGTGGGTTGAAAATATAGAATTTTCCAGCTTCGCTCTTGATGCTGGAATTGCTATTCTCGATGGCTTGAGCGATTTCTTCGGCTACAACTATTCAGATGCCTTCCAAGGAGTGCCAAAGCTCGATCAAATTGGATTCCCCAATAGCGGTCTCGGAGCGATGGAAAACTGGGGACTAGTCACTTATGATTACACCTGGCTTTATACAAATACGGACAAGATGACTGAGTTCTGGACTTCTGACGTAGCAGCTACTGTAGCTCATGAACTGGTTCATCAATGGACTGGGAACTTGATTACTGCAGAGTGGTGGGACGAGTTGTGGGTAAAAATGAGAATTAAATCTTCCTTCTATCATCTAAATTGTAGATAAATGAGGGCTTTGCAGAATGGGGAGGAGCTTTTGGTCTCCAATTTGTCGACTCGAGCATTGCCTGGGAAAATTACTTGTACTTGTACGATTCGGACTGGGCGTACTGGGTGGATCAAACGCGAAACTCACGTCCGATCGTGAACAAACAGAACAACGACGGCTACATTGTGGATACATGTGAAGCTATCGACGCCCAATTTGACGGTATCGCTTACTCTAAGGGAAGTCTAATAATCCGAATGATCATTGACGTAATCGGCATCGATGCATTCCAAGGAAAAGTTCGAACTTTGATCGACCTTTCTCTCATAATTTCAAAATTTCTGAACTCAAAAAACAGCCGGTATGCAAAAATACCTCAACGAGAACAAGTTCACCAACCCTACTACCGAAACTTGGTTCAGCTACATCTCCGAATTCGTCGATCCAGCAGTCCTTCCAGAGGGAAAAACGTTTTACGAAACCTTCAAAGGCTACTTTCTCCAGATGGGTTTACCCTTACTTACCTTCAAAGACTCCCACGAAGCTTTTGCTGAGCGATTTTTATGGCAAGATACTGAGGTCACTCTTCCTGAGAGCTCGTTGAATTACAACTGGAACATTCCTGTTAAAATATTGAAGTTCGACTCTTGCTCCACAGAAATTCAGTGGTTAACAGAAGAAACAATGGCTGCCGATCGAACCCTCAACTTCGGAAAAGAACGCATTGGCCGCGATTTCTGGCCGTTTCCCGACTCACGATCCTACACAAGAACTTCTTATGGCTCTATTTCCAACTTCAATGAATTGATTACCCAGTTAATGACGCAGGTTTCTTGTCTGGAGACCGTTGAAAACATCCAACTGCTCACCGCAGGAATGATTATGGATCAGTTTTACCTCGCCACTGCTTTAGGACATCGAGAACACTTCCATACGAATTACGGTCACGTGATGGAGCCAACGAGGTTGATGGCCATTGCTGAAATTAGCCACCGGCCACAGGACTGGATCGTTTGGGCGCATGCTGGTACTGTGTTTGACCGAATCGTCGAGGATGAAATTTATACTCACAGAAGTGGTGCGAAACTCGTCCGATTCAGCTCCAACCGAGCCTTGTTTGAAGATTACATGCAGTCCCTTGCCAGCACGAATAGATACATGAGCAACGATCTTTCTGGCTCGGATGAAAAGAAAATGGCTTCGCTGTACACAAGCTGGGCGTGCAACTACGGATCGAGCTGGTGCCTTTCGGAAGCATCGAAGCTCGCACTTGACGTTGTCAACGGCAACGGAGACTGGCGCGACCTTGACGTTCACATCAGACTTCAGGCAAAGCACTTCGCCGTCCGCGGCGGAACTCAGCAAGTCATTGACCTCTTGGTGGACGAAATCTACAGCGGAAACCAACGCGAAATTATCAGGAAACGGATTATGGAATCATTACATAAGAAATTTCAAAACTTATCAAAGGCGGGATTTATTTCCTTTGACGCAAGAAATATACTTATTTGACTTTGAATTTCGGATAATTCAGTTTGAAGTAATCTTGAAGCCCTCGCATACCTCCCAGCTAGCCATGCCGCGAAAATTGTCGAAGTTTTCGAATATATCTCAGGTGGGAGCATCATTAAAACTCAAATCATCTTTTTGACAATTATTAATAATTACTATAAAACAAGACAGACTGACAACAAGGAAGTCCCTCTCTTAAATTCTCCATTTATCGTAAAATCACTCAGTTTTGTCACGTGTGATTTTCAGACGACTATCCCAGCTACGTCAGTGAGTTTGCGATGAAGGCAGCCGAGCAGCCTGAGATCCGAGACATCGTCATTGATTTGTTCATCGACGACCAGGCAATCATCGAAGTCATCAAGGAAGAGGGCGTCATCAACTCCGTCGTCAAAGGCTTCTGCGAGTACATGCAAGAAACAAATGCACAAGAAAGGGTTTAAACATTTAATTCAATAATCATTTGACATCCTCTATGATTCCAAAATTGAACTCTCAAAAGACAAGCAGCGACTGAATGACTTGAAAGACTCGATCATCCGCTGGACCGGTCCACTTTCTCTTTTCGACCAAAGAGCATTCGATCATTGCGAAACTCAGTTGCTCAAGAACCAGAAGTGGATGGACGAAGCTGGAACTGAAATTATCTACTGGCTTCGATTTCACTAAACTTAGAAAAAATAAAGACTATTTTCAGAGAAAATACCGAAAAACATCAATTAGACTCGGGAATAAAAGAAATAATGACCTTGGTTAAACGAAAGCTTCCTGTCTGCCCCTTTTTGTGTGAAGAAAAATTCTTTGTAGAGGCAAATTCTAAATGTTCACACGAATCGTTCCGTTGCTCTGAGAGGGGAGAAATTTTTCTTTCTATTCATGCGCCAAGATAATGGTCGAGTTATTAGGCATTGATGAAAGGACTTTTCAGAAGTTTATTTGACTATTCATCTTTGAACACTAAAACAAGGCACATGTCATAACTGTAATATTTCAGAATCTACCTATTAATTATTATAGCTTTGTAAAACCGATAGAAGCCGATTGCTAAGAGCATTGACCCCTCTTTGAATTTTTTAATCAGCATTCAAATATTTGAAAACTTGCAGCGTTCACTACTGGGAAAGTGGAAATCTCTCTCAGGCAGGGTTCGGTAATTTGAGCTCACGCTAAAACTCAAGGAAACAAAGCTTGAGACTCACGTTTTTAATTTGAGTTTTGAGAACTCAGAGATGAGAGCTCAGGTGAGAAATCAATTCTGGCGATCCATGAGCCAATCAAGGAAGCGCTCGCTTAATTTGAGTTTTGAAAACTCAAAACTCTCAAATCTCCCAAAAACTCAAAACTTTCAAAACTCTCAAATCTTCTCAAAATGATTTCTCAAGTCACTTTGAGTTCTCAATTTGAGGAAATTTGAGCGTCTAGCCAAAATGAGTTTTAGCTTGAGCTCAAATTACCGAACCCTGCTCTCAGGGGCTATATAAAATACAATCGTCCGCAAATGCTACAACTCTGACGATTGTGGGAGAAGGTCCCCTCCTCTTAGGCATAGTAACTGGCTCAAATGGCGGACATAGTCCCCAGGAGAAGTAGTGCAGTGGTAGCACACCGGTTCATGAACACGGAGGTCCCTGGTTCGACCCCAGGCTTCTTCAATACTTTTCACTCGCCTTTGCCTGATCCTACAAACTGGTGAAGACAGTGGGTTGTCTAGGTAGCCAAAACAAACCCTAAGCTGAGATTGACAAAGGTTCACTCAGTAGCTCAGGAGAAGCTGAAGGTTGGGAGGGTTGGTAGGCTTGTAACGGTTGGGGACCGTGGCACCAGACAAAGAACCAAAACCCAAGGCGGCATATGTAAGACGAGTTGTTAGAGCAGTTACTAGGGGGAGTTGTGGGAGAAGGTCCCCTCCTCTTAGGCATAGTAACTGGCTCAAATGGCGGACATAGTCCCCAGGAGAAGTAGTGCAGTGGTAGCACACCGGTTCATGAACACGGAGGTCCCTGGTTCGACCCCAGGCTTCTTCAATACTTTTCACTCGCCTTTGCCTGATCCTACACGATGTTTTCTCACGCATCTTGCCAAAAAAAGCTGCAACTATCGCTTCAATTAAGCTAATTCTCGCAGCGGCAAGAAAAATATTTGCAGATGATTTGGACTTTTCATGCGGCGGGTTATGTAAGTTGACATTTGCTGATGAAAAATTGGTTATAATGAGAAAGTACGAAAGGGCAGTTTGAATGGGTAGGATTAGTGCACTCGTAAATCATGACAAGTCGTCAAACCAGAAGAATTCCTTTGAGCTTTTCTGCAACAGCGAAAATTACCAAATATAAAAATCTTCCCTAACAACAGATTCACCTTCTTTATCAATAGAAATATGCATATTTAACCCGTCAATATACATTTTCCACCCAAAAATACCCTTGCCAAGTTTTTCAAAACTTGAAAAAGACTCAAGTTGAAACTCAAGGACTTGGAAAAATTTAAAACCGTAAGCCTGGCTTAGAGCCCTTTCGCCAATTCGAGCGTCAGTTTCGGCCGATGCTTCAAATTTTTTGACAGTTATCGACAAAGGGCCCCTGGACCAGGGTTCGGTATTTTGAATTCGTCGAAAAATTCGCCAATACACGCAGCGAATATGCTCTTTTCTAAAGCGAATAAGCGATTGTTCGCGAATCGCCTATTCGGGCGAATATTCGCTCGAAATTGAGCGTACAGCCCTGGATTGGCTGAACTCCAGGGCCGCGGGTGAGAAAAGGGTGGCGCCCGCGAGCTATAAGGTTATTTAGGCGGTGAAGATAAAATTATAGGCTGCGCAACGTCAAAGCCCGACCAATCAGAGCGCGCGGCAGAGCGAATATTTGAGAAATTCGCTGAATTTCTGAAAAATTCTCCGAGAAAATTCGATTTCATTCGTTGTGAATATTCGCTCAATAGAGAATATTCGTAAACGAATAAATAGAAATTCAAATGAAAAACGAATAATTTCGCGAATTCAAAATACCGAACCCTGCCCTGGACAGCCCACTCTCTTAAAAGTTCATTAATTGGACTTTTTGAAATGCGTGAAAAGAGGGCCTTGCTGGACTGGTCCGTATTTTAATGAGGGGCAGATCTGTTAGAAAAACTTATACTGTAGCTCGCAGTTGAGGACCTGAGCTTGAGGACCTCAAGTTGAGGTAGCGAATTTGTGATGGAAAACTTGCTCCTTGATTTTGGAACCGGAAACGTTTGGCCTTGCAAATAACGGGCTAAATAAAGACGCCAAATTTGGAATTTAACAACGTGACGGTTGGCATTTGACGGGAGCGGAAATTTCACCTTTCGAAGGATACACATTTCCAAAGATGGATCGGCTCCCTCTTCTTTCCAGCGAATAATTACCCTCGCTGCAAGACCTATTAATAATTCAAGGGTGGTCCCTAAAGCTCCTGATGGCGATTGATTGTTACGATGAGTTTTATTAAAATGGAGCACGTGGATTGTTGTGATTTTATAGCCGAACCTGAACATACTAAAAATCGAGGAAAACTATTTCCAGAGGTACTTCTGGCACCTAGCCGGAATAAAATCCTGCCAAATTGGATTAAATTTAGGGAAGTAAATTTTTCTCGGCCAAGAATATTTTTAATGAGCAGGAAATATTAAAGCCACTTGAAGTCGATCGCGTCAAACTCAAATTTTTAAAAGAAAAAATGAATAGAAAATCTTTCTGAGGTCATTTTACTGTCTGTTACACGGCTCTAGAATGTCTAAATCCGAGGATCTGGGTTTAAGAGCCTGCAATTATACTATTTTTTATAAGTTTGACGCGTTTCCGTCTTGTCAGTGGCTTGTAAATATTAAGTTCTCACACCAATTTAAAGCCGCATAATAAATATGCACTCACATTCTTTACCGACATGATTTGGCAGGATTAAACTTGAGTTCAGCATAATCTGAGGGCAGCAAGTCAAAGACTGTCGCTACTGTTTATTTTGAATAAGCGAGGGATAGTAACTCTTATGTCAGATCAAGCAGCAAACCAGTCAAAAATTCAAGAGTAGGAAAATACAGTAACAGAGCAGGTAGAAAGATCGAAACGCGAACCGAAGCTTATCATAAGCCCATAATTTTTATAATTGCGGTCTTAGCGCAATTACCTCTCTGGCCTAAATGACGCTTTTAAAATAATTCTAGTGTCCGCTGAATTCTAAACAAAATGAGAATTGACTCCTTGTAATGTTTTTTCTATTCAAAAATTCACCACTGACCGCGTAAGATAGACACGCCCGTAACAAACTACCGAAATTATCCTTCTTCTGAAAGTTCGATTACCAATAAAGTGGCTTTCAAACTTTCTCATCGTAAAAATCAAAGATCGGGAGAACTTTGGTAATTGACGCAAATTGATTTGGTTGACATTATCGAAGGATTAATAAATTCAAGAATCATCTCATTGAACCTTTTTATTCAATAAAAAGAATAACCGATAACGCACTCATAATCAATGAAACCATCAACAAATACTCGCTCACTGTTTTCCCCACTTTATGGCGGCAATAAAGTGCCTAATTGGTAGGGGAAATCACTAATAATTAAGCTTTTTTTCTAGCTTAGAAGGGTGAGGTTATAATACAGATTTAGAATCCCCAGAAGCTGGAGATCATTTTGACTATTGATAGTGGGGGGTCAACTCGTACCCTGAGGGCATTTAGGCCTCTCTGAAGCCCCAAAATCCGGCCAACTTCGGAAATTTGAATTTTTGAACGCCCAGACCGCCCCTTTAGAGCCAGCGACTGTGCTAGAATTGTAGCCCAGGCTCTGACGGTCATTTTGAGATATAGAAAAGTACTGAGACCCGGGGGTTCCTGAGGAGCTAGAGGCTCTTGAAGTTCGGGAACTCGACAAAAATTGAGTACTTTTTCACAAAAAGTACACCATTTGTGTCACAAATGCCTCCAAAAGACTCTTTATCTATGTTTCTTCAATAAAAAATGTTTTAGGAATCATTTGGGGTCATCCGAGGTCAGATCGGGTCACTCATAACAGTTTTCTAAATTCTGCATAATTTCTGACCTAGAGTGACCTCGGATGACCCCAAACGATTCCTAAAACATTTTTTATTGAAGAAACATAGATAAAGGGTCTTTTGGAGGCATTTGTGACACAAATGGTGTACTTTTTGTGAAAAAGTACTCAATTTTTGTCGAGTTCCCGAACTTCAAGAGCCTCTAGCTCCTCAGGAACCCCCGGGTCTCAGTACTTTTCTATATCTCAAAATGACCGTCAGAGCCTGGGCTACAATTCTAGCACAGTCGCTGGCTCTAAAGGGGCGGTCTGGGCGTTCAAAAATTCAAATTTCCGAAGTTGGCCGGATTTTGGGGCTTCAGAGAGGCCTAAATGCCCTCAGGGTACGAGTTGACCCCCCACTATCAATAGTCAAAATGATCTCCAGCTTCTGGGGATTCTAAATCTGTATTATAACCTCACCCTTCTAAGCTAGAAAAAAAGCTTAATTATTAGTGATTTCCCCTACTAATTGGGTTTTATCTGCACTTGTAGTCTACTTATACGCACTCCAACGATTCATCAATCCGCTCTACCGTTTCCCCAATCTCATGGTCAGTTTTGAGGACCTCGGCGCAAATCGGAAAATCCTGGGGAATGAACTTTGGCCGCGAATAAATATTTACAAAATTATCCGAGGACGTGCTCGCTCGAGCATTTTACACGTTTTTCTCCTCCTGAATGGCAATGCTAAGTTTACTCAGTGACTACGAAATTCCTCGAGATTCAAGGATTCAAGCGGTATTTACCCCGGCGAGACTCATAAAAGTACACGCAACTTGAGGTGCCTCTGACATTCACTACCGTAAATTCCAGCGGGCGCGGAGCATCAAAGTTATTCACTTATTTATTGAGCCTCCTAAATGATTTAAATAAATGTCATTTTTACATCTGGGGAGGGACTCTTTGGTACATTAGCAGTAGTAGCCACAGTAGCGCTAATCCTAAAATGAATTATTTTCAAGAACCGTCCCAATTTCTTGCTTCTGATGAGGATCTAAGTATTTTCAGGGCACTCTTCTTTTTTGAGCAGTTTATTTATCGCAGGCTAAGTAAATTTAGGGCAGCTCGTCAAAGGCGTTACCGAAAAAAAGCGTGACATGTGGGACAAATGAAAATTGTTTGTACACTCGAAAAGGGATAAACTAGGACAACTCTTTCTATCAAAGGCGGCGATTGAGAGCACCTGCTCTGCGTTCAATTCGATTTCACTCTTCAAAGTTGATTGATTTTGGGGATTTTTGTTATGTGTTTTATGGAGGCAGGGATTAGTTTGATATGAGTAGAGGATTTGAATAAAACTAACAAGAGGTCAACAAGAAGAGAAGGCGTATTTGACATGATGACAGGGTACAGAGTGCCTGACATTCTCTTCAAGAACTGTAGCTTTAGCTGAGAAAGACTGTCACTCAGGAATAAAACAGTAATAAAAGAAAACGTATGCGGAATTCGAGTGAGAAGTGCTTGTGAATTTCGCTCCTGCCAAGTGTCTGTCTCGAGTGACTTTTGAAATTGTTATATTCCGAGACTTGTTGTTCGCAATTGAATGAATTCTGGACATTTGAATGTGCACCTGGAGCTAGAAGTGACCCCTTCGACCTAGGTTGCGTTAGTGCTGTGGAATGTAACTAGAAATGTTTGTTTTGGGTTGTTGCAAAACATGTTGCTAAACGGGTTTTGATTTTTTAGAAGGATTCATGAAAATCTCGGATATTCGCAGACATTTGAAAACATTTAGGGCTATTCAAAGACATCTAAGAACATTCAGAGACATTCCGAGACATCAAGGGACATTTGCGAGCGTTTGAGGACATTCGATCTTGATGTTTATATTAGTACCTTGTAAAACCGGCTGGTGATTTATCGACTAAGAGGCTTAGAAAACTGCTGGAGCTAGAAAAGATTATCGAACTCGACATTTTGGAAAAAGAAACGGGGCCATGTTCGATCGCCCCTGTCATTCAAATTTTCTTGTTTCAGTTTTTTTGTTACATGGGAATCAAGCGGGCTGGATAAAACAGATCGCAGCAGGAGCCGCAATGAAACAGCGTGGACTTCCTCAATTTCAAAAAACCAGGTCACTTGATGCGATCGACGGGACCTTTCGCCCCGGCAGGTCATTTTAGCTTTTAGGGCCGGTTTTGATTTGTAGAAAGGGCGATCAATCAGATGGACAAAGATTTATAATAAAACGCGCGGCTATCTGAAGCTCTGAGAAAAGCTTTGAAGTGGGTAGGACTTTTTTGTCCAAAAGCCAAGTTTGTTTTACTTAGAACTCAGACCAGATAAAGAGCTGTACATTCGGAAGATAAGCTTTTCAAAGAAAAAATCGTATAAACTTGAAATTTGAGGTCCCTGTTAGTAAGGCGGTCCAAGTTTCTGGTCGGTAATTGGCCAAGAAAAATAAGAGAGAGGCGATTTTCTGGCAGTTAGATTTTCTGGCAGTTAGACTTTCTGGCAAAGGCGATTTTCTGGCACTGCCAGAAAATCTAACTTCCAGAAAATCGCCTTTGCCAGAAAATCTAACTGCCAGAAAGTCTAACTGCCAGAAAATCGCCTTTTTAGTATGCATATTATTTGAAACTCTGCAAAAAACTCTTTTTAATAAAATCATTTATAAATTCGAAAAACTGGTGATTATCACACAAATTTCATTCCGGAGCAGTTTCAGCAGGAGTTTGCACCTTTCGACGGGAGCGTTTGATCTAAAAGCCGACTATTCAGGGCGCTAAAAAAGACGACGAATTTGGAATTGAAATTTCTGCGCTAAAAATAGAATGAGGGCAGCATCCACAGTTCGTTCTTGCTATTTTCGGAGTAACAAACGGGTTAACAGGCAGCTGAAAAGTTAGATTTTGATTTTTCTGAGAAAATGGAGGATGATGAAGAGAATGCGGATAGAAAAATGTTGAAACTGACACCGATTCCACCACCTTCTGAGGAAGAATTTTCAGGATAGTTTTATAACAAGTTCAGTTTCAAAAAGCATTTGCGTGCGCCATTATCTCAGTGGGTGCTCACTGTGACCAAGTACTCGAAATCAGATGCAAACACCGGGTGATTAACACAGAAATTCCCGGAAGAAGCTGATTTATGTTTGCTACAGCTATTAATCTTGAATAAATGGGTCAAAAGTGGCCTTTGTCAATGAATTTTTATAAAACGTGTAAGAAAACATTGGTGGTACTGTCGAAAACCCTGCCTTGGTAACGATTCAACGAAACTCAAAAAACAATGCATCCTTCCTCGTCAAAGTTGCTTCCAGATCATTTGCTTTCAAAGCAAGAAAAGCGAAGAAAACGATTCTGCATTCTAAAAACGACGATCCTGACTTCCGTTTCAAGATGCGAGTCGAGTGTGAAAATCAATCATATTCGAAAGACGCTTCATTCCGCTGTTCAACGAAGATTTGGATGTTTGCAAAAGTTGTTGATATGGAATCTCCTCGTTTTTGAGCTCAGCAATTGGCGATGTGGAAAGCTAGAGTCGAAAGTAGACATTCACATGAATAAATGTCTGAAGAACGATGCACTCGAAAAGAAGCGATTACAGTACGCAACGACTGTGTCCATGCTCAACAGGAACCAAATTCGCCCAAAAAGTCAACAGACAATTCGTGGAGAAGTTCAAAAAGATTCACAACTTTCGAGCATGGAAAGAGGCAATCTTTTCACGAAAAAGGAGATGAGACGTCTTGCTCAGAATTCCAGAAAGTACGAAAGAAAAATAAAGGCCGCTACAGTTCCTGATCCTCGACGCTTGGAAGACTGGATGACAGTACTAGGAAAGTGATTTATTTGACCGAGCACAGATGCACGAAAGAAATGACAGTGAATATAGTTTAGTTAAATCTTGAGTTGAATTATCCTTTAGAGCTTGGGACATCCTTGATACGGTAGAAAAGCAGAGGCCGTGCGTTCTTCTTTTTCCTTTGTCTTTCCCTGAACTAACATAAATTCGAAGCCGCAAGCGGCTTCTCTTACGATGCAGGAGTTCTTGGGGCTTCGAGGACCCGAGCAGCGGGAGCTCCAGCTCGAGCGGGTGCTTTCTTTGCTGTTGTAGAAACTGCAGCGAATTTGAAGCGGGAGTCACACCAGCGTTCGCTCTCGCATGAACGGGACCAAGAGGTTCTCCCTTTGAAATCAGAATTGAAAAAGGATTTCGCGTTCTTTTTGATTTACCTGATAGTTAGCGTCGAAAAACTTTTTAAACCATTGAACGAAGTGTGAGACACTTGACAGTGGTGAAAGGAAATTACTTTGCATGACGTTGTCGCCACGGAAGCAGATTTCTCCTTTTCCTTCGCGCGCATAATAATCCATGTCGGGCACGTCAACAAGTTTAAAAAATATTAGCCATCGGCAAATAGCTGAACCAGACGTCGCTTGTTTTCCAAGGCTCTTTAACCGAGAAGATTGTAATGCCACAGCAGACGGTGCAGATGTTCTTGTGAGTCAAGACGACGCCTTTCGGATCGCCAGTCGTGTCGGATGTGTAATTGATCGTAGCAATGTCTGAATAATGAAATTAAATGATCGCCCCTATTTTTATCATTTTTACCTGAAGAAGTCGGCGGAACATTATCAAACGAGCTGTCTTTTCCGATTGCAATAAAATCGTCGAAACTTATGATTTTATAATTGGAGGACTTGACCTTCTTGAATTTTCGAAACACAACGATTGTTTGAAGATGAGCAGGCTTGATTTTGAGAATGAGGTCAAGTTTCTTTTGATTTTGAACGAAGCAGATTGGAGCTTCAATCTGAAGAAAAAGTAAAAATAATCTCGTAAAGAAGTTGTAAACTTACGTGCTCGAGAATGTATTTGACTGCTTGTTCACCAAAAGTATCGTAAAGCGAAACATTGCATATATTTTGATAGTATCCTCCAATGATTACTGCGTCGTATTCGTAGCAATTCGACGAGTAGATCGCAATTTTGCTTTCTCCACTGATAAGTCCGTGCTTTTTCAGTGAATTCGCCAGGTATTGAGATGTTGCAGCGAACTCGCCATAAGTACGGGTCGTGTAATCTGTCAAATCTGGCGTCGGAGTGCCTCAAATGATAGCATTATCACTGGCGGTCTCTCTTCCTCGCTGGAAGCACTCAAGAATTGTCTGAATAACTGTAAAGAAAGTTCTGAGTGATACGCTTTACCTGTGGATAATCAGCTGGCAGAGTCCAGAGTCCTTTCTTCTCGCAGAGAATATTGTGTCTTGCGAAGGTTTCAGAATCTGCTTCATAACTTTGTGGCGCGTCAACGTAGTCTAATTTCTTGTTTCTGTGTAGAGTTATAATTTTGATGAAGACAAACCTTATCTACGCCCATTTTTTGAACGAGTTTTGCAAGACTTTGAAGTTATTGACATATTCGTGCTCGTGTTTTGCATTGTACTTTACTGTCTTTAGTCGGATGGAACCTAAACCAAATGTAGCTTGATTAAAAACGATTCGAAAGATGAGGGGTAAGGTGGAGACAACGAGGACATCATTTTTGTTTCACGAAACGAACATTGAAAAGTAATAATTCATTAATAAATCACGAAAAGGCGATGGTGAAACAAAATGGATTCTAATGAATGAGTTTCTTTCGCCGGAACAACGAAGCCCGATATGGGATGAAGCTCTAGCTTTTGCGACTCAACACGATTTGCGCATGCTGACCTCTTCAAAACACTGGTTTGTTGACGGTAAATTCTTTACGAAAGGCCAGCAAAAGAAGTTTGGCTACCGTCAACTCCTCATTATTGGATCAAGAGACCGAGATGATAGTGTTAATCCTAGATTCTTTATTATTCTCAAGGGTCAGTCTAAAGAAGGCTACAAGATTGTCTTTGAGGCTTTAAAGGAAATGATCAATATTGAAAATTTTGAACTTACTTGGTTCGGCAGCGAATTTGTCGTGTGTAATAACGTTGATGAGGACCACAATCGGCCGTTCGGTAGTTTTGAATAGCAGAGCAGCCGATTTTCCTGAAAAACTGTAAATTGATCTACAAAAAGAAACTTTGTCCTGATTCTGAATTTACAACTGTCTCGTCCGATTTCGAACCTGGGCTCAGAAATTCGATTCGCGAAACATGGCCGGAGAAGAATCTACGCATGGTTGGGTGCTACTTTCATTGGTTACAGAGTGTTAGAAGATATTTACAAAGTCATGGACTGTTGGCACTCTGGGAGAAAAATGGAAAGATACTCCAAGCACTCATCCATGCGATCCCATTCATTCACTTGACCGAACCTACATTCTACGACACATTTATGCAGCTTTTGCGTCGAACACTTGATGAACTGTCTACACCACTAATCAAAGACGAGATTAATGAGTTCTACAGATATCTTTCTACGACGTACTTGAATGACGATGCTAAATTCCCTCCTAGTTCATGGGCCCTTGCATTATCGATAGGAGCGAGGAATGGTTCAAAATTCTTGACTAATAACAGTCTTGAAATCATGGTAAGTTACCTTTTTTCGATGGGAAATCTTGTAAAAACATCGAATTCGTGAAGATGCGATTCCAACTAAAATTAAATGTTTAGAACTCATCCCTGGTGGATCAAGGAATCAACAATGCGACAGAGCTATCTACGGTCATCTCCATTGCTAATGGCTTTAAAAGTGAAAGCTTCAGTACGGAAATTGCTAAGCTTGAGAGCAACAGCCAGCAAAGTACTAAAAATGACAGATTGTGCGCCTTAGTTGCGGTTGTACGCTACGAGCAGCTAGCAAGATTTGACAAAAATGCGCAGAAAATGGCTCAATCGAAGAAGCAATTGTTTCTGTCGGCTTCGGCTTGATGAGGGCCAGATCAAAGGCCGAGTCATTGAAATCTACTCAGAAACTCCGACATTTTATCAACAACGCCACGCAACCAGAAACTGCTGTATTTCAAAATTTGATTAAAGAATCAACAGCTGACGTATAGTTACTATTTTTTATACAAAAATAAAAATTATTTAGTCATACCAGTTTCAAGAAGCAATGCCTGTGATGTCCCCAGTTCGCGATGAGCAAGAAACAGCTGGTGAGCAAGTTGACCCAGATCCTTTCGCTCAGCAAGGAGGAGAATTCGATTTGAGAAGAGTTGCGGCGCCAATCGCTCAGCCAGTTCAAAGAGTGGAAAGAAGAGTCGATGAGGAGACGAGCAATGATGAAGTCGATGTGCCAGCTGTTATCCATGAGTTCGACCCACCTCCAGTGGACTCTTTACCGTCGGACAATGAGGATCGTGAGCCTGAAAACTGTAATATATCAAAAATGTAAATATCAAAAATTTAATATTTCTAGTTGAAAAATCGCCATCTCCAATACATTGGGAACGACTTCTGGATAAAACCGATGAGATAGATGAAACGATCAGAAAACAGTTTCCAAATCGTCCTTCGTCTTCAGAATCGGAGCAAGGTAACTGTCCATATTTAAAAAATAAATGACTTTCATTTAAGAAAATGACGAAGCCGGACAAGCTAATCGTTCTCGTCCAACATCTGATTCTTACCGGAATTTTGATGACAGAACTAGTCCCGAAAAGCTGGTTCTATCTGAACCCAAGCAGCCACGGAAGTATATTCGCAGCGCAAAATCCGCAAAACAGCGCAAAACGCGGGATCTTTCATTGTCAGATTCTGAATCGGATCGTAAGTTTAGTTTTATCAAGCAGAATGTTAATTATTCTAGATGAGCGCCCCGAATCTTCGCAAAATACGCGTAGTTTGTGCGCAAAAGTGAAGCGGAATGCGAAAAAATCAACCTATTGCGAGCATGATTCCCCACCAAAAAAGAAAAAGAAGAAAACTGAAGCCGAAGTGCGTTTGGCAGCCCAAATTGCGAAAGAAAAGAAAATTCTTAAAGAAAGAAATCGAAAAAAAAGAGAAAATGATCCTAAGGTAATGCTTGTATGTTTCTTTAAGAAAATAGCAGAATATTTAGGGCTACTATGCTGATATAGCAAATAAACGGCGTCAAACCATTCAAAGAAAAAAAGAACAAAATGAAGAGTTGATCGCAGAGTTACGGGAAGAGCTGGAAAAAATGAAGGCGGAAAATGCGAAATTGCGAAAACGCGAAGAAATGAGAAAAGCAGATATCCCAGGATTGTTTACACGTATATAATGGTTTCTTATTTAATTGTATTTAATTAGAATAACTTGATAAATAATAAAAAGACGATGACGATTTGATGCGCCAATTAAAAGAAGTACTCGCCACTTCCGACGAAGAAGACTTCTGATGTTCTATAAAAAAAAGCTCCTTACATTTTCATCAAACTCGTTACATTCGTTACGGACGATTTCCATAGGTCAGAGCCGTTACAAAATTACCGGGGCAAACTTGCTGTTGCTCTAGCGCCTAAGGGTTACATTGTAGCCCAAGACATCTTTATACGTATCGACGGAGAATCTCAAGCTCTATGCCAGTATCATCTCAGATTTTCGAGATCTCAAAAAATTTCGGATTTATGGCGATTTTTCATTTTTCAAAGGACTACGTGTCCCTAATTCAGCCAATCACAGCACTGTATTTGACGCATTTGCACCGGTAAATTTGTAACGTCTCAGTTAATTGAAGCCGCTGAAAAATAAACCAATAAGTGAAAAAATTGATTGCAAAAGAAAATTCGAAACTCCTTTCCTATATATTTTTCTTCTTCGTTGGAGCTCCTAAAGATGGAATCGAGCACGTCGTTTTGTTGATTCATCGAGTTCCTAGAATTCGGAAGCTTTCTTTGTTGTCTGCGAGAAGAATACTGGCAGGAAGTTCTTCAATATCTTTCGAGGAGTTCAAAATCATGTTAAATTAAAGAAAGGGCACAATTATAACGGGTAAATTCTTCTGGAGGCCCACAATTATAACGGGTTCAATATTCTCCCCGTTGTTATTTTATATGGTCAATTTTCAACACTGAGTCCTTTCTGAAATTGAAATTCTGAATTAAAATTTAAAAATGATAGACAGTATTTTAGTTTCGCAACTCGTAAAGCTTTAATGTCAAAAATTGAAAAAAAATAGAAACATTTAACTTATCAACGGTTTGTGCATCGAAAGAGAGAAGAAAACGCATCATACATTAAATACGAAAGGTTGAAGTTTGGAGGCGAAACAAAGCGGAAACACAGTTCATAAGTTTTAAGCGAATTGGGCAAAATTTTATAGGCAGTTAATTCTTCTCTAATTCCTCTGGCAGTTAATTCTTCTCTGATCTTCATCATTTCCGCTTGAAAAAAACCGTTGATTTATCAACTAAATTCAGGCGAGCACAGCGCGGCGAATAAGGGAGGAGCGCGCCGCCCACGCGCGCCTGACTATTTCTCAGAAGAATCAGAAGATGAATTCCGAGCTCTTCTTCTCTCCGTTTTTTTATCTTCCAGGATCATTAACTATAGATGTGAAATCAAAAGAGGCGATTTTCTGGCAGTTAGACTTTCTGGCATATTAGATTTTCTGGCATTGCCAGAAAATCGCCTTTGCCAGAAAGTCTAACTGCCAGAAAATCTAACTGCCAGAAAATCGCCTCCCTCGAAAAATAATGCTGGCTTCTGATTGGTGGAAGGCCCAAATAAGGCTCTTTTCCAAAACCAGGCGTCAGTAGTAGGTTAAGAATGAACTCATTTACAAAATCGTTGTTTTTACTTCCTGAACACGCTAGTAAATCCATGTGCATATATGTAAAAAATAATCTTGCATTCCAACTTGTCAAACATCGAAAAAACACGATCGAAACTACGAAACTAGCTTCGGATAATCTTATTTGCTATTCACAAATTTCGTCCACGTGATCCAGCAAGATAAAAACCTGCGGAACCCGCAACAACCGCTAAATCTGAGATAAATTGTAACTTTCAACTACCGCCGCAAAGATCCGCCCTGAAAGAAAAAAATGCAGCGAGCAAGCGAAAAAAAAACAGGGATAACTATAATCATTCTTTACGGACTGAGATAAGCCGGATAATTTTAACGATGGACAATAAGTCTTCAAAGACACCCGAGCTCAAACGAGGACATGATCGTAAATTAGCTTTCAAACAATTCTGCTGACTTTTTTGTTCAGGGGAAAATGAGTAAATACTAAGGCCAACGCGCCCCTAAAATTCCAGGAGCGAATTCGTGAAGGACATAAAAAGGGAAATGTTGTCATGACAAAGTACACTCACCTGGATTGTTAAACGTAAAATTGTTACCTCTTGAGTATCTGCGGTATCCGGCTTTATTATTTCAATCATCCGGTAAGTGAAAGATCATTTCTTTTCAAATTGACTCCTCGACATTGAAATTCCTTTATTTTGATCGACTTTAAAAGAAAAAATCCCTACTGTCAACGATTTTTTCAGAATAAATTCAAGCACTGTCAAAAGATCAGATTCTTTCTGCACTTTTTTGCATATCACTACCTGCTTATCTGAATAACATACCCCACCCCCAAGTTTTCGCGCATTCCTCGGTACATTTTCCGTAATTTACTCTTCCTGATTTGTTCAAAAACCCCAAAATTTACGCCGCTTAACTTTTCTGCGTGCGCCCAAATTTACGCTCGCGGCGCTGATTGGCTTCGTCGGTTAACTTTCTGAGTGCGCAAAAGTCTTGTTTTGCTCGCTCCAGGCAAAGAAAGGATGATCTTTTATAAAAAGCCAGATTCCCTCATAGGGCAGCCCTATCTTATGTTATCTTTGATAAAATTATTGTTTATTGTTACAGTGAAGTTTATAAATATTTGATAGAACGTTATGCTAGTGCGATAGATGAAAACGACTTCTGCGGAGCAAAATCCAGACCTCAATATTTTAAGTTACTCGAATTGTACGATTTTTATGTGTCCAAGCCACGAAAAAATTCCAATTTTGGCGCCTCGAGTACCTAAAAAAGACTGAAATCCCTTGGTTTAATTGGGCGCTATTAATGAAATCATAAGCGTTGACGCGCATTTCAGCGGGTCGCGAGTAAATTTGGGCACACGCGGAAAAGTTAGGAGAAGAAATTTGGAAACGCGGGGAAACGCGAGGAAGCGTAAATTTCGGGGGTTTTGGAAAAGTTAGGAAACGTAAACTTGGGCGAAATACCACGAATTGCGCGGAAATTTAGGGGGGGGTATGTTATCTAAGGCCTTCTGCCCCATCCTGCAACCCTTCTCGCAGCTTGCAGCTGCCATTAATCGTCCCAATCAAGATCCATCTTTCGTAAAACTAATCACATTTTTACAGTGTCGCCAATCGCGATGAAAAAAATCATCTGCGAACTTGGCGTGGCCCTCGTGCGCCACCAGCGCCGCGTCGCATTTTTTTCTTTCAAAAAGACTCCTGCCCAGGGAAAATTTAATCATTATCAATTCTTGCGAAAACAAAAAAATCCACGACTACTATTTTTATCGAGAAATACAGTTGAAAGTAGAGATCACAAAAGAATAGAAAACAACGATGTCGGTCAAGAATACTTTTCAAGGAACAACCGACAATGGCTGCATCACCGGGTTAAAATTCACCATCGGCAAATTGCAGGGAAAATACACCGCTCTTGGTAGCATCACTCCAAGGTAAGAAATCAAACGAGAAGCCTTTATTGTAATTTTTGGAAAACAAAAATTGGTATCTGAAGATTTCAAATTTCAAAATGGAGCATGATTTTTTGACATTTCCGGTTAAAATTAACCCATTTTTGGACAGAAATAAAATCTTTTCGCACCTTTTTGCTACTCATGCCCATTTGGACTTTTCACATACCAAAGTAGTGACTCCAGTCGCTAAATATTTGACGCCCCCATTTTTTCACGATTTGATGATTCACCCACCTAATCACCGTGTTTAGCTACCTCAACGGCACCTCCATCACGTATGGCCGCGCCTCCAACATCACCGAAGTAAAAACCCACGATTTGGCGCTCATAGACAACGAGAAGATCCTCTCGATCACGGTCTACATGGCGATCGGGCAAAACCACGTCTGCGGCCTTCTCATCCGAACGACGGAAAAGCGCAAGTTCGGTCCTTACGGAGTCATTTCGAAACGCGCACCGGAAATCAAATCACCCTTTTCCTGCGGTTATTATCTCGCCTCCCTGTCCGGCAGTTTCGGCGACGTAATCCACTCGCTTTCGGGCGAGTACACTTCCGCTTTCAAATCGCCCGATTGCAGCCCAACCGTCTCGCCCACTTCGACCATTTCCTCGAGGACCAGCGCCGGAAGTGGCTACCACTCAGAAGACTCTCTTTCTCTCAACAGATCGATGAGCTCCTCCGACCTCGAAAACCGACTCAAGAAATCCTTCCACAAGCCTGCCACTGCTTCCTCCCGTTCTTCCTCAATCAAAGTTCTTCATAAACCTCCTCCACCACCAAGAATGGATCTTCGAGAAATGAAGCTCGGCCAGCCAAGCATTCTCACCACCCGAAATTCCTTCCGCGGCAGTCTCATGACCAACCGACCCATTCTTGGAACGTCGAGAAAACCGATGGCAACGACCAATGTTTAAAATTATCTAAAAAAACTGTATATTTTTAAATTCAAATTCCTCGCTCCCAGTCTCTGTAAATAAATATTTATTGATACACCTTATTCTTGACTGTAGTTCAATGAGAGCATATTGTTTCGCAAAAGGCAGTTTTTCTACTAATTGACAGAATGAATTTTAATTTATGCAAAAAAGGGGATGATGCTCAAATCTGCTAAATATGGACGGCAAATGGATTTGAGCGAAAGTTTCTTTGATAAATAAATAAATCCGATTCGCAATTAATTTTCTGTTTCCACCAACAACTGCTCCGTTATGGCATCGAAATAATACTTCATTAGGAAAGGAAAAAGCATCCCACTTGAATTCTTGAAGCTGAAATTGATGACTCTCTTCTCAACACGTCACGACGAAGCGTAAATCCTAGGACAATTACTGTCGGCCAAGGTCAATCCAGTTGATGTCACGCGCGTTGCAAGTCACTCCTCTTATCTCCAAATGGTATCAACTCAGCGTGTTATCAAGCGGGCTTCTTGCCTTATCAGAACTAACTTGCGCGCGCGCTAATTTTCCGGAAGGCCGAGAATCTCTGATCGCCGGTGTTGAATCGCGTGTTCCAGTTTTTCGGTTAGCAGTACCTCCAATCTCATTGGCTGGAAAAGAGCCTAAGGGGAGTGCGGGGGACACAAAAGGCGCACTCGAGAGAAAACACTGCTACGATCGGTCAAAAAACTTCATTTTTTGGAGACATTCATAATTCACTCTGGTAGAGCATGCCCCAACGGGGATGTAGCTCAGTGGTAGAGCGTTCGCTTTGCATGTGAAAGGCCCGGGGTTCAATCCCCCGCATCTCCAGAATTTTTTCACTTTTTCAAAGATTTTTTACTGTTACGGAATGTCACTGTAATTGCCTATTTTTATGTTTTTGGAACGAGAATCGCAGAGAAGTCGAACTTGTTTGCACATTACAGGACATTCAAAGAGTAAATAATTCCAGCATTCAGAGATTATCGCCAATTCCCAAATTTGTCTCCACGAATTTGAGCAGAGCGCAGCAGAAAACGAACACACACATCAAAAAGAAAAGTCTCCACCAAGTAACAGACTCGGAATTTTTTCTTGGAATTTGGAAGAAAGAGAAAGAACTCTATTTTGCTAATTTCACTAAAGAAAGTCTGCGAAAACTGAGCCAGTCAAAATAATCATCAGTTGAAGTCGAAGAAGAGCAAAAAAGGAAAATTCCTATTCACGCCTTTCCTAAAAGAAGAACTTGGTGGGAAGCGATCAAGCTATCGGTGTTAGTTGCATTGTCTGTCGTCTCGAAACTGCAGAATCTCACAGCTAGGGCTATATAAGAAAGGATTGGGCCCAGAGGCAGTGGCACATCTCGCTGGAAGCGCGTGAAAAGAGCAATATTTTCATTTTCAGCAACAACCAAGGTCAGTACCCTTTTTTTCTTAAGCTTTGGCGACCTATGCTCTCTCTCTCGAGTCACATGAGCGGAAGGAGTACGCTTCAACTCGTCCAGACATTACTTAATACTTTTTTAGACATTTTTTCAAAACACAATTGAAATTGATCGCCCGATATCGACGAGCACGACATTTTATAAACTCCAGCACTCGAACAGAGCTCATAAAATAAAGAAGAAAAAGAAAGAATGAAGATTTTTCCACCACTTCTACTGCTAAATACTGTATTGGCTCGCTTCCACAGTAATCCTTGCTCGGTTCACTATCCGAACAACCCGGATTTCTACCAGAATCCTTGTGGAATCGTAAGTTATTGAAACACATGACTGGCAATGTGATTTTTATTAGGCGTTTCGAAAATGGATGGACGCATATCACCAGAACATTGTTTCTTGCGATGGGAACTGGCCCAAGTGCAGCGATACAGGTTACTACCTCCCTCAAGAATGTCACTCCAGGAATGGGGAACCACTAACATGATCCTACGCAGCTTCTCAGAGTAACAAGGACTCTCTTGATCAACCCCAGCGAAAGAGTTGATCAGTACGGCGAGGAAAAGGAGATTTGCTCGTGCATGAGCATATCCAACGGCGAAGTTCTCAAGTTCATCCGCACTTGGGGCGGGCGAAAACAGCTCGTCCCCATCAGCAGCGAGTATTTTGATGATTTCGAACACCGCTTAGTTTGCCGTCTCGCCCAGAGAGCACAAAGAAAAAGTAAGGAAAATTATCAACAAAACCAAGAAACCGTTCATTTTTTTAGCTCTCGACTTAGAAACCTTCTGCAAGATGCGCTACAACAAAAGATATACCAAGGGTAGTAGTGCTGAAGTTACTGGTTGCGTAATCAATGGTCAATGCAAAAAGGTAAAGTTTTTCCTTGACATTCAGGTATATTCTTGTCCTTTGTCCCAGGTAGGACAAATTCTTATATAACTCGTCTTTGCTAAAACAAGGATCTTTCGATTATCGCTATTTCACTATTAGGGAAAGCGTAAAAGTCCGTTACATAACTTGTCTGTTAGCGAGTCAACAGCAGGAAGAGGGAGTTTCAGTAAATACAGACAAGAACGTTACCATGACACACTTTTTTCTAGTGCCCCAGACCCTCCATCTAACATTCGACTAATGTCCTCCCGCTCGAGAAACTCTTCCATCACATCTATACCTCAGACTCAAACAACAACGAACCATCACAATCCCAAAAAACTCTGCTCTTCCTTCCTATGCTTCACACTTCAAAATCGAAAATTGTTCAACTTGTCTTTCTGCGCAAATAACCCCGATAAAAAATAATGTAAAGTTACTTCTTCATGATACGTTTTCTGCACTCTCTACTTTCGCTCGTGATTAGCTACACAACTGTTTTACTGCATTTCAGAGTTCTACATTGAATAAATTTGAATCAAATTTTTAGTTGTTTCAAAGCAGCATTTGAGCATATTATTGAAGTGTTTGGTGAATAAGTAAGTTGAAAAAAAGGAAGACGCTAAACTGGTAGTGATATGACTGGGGTGGGTTGAACTGTGTAGAAAACACGAGTCAGAATTTTTAAGAGCTTTTATGAAAAGCCGTGCTTTCCTAAATGAAGCCGCGAAGCTACCTTGAAAGAATCTAAAAATAAGATTGAGGCGGTCTTAGTTGCGAAGCCGCTTTGCAGCATCGCCACGCGGCTTTTTTTTTAGAAAATTCTCTTTTAATTCCTGACTAAGGTTTTCTACGTAGATTACTGATGCAAGAATTCGGTTGAACGAGCATTTGAGCGTCAATAAATAAATAAAACTAGAGCTAACTGGCTAATTAAAGATGCGGAAGTGTCAACAGTTATTTCGATGATCAGCAGACGGGTTTATACGGGGACTTAGGCGACGCAGACTTTCTGCGCTTGGCATTTCCGGGTGGCGTCAGCAGTCGCGAAACTGGAGAAACTCTTCTCGTGCTGCTTGTGCTATTTTGAAGTTGCTCACCACATGAGCTCGTGGCTTGATCTACGGCATCTTCTGTGTCAAATGGCTGCGTGTTGTTATAAGTAACAGCCGTTCTTTTCGTTGGTTCAATTCCAGGCGACAAGTTTTTCGGACTAGAAATTTCAAGTGATCTTGAAAAGCTAAGGAAACGCACCTGATGCTTGAGAAATTAAACTCTTCTGATTCTTCCGATTGAAAAATTGAGTCGGAGGATGCGAACGTTTCATCCCCCGAGTCTGGATTCTTCTGATCTTTAATTGGCCTGAATTGTCGCGACTTGAGCCTCTTGATGAGTTTTTGAAAGTTAGGCGCAGCCAGAGGACTCGAGTTTTCGAAGCTGAAGCCTTTCACTTTTGCCAATAAGAGATTCGTCGCTTCTTTTGCCGATGATCTTGCGACGGCTTCTTCTCCGAGTTCTGAAGCAGTTTGTCAGCTAGTGGTAGACAGAGATGGAAAGTTCAAATTTAGAACTTTTAGTTTGTTTGCGAATTTGTTGATTTGTTGCCACAATAAGGGAGAAATCAACTTCCCGAATTCATGGAATTCATGGATAAGGCAAGCAAACAGTGATTTAAACTGAGGTAGAATTCGAATTTTTGACATCATGGGACTCGAAAAACATTATTTGTCAGAATCGAAAATCACATGACTTGCCGAACTACGGACTATCAATCGTTGCATATTGACAAGTGCTGTTGTAAGTCTTTGTTTGCCCGAGTTTTCATAAAAATCAAAACACCAACTATCAAAAAGCTGCTTACACCGCAAATGAAGCCAAAACAACGCTAACCCTTGTTCGCAGTTGACTTGCAAAGGGCCTCTAGAATCGGGACGAATTCGCCGAGAAACAGGTTCCCATCCGTCGGACTTGGGCCCATCGAAACGAGGAAGTTGAGAAATGGCTCTTCCGATGACTCAACTCTTGAAGAGGAATTCTTGCTCCTGAGATTTTCTACTCGACGGGAAAGGGTTTCATTTTCAGGAACAAAGACCCCACTGGAGATTTCATCCAAATATTTCAGCAGTTTTTCGGCTTCGTGAGAGTAATCTAAATGGATGAATAAATTACTAATCAAAATTATAACCAACAGAAAATCATAAAATTCAATTTTAGTCATGAGATACTAAATTAAAAAGTATTAAGAACGACCTTCATCACGTTCCAGCTTGAAAAATGCATTCTCACCCGAGGTTTGCACAAGAATGACCTCATAATTCGACCCTTACCATTATAAATCAGCCAGTCTAGCAACAACACACACAATTTATGAATCTGGGACCAGTCCATGATCAAATTAATTCCACTTTTTTCCCACCAATCCGCCTATCTTCATTACTGTTTCTCGGTTTGTCTGAAAATTCTTCAATCAGCGGATGAACTCAATGACTCCTATTCTTCCCGCCTACTCATTTTCTGTCCTCGAGATTGAAAAAGTGAGTCTTTTGGTCGTTTCGTGTTTTCGTTGTGAATTTGCGCACGTCCTTGCCCGTCAGCTTATTGTTAGGTGGGAGGCGCTGTCCAATCGGCTGGCTAAAGTTGAATTGCGTAGTGCTCGCTCGGCCAATCAGCGTGATCGATTGGCGCTCTTTCAAAACAAAACCTGGTCTCTCTCCGCCATCTCGGCCATCAGCACATTCACACTCATCCAAGACCAAACCAAATTTCCTAAAATCAAAACCTAACCCAAACTTGGGATTACCAAGCAATCAGCGCCCAGAGCGGCAGCCCGTTGAGCGACTTTTCTATTCTAGAGGTGAAAACAAACGAAGAAAGAAAGAAGCAAAAATGCAATGGAGATTATAGCGAAGCGAGACGGAGCGAAGCTCGATTTCAGGGCGAAGACAGAGAGTGTAGCGAAGAGAGGAGTTTAGGTTGGGGATGGTACTTTAATTATAGCGCGAAAGAGGGTCGAAACGAGGTGTTTTGAGTGCTCATCCCCTCGCTAGAAAACAAACTTGAAATTCCAGTAAGAAGTTACTGTAGATGACAGTCGAGCGCAGCGCGATGAGCAAGGCATCGAATCTGAAGAGAACGCTGATTCCAGTCTTGGCAGAGCTAGAATGCGACGGCGTGGGCAACTTTGAAGTCAAGAGCGAGCGCTTCTCAGTCGGCAGGGGCCAAAACTCAAACATGCCCATCGCCAGCTCCAACTTAGTCAGCAGAAAACACATCGAGGTAGGCCCTTTTCGGACAATTCTGCATTCTCCCGCGAGGCAGTTGAAGAAACGCTTGAAATCACTGTTGAGCGAGAACGTTTTTTCCATGAAGTTTTCTTTTGTTTATTTGCACTTCAGAAACAGCTAATATTGAAACAGAAGCAATTGTCAATTTTCATTCCTATTGATACGAATATCCTTGATTTTTGAAAATATTTGCCAATTTCCATTCGTTGCCAAGGAGAAAATAAAGCCCGAAATTCGCGCTTATTTTGACGACCCTTTTTTATTTTTAGTTCTGGGTCTTTTGAAGGTCAAAAATACCTTGTTGATTTTTGAATTTTTCGAGCAATGAATGATCGATTTGTTTTTCTTCTGGGCACACGCACGCGCCCGAGGGCAAGGCAAAAGAAGTGACGTCACGTCCTTGTGATTCTTGCGTACGTGATTTGTGATGTTTTTTGTTTTAGTTTTTACGCGATCGCGAGAAGGGAACTTTCAATTTGGTCTGTAACGGGAAGAATGGAATCTTTGTCGATGGCATTTTCCACAAAACGACGTTACCCGATGGCCAGCCGATCGAGCTCAAAGAAAGGTACATTCCATCACACTTGTAAAGAGTTTGAAGTTAGTTTACTCCCAAAGGATTGGCTACATTTAAGCATGCCCAGGGCCAAACTACAACAAGTTCTATTTTTAAATCCTTTTCTCCTTATCAGAGGCTAAATAAAGAACAGAATCGAGGTTTATTCTGCACTCGAGTAAGAAAGCTCGAGGCGAATTCCAATTATCCGCGATAAATAGATCCGATGAACATATTTATTTTTGGAGGACTTGTCCGACCAGTATGCTGGCGCGGCCGCGGGGAAGGTGATGCTCGGGGAGGAATTGTTTTTCTCCACCCTTGCTTTTTGAGCTTTTGATTTATTCTGATTATCAAACCAGCTCAGAACGGGGAGGAAAACAATTCTTTCCATGCATTCCCCGGGGCAGCGTCATCGTTCTGGTCGGACAAGATCTCAAAAAATACCTAAAAATGCTTATGCATCGGATCTATTTATTGGTGGCGAAATCATACAGATTCGCTTCTAGTTGCTTACTTGAGTCTGTAACAACTTTCGACTTTATTCTTTTTCCAGCGATTAAGAACTTAAAAGGCCTTAAAAATAGAGGGTCAATATTTTGGTTGCTAGAATTTCCCTGGAGTGGGATTTATGAAGAATTCCGATGATGGTATTCAGCGAAGCTCAGCAATCATGAACACCGCCCGCGTATTTTCGGCCTAAGCAATAAATCCCTTCCTTTCAGTTGCCTGGTGCGCTTTCCTTCCACGAAAATTCAAATCCGTTTCAAATCGCTTCTGAATCGAAGTGGCGAGAGCCAACAGAAGCAACTTGCGCTGACAAAACAGGAAGTGCCCGAAAGCCCGTCCGGATTCGCCGGCCAAAAAGAAGAGTCCCACGATGCTTTGGACAATATTGTCGCGAATGAAGACTCATCGATAAACGACGAAAATAGCGGCGCAAAATTTAGAAAAAAATACCCGTCAGAAAATGAAAATTCCGAATCAAAGCCTCCCTATTCCTATGCACAGCTTATTATTCAGGTACAGTCAGACACAAACAAAGGGATTTTCAATAAAATACTCAGGCGATTTCTTCTGCTGAAGAGCATCAACTAACCCTAGCGGGAATTTACCAGTACATCACGAAATTCTACCCCTACTACAAAAACTGCGACAAAGGATGGCAAAACTCAATCCGCCACAATCTCAGTCTCAATCGATACTTTATAAAAGTGCCGAGAGGCCAAGAAGAGCCTGGAAAAGGGAGCTTTTGGAGAATCGACCAAGGTTGCGAATCAAAGCTCATTGAACAGGCCTGGAGAAAGCGAAGCAAGGTAAGAAAAAACAAGGAGGAGAGCCGGAATCATCATTTTCAGGGCAAATTTGATGGAGAGCCTCTTTCGAAGAGATACAAGGACGAAACTCCTCCAGCTGCTATCAGCTCATCTCCACAGCCCGTGCAGCCACAACCGACCCAACAAGTCGTTTATCAGCAAAAACCAGCCGCGCCCCAGCCTCAAATTCTCAGAACGGCAAATGGACAACAGGTTTTTTCCTTTCTCGAAAACCCTCCCCTAATTTCCTTTTCAGCTGCTTCTGGTTCAAGACAACGGAGGAGGAGGAGCTCAACAAATGATGGTCCAGCGGGAGCCGCCAAAGCAAAGACCCCAAGTCCAACAAATTCAAATTCCAGCGTCGATGGCAGGCCAGCAGCTGGTAGTCGCCCAGATGCCTGACGGGAGGCAGCAAATCTTTGCCCTTCAGGGAAACCAAGGCACGCCCGTGCAGCTTGTGCAGCAAGGTGGTCAAATCATGCAACAGGTAACTTTTGAAGGACTAAAATCAACGACGACTAACCCTATTTCTAAGATTGTGCAAGCTGGTGTTCAGCAACAAGCGGGCACGCAATTGATCATGACCTCGGGCGGGTTGAAACAAGTTGTCCAAGCCCAGCCAGCGCCCCAGCGAACGATTCAGCCGCACCCGGCAGCGACTACTAGAATTGTTCAGCGCCAAGCAACGCCTCCCGCAGCAACAGCAGCGGCTACTGCTCCTACCCCGGCGACGACGGAAAGCGAGAGTTTGATGCCGAATGAGGAACTCAACGGCATCGACTCCGAACACACCCTTGGCACAGAGGCAGGAATCGAAGACAGCGCCCCTGTGGATTCAGCCTTGGAATCTTCCGAAAATGTTCCCGTAGACGATCCTCCCGTTCACGAAGAAGTGGTGCAGGAAGAAATCGTTCAGGAGAATCTAGAAAACGCGGAAAGTAACAGCGAACCAACCGAGTAAAACTTAAAAGCTGGATCAAAGTACCTTTTCTTTATCCCATTTTTTATCTTGTCATTTCTTAAAAGTTCAATTCAAAGTCCAAAATGCAACAATTTCGTGCGATACCAGCATTTTTCAAACAACAAAACTAAAAAAAAACTAAACTGCTCTGTCCCTCAAGAACCTGTAGCGCTCCTGGTGACTCATTCTCATTGTGTGCGTGTGCCCATCGTTTTCCCCCTTTTTCCTTGCTCCCGATCTAAAATATCTGCGTTATCAACTTAGCACTTTTCTCATGTTACAGCTGATTGTGGCAATACTACTTTTGTAAATATTTTTTTTTCTTTCAAAGTGCATGAACATTGTTTTTTCGACACCCGCATTTGCGCTCTTTTTCCAACGTTTCCGTGCCTTTTTGAGATTTTTCAAAAATCTCCCCAACTTAATTTTCACGGAATAACTTTTTTTCATCAGCGAAATATTCATTTTCGAGTAAAACTACGAAAACGCTTGTACGCGCTTGAATTCTCACGATTTTCGAAAGCGCAAAACATCGTGAATTCTAAAGAAGCGGCACTTATTCAAAATTTCGGCTGAATTCAGTTCAAATTCAAAACTATAAAAACAAAAATTTTTTCTAAAAAATGATACTTCGAAAAAACACTACTGCTGTAAAAGTAAACTTTATAACTGTAGCACATGATGACTAACTAAACTTATTTCGTTTTCTTACATTTTTTTTCTGACTCCAAAGATGTTTTTTAATAACTTAATTTTGTGTTTGCCTCCTGACAGTTCCAAGTTCATTTCTAAAACACATTTTTGGCAATACAGTATGGTTAAACCTACTGTTTAAATCTTGAAGGGGTGCTTCTGTGATAAACAGCTGTTTCTTCTTCTAATTTTATCAACTTATCTTTGCCTAAAAACGACTACTTTAAGAGTGACTCTGTTGTATTTTGTGTGAGCAATTATAAAAAAATCTTTTTATAGCAAAAAACGTCCATTCCAAAACGGTCCAAATCTGTTTTTGCTATTGACTTCTTTCTTCTATTTGTCTTCTATGTAAAATTCAAAATTCTCTTTTCCCGTTTCCGAAAAACATCAAAAAAAAAACTAAACATCTCTATCCCCCTTTCTTTTCGATGATCAGTCGAAGCATCGAAACTGAAACTCATCTGAATAGTACTGAATAAACAGTATACAAGATACAACAATGAATAAATAGTAGCATCAAGTCCCAACTACCGTTACTAGAACTACTACTACATCAAATTTATTCCGGAAATCAGAATATTCCCTTCCCTCTTTTTTCGAAAAAAAACCGTTCTGGCAACCCTTTCTGTTGCGAAACAAAAAATAACTGCGTACAAAATAAAGATACGTTTTACCAAAAAAAAAATAACTGTTTCGTGTGAATTGTATGCTGCATTCTTTAGTACTGAAGAAGTCAAGGCGTTATGGCCCGAGGGTCAATTCTAGTTTTACCAATTGGAAATAAGGGTTTGCTGTTTATAATCGTTATCGGTTGTTTTATCTATGAAAAAGTTCTGAGACTAGAGAAAAAAAAAATAGAATATTGAAGCAATAATAACTTTTTGAGAATGAAAAAACGGGTATTGCTTTTCGATATCGATGGAACTCTTACAACCACTGTCTATGTTCGGTTCTATTTTAGCTATAATACAAAGAGATGTCTTTTTATGTCCCCAGATTTCTTAAGTTATCCTAAATTGCCCAAAAATGTCGTCAAACAATTCGTTGATGTTTTCGGATGTCTGTAGATGTCTGCAGGTGACTATAGATGTTTGTTGATGTCTAAATCTGCCAATGATCAGGGTTCAGATATTTTTATTGTCTGCAGATGTCCGTAGAATCTAAAACGCTATCCTAACTAGAATTTACAGTTCCCCCTTTTGAGAAAAAGTAGAGAACCATCAAATCAAGAACACAACCGCCGGAGATGTGCACCAGCAACTTATGTCTAAAACTTACAATGTTCCAATCGACAAGAAAGGCGTCGTCTATTCCGGAAGCACGGATCGTCTTATCTGGAAGAATCTCCTCAACGCAAACGGGATCGAGTACAACGACAGCGCGGAAGAAATTGAGAAAATCATGAAAGTTTACCGAGAATTGATCCATGATGGAATCAGAGAAAATTGGTGGCGGTGGAAAATACTGCCAAATGTTAATGAATTGCTGGAGAGATGCAGCAAGGAAGGGGATTTCATTCTAGCGCTGCTGACAGGTGAAGAATCGACACAACAAAGGGTTGGCAGTGGTTGATTTTAGGAAATATGATTGAAACGGCAGAAGTAAAGCTGACAAACGCGGGAGTGAATGTCGAAGTTTTCAAAGATGAAAATGGAGTTCTTCGCGGCGGATTCGGGTCTGATGATATGGACAGGAACTGGTTTAAAGAGAACACCGTAAAAATCATGAAACCCCTCGAAAACCTTCGAAAACCAGAAAAAAGAGCGACAATCGTAGCAAAAGCGTTGAAAAAACTACGTACAGAATTTGGCGAGCTGGATGAATCCCAATTTCTGATCATAGGAGATACGCCCAAAGATGTAAAATGCGCGCATGACAATGATTTCGCGGCTCTTGCCGTCGCTACTGGCATTTATGAGTAAAAAAAAACGAGCCATTACGTCAGTATCTTTTTAACCGATTTTAGTGCGAAATCCTTGGGTCAATGCGCTTGTGGAGTGATAGAAGACTTTTCCGAGATTGAAAAGACAATTCTAGCGCTGAAAGAAACAACTTTACGCGGAGACTACAAGTCTGTGAGCTATCAACTGACCGTCAAATCTGCTGCTGATCCTTAAAAAATATTATTCTGTGCAATTATGCTAACTAGCGATTAATTACCGTTCAATGCAATTAAAAAAGCAAAGAAATCTTGATTGCGTTTCTTCAGAAACTGAATAATTTGGATTCAATAAGAAAAGGAAATAATCAAAATGGAGATTTTGCTGCGACTCTTTCTCCTGGACGTATCGATTAACTTTGTCGGTTGGTGCATTTCAGCCGCCGCAAAAACACACAAAAACTACGATCTCGTTGGCTCTGTTTCTTATCTACTTTGCACCGCAGTTTCTTTGTATCATTCCGAGAGACAGCTTCTTCAAAAAGTTCAGGTAAAGAGCGAATTTCCTGTTTTTTTTTTAAGAAATGTCTATTTCTTTTCACATTTTCAATTTAGAGTCTTCTGATAATCGTCTGGGCCCTCCGCCTCGGAATCTTCCTCTTCAGCCGGGCGCTGAAACGCGGCGACTCTAGAATGAAAAAGTACGACGACAAACCCCTTTTGTTCCTGATCCCCTTTTTTCTTCAAATTCTTTGGGTGTTTTTCATGTCGCTCCCGACGTTCCTCCTCAATCGGACTTCCTCGCCCGAGATCGGCTTCTCCTCGTATTTTGGCTGGACAATTTGGGGCGTTGGATTCTTCATTGAAGTTCTAGCAGATCATCAGAAAAGCGTGTTTCAAGAAGACGAAGCGAACGATGGGAAATTTATCAAAAGTGGGCTTTGGAGTCTTTCGCGGCATCCAAATTACTTCGGAGAATTGATGCTTTGGAGCGGTCTTTTTATTTCAGCAGCTGGCTCTTTCACCAGCGGAATGGAGTATTTATCCGGCTTTTCATTGGCGTTCATTTACTTGCTCCTGCGATACGTATCCGGCATTCCGTTGCTCGAGAAAAGTGGCGAGAAACGATGGGGCCACCAGGAATGGATTTCACTGATTTTATTTATGTGAGAAATTCTAGCCTAGAACAGAAAATTAAATCCGATTGAAAAGCCCGACTATCAAAAATACTGCGCTACAGTTCCAATTCTAACTCCTTTTGTACCTATTTATAAATAAGCTTCAGTAACTATAACAGTACTTTCTTTGATTTTACTAAGTCTGATTCGAGCTGTACTACAGATAAACCCGATTAATTCTGTTTGACTATTGTTCTTCACAATTCCATAATTCCCTCTTAGCTTGAAAATACAATCGTTAATCCGATTCTTGTCCATTCTTTTGTATTTCTTGGTGTTTTCAGTGATGCTGGCATTATGACCAGAGTTTCGCATGGGACTGGAGGAAGAGAGTTCGCTTGTCATTCAGAAGATGAGCGATTCCGCAGTAGCTGACCAGCTCCACTCCGGTTCAGCTAGCCTAGATGCCAAAAACACGCTCATACCCATTCTACTTCAATATCTCGTAATTTTCCTGCTCCTTGAATATAGGTAACCGCTAACGCCACAAAGAGAATGCCCAAGACACCAAAATTTTAAGTTTCCGTCGTGGTGTCCACCGCGATTTGCGCTCGATCTCCCGAATTCATTATTTTCTCTGGGTCTCACTCGCCATTTTCGGCGCTTTATTCGTCCTCGACAAAGAACTTGGCCATCCAGATCATGATCCGATTCTTGTTATGCGGCTACTTCGCCCGATTCTGGTAAAAACGACATTTCGTCTTGACTAAAAAATCATTTTACTACTAGCTGCTAACTGTATTTTTCTTTGGCATTGCGGCAAATGTGTATGTCTGGGAAAAGTGCGAAATTCCGTGGCAGGATATGTTCCGAACTGGCGAGAACAAGGTAAATTTACTACCCTTAGAAACCTTCACTTTATTCCCTTCAGTTTGGATTCCGAGAACTGGCAGAAGTAGGGTCTCTTCTTTTATGCCTCTTCTCCGCGACGATATTTTTCCTGCTGCGATCAGATCTTCCCGGCCCTTTCACGACTTTACCTGCGTATCTCCATCCACTGTTACTCTACGGCGGAATTCTGATGCTCCTTTTTTCGCCGCTGCAGCAAGTTTTTCACGAAAGGTACACTTATTGAAATGTGCATTCGAGATGTCTACAGACATTGTTTGGGTAGGTTATCATTAAGAAACCTCTAATGACATCTATTGACATCAATAGACATCTATAGGCATTCATAGAGATCTAGACTCTAGAGACAGTTGTGGTCATCTCCTCAAATAGAGTCGAAAGTCAACCTATTTTTTAAGCCGTTTTTGGTTTATCGGACAAATATTCCGCGTCTTTACTCCTGGATGTCGCCCTGTTGGATTCATGGAATTCTGGCTTGCCGATCAAGCCTGTTCTTTGGTGATTTTATTCGTCGACTGTGAATTTTTAATGTGCTGGTATCTGGTTGATGGGACTGTTTTCGGTAAGATTACCGGAGTTTCATGTGAGTTGATGATTGTTTATTTTAATTAGGGCCGCGGAAAGGAGTAATAGCTCATTGTGGAGACTATTCGTCGATTCGCGCGTTGTTTTCGATCCTTCCAGCAGTAATTCGATTTGTACAATGCATTCGCCGTTTCCAAGACTCCGGCGATTCCTTTCCTCATTTGGTCAACGCGGGCAAGTATTCTACCACGCTTTTGAAAGCAGCCGCCCAGAGAAATTTCAGACTCAAGGAAAGTGGTAGCTTCTTTTACGATAGTCTTTTGGATTTTAAGAAGGTCTTTCAATTAAAAAATTCTCGATTCAAAAATTTTCCTTTGTCTACCAACCTCGCAGCAAGACCATTTCAACTTCCTGGTTTGGGTTGCGGCTGAAACCTTCTCATCCGTTTATTGTCTTTGGTGGGATTTGACCCAAGATTGGGGATTACTCGAAAAGTCGAAGAACGGCTCTCGCCGCCTCCTCCGCAACCGCATCATTTATAAAAGGCCATTCTATCATTTCGGTAAAAAAAGAGAGAAAATGGCAAAAACTCTTTTTAGCGATCGCGCAAGACATGATTTTACGGTTCTCCTGGGCATTCAAATTGGTTGCGCTAAAGATGACCGCCCTTCACAGAGAAGAAACCAACACGATTTTGTCTGTTGCTGAAATTTTCAGAAGAATTGTTTGGGTAAGCTGGCATCCAGGGTTATTCGAGGACATTTTTAGTTATCTTAAGACATCTTAGGACACAAGGGAGCATAATTTATTATTTTTAATAGTTTCTTCTTCTTAAAAATAAAAATCGTTTTAGAATTTCATCCGAATCGAAAACGAGCACATTGGGCGAACGAAAGATCGTTTCCGATCAACCCCAAGAATGATGACGGCACTTCCAAAGAAATTAGACAGCGATTTTGTCGAAAGTTCAGCAGCTTATCGCCAAAAACTATGATTCGGATTCTCATCTATAGAATTTTTCTATTGGCAGGAAATTTCCTGGCTCCCTCTCGCAACTTATCTCCCAAAAACGACAAGCTACTTTTCTGTATCCCCCTAGCCTATCTTCTGTATATGAAGCAAAGAGTTTTGTACAATTATTTATCCTTTTTTAAAACAAATGTTTCAACCGCTTCAAATTGAAAATCGTCAGTTTTTGGCGAATATCGGTGAGGACGGTTTGTCAATAATAATTCAGTAAATTATTGAAGTTCCTTTATTCAAGGTGCAATAACACTAAACCAAAAACACATCTGTCTTTGTTTTCAACGCACTATTCGTTTTAGATGAGAAAATGGGCGGGCGAGTGTCCGTAATCAACAACACGGAAGTGACAATCAAAGTCCAGTTTTGGCAGGTCTCGCCGCTCTATTCGAAGACGCTCAAAAAGGGGGAAACATGGGTCCAGGAGACTGGAGCGGTCCATTTTACAGTCAAGGTCATTGTTCAGGAGAGCGACGACTATTTATTCGGTAAGATAAAGATACATCTCGGGACGTCTTTGCAGAGCAAACGCATCTAACGACATTTTCGGACATTTGAAGCTGATTTTCTTCTTCAGGATCTGACTGCGGAGTTCTCCGAGGAGCAGAGCGAATAGATCCTGCTTCCGAATGGCCTCTGTACGAAAAGATCTTTCACTACTCGTCGACTGGTTGGTATTTCAAGGGCGACAACATTCTCTCCATTTCTGGCGGGCCAGATTTGAAGAGCGCCCATTTCGCCGGAAAACCTCTGTTGATCAGAAAAATTCCCAAGCGATCTCAATCCGTCAGCGACTCCTGCTCTAGCGACCTTCCTTCTCAATTACCGACGAATGGACAGACAGGAAAACAAAAAACGAGCAAGTCGACCAAAAAAGGCAAAGAAGTAAAAAGTTGCTCGCTCAAAGTTAAAAACGAAGACGAAGAAAACAATCTCGTCCGGCAAACTAGCTCGACTAGCACTTCTTCAAATTATTCCGAACAGCCTTCGATGGATGCGATTTTCGAGGTAAAGAAATGAAGAGACAGGTTGTTTGAAATGATATTTATTTAAAATCAGGTTCCATCAAATATTTCGCAGTTTTTTAAAATTTGGTTGCAATAAAAAATAATAGCCATCGCTTATTTTTTAAAAATTAAGCAATGATTCTTCTTCTTCATTCTTGCTTCATTTTATTTCATTTTTTGGCATTCTCAAGTTTCTATTTTCTTCAAATAAAGGGAAGGCGGCTTTACAGCTATTGTCCAACGGCTGAAGGCGATATTTGCTCGGAAAAAATGCCTATGAGGGCGTCGGCCACGGCCAGAAAATTGAGAACTTTTGTTTAGAATATGAAGATGACGGAAGAAGTTTCGCATATTCGAATTCGCAAATCGGACTGAACAAAAAATATCACCCTGTGCGCCTATTCTTTTATTCTATTATTTCACTGTACAGATTTAATTCTTTCCGTTTACTCTATTTCTATTTTCTTCAAGTCTAATTCTACTTGTTCTTTTTTCACTTATAATCAGAACTACACTTTTTAAATTCGTCGAACTCGTAATTTTTCAGTTTATGCTCGTTTCAACCAGTTTAAAAACGCAATAATAAAGAAATTTATCAAAGAAAATTGAGTTTTTTTTTTGCATTTTCGAATTTTAAGATGTCGGATGAGGCGAATCTTAAGGGATGGCTCTTCAAGTGGACCAATTATTTAAAGGGCTATCAGAGGAGGTGGTTTGTTCTTTCAAACGGCTACCTCTCTTATTACAGATCGCAGCAGGAAATGTCCTACACTTGTAGAGGTAAGGGATGAAAAATGAAAGGATCATTGTTCAAGGGAGAATCGTTAAGACTTAGATACTGATGAGGTGATAGTTTTGAAAGAAGGAAAACCTGCGCGTGGTTAGTTATTTGACCGATTTTTTCGTTTCACTTTATCTAAAATTTAAACCTTTGATTCGAAGCGAAATTACACCAAATATTTTATTTGACATAATTTATGAAAATAAAAATAGAAAATTAAGCAAAAATACAGTAATTTTCTATGTATCCTTGTTGATTTCAGTTTTCTTTTTCTGAAGAAAAACTGTCAACTGATATTTTTTCAAAGGGACGATAAATGTTTCTGGGGCGGAAATAAGCTTCGAAGACCGAACTAGTTTCACCGTAACTTCTGGTTCGAACATTTCGTGGCACTTGAAGGCGCAAAGCGAAGTGGAGAGACAGCGCTGGATCCACGGGCTCGAGCTGGCGCGGGCGGGACAGCCGCGCTTCAGCGAGGATCAAACGGACTCGGACTCGGAAGGGGATGACGGGTCATCGCCAGGCGATGGCGCCGACTTGAAGCAAATATCGAATAAGCTCAACGATCTTAAAACTTGCCACGATCTTATCAAAAAACATGCATCTTCTCTTCAACGAGTCATTGCGGATATGGACAAAGACGACGACAAAATTCGGATGTTGCAAGAGAAGACGACGCTTTTCATGATCACTGCCGAGGAAAACGCTTGAAAAATACAAATATTTAAAATGAAATAAAAAAATATTGCGTTGAACATCTTGGGCAATCAACTATTGATGTTATTTTTGAAAACAAGGAAGAAACTATAGTTTTCGAAATTTTCGAATGCTAATTTGCTCAACAGTAAAATTTTATTATTTGTAAATGTTCCTGCTTCCTTGTCAAGCTTTTAACAGGCGATGAATGTAGCTGCAAACGAGTTCGTCAATCTAGCAAAGGCGACGGTTCGCAATATCGATTATTCGCCTTATCTGATTACTGTATAAGGCACTTGTCTACTGACAAACACGAGATTAGTCCCCGCTCTCTTTTCGCGTTTTCTAATTAGCGAGAAGATTTCTCTCTTTGAAAATAAATAAACAAAGTTCAAATTTTAATATTCAATTTCGAACCGTCTCAAGAATTCATCAGAAAATTGGCAAAAAGTTCTCGCTTCAGAGAGAGCCCAAAGATTTCGACTGGAAGAGAATATTGAAGCTTTAGGTATACCCTTACACTATGTTCATATAATGACACCCTTATTTTATGTCATTGGTAAAAATTTCACCGTAAAATTATGTTCAAAGCTCAATTTTTTCTTCCTAAAAAAATTAGGGAGTCACCATGTTAAGTCTTTGATAAATTCTCCTGATCATGAGGTTCTGTTATCTCATAACAGGATGGTCTGAACACGCGGCATCGTAAAAATCGCTGCTCCACGCTTCTCATTTGAGCGTTTTTCTCAGCTTCAAAAAAGTCAACTAAACTAAAAAAATAGCTCTCCAACAAAACGCGCTGGAAAGAGACTCCTCGATCGATAACAACTCAGAATTTACCCATGCCAATGTTATAAAGGTAATTACTTATTGACTTCTCTCGAAAACGGGGAAAGTTTCCCGATTATTTGTATGAATAAATGAATATGGTAATATATCTTCGCTTTCTCTGGCAAAGTTTAAAAGAAGAGTGCTTAATTATTCCTCACTTATCTTTAGAACTACGCCGAGCCAATGTGTGAAAGTGATGATGAGTTCCACGACTGTGAGACCGACGGCGAATCAATAGATGTTCCTGTAGCTACGGTAAGTGAATAGAGAAAAACATAAAAGTGGAAAAGAAGGTCAGAACGGAAGAGGGGTAGATTTTCGATCTATTTGTGTGTTTTATTTGGAGAGATTTTGTTTGTCAACAATTTATTACGTAACTCACCAGCGATTAATAAATGATTATCATCATCATCACCATCAAAAAATTAAAGATCTCAGAGAGAAAATAAGCTTTCAAAAGAGAGTGATTTTATTTCAATTTTTCGTTAATTAGAAATAGACTATTTTGTGTAATTGGGCGGAAATAAAGCAAAGTAAGCTCCGTATTTAAAAATACAAAAGAAAAATTCCTTCAAAACTAAGCTTGTCTCTCTTTCTTTCGTTTTTTCTCGAGTAGTCACTTGTTAAATAATCTGAATGAAGCAGGCCCTATTCATCTTGCCAATTTACCTTTCTATATATCTTTTTTATATTTTCCATTTCGAACAAGGGCACAAGGGCGCGATACGCCTTTCAAAAATACCCGGCCTACCACTTTCTTCCTTGATTTCAAGTCAGAGAAAAATAAAGAAAGAAAATAATACGGACAGCTGTGATCTGGGACGTTTTTTCCGACTCGAGTGTCATCGCGCCATTTTTTGGCGTAATCTTTCGTGTTTTTTGCGATTTTTTTTATTTGCGATTGGTGATTTTCCGTAGAGAATTTTTCTATTTTGGACGTTCTAATTTGAACCAGGTTACTTTTTTTATTTACCAGTGGTTAGCAACAGTGCTGCCTATTATTTCCAAAATGGACGATAAAACCGGACGTCTAATTCCGTATTTTCAAGACTTGCGCCCATGTTTGCGTCATGTGTCTAAATTACTTTAAACTCGAGTTACTGAGGAATCCCCTTAGAGAATCATTTCCCAATCTTCCAAAAAGAGCTAAAATAGAAAAAAAAACTTATCAACAGGTGAAAATCCTTTTTACGAATTTTTACGATTTTCGATGCTCTCTAGTCATTTTTAGCCCCTTTTAGACAGCTTCTGACCGTAAAAATGCTCTTTTTCTTCACAATTATAGCTTTAAATTCGCTTTTTTGGTGATTGCGTCAGAGAAATTCTTGGCACTCTGTTTCGGCATTTAGAAATTCGGCCGTCTGAACTTCAAATATTGTCCTTGGCCTGGGTAAAATTTCAAATTGGCCAGTTCTCTGGGAGATTTTTATGTTTGTCACGTAAAAGCATGCCCGTGGGGAAATAGCAGTTCGAGACCACCGGTTGTCCCTTATATGGTCCCATACCTATTGAAACTGACTGTAAGAGTTTTTAGATGACTGTCGAGACAACAAATAAGGATGGCAAACGCAAGCGGCGCACCACCATTCCGGATAAGCCGGATAAACCACTCAACCTCTGGTCCATAATGCGCTCTTGCATCGGAAAGGTAAACAACTAAAAAGCATAATCCTTTGATCAATCAATTCGAATGCATACAGGTGTATATTTACAATTTTACCAATCAATATTCATTTGCGAGAAAGAAATTTCTTGTTATTCAAATTAAGGGGGTAGAAGCAGCTTTCTCGATTTTGGACTGCAGCTACATAAAAGAAAACATAAGATTTATTTATGTCCACGGAATTTCCTCATAAATGTTCCTAGAAAAAGGGTTGAGCTTAACAAAAATGTGCATGAAATTTGTTTAACTATCAGGGGACTCGAGATATACGTGTTTAAAAATTTGCGAAAATCGTGAATCTCGGAGAGATGAGCTGCTTCTGAGCCCGCTTACTCAAAAATTTGATGACTAAAACAAATTTCAAGGGAGATGCTCCTTGATCTAAGATGTATCTATCTAAACCAGAAGAGAAAATTTGAAAATGTAAGATTCTCTTGACTGTAGCGCCGGTCAAAAATCGCCTTTTTCGGAAAAAAGCTGTTTCTACCCCCTTAAATAATTTATTTTCATTTATAATAATAATAATAGGGCGTATTCTGTAGGCTCAAAAATATAGGTCGATTACATGATATCGATTTAGGACCTTTCAAAAATCCCGATGCCAGTGAACTTCAACGAGCCGCTCTCTATGCTGCAGCGAATCACCGAAGACTTCGAATACCACGACTACCTCGATCGCGCCGCCGCCACGGACTCTGTCGAAGAACAGCTGGCCCTGGTCGCCGCCTTTTCCGTCTCTTCCTACGCATCAACGCTTATCAGAACGACGAAGCCCTTCAATCCGCTGCTCGGAGAGACTTACGAGCTCGACAGAGAGGAGGAAATGGGACTTCGTCTCATTGTCGAACAAGGTAACAATTTTGCCTCATACCTTCGGTATCTGTCGGGGGGTATTCCCAATGTTCTACAAATATTTCAGAAAAGGGTTATATTTCCTTTTCTCCGTATTTTCCACTTATGAATATTTCAGTGTCGCATCATCCCCCAGTCGCCGCCTTCCACGCCATTTCATCGCGGAACGGTGGATGGGAACTCTTCGGCGAAATGATGGTCACGTCCAAGTTCAGGGAAAATACTTGTCAGTCATGCCTCAGGGCTCAATTCACGTAAGCTACGGTTCCCCCCCGATTTACTTATTTATTTCTCCGTGTAGGTCAAATTCCACAAGAACGGCCAGCACTATCACTGGAGCCGAGTCACTACTACAGTTCACAATATCATCGTCGGCAAACTGTGGATCGAGCAAAGCGGAGAGGTGAGTTATCAAAAACATTATTCATAAACTTAATGCACTATTTAAAGTACGATGTGGCGTCTTCAATAACTCCTCACAAATGCACACTCAAATATCATCCCTATTCTTACTTCTCCCGAGAACCAGCGCGCAAAGTCACGGGCACAGTTTTCGACGCCAGTGGAAAGGCTAAAAAGTCATTACTGGAACTTGGGATGACCATCTCGACGTTGCCGATGTTACCAAGATCAAAGACGCGAAGAAAGAAGACTACGAAACTACTCCGTCCAGAAAACTTTGGAAAAAGGTAAACTTCTTTTCCTTGGTTTTAATAATCAACATGATTTTAGTACGCGCTTCCAAAAGGAGCCGAGAAGATGTACCACTTTAGCGAGTTCACGGTGAGCTTGAACGAGATGGAAGAAAACATCGCACCAACCGATTCGAGATTACGAAAAGATCAGCAACTCATGGAAGAAACTTTGTGGGACGAAGCCAATGCTGAGAAACAGGTTCGTTTTTTCCTTTTACTCCATGGCTTATTCGATTTTAAGCGACTTGAGCAAGCTCAGAGAGAAAGGAGGAAAGCTAGAACGAGTCCTTGGGAGCCGGTTTGGTTCAAAGAAGATACCTGTAAAACTTCTGGCCTCAAACTTCATCTTTATAAGGTACATTTTCCATTTGAGTAACTGTCCTTAAATATCCATTCAGGGCGAGTACTGGGAGAAGAAAGAAAAGCAAGATTGGTCAAAGTGCCCTTCAATATTCCAATAAATTTAAATGCTTCAAGACCTGTTCAGTAAAATTCAAAACTCTCTATTTTCTCCTTTTTTTCTCTAAGTTGCCGAAAAATAAAAATGCAAGAAATCTAGTAAAATCACCTCCTTATTCATCATTTCATCCTATGTTCTATTAGTTTTGTCAATTATGATAATATCATCAAATAGTTACAGTAAATCAAAGCAAGAAAAAAAAAAACTATTTTTGTTTCAACAAAGTTTAATCCTCTTTTCTTCAAAACAAATTTGCCTGTTTTACTGGTAGTATCAGTAGTGCTGCTTTAGATTAAAAAATTATATCCCTTCTCTTTTTATACTTGTGACTGTGCATCACGCACTGTAAATAGACACTATTCACTATTGTAGAGATCATCAAGCTCTACTTGAATTAAGGATATAGCCTGTAAAATTCAACTTTCGTAGCGGCTAAACGCAAGGTCGGATCTTTTCATTACAAGTACAATCCTACCTAAAAATGGACGGAGAATTCAATTTTGGTACTTTTTTAAAAATTTTCACTTGAATTTTTCTCTCTAGAGCGATTTGAAATCTTACGATCGCGATTCCTCGAAAATTTTTCACTAAATCGGTCGAGTTTTTTCGATAGGTAGGTTCTTTAGACCTTTATCTACAAAATTGACGGTTTAGTTTTCTCTAAGTCCGAAAGAAACCGATTTTACAGCCATTTCCATGAGGCTAACTCAGCGCGCAGAAGCTATGAAAAGCGCTGCGCTCGGTGCTCGCTCTCTCGCCTCCTCTTTTCCGGGAGAGCGTGCGTGTTTTTGCGAGCGCTCTGATTGGCTACACGCGATAAAGCGCGCACGGAAGAAAAGCAAGAGCAAGAAAGAGGATAATACTAGAATGAAAATTTGATCGAGTTTGAGAATTTTATTCCCTCAATTTTCTAGCTTAGCATGATAACAACAGAGAACACGGTTTAGTTTTAGCGAATTAATGGAAAAATTTTGAGAAATCGCGATCGTAAGATTTCAAGTCGCTCTAGAGAGAAAAATTTAGGTGAAAATTTTAAAAAATATACCAGAATTGAGTTTTTCGTGCATTTTTAGGTAGGATTGCTTTTGAAATGAAAAAGATCCGACCTCGCGTTTAGCCGCTACGAAAGTTGAATTTTACAGGCTATATCCTTAAATTATACAACTTGTGGCTTGTGCAATAAATTTATTGATTATTTGATTTCAATAAAATAAGAGTTTTAAACTGCTTCTGTTTTAATCAATTTATTTCTGTGATAAATATTTTTTGTTCTGTTTTGGCAGTGGGTCATTGAAAGTGGATTCTGGCCAGTTGAATTTTCGAAAAGTTCTCCCAATCTCTCGGCTAAAAATAAGAGCTAGAAAAAACTCCTTTAGTAAGAATTCACCTTTAGCATTCGCGCAGCAAGAGCTGGAATTTTCGCTTGAATCAAGCAGAATTCAGCCAAGTCCCTTCTCTCAATATCTAACAACAGTCCAATGAAATCTTTCACAAAGTCAAGATAGATGTCCAAAACGAAACACTCTTGGATAGACTTCTTTAGCTGGAATTTTATCGCTTCTCTCTTTTCAAAGGAGTCCATGTTTCGAAATCGCCGCATTCGAGATTCCAAGTGGTCCATGGATGCGTGATGAGTTCTGTGCCAAGATTGGGGGAGAAAATCGTCGAGATTTGTGACCATTCCTTCGGCGGTTTTTCGCTTCAAAACATTTTTTTCGACCTTTTCTACGGTGAATGACATTCTGATCCCTCGCCAGTCATAAAGAGGAACACAAAATGAGCTGAAACCAAATGATAATGATTTTGAGTTCGTATCAATTTGCCAAACCTGAGCATACTTTTGGCCACCTCGACAACAGTTGGTACGTTCAAACTGATCACATCCTTCGTCGACGTCTGCGATTCACAATATCCCATTCCTCCGTATTTAATCGGTTCAAAGTCAGCCTCTTTTGCCCTGTAATTGAGTTTGACCGTCAACTTCGTTCCCTCGACCTTGTACTTGTTCATTTTTCCAATAATGTAGTGCGTAAGGGCTGTTAAAAACTCCTCGGCCATGATCCAGTTGCGGAATCGAATTCCGTAGTTGATATCGGAGCCGATGGTTTTTGGGTACTTTTCATATTCGAGCTGTTCTTTTAACTCGCCTCGGCAAGAGGACAGAATTTGCTTGATATGGTTTGGCCTGAAATATGCTCTATAATTTATAGACTATAAATTTTGAGTTCATCACTTCAGTGAATCAAGTCTTCTTTATTGTTATTTGTATTAATTATAGAGCCCAAAACCCAAAATTAGCGTCAGCTAAAAGATCCCGCGGAATCTTCGCTACATCGGAGCACATAATCGGGTCGCGAAAAGGAATATCATTTTTGATCAGTATTTCTCCAATTTTCTTCAGTGTCTGTCCCCCATCTGTGGAACATCGATAAATGGAGTGTTCTCCATCAATTCCGTTATTTCAAATCCATCCGAAATCTCGTAAATTCCATTTGGTTTAGCTTTCTTTGTCGCCATTCTAGCGAGCATTCTGGAGGGCCCGAGACCGATGGAAACGTTTATTCCAGTTTTATCTTTGAATTTTTGCTTCACCTCTGCGGCTATTTCTTTCGTAGCCTTGTTTGACTTGTAAACGAGTTTGGTTAAATCCATGTAGAGTTCATCGCAACTGATGGCTTCGATAAAAGGCGTGAAGTTGGCACAAGTGGCGTAGAGAATTTCGGAGACTTTCTTGCAGTCCTCAAGTTGATAGTCCAAAACGACAAGTTCTGGGCAGATCTTCAGCGCCTGGCCAAGGTACATGTCAGCCTTGATCCCTAAAGCGCGCGCCTCGTAGCTGCAAGAAGCGATTTCAGAGAAGCTTTCACCAGCTTCGACTTTGTGTCCTCCATGGCCGATTCGATGTGTTTCTAGCAAATCGTTCTTTTCAACTTCTTCGGCGACTTTCTGCTTCTTTGAAGGATTTTTATTGCCATAAGAAGCAGTTGTTCCATGGCAGATCGCAATTGGTCGCCCTCGGAGCTCAGGTTGATCAAGAATTGCGACAGAGACGAAGAAGGAATCTCATTTTTGATGATCAAATAAAGTTGAACAAACTAAAGAGAGAACAGTTTATCACCAGTTCCTATATCAATATGCGCGATAAACTGTCCCATCTTCTCTCCCTCCATTAGCGGCGGCCTTGTCAACTCCGCCACCAAATGATGCAGCTCCGCCTTCCACGCGCTCAACCAATGAAGCCTCGATTTCTTGTAATACTCTCCAATGCTCTTCCTCGGGTGCGTATAATCCTCCCAGCTTTTCGGCAACTTTCGCTCTTTTAGAAACTCTTGAAGCTCTTCCGAAAGCGCCATTCGCTGTTCTTCAGAATATCCACTCCGCTCGTAGATTTTTTCGTCGACAAAGTTGGGAGACGATAGTTTTCCAATGAATCTAGCATTCATTTTTTCTTCCTTCGTCGTGAACAAATTTCCCGATTGATCTTTCCAAAGTCGGTATTTCTTCCAATCGACGAGTTTTCCCGCTTTGAGACAGTCGGTGATAAACTTTGGCTTCACAATTTGGTGGTGGTGGAGAAGTCGGAGCATTTTTCCGCGAGGGAGGGTCTCGACGAGTTCAAAATCGGTTTTCGGCGTTTTGACGAGGTCGAGAATTCCACCATTTTTGAGGAAAATCTGCTTCAGTTGGCTTTGCGGCGGATCAGTCAATCCATTTACCCAAAATCGAAGACCCTTGAAATTTTTGGTGTTTCTTCGATTCTGATTGGTTGAAAGAAGGTACCTGAAAGAGATTTCCTGCGTCTTTTGGGACTTGTTTCAGCCACTGGTCATCCAATTTCCGCAATCGCTCTTCCCAGTACTCCCCGAATCCGCCCCATCCATTCACATCTCTGATGTCCCTGTTGATCCTCGTCATACTGTAATTCTCCAAGGAGTAAAGAAAAACGTCAATTAAAAAATATGAGCCACGTCGCCGAGTCTCCGCCAATGACTTTCTCGTATTGAATATTTTTCATTGACTCGGCCTCTTTTTCCGCGCTGAACTCGTACTACGTGCTTGAAAATTAGAAAAGTTTAAAGAATGAAAGTTTATTATAGATTGATCAGATCAAGAGAAATCGTTGATAATTATGTCGGTCTCAATTGCTGCGATGGCGGCGACTTGGAGAAACGTCAAGTTGTCCGAGTTGCAGTCAGAAATGGACGAAAAGGCAACAGATTTAGCTGCCAAGAGCTCCGAATCAGGTAATTTTGTGTTCTTTCTTGTTAAAATGGTAATATTATTAACTTTTTAATGATAATCTTTAAAAAGTTTCAAGAAGTTGTAACCTTTTTGATTGGGGACGTTTTTTTCATGATATCAGGAAGTAAATATGCTTTTCATTTAATTTTCATGTTGTATGGATTTCTATGGGTTACTTAAATGGATCAACTTTCTCTCGATAGCGCTTCAAATACCAACTTGTCCACATTAGGTTCGATTCTTATCAAATGTCTTCAGATCTTTCCCGCAAGAAACTTATCGGCGCCTCAAAAACCTTCAAAAAAGAATCTCCGGAAGAAGCCCGCAAAGCCGCTGCTCCCCTTCTCAAACTCTTCCAAGGCGAAGTTGATGCTTTATCAAAACGATCAAAGGCCGCAGAAACCGCCTTTTTGAACATTTACAAGGTACAAATTTGCTTTTATTGAATTTAAATTGATTTTTACCAGCGAATAATCGAACTCGCGGATCCTCTGCCCGCTTTGGAGGCTGCTGAGCTCAATTTGAAGAAGCTACAGAAAGCGAAGGATATTGAAGTCGAAAATCAGAAGCTGAAGGACACCATCAATGGATACAAGAAGGATTTTGCGGAAATGAAGGGACACGAAATCACAATTCAAAAACTTAATCAAAAGTAAGAGACGCATATATCTGCTCGTCTTATTAAGTTTTTAGAATAAAAGAGCTGGAATCCGAAAACGAAAACAGCGTGTCTCAATGCATCGACGAGAAAGAAAAGGAACTGCAAAGTCTTTTCTCGGAGAAAGAAAGGGAGCTGCTCGAGACGCAACAAATGGTCGCGGGGAAGCTCGGACAAACGGAACAAAGAGCCGCCCTTACTCAGCAAAAACTCGAATCGCTCCAAAACGAGCTGTTGGAAATCAGGGCCAAGTATGAAGAAGAGCGACAGGCGAAAACGGAAGAACTCGACATGCTCGAATCTGACCTTGAAAGAGCGACGCACAGGGCGGAAACGGCGGAGAAAGAAGCTGATCAACTCAGGTTTGAAAAATCGATTCCGAAAAAGGATTGAAATTAACCTTGGTTCTTCCCAATTAGAGAAAAGCTGTCATCCGCCGCGCCTGCGTTTGACTCATCCGACAATTCCGACTTGGCGGCAAATATTGCTGGTTTGGAAGCTGAATTGAGCAGAAAAGAGCGAGAGATCAACCACTTGAGCACGGAGTTTTCAGCTGCCACGGAAAAATCGCAAGTCGTTGTTGCTCAACTCAACCGACAACTTGAAGGTAAGCAGAAAGCTTCTTAACTCTTCCTGATTGGCTGAAAATCCCGATAGAACCACAGTTTAACCTAAAACCTGGAATGCTGCCCATTCCTATTATTTTTAAGCTTTGACGGAAAAAAACGAAAAACTCAACGATGAAAAAACCTCGCTAGAATCCGCATTGGTCGATCAAAAAGACTTCATCGCTCTCAAGAAAGAACTTGACATTTTGAAATCAACGCAATTCGCCGGCGAGGACGAGCAAAAGATCGAATCACAATCGCTTGAGACTCTTTTGCTTTCGCAAAATCGAGGTCTTCAAACGGAAAATTCGCAGTTGAGAAAGGAGAATATTTCCATAACGAATGATCTCAAGCAGAGTGGATCGGATGTTCAGGCGTTGAGGGGACAGGTCCAGAATCAAGAGGCGTTGATTGAGAAATTGGAGAAGGACTTGCTCATGGTGAATGCTCTTCCTTCAGCTTACAGGTAGAAAGATATCATCTTTTACTGATTTGAAAAAATACCCTTAGAACAACAGGGGACGGACAATCCTCTCCACCAAACGCCCAGGCGGATTTCCTCGCAGATGCGGTGAAAGAAGTCGCCCAAAAAAGCACGGCCCTGCTGAGCGACCAACTTCTGCCTAACGCTGCGAGCAAGCACTCGGATTCTTCCCTTCTTACAATTGTTCAGTCTCAGCGCGAACGATTCCGGTAAATTATTTATAACGAAAAAAATGAATGCACCTAACACATTGCGATTATAGTCTACGTGTGCAAGACCTCGAGCATGAGAACATGATGCAAACACAATCGATACAGTCGCTCACACAAGAGATTGAACAAATGAGATTGGACAACGTCAAAGTAATTTTTATCAAAAATGTTTTCCGTCTATTTTCGCATTTTTAGCTTTACGAGAAAATCAAATTCCTGCAAAACTACCGCCCAAGTTCAAACAGCAGCGGCTCCAGCAACTATCCAAATACTTTCAACGATGACGAAGCCGGACGCAAATACGCGGGTCAATACGAAAATCAGCTCGACCCTTTTGCAAAATTTTCAAAATCGGAGAAACAAAGAAAGTATGCTTCGCTCTCGCCAATTGACAAGTTTTCGCTCAACATGGGGCAGTTTATTCTTGGCAACAAAGTAAGTTCTTTATGCTCCTTTTTTCCTCATTTGAAAACCTTACTTTAAGGGGGTAGAAACAGCTTTTCTCTGAAAAAGGCGATTTTTGACCGGCGCTACAGACAAGAGAATCTTACATTTTCAAATTTTCTCTTCAGGTTAAGATAGATACATCTTAGATCTAGGAACATCTCCCTTAAAATTTGTTTTAGTCATCAATTTTTCGAGTGAGCGGGCTCGGAAGCAACTCTTCTCTCCGAAATTTTCGATTTTCGCAAATTTTCAAACACGAATATCTCGAGTCATATGATAGTTAATCAAATTTCATTAACAGTTTTGTGAAGCTCAACCCCTTTTCTAGGAACATTTATGAGGAATTTCCGTTTACATAAATATATCATATGTTTTCTATTATGTAGCTACAGTCCAAAATCGAGAAAGCTGTTTCTACCCCCTTAAGATGGCGAGGACATTTGTATTTATTTATACAGTCATTATCCATTGTCTTCTGTATCTAATTCTCTACAAATTCGGAAACACGACAGATTGCAAGCACCATCTTGCCGAGCTTTGCTACGAGCAATTTGGCGATTCTCGCCATCCCAATTAATTGAAAGACGATTCAGAACTCTTCCTTGATTTCAAGAATTCAAGTTCCTTCTTATCCAATTCAAAAGAAAACCACATTTGTGCAATCAAAAGAAAACACAGCCCACAGTTCCTTTTGCTCCTTCGTTATTTACACCGGGTGTCACTCCACTATACTTTCTGTACTTATTCTTCAACCCTCTTTTTTGTTTACTTTACGCTTCCTTTTAAGGCTGAGAAAATGAAGGTCGCCCTAGTGACTGGAGGAAATCGCGGAATTGGGAAAGAAATTGTCAGAAAACTCGCTTTGGGAGGCTTCAAAGTCATTTTAACTTCTCGGTAGGTCAATATTTTTCTAGAGCAATTTTTGAAACTGACATTTCGTCTCTAGAAACCTGGAAAAGGGAAGAAAAGCAAAAGGTTAGTCCTCAATCGAGAAACTGCTTTCTCAAAAAAATGCAGTCGAGCTGGGCAGTCTTTCCAACATCGACGTCCTCCAGCTCGACTTACAATGCTCGACTTCCATCACGAATTTGAGAGAAAAAGTAGCGAAGGAATACGGGCAGCTGGACGTGCTGGTTCAAAATGCGGCGATAAGCGGCGGTGGAAATGTCAAACGCGACTTCGTTGAGGATATGTTGAAGACTAACTTTTGGGGACCTTCGTGTTTGATGAAGGAGTTTTACGAGCTCATGGCGGATTCTTCCAGAGTCGTGTTTATGAGCTCCATGGTGTCGATGAGGACGCTAACAAATGCCCGACACCCATTGGTTCACGAAATCGGTAAACTGTCACATGCCATGGCGAAAATAGGGACAATAGAACAAGACAAACGCATTTTAGCCTTCTTCATTGATTTCAATTAATTTCACTTTTTAGGTCAAAACAACATCTTTCTAACGGAAGAGAGACTAGAACAACTTGCCCAGTCCTACATCGACAACTACGAAAGTGACAAAAATCTGCCAAGAAGTTGCTACGGCGTTTCGAAGATTCTCATAAATGCTCTGGCTCGTGTTTACGCGTGAGTAGTTCTAGACTACCTGTAGATAATACCAGCCTCCGCTTTTCTTTTTTTAATTATTCGTTATTTCAATTTAGAGAAAAGGCTAAGAAAGAGGACTCGCGTAAAATTCTCGTTAATGCTTGCTGCCCTGGATTTGTGGCGACTGAGATGAATAAAGGGAACCCGAATGCGAAGAAAACGCCGGAAGAAGGAGCTCAATTGCCGTTTTTTCTAGCTACATTGCCAGAGGACTCTTCTCTGTCTGGAGCATACCTTTCTGATGCATAAGTTTTATACATGTGCTCGTTTTAGAATGAAATTGCTGAAAACAGCGTTGATCGCCGGCTCTTGCCTGGCCGACGAAAGCGGCTACCAGACCCCTGTGCCAGAAGGCTCGGTGCATTTTTATGAGTCCTTTGACTCCGCTGACGCTATCGATGGCTGGACCCGCTCTGACAACGAAAAGTACGCTGGTGGAAAATGGGCTGTCGAAGCTCTAGCTAAAGAAGCTCTTGAAGGAGATCAAGTAAAGAAAGCATCCTTGGTTCAGTTTTTAATGTTTTCTAGGGCCTCGTTATCAAAAAGAAAGCCGCCCACCACGCTCTTGCAAACTACCTTGACAAGCCATTCAACTTCGAGTCGAACTTCGTTGCCCAATATGAAGTTGCCTTCCAGAACGGAATCGAATGCGGTGGTGGCTACATGAAGCTTCTCTCTCAATCGGACGACGATTTAGTTAATTTCGACGACAAAACTCCTTTCACGATCATGTTTGGTCCAGACAAGTGCGGCGCCGATTACAAGCTCCACTTCATCTTCCGCTACAAAAATCCCGTCACTGGTGAAATCACTGAACGCTCTCCGTCGAAAAAGGCGGACAGCAGCGATCTTCAAAAGAAGTACACCGATAACAAGCCTCATGTTTACCGATTGGAAGTCAACACCGATAATACTTTCGCTATCTCCATCGATAACAAGGTGGTTATGTCTGGAAATCTTCTTGATGATATCTCCCCGCCAATAATTCCACCAAAGGTAAGCACTTCCAAAAAATGACAAAATATAGAGGATTATTTAGGAAATCAATGACCCTGAGGACTCGAAGCCCGAAAGCTGGGACGAGCGAGAACGAATCGCCGATCCCGAGGCAGTGAAGCCAGAAGACTGGGATGAAACTGCACCAGCTAAGATTCCTGATGAAAATGCTGTGAAGCCCGATGGCTGGCTCGATGATGAAGAAGCGCTTATTCCTGATCCTGATAGCGTGATGCCCGACGATTGGGACGAAGAAATGGACGGCGAATGGGAAGCACCGCTAATTGAAAACGAACTTTGCAAAAGTGCTCCTGGCTGTGGAGCCTGGCTCCGACCGGAAATCAATAATCCAGCTTACAAGGTAACCAACAGTCCGAATTTCTCCATGAAAACACTTTTAAAAGGGTAAATGGAAAGCGCCAATGATCGACAACCCCGATTACGATGGCAAGTGGGCGCCACGTAAGATTCCCAACCCAGAGTATTTCGAAGACGCTACCCCCTATAAAATGACTCCAATTGGCGCTATTGGTCTCGAACTCTGGACTTTGTCCGACGATATCTACTTCGACAACATTTACATTGGAAACAACGCTGACGCCGCTCGAGCGCTCGTTGAACAGGTTTGTAGAAAGAGAAAATGAGTTCTGTTGACATTTTTGTAGACCTGGGCTTTGCGAAAGAAGCAGAACAGCAACGTTCTCACTCCCTTCGTCGAAGCAACTGAAGGTCGACCATGGCTCTGGGCTGTTTACGTCATGGCCGTTATCATTCCAGTCTTTGGACTGATCATCTACTTCTGCTGCAGCGGCGAATCTAAAGGTAAATTGCTCAATAAAGCGATCAAATGTTGATTTTAATGTATAGAAGACGAAGTTGCTCGAAAGAAAAAGACTGATGAGCCAACTGAAGACGACCCACACGATTCTGATGCCGAGAAATCCGATGCTGAGGTAGATTCTGTTTTCAATTTCCTCTTTCTACGTGTGTTTATAGGAAAAGGAGATTGAGCAAAGCTCTGAAGATGAGGAACCTCGACTTGAAGGAGATGATGAGCCAACTGTAAGTTTTCTTCCTTGATTTCATCATTTCATCTTTATATTTTTAGGAGCAAGGTGATGCTAAAGAAGCCGCACCAGGCGAAGAAGACTCAAAGTAATTAGAATTATGCCCGTTCAAAGAGGAAATCTCCTTCTGCTATTGCAAACTTGCTACTCAAAACTCCTTTACCCCATTATGCGGTACAATAGGTGGATTTTGCCTCTTTAGGATTATCGAGTTTACTGCCCCGACTTCGGCCTTATTCCACAAACTATTTTATTCGTCATCTTCTTTTTGAATTTCGACTTTTAGAAAAAAAATAAAAAAAAGCTTACTTTAATTTTTTGACTTTTGATATTATCAACCCTCTATTTTGATATTCGTTTATCTGTTTCATTCTTCAATTGATAAAAAAATTCTAAAATAGTAGCCAGAAATCTTGTAGAATCACAAAAACACTCACACAACCAGAGCCCTTCAAGCTACTACCAACTTGTCTTCATTTATCTGTCTGGCTCTTCTTTTCCTCTTTGTCTTTTTATTTGAATAAAGTGTTGAGTCAAGATAAAACTCTAACCTGAATTGAATTCAGGGGTGTGTATCAGTCAAGTCATGAATTCATTGCAACGAAAAGTACTCTTCCCCAAGCATTACTATCACCTTGAGTTTATACTCGTGCGCATGACAGAGAGCATAAAAAGTCAGCAGGACTTCCAGCCCCGAGTAGAAGTAAATATGCCCAACAAAAGTCGAAGGAGCGAGTATTTTAATAGGCAGGATTCATATCGAATGTCAGTCCTCTCAGACAGATTTCTTTCGCTCTATACAGTAGGGATCACAGTGCACAGGTTGATCAGAGAGGGAGCCAGCTCGACGAAACGAGGACTTTATTACATGCATCCTGGATTGTTTCAAGATCAAAGAGTTGTTGATACTGCTGTAGGAAAGGCTTTAAAACTCCTCTCTGCGTCTCTTCATTTATTTTTATGCCTCTAAAAGATGAGCTAGCGTATATCCTCTCCGTCGCTCGTCCTGAGCTACGCCTCCATCAAGCTGCAAAGGGTGAAGCTCAGGGACATCTCCACCTCCCCGGCTGCAATTTTGCCTCCGAACAAGGAGGGCAAATACCACCTGATATCTCGGACATAAATTTGAATGAGGTGCAACTTCCACAGTTCGTCCTTGTTTTGGAGAAATTCGCAATCTACCAGCGACTTGTAGAAGAAAGATTCAGCGCGACCAGGGATTGTCTTCTTGTCACAGGAAGAGGACAACCTGATAGAGCCACTCGTGCACTTTTAGCCAGGCTTGATCAATGGAATGTGCCTTGTTTTCTTCTTGTCGATGGAGATCCTTGCGGGTAAAAAAGGAAAGAGAGAGAGCGTTTTGAAGATTTCTTCTTTTAGGTTGGATATCTACCTCACTTATCGTGTTGGATCTTGGCAGCTCGTCCATGAGCAGGACATCATTGTCCGAGGGCTGATTCTTGCTGGAATCAGACCGAATCAAATCAAAAGCCGCTTCAACTTCCCCAGAGATGTTCGTCTCCCTTTGAATCAATCAGACAGATCTCGCATTTCCACCATGCGAAATAAAATTCTAGCCTAGGTTCAACAAATCGAAATCCGATGCCCGGAAAACCCGATATCGGATCGGATATTTATCGGGTTTTGTCGGGTTTTTTTTCACCCTACAAAACCCGATCCTGAAAATTTCAAAACCCGACGTAGGATCGGGTTTTTGTCGGAATTTCGTCGGGTTTTTCTTGCCTTTTCAGCCAATCACAGTCGGTCTAAATAGCCTCCCTTGCCCTTTTTTACTCAAAATGCACATTCACATTAATCTTACCAAAGATAATCTTCTGTCAATTGAGAGAATGAAATTCGGCGAGGAATTTCAGAGAACGCCTGAGCTTGAAGGCTTTAGTACTCCAACTATTTTCAACCATGTTGGAACGTTGGGACCGGGCAAGTCGGGCAAGAATCGGGCGGGCGGGCAAATCGGGCGGCGCAGGGCTAGATTTTACGAGGTTAAAATCGGGCAAAGTCGGACAATCGGGCAAAATTCGGCGCCGGGGAAAATAGTCGGCCCTGTTTTCAACCCCATGGGTTATTTGAGGTCATGTGACCTCGGCAAGGCCTAACCCCCTAAACTGCAACTCAGCAATGTCTAAGCTTTCTAAACATATAAACAGGGGTGGGATTATTTATTCTATATTCTACCGTATTCGACCAGGCGTTTTTATCGTACTAGGAGATGCACAATGGGAAAATGTACAAAAATCTAAATATTATTATAAATGATCCTCGAAAATTGTTGAAAAAATCCGCTCAAGATGAGTTTTTGACCTTCTTTTCACTTCATTTTTTTTAATTTTTGCTTGTAGGAAACCCGACAAAAATCCGACAAAAAACCCGATAAAAACCCGATTTCCGACCCGACAAAAACCCGATAAAATCCAACAAAACCCGATCCGATTTTTCCGACCTACTAAAAACCCGATAAAACCCGATCTTGGTTTCGGGCGATTTTGTTGAACCTAGATTCTAGCGACGATGGGGATCCAAACAATTGAAGAATTCAACAATGATACGATGAAGCAATATTGGGATATTGTGATGTTTTACCACGAGCTTGCTGTCATGGAGGAGCTTGAGTATAAAGTCGAACTTGAAGCTCTTGAATCTATCGAGGTATTTTTTCATTGCAAAAGAGTTTTTCAAAAATTGTTATTTTCAGAATGGAGTTTACCGAGGAACATATCTTTCAAACTTCTTCATCCCCGAATACGTCGAAAGTCGCGTGATCGACCACCAACGTAGAGTCCCAGTTGCCGCTTTGTCGCAGGAGCAAAATCAAGTCGTTATCGAAGAACTGCCAGACGACAATTACGATCTTCGATTAAATGACAGCGCTGTCGGATCGAGTTACAGCGAGACCCAGAGCTTGCCGGAAAGAAATCCATCACAGCTGTCTCACTTCTCCGGCTACTACTCCCAGTATTCTGACTCTTATCATTCTCAACACTACTTCAAATAAACTTTTTTTTCCTATTTTTCATAATCAGCTCTTCTTTCCATTAAAAAAGAAACTATTTTGAATACTTTATAACCAATTAGTAATCTGTTATAAGAAAACCTAGAACTCACGTTTCAGAACTCAACTTGGACTTTTCATGTTATGTAAGGGGCTTAATTATGGTATAAACAGACTCCTAATCGATCCTATTAGGAGTTTTATTCGAAATTACGGCAGTCATAACAATTGTCCGTTAGCTATCTTTCTCAATTTGTGCAGGATCATTCATCCACTCAAAAGCAGGTCGGTCTTGTCGAAGATATGGCCAGATAAAATTGTCGAAGACGGTTTCATTCCTTATCCACTAGTAAAGGGCTCAAAGTGATAACCTCTCGGACTTGTTCAATTTTAACCAGGAAAGATAAAATTGCACTTTGGTGGTTTTTCGCGACTCAAGAGCCCAGTTTCTGGTGGTGATTTACGCCGTCTTGAACGTGTCTTTTCCAGCGACCTTTTTCTTCGAGAGTTTTTAGGCCGAAAATATTGCGTTTGTAAAAGTCGAATGTTGATACATCTGCGATTTCCGTGGAGTTTTCTCTTTGAATTCGTTATTGAGAGGATTATTAAAATCACTTACCGAAAGTTTATAAATTGTGACGACTGCCAAGGTTCAATAACTCCATCATTTGGCCCACCAATCGTAACTAGCTGCCTCAGTCGACTTTTTTTGTGGTTCGGCAATTTTAAGAATGTCCCATATTTACGTAAAGCCGGATAGCGGCAATTTCTGTATGCAAGCAATTTTAAATTCTTGAGGCGTAACTTTTTGCATCGCCAAAACAGAGCAGGTCACGCATAGAACTCATGATGCACCCCTTTTCAGCTTTGTTCCACGTTTTCTTGAAAACAATTTCTAAAAAAATAGAACCAGTTCCTGAAATTATCAGCCCAAACAGGATCGATGGGCGTTTTCTACGGAGGGGTGAAAAGTGAAAATTGAGAAGGGCGAGGGAAGGAGCTGATTGATTTGATTCTCAGATTAGATATTCAAGCCCAGAAGAAAAAATAATTAATTTCCCGAGTAAATAGTATTAAGAAAGCAAAGAAGAGAAAGTCCTTTTCACCCCGGGTCACTGAGTTTCGCCGTTGTACACAGCCAAGTATTCAGAAGCAGCCGCGTATTCATCCAGGTGATAGGGGTCGCGCCAGTAATTCGCGATGGAAAGTGATTGTCCACGTTTTCGGTACAAATATTTATACAAATTGAACTAAAACATTCTTACTTTCTTTTTAATAAGGGTTAAGTGATTACTTTGTTGACTTTTATGTACTTTTTGCGGAGATAGTCGGTTTCGCCGAATTGACCGTTCAGGGGGCTTTTTCAAGGGTTATCCTTTGTTCGTTTGTCAGGAAAAGATAAAGAGTTGTTGAACAATTAAAAACCCTAGCTTGAGATGGCGATAAACGTGTGCACATTGTGTTGATTTGACTGGAGCACGCAGCGAGCTGAAATTAAGGGTCCACACTTAGGATTGAGGAAAACAAACAGTTGTTTGAAAATCATTCAGGACCCATTCCTATCAGTCCGCCTTGGCTAAAAGCGACGACGTTGATTCCATCCGGATACTGTTCGGAAAGCTTTAAGAACTCCTTTGTATAAGCAAGATGTTGTTTGGGCAGATTTTGGAAAGAAGACGCGCCGTTGAACTGGGGAGAAAATATTTAGAGGGTGCTTGAAACGATAAGTCTTACCACATCTGCATAGTGGATAATTGTACCAGGCGCTCGCTGCTCTACAAAACCGCGGAAGTCGTTGAAGTCGTGGGAATGTTCCTTTTACAAGAATGCCGAACTTCAGGTTAAAATAGACCTTCAATATTTTATCTTTCAAATTATGGGAAAAATTATTTATTTCTCGAAACTCGAAACATCATTTCAAATGATAAAAATAAATAATCCTTGAAATTTAGATTCAAAATAAAGTTGGCTTTCTTTTAACGCCATTTCATAATGACTTCAAATTGAATTTATATTCAAGACTGTTCCGCTAGTACACGTTCGTTTTTAATTTCGAACTCTTGACTTGAGGCCGTGGAAGATAAATATCGGCCGTGCAGCTCTGGTCAGCTCTATAATCACAAAAATTCCAAGCCACATTTTTTGCAAAAGCTATCTCTGGTCACGAATTCCCAAAATTTCCCGATTTTTACGTACTCCGTTACGCAACATTACCGGACAATGCGATTTCAGGGATTTAACGCTCACAATGGGGTTGAAAGAAACCTAAAAAGAAAATTTTAGGCAACGTGTTTACCTAGCATCAACCCAGTCACCCGCCGAGCTAGGAAACAATGATAAGCGTCAAACAAAAAGATAAATTTTTCTGAAGTGCTGAATCAGCACTGCTCCAGTACAAACTAAATTGCCGGCGAATTGACGCAAAATTTTAAATAACGTTTCTTTTTAGGCATTTTGAAGTTGAAATTGATACAAAATAAGAATTCAAAGTCTTAATTGATTGAATACAGAAAAACTTTTTGAAAGTTTTTATTGAATTGAATGACTCAATTATTTGCTTTGAATAAATAGCGCTTCGCTTGATTCAGGAACGGTCGGATATAAGGAAGGTTCCTCGGAAAAATGATAGAAATTGGACGACATCGAATCCAATATAAAGAGAATCGATCAAAGGTTTGTTAAAAATGTTGGATTGGTAGAAGAATGCTCTGAATGTCACGGGTAAAGTGTGATATTAACGCTTTTCGTTGATGAAATTCGCGGTTGATCCTTACCTGGACCAAATCCTTACCTGGACCAAATCCTTACCTGGACCATTTTCCTTACCTGGACCAAAATCAAAAATGGCAAAAAGAATCTCTCGAACATGTTATTTTTGTTTTTATTCCTAAAAAATTGTCTTTCTAGCGAGATTCGGCGACATTCAGCGAGATTCGGCGACATTCGGCGACATTGCTAGTATCGCCCTTATTTTACAACTTGGTTTCTGTCGGCCATGACACTTAAAACATGCATTTTGGAAGCAAAAAAATTTGGACAATTCCGGAGATTTGATACTTCCGGATATTTAGTCCGTTTTGCCTGTATCTATCAGTTTGAGTCCAAAAATAACATTTAAAAAATTTTCAAAATTCAAAAAAATTTCTCAGAGGGGGGTCGACTACAATTTTTTTAAGTCACGTTTTCGGATTTTTTACTTTGAAAAAAAAATCTTTTTGACTTTCCTTACCTGGACCATTTCCTTACGTGGACCAAAATCCTTACCTGGACCATTTTTGATTTTGGTCCAGGTAAGGATCAACCGAAATTCGCTAGGTTTACAAAATTGATGAGCCAACCCTTCGAAGCTCCAACGACTTGTGAAATCTGTTGGAGCTCTTCCGACTCACTCGCGTTGCCAATCACGAAAACAGATGCAAAATTTTCCTGTCCGAAAGGAAACTGCGATACTTCGTTGACTTTTGATGAGTTCTTTGACACTTCTTGCTGTCAAGAACTGTTCGACAAGCTTCGACAATTTCAAACTGAACTAGAAGTCACTTATCGCAAAAAACAAAAATGCGAACGTTTGGTCAAAGAAGCGAAAGAAAATCTCAAAAAATGTGAAGAAAATCTCAAGGCTGTAGTGGAAGAGTCGAGAAACATTGAAGCAGAAATATTGATTTGCGAAAATCAAATTTTGAAAGTCTACTGAATAAAAAACAGTCATTTTGATTTCAAAGAATTTTATTTTTTGCCATGAATTCATGCTTAAAATTTCTAACAAACACAATCACCCACATCAAAGTCTACTTGTTGGTGCTTATCTGAAGAAAGCCTTACGATAACCACTTCTGCAACAACTCGTTGGTAGTTAATGATTGGGAGACTGTCTTGGGCGCCATTTTGCACCAATGCGCGCGGCGAGCGTTAGCGCAGCTCCACCATGCTAGGGTGCTCCCTCTCTTTATCCAAATTTCGCACCAAGAAATTTATTTTCGTGTTGATAGGATTTAAGGTCGATAACTTCATCGGCATAAAATCAAAATAAATCCATGTTCTTCATATTCCAAAAATAAAAAAAAAGCGAGGAAGAGTTACGGTTATTTTTGATGAATCAAAAAAGGGTTGTCAAAGAACAGCAGTTCTTGGGATTAAGCGTGATTGGGATGAAAACAGCTAGTTAATTGGTTTCAAGGTCTTGATTAATAATTCTATCAGGCGTTTGTGTTTATTGTTTTTTCACCGTACGACTGATAATTTAATTATAGCGCTTGCCCGTGAAAATAAACAGGTAAAAAATAAAGATAAATTGAGAAGATTTAACGAAATAATTTTCATCTTTGAAATTTTAAAACTTCTTCCTTTCCTCGAAATACTGTCAGCTAATAAAAAATCAAGTTTCTTTTCCAAACTATTGACCGTTTTTCAAGCTGAAAAGCTGATAACAATTTTCTATTTTTTCGTTAAAATTAGAAGTTCATTTCCTTCTCTTGAAGGTGTTTTTCTAAGCCCTCTAAAAATTTCCTTTTATCCCTTCAGAAAGTGCTCAAGGATTTATTTTCTTATCCGAGGATACGAAGAGTGCGCTTAGCCTTCCTCCACCACCGTAGCCACCCTTAATCCAGCCCCGCTGATTGCCGCAGGCGACACCAAGTACTCTCTTATGGAGCAAGAGGCACCCCTGGTGGTGGTGCGCCTTCTGAATCGTGAACCGTGAATTGCAAAAAAAGTTACAATTCTCCTTGATTTATTTCCAATTTTGAAAACAATTAAGCGCAAGAAATAGTCAACAAATTTTTTTTCAAAGTGCCAGAGAAAAAATTTGTGAAAAAAACGAAAAAAGAGAGTTTTGCAAGAAAAAATCGCCGAAAAACAGAACTATTTCTGAAATTTTAATTTGTTGAAAAAGGTAAATATAAATTGATCTCAATACAAAATTCATTAGTTATTATATTAAGGGTGTGAACAAGAAATGAGACAATTTTTAAAGCTCAACCATTAACCCGTTCTTTCGCAAAAAAGTTCATTTTTTTTTGCCTCAGATTTGGTCAAATTAATATTTCCTCTAGCAAATGCGCTCATTACTGTATAAGCCCCGAATACCGTATTGACCACGCCTTCTAATATGAGATAAGCTTAATACCTCGTGGTAGATGATCCGAGCCGTCGCTCATTAACTCGGCTTGATTCCGGGTTATTTTGAACGCCGGTGAAATCATTTTACAAAAACACCTGGACGTAGAAAAATAGAGCCTCGGAAAGCCAGATCGCGAATTTTGATGAAGCGGATTCATGACTGTCAAACACGCGGTTATCCCTTCTGTAACAGGTGTTCCCCGTCATATCTGTCTGCCTAGATCCGGCCAGAGAAACATTTGCTAACTACCGTAATTGCACTTTAATTTTTGTTAATTCTTTTCTTATCAAAAGACCGTCTAAAAATGATAACATTGCGGCTCAAGAGAAAAAAAAACAAAAGATAGCAATTTTTTATAATAAACATTTTTGAGCAGTATTTGAGAATGAATGTTGAAACCTACAGTGCGTTCCCTGAACGATGGACCCTTGAATGTTGTTTTGAAAATTTTTCATCTCGTTCACAAATTTTTCCGCCATATTTTGACGAGTAAAGATCTCATAATTATGCGTTGTTCCACGTTAGACTTGAATTGCCGCTCCTCGTTTTCAAGGAGTCAAGAAACCAGATCAGCATAATAATTATGGTTGTGCTTATCAGAGCATGTTATGTTTTCCATCGCGAAATTTGACAGTTCTCGGCTTTATCTTGTTGCTTTTCTTCATCGCGAAAAACCACACCTTGATGCGCTGTTCTCATCTTTCTAAAAAGGATTCTCCTTGAATCGAAATTTCTTGACCCCTTATAGAAACGCCTCTAGTCTAAAGGATACCCTTAAATATAAGACCAACTGTAGACTAAAATAGAATCGCCACGCTAGAATTCATCATTTCTATTTTTAAAGAAGGCCGTTTTGCCCTCCAACTTCTATTTTGAATCAATTCTCTTCCTCTGCAAAAATCTTGAAAGTCCAAATCTGTTTACAAATCGAGCCTCAAATATTTCTCTCAACGTTAACCGCAAGACTTCGCGATTTTCGTCAGCTAAGCGGAAACTTATCGGATCCGTTATAAAGGGATTGTTGTTCAAACTTGCGTTATATTTTTGCGGCGGCGCTTTCTAAAAAGTCTAATCGGCCTCTTTTTGTTGAGGATAATGTGGCTTTGGTTCAAGTTCAACCCCTTTTAGCCGATTTTCCTTCTTCAGGATGCGGTGGCGCTTCTTTCCGGCTACAGAACAGCGTTGTTAAAAAATTTATTCGAAAGTTTTTTCCTGTTTTTTGAAAAGAAGTAGTTTTTTTTGATCCTTTATTTGATTAATTAAAATTATTGTAATTGACGCAATGCTCAAAATAGACCTTGTTTTGCGCGCTACAACGACGGTATTTCAAAATCAACCAACAAGGAAACTAAGTCGATTGTTAATTTTGGTCCAAGAATGTTTCAAGAGGCCTATTTTTCTCCAGGAGTATATTTATTATAATTATTAAAAAAAATGTTATTCGAAGAATTTCGGCAATTGGCAATTGATAATTCCCTTGTTTATGAAATATTGTAAATTTTGTTTTCAGAAGCAGCGATGATAAAAGAAAGATAACGCCTGGCCGATTCGTTAAACCGCCTCTCCAAGGAAAGGTCAAGCAAAGATGGGGAACGTCTTTACAAGAGCGCCCACGGTCTTTGGCTTTGAGGTGGCATTATGGATTCTTGCGCTACAACCCAACGGCGTTGCCGCTTGGAACGATCATTACGACGAAGAAGATGGTAAGCTTTAAAAACAGTTTTCCTGGCAGTCCTTACCGATAATTTTCAGATGCAATGGTTATTCGAATCTTCTTCCCAATCATCGCCACTTTGATTCTCCTGTGCGTCGGTTCCTGCGCTTACGCCAACTACTTCAAGAGCAGCGTCAACATCGCCGAAGACGAGGACGAAAACCAGCAGCACGAAGATATTTACACGCTGAACAAGCCGGACCGGCCTTATCTGACGCCCTTCTATCAGGTTCGGTTTTGGGTCACTCTCTTTAGCGGTTTCTTATCGCTCTTTTGGGGAATTTTACGTTTGCAGCCTCTTTTAACGTGTTACCGTAAAAGCGATAACGGAGAGTTAGAGAGTCTAAAATCCTCTTTTTCAGCGGAGGACATTCCAATCAGCTCCACCAGCGTACGACAATCACGCTTTCCGTCCTGGTCAGGGAGCACCGACCGCGCCAAACGGCATGACAGTGCCGACGCCCGGTGCCAAGCTCGTGACGCAACCGACGAATATCTACCAAGGCCATCAGCCGCGCTTTATGCAGCAGCAGCAACCCAATCCGTACGGCCAGGTTAATCACTATGGACAAAATCCTTATGCACAGAATCCTTACCAACAACAGCAAGCGCCTCTTCGATCTTACAGGTAAATACAAGCAGTATATTTTTATCGAAAAAAGAGCGTGAAAATAACCACGTTTGTTCCTTAACCCGTCAGCGTTAAAATGGCACATTTGCGCTGAGCTCGTGGCATTAACTTAACTACCTATTAGCTTCCACGTTCCTCAGCAGAACTCATACGAAGCTTATGGAAACAACGGTTCCGCGTTTGATAGGTCGAAGTCTTTCGGCGAATACAACCAGAATAACAAGGATCACAGCAGCTTCAATAACGGAAGATCTAGTCCTATTCAGGTAATAATCAATAAATTATTAGATGTTTAAGATTTTTCGAATATATTTACCAAAGAGAGGAACTTCTTGTTTAAATGTAGCATTCCGTTAATAACATCAATTTAGTCGACGAAATCAGCTCCAGCAGCTTTCCCAAGAAACAACCTCCGTCGAACTTTCTCCTCCCCGAATCTTTCGCCTGGTGGATCTCGCGATTTTAACGCCTTTGATCAGAATAATGGCCAGGATAATGTCGGTTTCAATATGTCGCACAGGCATAGTGTCAATTATGGCTCTCGGTATAATTACAATCAGGTAGATTCTTCTATCCCTTTTTTGATAATTAACGCTTTCTTTGCAGCGTGGAGCCTCAAGTCCAGCATCCTCAAGCTCGTCCTACATTCCAGCTGCCTCCGAAGTGGGCTCCACAGGTAATCACGCATTAATTTACGTGTCGAGTGCCGATCAAGGGCTAATTTATCTGCGTCTTTCAGACAGTAGAAACGTGCCATAGTTCAGCCACAGTATTAACATACTGAAGCCAAGGTTAATTCTATCCAACAGTGATTTATGAAAGAGAATACCTATTCACATTATAAATCACTATTTTGAGCAGCACAAGGTCACGCTAGAATGTGCCCCACACACGTTATCGTTTCCCTCGGTCTAGGGTCAACTTTGTCCATCTGTTCCCACAGTAATTAAATTCGCCATTTAGCACCGCTCTTTGGGCGTCGACGCTCGCCAGGGCAAAGCAACGTTTACGAAAGCCACAATCCCGTCTCCTCCCGCGCGGCCAGCCACTACGGAGGCACCCAAAGCCAATACGGCGGTTCCACACAGGTACCACTACTAACTAGTACTATTCATAAATATTGAAGAGAAAGGGGAGAGTTCTGGGGAAAGAAATATACGGCTCCAGTGGCCAAAATATTCAACGAGATTGTGTTAACATAGTTAGTTCCGAAACACTTGTGTACCTCTTTTTTGAACATAGCAGTTAATAAACGTGAGCTTATCAATAAACTAGTTCAGAGGAAAAACGAATTAGAGGGTTCAGATAAAAAGATAAAAAATAAACAAAGTCGATTTGGCTAGAATCGGCTTTGCTCCTAAAAACACGAAACATCCGTTTTTAATTTAACAATAACAAATAAATTCTTATCTTAATCAATGTTCAGATGCAGTTAAGATTCATTTATAACAGGTTAATCTCTGAGATTATGGTTTTGGAAAAGGCTCGTTCAGAGCAATTATCTGTTGAACTTTTGGCTTGTTACCTCAGCTAAAAGGGCAGCAAATGTGAACACACACTAACAGTTGCCTTTTAGGACTATTACCAGCAGCAGCAACCGCGGCGATCCTACGAAATGGAAGACATTTACGGTCAACGCGGCAACGGAATGGGCCGCTACGCGCAGCACAATAATCCCGCCTTCAACAATAACCAGTTCAACAATTACAACCAGCAGCAGCAAGCTCCACAAGAAGCGTATGATCCTTATAATCAACAAAATCCACAGCAAAACTTTTATAGCCAACAACAGGTAGGAGAAAGATCAAATTAATGACTCGCTAAAAAGCTATCTATTCCAAAGCGGAGCGCTAGAATTTTGTTTAGAACGCACAAGCGTACGAAGACATGTCCGCGCCACCTCAATACAATCAACTACAGCAAGGCCATCAGCAGAACCAGGGCCAGGAAAACTACGCCTACGACCCCTACAACGATCCCTACAATTCGCGTGGCCACCACTTACCGGGACAATAAGAAAGGAATCAAGGAGGAAAATCAAACTTTGATCAAAACTCATGTAAACATTGTATTTTTTAACGAAAGAAAACTCCGCTGTAAAAATCCACCGCAGTTCAATAAATCGACCAAACAAAGACTAAATTAGTGTATTTTTGCAGATGTCAGCAGTTTTTTTTACAAAAATTAATCCACGAATTTTACAGGTGTAATTCCAGGTGAATTTCTGTAACCCAAGGAAGCTAATTTCGATTTTCTAGAGATCCACGTATAGAGATATTCATTTTTACAGAAGACGCCCAATATAAGATAATCACTAATGAAATCATTAGAAATATTCAAGATCCGTTCACTAAGACTCTCAAGACGATAATCGTAGTTTTGCTGTACAGTTGGAGTCCAAAATAAGGGACACCAAGATAAGGGACTTTTTGGCTCGAAACGCCGAAAATCTGCGCCCCGTTTTGTATGTTTCTAATGTTAAATTGAACCAATTTAAGGGACTTTTTTTCGAAAATTCGGGACCGAAAAAAGTCCCTTATTTTGGACTCCGGCTGTAGTCTTGAAATAAGCACCTCTGCAGTCCGGCCAGGTTTAGGTGCACTTATGCAAATGCACGGCAAACTTAATTTTCCCTGACTAAGTATAGAGGCGGAGGCCAAATTTAGATAGCCCTAGTCGTGTTTCTTTATTCAGCACGAGAAATTTATTTTTGTTTTTTGAACCGTGCCACTCCAGGAGGAGAAAATTACTTCGAGTTACTTGGGAATTTTTAATAAAAAAAACATGACTTTATTGGTTTTGATCAGATCTTGGCCATTTCGCAGTTGAACTGACACGAACTTACACTTTACAACAGTTTTGGTGCACGCAAGAGTCTATTTTTATCCACAGCTTTTTAATTAAATTGCTTCTGTAATTAGCCGCCGTTGAAATCGTAATCTCGCTGATCAACTTAATCTCAATCAATTAAAAATACTATTTAGAGTTTGAAAACAACACAAAATCACAAATTGCACAAGTCACGCTCACGTGGACTAGTGCTTTCATTTACAAGTATTTCTTCAAAATAAGCGCTCTCTGTTGAATTTGAGAATGCTAAGCGGATGGACTCCGTTGCAATTTTTAGAGTGCTGCAACAATTTAACAAACTGCAATTTTCCCCGGATCAGATAAAAAAATGGGCTCCGCGAAACCGAGTCACGTTAAAAAACTACTCGAAGGAATCTGCTGCCATTTCAACTTTTTCTTCAATCGAATTATCCTCAATACTGATTTTGCACTTAATTTTGGAGAATAATGTTTAGGAACAGTTATAAAAGGCCATTTTAGTAATGAATCCTTTATGCTAAAACATTCTGCTGTCAGCTCCTTATCCTTAATCCGTCGAGAGATAGGTCAACTCTCCAGCTGTCATAAATGTCTTAAGAGGTTTCTACATATCTTCTGACTGTATGATCTAACACGAGGCGGAGGAGATAAGCACGACACGGGCAATTATAAATAAATTGATGCCCAGATTTTCTCGCCTTATAAAGCCAAGCCTTCTCCAGGAGCACCACTCATATCGAGAAAGAAGTTGAACGCTTACTGAAACTATGCAGACAGGGATCAATAATACACAACGAAGAAATCTTTCAAAAATGGCTTTTTAAAAGACCTTAAAAAGATCCCTCAAAAGATAATCAAAGTCGCCATTTTCGCTCTTTCCACATTCACTCAAGCTTGGCAACGTAAGTTCTCTCGTTAAAAAGACATTTTTTTATTCCAACAAAAAATTAAGCAACTTCAAAGAGAAGCTACTTACAAGCCTGCCTTGAACGTCCTCACTCACGAGCCTGCCAGAGCGCCCTGCAGAGAGGAAACGCCAATCTCATGTGGTAAAAAAGAAAGATTCTCCTGAATGTTGTTATTTTGAAGTTTTTAATAAAGTTATTCGTATGGCAAGGAAACGAATTTGTTTTCCATTCAACTTTGATTTTTGCAGTTGTCGGGCGCAGGATTTGCCCCGCCACGGCCGTAGAATTCGACTGCCAAACAGGGAGGAATCGCGGGATCTAAAAATGGTGAAAGTGCTGAATTCTGTGCAAAGATCGTAATTTTACGGTAAACCTTTACTGATCTGTTTATTTTATGTATTGAGGCATTAGGGGCTAACCAACGGGCGAGAATTTGATTTGTTGATACTACACGTCAAGGCAATACAAATAGATTAACTAAGTCCATTACCAACATTGAATTCTTTCAATAATTATGTTCAAATGAAGAAATTTTAATAATAAAAAGAATTAATTGATTATAAACAGTTACAAGTAGACAAATGAAGACCTTATTAGCAATTTAACAGGTCAGCTTTTTAGTCGATTTTGACGTAAATATCTACTGCAGTTATAACCCTGAGGAGGAGCAGTTGAACTAACGATAGCCCGAATAAATTTTTAATCAGAAAGTGTCTTACCAGGGTCGACTGTGAATCGCGGTCTGATTGCAATAAATTGCGCATATACCGGCTTGTTCAGTGTAATCTGCTGGGGCTCAACCGTCGTGTTATCCACTGAAATTCAAGTTCAACCAAATTCAAGGATCAAGAAATTTACCTTTATAGACGTGTCCGTTTATTTCTTCCAAGAAATTTTTCTTCTTGTCGAACACCACTTCTACAGTATTTGGAGCACTAGAAAAAGCGTTACATTTTTTCTGGCGCGTATAGAATACAAAGTGGCGATCTCTTGCCTTACCAGATAGATCCTTTGTGGTATCCTGTCAAGAGTTCACGCTAAAACTGCTTTTAGAGGGCCGCTTCATTTTTTAGATCACGGTAAAACTTGAGTCAATAATTGACCTTCGAATAGCTTTTTTGGCGAGAACTTTTCCTGAGCGCAATGCCATGCTGAAAACTGTTCTTCTTTCGCCCAAATCGATCCACAAATACGGCTCTAGAATTCGTTGGCTCAAGTTTTCAGGGAATCAAGACTACCTGTATCGTCAATTTGCGGCTTCCAAACATTGGGAAATCCACCAGTTGGAACATGAAAGTATCCAAGAGCTTGATTCCATCTGGCATTAAACGGCTCGTATCCAACTCCGTTCTTATCGGATGGAATAAACGACGAAGCGCCAAAGTTCTCCTCTTTCAAATTGACCGTGAGCGGCTTGTTCTTGCTCGAGCAGTCGTGATCGCAGCTGAATCCGTCGAAGCCCTCTTCGCATTGACAGGCGAAGTGACCCCTGCTCATGTCGTTGCACTTATGCGCGCTAAGGAGAATGACTTAATCCAGCTCAGAACAATTCTGGGAGATACCCGCAGGGATTCAGTTTCTTGCAAGGATCAGTGAACATTTCCCAAAAGACTTTTGTGTCACTAATCGACTCAATCGCTTCCAGTGCCTCGTCGTACGAGCAGGTTTCTTTGTAACATTCGCGAACCAAGTGACCTTCTTTCATCTCTTCAATCCAGCCCTGCTTGGGGTTCATAAAAATTGCTAGTCATAAAAATTTACGAGCGTACAAAGAGGCAAATGGAAAATCACAATTCTCAAACCGAGATATGAAATTGCAAAATAATTTTTGATGAAGAAAATAATCTAAAATGAAGCTTCTCCTTTTAGCGTGTGAAAAACACTCTGGTTGTCTGAAATTAAATTTATGTGAAAAAAATATTTACTATTCAAACTGAACTATATTTAACAACCTATTTACTTGTTCTCCATGCCAAAATGAAACCAAAACGTCAGTACACTTCAGCCACCAATGTTGAGAAAAAAATATGATGCCTTTCGTTGAAGAATTTCGCATCTAAAAAACCGTATGGCTTTCACATTCCAAGAACGCGTAAACTAATGGAATCGTAAAGAAAATATAATATAATCGTAATAAAATGATGCCAAAAACATGTGATAATTTGCCTGGTTATCAGTTCACTTTTTCACTTGTCAATCAAAGATGATTTAATTTAATTTAATAAATTATATATTCTTGAAGACTTTTACTGTCTTTTGAACCCCATTCCCATGCTCCTGTATTAGCTCGTCGGACACGATTTCCCAAGAATCGATTTGCCTCTCTATTAACAGGCTAATAGAATATATAATCGAATTATAGAAGGTGTAAATAGTAAATAATCTTTTTAGCCCGTGTTTGCTTCTGTCGACAATGTTTTGTACATTAATCGCTTGTGCTATGGAAATTAGCTGTAGTACCCGTAAATTCTTCATTTTTGCTTCTCTTTTTTTTGAATGTTTTGACGAAAAAACCGAGTAAGGAAAACACGAGACACAAGCAGAAACAAATAAACGCTGCGTGATAGAGTACACACTTCTCAGTTAGGGCAAGCCTCTTGTAATCGCAGAAACAGATCTAGGAACAAACTGATTTAAAATCTCAGATTTCACGGAAATCAGCTTCAATGGAAAACATTTCAACAATTTATTTCATAAAAATCTTTCAGTAAATTTATTCTAGAGAGATTTAATATCACCGCTAAAAGTAGCCGTTAAAAATATCCTCCAAAAACGGAGACAGGAATAATAGTACGAAAAGGCCAGAGCAAGTCAGGATCAGGCAACAACAAGGAAGCAGAAATCTCGGCTCTCTGAAAAGAGGACATGCTGGAAAAGCTTCTTGAAAAATGAGCATATCATTTTTGAACCAGTTTGGTTGGTCTTGGGTTTGATCAAAAGAAGCAGACTCAGATTCTGGGTTAATCAATCAGAGTGAAAGAGAGGGATGACCACTTCTTCAAATTGCTTTTTTTCAACTTGAGGTCTTTGCTGATTAAAGAAATCTTACGATTTTGGTACGGTAGGAAAAAAACTGGAGGACGTTCTGTCAATAATATGTCAAGATAAATTTCTTCTAAGAGAATAAAATACGGCTCTATTGATCGGAATATATCCGTAACAATTTAATCGTGAGATTCGTACGTCAGCGACTGTAAATGTTTGAATTGAATTACTCGAATTGTTAAACATCGATTCCAGCAGCAATTAGCGTCCAAATCGGTCAATAACAAGGCTACGCTTAGGTAGAACAAGTTGTCGAGTTTTGCTAATAAATTTCCAATGGGGTAATCGATCGGACGCTAGAGCAGCTTCTCGCGCACCAGTCAGTCAACATTTCCACAAGTTCGTTTGCTTTTCGCCCTTCAATAAATTCTTTCAGCCACAACTTGTTTTCCCCAAAAAGTAAAATAAAAACGGAAAATAGCTGCAACTTGATTGGTTAAGAGAATTCTATTCGACTCTAAGAGTTAGAGAAAATGGGTGAGAAGAAAGCTGGGTTGACAGCAGAAGGGGACACTTTCCAGCTGGATGGAAAGGATTTTAGGATTTTGAGTGGCGCGATTCATTATTTTAGGTAATTACAAACATCTTGTTCTTAAAGGCTTAATAAGTTATCGATTCATTTTTAATTTAACGAAATTCAAATTCCTTAAACTACTTATTTTTAGATCATTTTTCTTTCAGAATACCAAAGCAATCCTGGAAGCATCGACTTCAATCTGTTGTTGATTGTGGATTGAACACCATTGATGTCTATATTCCATGGAATCGCCACGAGGTACCCATTTTCCAGCCTTATCAATTATAAAAACTGTGGTTAAGAAAGAGCGTGGGAATTTCGATTTCGGAGGCGAGCTCGATCTTGTTGAGTTCTTTTCAATCGCGGCGGAAATGGGATTGAAAGTTCTTTGTCGTCCAGGTAAAAAACCTCTTTTCTTTTATTCTTCTTCAAATAGCTTACGGGATATCAACTCGTTCAACTTTACTGTCTGCAAATATCCTCGTTGATTGCATTTTATTTCAGGCCCTTACATCTGCTCGGAGTGGGACTGGGGTGGACTGCCCTACTGGCTGCTCAAAGATGCCGATATGCACATCCGCTCGAACTACTCGGGCTATCAAGGTAGCCAAATTTGCACATGTCAAATTATTTTCATCTGATTCCAAAAAGACGCCGTCCGATCTTACTTCTCAAAATTGCTTCCTCTCCTTGCTCCTTTACAACATTCCAATGGCGGGCCAATAATCGCTTTTCAAGGTAAATTATGGTTTTATTTTCCATAATTATGCTTAATAAAACCAGTGGAGAACGAATACGGAGACTACGTGGACAAAGACATCGAACACTTGCCCTGGCTCTCTGACCTTATGAAAGAGTTTGGACTCCACGAGCTTTTTTTCATCTCAGACGGTGGTCATACGATTCGAAAAGCAAATATGCTAAAGGTTATCAAATCTTAAGAAATGCATCCTTCAATTCAAAATTTAGGAAGCGCAGGAAAAAGCTCCCGAAGGCGTCATTCTCGGCGGCTACAAAATGCCCGACGATCTCTTAAAAACCATCAACTTCAAATACCTCAATGTGGAAAAACTCACGAAATCAACGCCGATCTGCGACAACTTGCACGCGCTAAAAAGCCTTCAGCCTAACAGGCCAATGCTCGTCACTGAATTCTGGGCTGGTTGGTTCGACTACTGGGGACACGACAGAAATCTGCTCAACAATGAAGTTTTTGAAAAAACTCTCAAGGAAATTTTAAAGCGAGGCGCGAGTGTGAATTTTTACATGTTTCATGGAGGCACCAATTTTGGTTTCATGAACGGAGCGATTGAACTGGAGAAGGGTTATTACACCGCAGATGTGACCAGCTATGATTACGATTGTCCGGTTGATGAGAGCGGCAATAGAACGGAAAAGTGGGAGATTATCAGAAAATGCATCGGAGAAGCAACAAGTGAAAAATCCTCCTCGGAAGTGTTCAAAAACGAGTCGGAAGCGTATGGCGAGTTTGAAGTAGAAAAAACCTCAAAATTGTCAGAACTCGGCGAAGGAAAAGAATTCGAAGAGCCAACAAACATGGAAAATCTCGACCAAGCTTTTGGATACACTTCTTACTCAGTTTTCATCGAACAGCCGTCTCTCGAAAAAACGCAAAAAGAGAGTGAAGATGAAGTTAAAAACATAGAAGACGAAACAGTTGAGCCAGTCATCTTCAAAAATCTTCTCAGATCGATTCGAGGCCGTTATCGCGTTTTCTTTTCTGCTCCAGGAGGGGAGAAATCAGAAGTGTTCTGCAACCAATTACTGTCTGAAAAATGCTGTAATCAAGACGAGTTTGAAGCGACAGAGCATTTTTCAGCAGAAAGAAGATCGTTTTTAGTCGAGTTCCTTGTCGAGAATCCAGGAAGAGTTAATTTTAGTAACCTGAAAGATCAAAGGATGGGAATGCTCTCAGGTAAAACACTCGCTATAGAATTTCTCGGAAAGCATCTTCGTAGCTCCTGATCTTGTTGGAGCCGAGTACATTTCGTCGTGGAATATCTGTTCTTATCCGCTAGATCAGCAGCAAATATCGTCGATTTCTTGGAATGACGCTGATTCTGAAAATGTCAAAATGCTGCCTTCATTTTTCAAGACTACAGTTAAAATCAACGAAGAGCCAAAAGATACTTTCATCTTAATGACAGGATGGTCAAAAGGCGTCGTTTTTGTCAACGGAAGAAATCTTGGTCGATACTGGGTGACTAAAGGACCTCAAAAGGTAAGAGTTGTAAGAAAAATTTGAGTTTGAGAACACTCTGTTAGACACTGTATTTGCCCGCTTCTTGGTTACAATCCGGCGAAAATGAGATTATTTGGTTGGAAGAAGAAAAACTCGGAAAATCTTTTCAACTGCTTTCTTCTCCGGACCTAGGATAACAAATAAATCAACAACTCTGTTTTTCTTCGTTCAATTCAAGCATGAAATGGTTCGGAGTGGTGGTCAGTGCTACACAGTGCTTGTTCGTTACCAGTTATTTGGCAGGAGTAGAGCATTTTTAGAGAAATTTTTAATTGAACAGCACAAGTACAAGAAATCGCTTATCAAAAAGCATCATTTTTAGAATGACTCTCATACCGGGCACTGTCCCGCTTGTTTTCAACAAATCAGTAAATCCTTCTGATGGGCCAGTGCACGTTTTGCTACTTCTTTGCAGAGAACTCCCAAATTACAAACCCCGTAGTTATCGAGCGATTCTCACCGATGGAAAATACAAGACTGAAATGACATTAATAGTGACGGACAAAGACTTGGAGAGGGGCGACTTGCTAAAGATCAAAGACTGGAATGTCAATGGTCAATCTTCAACAAAGGAAAAAGGGTTAAAATTTCAAAAAGTCCGTGTTTGGGCGTATGTACTGGGTTCGAAGTGGACTCAGTTCGAAGTGTACTGAGTTCGAAGTGACTTCAGTTCGAAGTGTACTGAGTTCGAAGTGACTTCAGTTCGAAGTGTACTCAGTTCGAAGTGTACCTGGTTCGAAGTACCGTTTTTCGAAGTACTTCGAGTAAATGCACTTCGAACTGAGTACACTTCGAACTGAGTACACTTTTTTTCAAACTTGCCCTGGGCACTCTTAAAACACTTTTTTCACATTTTTCGAACACTTTTTCACATTTTTCGAACACTTTTCCCACTTTCTTCGAACACTTTTCCCACTTTCTTCGAACACTTTTCCCACTTTCTTCGAACACTTTTCCCACTTTCTTCGAACACTTTTCCCACTTTCTTCGAACACTTTTCCCACTTTCTTCGAACACTTTTCCCACTTTCTTCGAACACTTTTCCCGCGTTCTTCGAACACAAGCGTGCCTTTTCCAGCAACAGGGTTCACGCGAAGCGTGCCATTTCCAGCAACAGGGTTCACGCGAAGCGTGCCATTTCCAGCAACAGGGTTCACGCGAAGCGTGCCATTTCCAGCAACAGGGTTCACGCGAAGCGTGCCATTTCCAGCAACAGGGTTCACGCGAAGCGTGCCTTTTCCTCGAGTCGCCCTCCACAATTTCCTCGAGTCGCCCTCCACAATTTCCTCGAGTCGGCCTCCACAACTTCCTGCTCCGCCTTTCCTAATTCTAATACCTCTATCTTTATGTCTTTAATATATTCGCGCGCGGAGCGCGCTCCTCCCTACTTTTTTTTGACAGGTGTATTTTTGGGGAGGGGGTGGGAGGTTGTGGGCGTTTCCTCAAGGGCTATCTTCTCGTTAGACCTGCGCACTTTTTTGCTCCGAATTTTTATATATATTTTGTTCGAAGTATATAAATAATGAGGTGTATTTTTGGGGAGGGGGTGGGAGGTTGTGGGCGTTTCCTCAAGGGCTGTTCTTTAGTGAGACCTATGGCTTTTTTCTATTATCATTATTTATTGTATTCAGTTCGAATATTCTATCTTTTCCTACTTTGGCAGAAGTAAGTTGAGATAAAATTTTCGGGCGTGAATTTTGAGACTCGTAATTATTGGCGACGGAATTTTACTCTTGTCAAATTCTGTTTTGTCGATTTTGCTTTGGCAGAAGCAATATCGAACTCGAAATTTGATTCTGTCGTCAATAATTTGTTCTCTTTATACTTAGTTTACCCTGAAATAGCTATAAGTGACAGATTTTTTTCTCATTTTGCCTATTTCACTTTGGCAGAAGCGATTTTGGCATTCTCTAATTTGTCACTTATTTCTAGTTCGGTTGGGCTGTGTAAGTCTCGACTAAACTTATTTTCGCTCCTGGTGCACCGGCGCTCGTGCGCTTTCATTGGTCCGCGTTTGGTGAGTCATTTTTGGAAGTAGCTGTTATCACCGAGAATTCTGTTGGTTATATATGTTTCTATTTATTAATTTAACTAATTAGTCTTTCATCATGTACGTTAAGCTTTTTGTTCGTTTTGTTAGACTATGTTGTCTGAGGAAGAAGATTCAATTTTGGTACAAATAAAGACTCTTCTACAGGAAAAGAATATTCTAGTAAGGGTTTTTTTTATAACTCTTATTAATATTTTTTAGAGTTTCGGTCAAGCTGCGTCGATCTTGTCAATGCCTGTCAACGTTGTCAAGCGCCTTTTTCAGAAAAATGTGTCCCTCATTGGTGCTGAGCCCCTTTACTATCTCTCTGGTGAACGAAACGATGCTATTTTCTCCTCCGTTGTGAGTGCCAAAGCGAAACAATCAGTTATTCGCGAACTGTCTGCTGTATACTCCTGCCATGTCTGGGGTTTTAAGACCGAGAAGTATTCTCTACAGGATCATGAATTTGTGTTTTCTGATGTTTCTTCTTCCATGGGAATTAGGTAAAATTTCATTTAAAGTCTTTTCTTATATTAGGCTGAATGATGTACGTGTTTCAAATGCTTCATCTGCGCCTGTATCCACTCCTCAGAACACGAATTCTTTGGATAGTCTTTTCGATATCATCGGGGACGATTCTCAGACCGATAAGCCTGTGTGGAAGCAGAATAAGAAGATTAACTCTTCATACAGGCGCAAAAGAGGTTTTCTGTTTATGAATAATGAGCCCACCGTCATTTTGACTTCAAATGGTTAGTTTTACAGTTAAATTTCTGTACGCTGCGTTTCGTTTTATAACGTTACTATAGACCCTGATAGTGAAAATGCTCTGGATCTTGTTTCTACGAATATTGCGATTTCTGCGAATAAGCCTGTTGATGATAAAGGCGCCTGCGATCCCTTGTGATAAGAAACAGGTAATTAATTCTCTTTTTTTTTTCACGTGTCACAATTTCAATGTTTTATTATTCATCAATGTAATCTTTGATAACTCGTGCTTTTGGAAGCTCCACCGTCTTATTTTCGTACTTTTTTGGATCGTAGTTCCAATAGGGTGCGAATCTTTTCGGTTCTGCTTGCCCCCCTTTCTTTTCTTCTTTCTCCTTCTTGCCTTCTCTCCTCGCCTTGATACTGCTGAGCCATCTTTTATAGTAGCTTTCGTGGAATTCGCACGGCGGTGTTCCTATATTCAACTTAATGATCTCTACTTAACAATTATTACTACCTTCATACGGTCCTTCGAACTCGTCCATGACAATTATCCTTTCGTATTTTTTGCAGCACGGGTCTTGCCTTTCTTCAAATCTTTTCTCGCTCGATTCATTTGAGTCGATTCGCCTGAAACGCGTTAGTTCATTCCATTTTTTACTTTTACCTGAATACTGATGAAGCCTCCCGTGATTCTTGCGCCTGCGTGCTTCCAATTACTGTATCTAATGACTGTGAAGGCAACTTTTTATTTTTTTTTGTTACCTTGCTGCGATGCCAGAAATATTATTCGTTCTTTCTGTCTTGTAGTTTCGTTCATAGCGTATTCTTTCGTTCCTTTTTTGTTTGCTTCTTCTTTTGCAGCAAACTCAGCTGCATTTTTTGCAGCAAGGTTGTCTTATATTATTAGTTATCTTGCAATACTTTCATTTTTTTACCGAAATCATGATCGTTGAAGCTTCCCGTTGCGAAACTGTGCTGGCTTCCCGGAGTTGATTCTTGCGACGCGATGTTGTTATTTGTTCGATAGATTCGATCTTAATTTATTGTTTACGGAAAGTTTGCGTGGCTTCGTATTTACCGAATTCTTCATCATCGAAATCGTCATCAAACTCTGCGTTATTGTGATCAATCTTCGCTGTTGCGTAGTTCTTAACGTGATCAATAATTGCATCGTATATCTTATTATAGTTCTTATAAATTTAGTATCGCTTTAATTACCTTCTCCGGGTTTCCTAGAATATTTCCCACTGGGTTGCATTCCATTGGTTCGGGATTCGTGAAGTTGCTCATTCTAAAGATGTCTATTTTAAATCTATCTTAATGATGATTGCAATCAGATTGGTTGTGCCTTTTTCTGTGTTCTTTATATTAATTTCTCTTCCTAGTTACAAGCTTCGCTTTGAAGTTTCTCTACAAGTCTGGCCATTCGATTTAATTATGTAAATTTGTTGGACTTGTTATTTAGGCCAATTAAACTTTGCCCACATGAGGCTCCGACTTATAAATTGTCGTGTCAAACTTTTTTTTGTGTCAAATTTTTCTTCTTTTTAATTAACTCACCGTGTTTTAGTCTGCCAGCCGCGAGCGATTCCTGCCTGAAGCCTTCGATCTAGTGTACATTTGAGGACCATTCCACTCTTTATTATTGCGTGTCCTGCCAATAGATTCCTGGTTCCTTTTACTCATTATCTTATGTATTATTGTGTACTCTTGCGCTAATTAAGGTTTTTTTTTTTCGAAAATCGAGAAGCCGCTTGCGGATTCGAGTGAAAAGAAAGAAAAAGACTGGTTTCGATTTTGTAGTAACTGCTGCAATATTTGCGTAAAGAATTTTTTTGTAGAAACGAAAACGTTTCTATTTATAAAGCCCTGATGCCATCGGAAATTATTTTTTTGTGGCCCTTAAAAGGGCCTGTTTTGAAGAGCCTTGACAGCGTCTTATCGCTCTCGTCGCAATCGGAGGGCGAGATCAATGTCGCGCTTTTGGAGTGTCTTCCGTTTGCCGTGCGCAACGAACTCATTAGCATCTGTGAAAACGCTTGTAATATGCGTCTCACAGGCTTCCTGGAACGCTTCGAGCGCCCGGCTCGCTATGCGAAGCGGGTAGTGGACGCTGTTCACGATCTCCCGGGTGAGCCGTTGGAACGGGGTTTTTCGAATAAGCAACTGCGTTGACAGCTGCAAATCGATGGCTTCGCGTAACGCTACCGTGCCGGATCGGTACTTGTAGCGTTTTCGGGGAGCGCCATGGCGACAGATTCGGCTTGCGCAGGGGTCGTCGACGCTACAAAGGCCCATTTTCTTGGGGGAGGTCTTGGTTCGTGCCATTCGCTCAGTCGTCTCTGTGCTCAGGTTGGACTGTGATCGGTCCTGCCCATTCCATCCTTTTTATTATAAGGACTGCGATGTGAGGGAGACAACCCTTTTTCCCAAAAAGGGATTAAATCAAAACAATTCTAGAGAATTTCATTTTTTTTGGACTTATTATGGTTTTTCCCCTTGTTTATATTTTTATATAAATAATGTTATCTAGAAATCATTTTACCTTCTTTAGTGAATTTGACGACTGTTTTATTTTTTTATTTGGCAATTAATTTTATCTATTTTGTTATTTAGAAAACATGGGAATTGAAAATCGGACAGCTCTGTGGTTCGAAGAGTGTTGTCATAATATCTTGGCGGAGAATGTCGAAGATGCACTCAAGATGGCAGAGATGGAAAGCGAAGCATGCAGGAAGTTTCTGAGAGTCAATGATATTAATTGGTCTCCAAAATTTATCCTCATGCGCATTACGATTCAAGAAAGATTGAAAGTGGCTATTTTGGAGCGAATTCCATTGGAAAGGATTGACAAAATTCTTCTTTTTGACGTGGAAGATAACAAAATTAAACTTATCTCTGAAGAATCAATTGAAGCTGGTTTCTGGAACTCAGTTGACGATACTGAAATTTGCCCAAACGGTTTATTGAAGAAGGACGTTGACCTGATAAGAAAATATGATCAAACTGCGAATCAAATGGTAGAAGAAATTATTCGGAATTGTGGATCTTGCGTTGTCAAAACTTGGGCTGAACGTAATGACAGATTCGATTCTGAAGATTGGGCGAATAATCTAATGATTTGTATCAAAGGTAGAATCTGCAACGAGGCACGGATAGCAAGTTGGTTAGCTGCGCTGAAGTCGAGTGAGTCTGGCTTAGCGGATTTTACATGGAAATTCAAATTTGGTCCGTATTCATATACTGCGGTAAGAACTTGAAAGAACTTGTTCATGTTATCATTATTCTTTTAGGAATGCTCTTCCAAAACAATTCCCAGTGAGCCCATTCTAATGAAACCGCCGAATCTAAAATGGAAACCTGATGCGAGAATAATTGAAATAATCAAGAACGTCCCTGATTTTGGCGCAACGATAATGGAAAACTATACAAATTTTCACCCCGCTGATTTATCTCGCCTATCCGATGACAGAAATTTCAATAGAAAGTGTATTGCAATTTTCAACGCTAACAGGAGTAATATCGAAATGGCGGTGTTGAATAAGCCTAGAGCACTTAACATCCTGTCTTCTCTACTGGATGATGAATCTTATTCCGATTGCATAATGATGACTCTTCATGATGAAATTTCAAATGCCAGGATGGCTCGAACTGAAAAACGGCTGCTAAACGAACTTTGGAGACTGCTTTCTGCGCTTTATCCTTGTAAAGAATCAGCTGCCGCGCGGAAAATATCTCTTGAGACAATAAGAAAAAACGAGAAAAGATGGAACTGGGTTGATATCATTCAAGAAAAATTCGACCTGGACGTTGTTATCATGGATGAAGTAACAAAGTTCGGTCGAAATTGTTCCAATGGAATCGATACAAACGACATTATCGTAAGGCTTCTTGACACAATTAACTGGGAGAGTGGCCAGTTTGGTATGGAACAGCGCGTCGAATTCAGTAGATATGATGAAAACGTTGATCATTTCTGCTGGTATGGAAATAATGAAGAAGAAATTATAAGGAATTTTATCGAATACATCACAGGAAGCTCAGTTTCACAACAACAATTGTTTCAAATATCTGGTGATATTCATCAGAACGAATCGCCCAATAAAAGTTCTCGAGAAGAGCCTGACAGGCAGAAACGACAATGCAGAAAAAGATTGGGTGCTAATGTTGACCGGATGATAACAGACGAAAACAGGTGGCCTTACAATACGACTGCGGAAAAACGTGTAGAATCCTCGAAAAAAAATGTCTAGCTTATTCTGCGAATCCTTCAAAATTTTATTTAACCTGTTTTTATTCCCTCATATGTCATGAATCTGACAAATTCGCTTTCCTGTCTTATCTCAACAAACAAATAAATCTGCCATTTAGTAAAAGATGCACATTTTGAAAGATCTATTTTCATCTTTCAAAGTAACAATATTGGTTGATTCAATCAATTATTCTTCTTAATTTGGTCTTTTTTTGATTAACAAGAAGTCAAATTTCAGTCCTTCAGCAGGCTCACCATTCGTCATTTAATGCTCTTTTCGCTCGCGAGCATTTCAAACTCTGTTCTTGGAATAAATTTCCATTATACTTTTTGCTGAATTAATATCCGCACATAAATTTTCTAGAGAATGAAGTGTTTCTCAGCTAGCTGAGAAACGCAAAAATTTTTTTTTGGATTCTTCTCAGGCTCTAGAAAAAAAATGTTTTTCTAAATCATACCCTTTTCGATTGGGCGTTAACCAAAACAAAATATTTCTAGATCCCGAGAAGCACAGTGAGAAGTGTTATGCGCTTCTCGGGCAAGGTGAGAAATGCTCGTTTTTCTAGAGAATTTTTGTTATCTTTCTTTCGATTTGAATTGATGATGTTCTTTTTCATGGTATCGCTTGATTATTTGATGAATAATTGGTTTTTATTTATTATTTTGAAGGTCCTCGTTGTCTTCTAGATTGGTACTTTTATCGTGTCCTCTTGAAGTTTTCTTTACGACAAAACTATATTTATTCCAAATTTTCGAAATTATATAATGCTGAATTGTGTGCCCTTTTTTCGCGGAAAATTTGATTTTAAATCAAAAAAATCACTAGCATCGGAATCGTCTGCTGACAGGCTTTCAATTGATGGGCAGAATTTTAAATTCGTTGGATATTTGGTTCTGAGATATTATCTTGGCCTGAATTTATTTTCAGGTTAGCGGTTCTACTTCGAACTGAATACACTTCGAACTGAATACACTTCGAACTGAATACTTTCGAATGGAAAACAATTTTATTTGAAATTAAAATCTTTTGAGAATCAATTAAATAATTATCTTGTTTCTAGTTGTAAAAGTAAACAATGACGGTTTTTGCCATAAATCTTTCTGTCGCTTATTATTGATGCACGCGGAGCGTGCTCTTTTCTTTAATTATGTTTCATCGTTGTCTGCACTTGGGTAAAACTCAAATTTGCTTGGATTTGTTTCTCATCGAATCCGAATTATTTGCAGTGAAATACATTTTGTTGAGCAAATCCAAATTGAAATAGAACTGATTTGATATTAGTTAGGAGTGTTTATTTTCCCTTCTTGGCTCAGGTGAGAAATGCCTGGTTTTCTAGAGATTTCCGAAAAAAATTGTCTGTACGAAATTGGAAAGTATACTGAATGCATCTCGGATGATTTTTTACCGACTTCTTCAACCGAATGTTGTCCGCTTTGATAAATTTTTATTATTAATCTTGCTGAATTAATATCCACACATATATTCTCTAGAGAAAGATGTGTTTCTCAGCTAGCTGGGAAACGCAAGAATTATTTTGGATTCTTCTCAGGCTCTAGAAAAAAATTGTTTTTCTTTATCAAAACCTTTTTTTGTGCGGGCGTTAACCAAAACAAATTCTTTCTAGAGCTTGAGAAGCACAGTAAGAAGTGTTATGCGCTTCTCAGTCAAGGTGAGAAACTCTTGTTTTTCTAGAGAATTTTTTCTACCTTCTTTTTGATTTGTATTGATGATGGTTTTTTTACATGGGTTTGCTTGATTGTAAATGAATTTATCTGATTTAGGTAACCGAAAGGCATCACTTGAAATTGCAATTAATTTGATCAATTCTGCAGTGCTTTTTTTGAGAAAACTAGTAAACCGGTTAAAGATTGTGATATGAATATATTAGCAGTCATTTAATTTGAAAACAGTTTTTTTTTTCAATAAAAAGGCAGGTAATGGAAGATGACTGCTAGTTATCGTTCGCGAGGAAGTTGAAGAACTGCAATTGATAATGTGTTTCTAATAAATGTTTAATTTCTGTCGCCACTTGATGATGAGTTTTATGTTATTTTTTACCTAGAAAAAGGCGGCGATTGTTTTATCAATAAGACGGGAAGAAGAAAATGAAGAAGTGTGCTGAGACTGGCAGTACTAAAAATATGGGGTTTAAGTACACGAGTTAATTTTTGTTTTTACCTTTATAAAGGATTGCAGGTATTTAAAGGCTTTCTTCGGATGGTGATAAGTCGTCTGAGTCCATGTCCTGAGCAGAATGCAGTTCTTTGGCGATTGCCTCAAGAGCAGTGTACATTTGCTGGGCAGTTGGTTTGTTTTTCTTTTTCTTGTCAAACGATGGTAAAAAGATGAAAAGCAACAAACAACTGATCAAAATGAAGAAGAGAATTCCTATGATTCCGTAGTTCACCAGTGGGCTGATCAATCTTATCAGGTAGCAGAAGATTCCGATGCGCATTGGCGTATTTTTCAGCATGTAGATAATTGTGTCGAAAATCGTCGCTATAATATTACGCAGACATCTTGCAGCCCGTTCAGAATCGCATTTCCATAGGGAGCTGACGAGTTCGCTGAAAGTAGCCATCTTGCTGCGAAGAAATTCTTTCACTGATTGGGCGGTGTCTGGAGGTGACCTTTGCAGCTCTCTTGCAGTATTGATGGGCAGGCATGCCCAAAACAGCAAGAGAGAACCGATTGCTTTGATCACAGATGTGCAGAAATCGGTTATTTTGCGTCCATATGATTTCTCCGGGACATTTTGAGTCGCTGAGTCGTCACACACTTCGTTTTCTGTGATTTCATCAGTTTTTGTCCAGAAGGTTCTTTTGGCGTGTCATTTCGACTGCGAATGCAGAGGGGTATCCTGATTTGAAAAATTATCGGGTTATCTCCTTCATAATAAATATCATTTCTCGTAGAGCTTATTAATTCCGCTTCCTAGCAATTTGTAGTCTTACTGGTTTCGAGAATTTCTATCAGAATTATTTCAGTATTTTACCTTTGAAGGAAAAGTGACTTATGTTAATTTTATTTTGTTTATATAAATTACCCTTGTCTGCTGGTCGCAAATGCGTTCCATCTGAGTTGAGAAGATGGCATGGAGACCGATCGTTGCAAAAGACGCATTTCGTAATGGGGGCTAAATTTTTTCTCTCTTTTTTTGAACATTTACTAAAAAAAAGATTATTACCTTTGCATGTTGGTTTACTGGCTGCCTTTCTCATGTACTTTTTCATCTTGAATTGTTTTGCTTGTTAAATTTCTCTACAAAACTGGTAAAATTTGTAAAAAAAAATAATTTCCGGCTTGCCTGGGAACTAAAATGAGTGTGGAGTGAGCGTGATAAAAATGAGAATCGCAGCGGAGAAAAGGATCTTTCAGGAGCGAAATGATGAAATCGGTATCCGTCGCGAGCGATTCTGACTTAAAATGATCTATTGGGATCGCATGAGAGGAATATGAACTTTTATCGAATGAAACTTTCGTTTCTCACACCTTTTATCTTTGTATTTTGTGAGATAAATGAAGTTTTATCACGCAAAGTGCTTTTAGTGCAGTTCTTCAAGATATATTACTTTTTGCTATCATAAAAATGCGCTTTTAAAAATTATTCTTTCTTTCTTTTATTATAAAATATGATTTTCTATTAGTTTCACAAGCGTGGGCTATTGATTATATAAAGTTGGGCATTTTCTTTAACAAGTTTTTAATTAAGTGATTTTTGTCTTGATATTTTCGCACGCGGAGCGTGCTCTTGAAGTTTTTATACGTTTGAAAGACGATTGATTCTTTGATATGTTTCTTAAATATTTCTATCTTTACTGTTTTCAAAAAAAACGGCGATTTTCACTGTGTGAATACCCATTTTTTGTGATTTATGCCACCGTTTTCTTCCATGTCTCCAGTTTTATAATCACCGTGGCGCAAGTTAATTCATTATTATCATCTTATACTTCTACAGAGAGTTCTCGTTTTTTTCGGCTCGAATTATTGTCCGAATTTCGAAAATTATGAGGTTAACTATAATTTTTCATTCATAAGCCTTGATTTATGCGCTTTGCTTTGAAATCACGCGAAGTCAACTTTTTGAGGCCAGATCTTTATTTTCTTTTCCTGGAGTTAGCGGTTTACTTCGAACTGAGGTCACTTCGAACTGAGGTCACTTCGAGTGGAATACACACTTGTTTCAGATTTGAGTTCATTACGTTTATTTCTTTTAATAACTTTATTGTATATTTTCAATCAAAAAAAATGAAATAATCTTTGTTTATCTTTTGCAGGTGCGCTGATCAGGAAAAGTTTCATGGGAACAGATCTCGAATCTTTTTTTAGGGTAATTTTTTTTTGTTTTTTTTTCATTAAAAATAATTCGTAACTTTAGTTGCCCTTCCTTGTTGTCGTCGAATGGCGCTCTGCATTTATGGCAGTTTTTCGGATTGAGTTTACCAGCGCAATCTTTGCAGATGACGTGGCCGCATGGCAATGAAACGGGCTTGACTGCATCGATGTATTCTTGATAACATACTGCGCACTTCGCTAGGCGTTGAATTCCTAGAAGTGTCAATTTTTTTCTTGAAAGTCAAATGTTATTACCTTCGAGTCCGACTTTTGATGCTGAGCGGAAGAATGCCTCCTTTTTTTCTTCTTTGATGGTGGCGAGAGTCTTCTGGTAGAAGTTCAACTCCTGCTGCATTTTAGCACACTGTTTCTCCAATCTCATTTCCATATCGTGTAAAGAATTGAGATAACGAATGTCATCTTGTAGCAGGTTTCAGATAATAAAAAAGTTTATTTTTTTATTTTTTGATATTGTTGAGTAATGAGCGTACCCTATTATTATTGAAACCTTCCTGGTTCGAATGTGTCTTTAGCTTGAATACAGCATTTTCCAATTAAACCTTCTGCCACGCTTAAGTTCTTCGCCTGATCTGAGTTGCATATCTACTGAGCTGTGTGAGCTGTCATAGAAGAGTTAGCTAAATATGCAACTCTGAGCCTGACAATTGTTTGCCGGGCAGCATACCTTCGCGTCTGAGAGTATTTCTTTGTAGCTGTCCATATGTGTGGCGATGCTTCTTTTGGTTATATTTAATTGTTATGTTAGATTATCTTTTTTCTGTATAACCATATCAGTTTTCGCAATATGGGATGAAGGTTGTAAAATGAATATACATGAGTTGTGTGACTGAGCCACATTCTTTTTCATTTCCTTCGCCATCGTATACTCTTCCTCGGCAGAGACCTACTTCACCAGCGTTCACGATATGCTCCCTTTTAATTGAATGGTAGACATACGGCATTCTGAATGGCTGTTTGTTTTTTTATTCCATTTAAAATATCAGTGGTTATTAGCAATCAATTCTCTTTAGCTATTTAATTTCAATGTCTAACTTTTAAATCTCTATCCTACGGAAGTATCGAAAAGTCTCTTGTCTCTTTTCTTCGTTGAAAAAAAAAATATGTAATGCATCGCCCTTTCGAGCGATTAGTCACCTAGCTGAAATCAAGAAATGACCTGGTAAAAGAAATTCTCAAGCGCGTCCTTGCTCGACTAGATCGAATCGAATTCTTATCGCACCGCCGTCAAAAATTTGCTACTCGTCACGCGGGGAGAGAAAAAGTCGCTGTTATTGGCTCTTTTTAAAACCTTGAATTTTCTTAAGCAAGGTTTTTATTGAATGTTTTTTGTCACTAGTATGTTCGCACGCGGAGCGTGCTTTTGGAGTTTTATGCGATTAAATGACGATTTTTCCCTAATTTTTTTCCTTAAATATGTTTCTTTAATATTCTTTCTTAACAGTTTACAAAACAAAATAGGCGATTCTCACTTTGTGAATTCTCATTTCATTTTATGCCACCGTTGTCTTCTATGTTTCAATTATATAAAATCATCGTGGCGCAAGTTTATTCATTATAATTGTGTCAAGTTTATGCTCATTTCTCCTTTGCTTAGACTTCTATGTAGATATTTGACTGTCATAAAATTTTTAAGTTCGCTATTGGCAAATGTAAGGGTAAACCTTTTCGAGCCGAACGAAAAAAAAATGCCTGACAAAGTTTGGTAAGATTTGCTTGGATCCTATATTAGTCATCACACTTTCGTAAAGAAAATATTCCAATTTGTTGATTGCAGACACTTCGAAAGAGAATCGAGCGATGGGATTTTTTTATAATAGTTTGGGTTTTACGTGAATATAACTCGTTATTCTATGCTTGTAAAAACCCACTTCAGTCCTCCCGATGTGATCGATCTTATCTTTGATACTATGCTTGAAGAAGAGGAATGTCGCCGCGTGCGAAAATTAGCCAAGGAGATCGAGTGCGAAAGAATTGCGATAAAAAAATTGAGGTAACTTAGACATACTTAACTTACAATCGATAAATAAAGTCTTGTTTTACGGAACAAATTAAGGGCCGAAAATATCAGACTTGAATTGGAGCTGCTGAATGAAAAAAAACAATTGATCGAAGCTGAGCAAGAAGAACTTCGCAAGGTGAAAGCTCAAATTATTGCACACAAGATTGCTCAGGTTCGCGACACAAAATTTAATTATTCTCAATTTTTAAAGGGCTCGCAATAGATATTCAAACTCGATTCTCACGTGATTGCCTTCACAACGAATTTTTTGGACAAAAAAGAAAAATCCTGTTCGAATCAAATTCGAATCTTCATTTTAAAATTCCTCTCCATCATTTTAATTCACACTGTCTTACTGCTTTGACGTAAATAACACTGCTCCTATGATTCCAAAAAAAACCTTATTCTTCGTTATTTCTAGAAGTGCAACATTAGAAAACGACGAAAGGGGACGCGAAAATAGGCGATTCTACGCCTATTTGATATCCTTATAAGTACTCTTGGCCTTAAATCACTCACGTTTTTGAATTGCATAAGAAAACTTTGACAGATGAAATATTAGTCACCTTAATTTTATCGAAAACACTGACCCGCCCGCATCAAGCGACTATATCGAGTAGAATTCTTTTCGAGTCGGCGCTCGGTTGTCCCTGCGCGTCACGGGGCCTTCGAAGGAAGAAGAGAAGAGTCGCTATTATTGGCTACTCGAAAATTTACTTTTAATTGAATCTGATTGCAAAAAAATTTGATTTATACTGCGAGAGAAATCTTTCGTGAAGAAGATAAAGAGAAAACCTGCTGATCACTGCCTTCTCTTATTGATTCTCCCTATCGTCAAAATGTATTTTTTGTCTTCGAATATTACTTTATGATATTTCAAGTTCATATTACCCTTTTTGTTATATCCTTATATTTCTGCACAGGGTTCTTTTTTTTGGCTCGAATGATTCTCCGAATTTCGAAAATTATGAGGTTTACTATAATCTTTCGTTCATAAGCCTTGATTTATGGCTTGCCTTTGGAATCACGCGAAGTTAATTTTTTGAGGCCTGATCTTTATTTTCTTTCCTGGAGTAAGCGGTTTACTTCGAACTGAGTACACTTCGAACTGAGGACACTTCGAACTGAACTCACTTCGAGTGGAATACACACTAGTTTTAGAATTGAGTTTTCACTGAATTAAGGCTATTATTGATTGGTGGTTTGCGCCATAATCATCAGTTCTTATTTTTAGAATAACTCGATTTTGATATGTCCAGCGAGGCTCAAAACAGTAATCGCGAGTGCGTCGAAATTCCACCAACCGCTTCGCGTTCTGTCTGTTTCTCAAGTGGAAGACCGATAAGGCCATTGGCTATCGTAGCTTACGAGTTACTCCTACCGTATACTGATCTGGCCGGTGATTTGGTCAGTCAAACAAAATATTTTGGCTTCCGATTATCATCATGCGCTCGCAGGTATTCGGCCGAAATAAATCTTTATATCTATCCGTTAGTGGCCTTGATGCTGTCTTCACCTTTACCTGCATTTCGCCGCGCTGCACTGCAATTGAGTTGTTTTACGGTCCCGCGTCGATGTTAAAACCGGCGAAGGACGAACTTGTTGAAGCACCATGCGACGAGTTCTTTCAGCGTGTATCCTTTGACAACCATCGTTTTCAACGACCGTCGATCGTGCATGCGTGCTCTGGTTTGTCGGCGGACACAGCTGCAAATGGCGTTTTTCGGGATAAACTCAGAGTAAGAATCCTGATTTTATGCTTTCACTAATCTATTTTAGTCTGTGCGATATACCGGTCGTCGTCGAATTGCTGAGATTCGCTCACACATCGACCTTATCCGCGAAGAGGTGAACGCTATTTTCCCCGGCTTCTCGACAGAAAACTCGGAGGATGAACTCATCGACATCGTCCTCCGACAACTCAAATAGGTCCTATTCTTATAACGCTCTTAGGGTTTATCTTGTCAATTTATTATTTTACATGTGTCTGTATGAATAGGTTTCTTGCACTTCTATCTGGGTGTTTTTTTTTTCTTTCTCGTCCCACTCCTTGTTGTCTCCACGAGTCGATCTTTTTTTCTTTCAGATCTATAGCGGTGCAGCCACAAGTTTTCTTCTTTATCTTTCCTGTTCATTTTTTTTTAATTAAATATTTTTTTTCTTTGACAATCACCTCCATATAATTAGTGTTTAAAATATCTATTTACCAAGAATCCATGGTCGATGAAAAATAAACTTTTGTCTTATCTGTAAGCTTACAATTCTCATTGCTGTCAAGTATTTACAATTTTTATATCTTCTTTCCTCTAAATAATTTTTTCCTTCTTGTCTTCCTAAAAATTATTGTTGGCAATCAACAAAAAGGTGGTTATTTTATTAAGAAATCCTGTCCTTTTTTTTCAAAATAGCAGCTCCTAACTGAGATTTTTAAGATGTCCCGTGATGGCTCCGGCTCACTTTGCCGGATTTGTGCATTTTCGATGTGCGAAGAAAGCAATCCAAGCATCGCCATAGTCCCTTGTGGCCACTTCCGAATTTGTAAAAATTGCGTGGATTCGGTCGACAGATGTCCTTTTTGCCGGGGCGAAAAGAGAGATTACATTATCGTTCGAGATCGGAATCCTGGAAGGTCGGGGTCAGTATCTTGCTCAACTACTAGCCCTTTAGTGAAGAGTTTATGCACTGCTCGTGTCTAATTGTGGCTAGATGCGGACCCCAAATCGAAGGGCACAGTTAGACTGGCAACTTGATCAGCTGCAATATCGTGATCTGTTGGCCGAATATGAATCCTCTCGAAATGGAAAATTACGCCCTTGACTGCTCGTTTCCTTTATCATTCTTTTCTCCCACAAAATTCTCATTGATAGACAACATTTTTTTTTAATTAAAAAAAAGCATATTTCAGAACAAGCATTGTGATCGGTTAATCCGTGGTTAGAATATCTCGCCTCGATGTCGTCATCTGCAAAGGGGAATTGTGGCTGCTGCGGCCATCCTTTTGCCCCTCCATTTAGGCAGGAGGTCGCATCAAACCCCTGCACCCATGTTGCATGCTTGCAATGTTTTCTCGCTCGCGGAACGCTCTATGGTGGTGGCATAAACCGAGATGTTTTTCTTCGGTGCCCGGTCCCTAGATGTCTCAAAATCGTCGGCTTCAATGATCGTGACCTGGTCTTCATTTCACGAATTCCATTCAACCCGCTCGAGCTGCCACCAGCAAGTAATCAATTCGATTCCTCCGATGATGACGAAGAAAACGATCTTAATGAAGGTGACGGAAGCGATTCTGAAAAAGACGACAATAAGACCACTGGTGCTCCTGTCGGCGAAACCGCTGGTTCTATGGATTTTGATCACATCGACTCCTACTGCGATGGCGAAGCCAACGATCTCGATGAAGGTGACGGCGGCGATCATGGAGGAAATGACGCCAAAACTTCTTCTGCTCCTGTCGGCGACACCGCAGATATGGATTTTGAAAGGACCTCTGATTCAGCTGTCATTTGCATTTCTGATGAGGAGCCGGAAGAAACAAGTCGTCATTAAGTGCATACCATGCTCACGTGCCAACGCCTTCGTCGAAAGTTCTTCGACTTCTCTGTCGTTTGTTTGATCCCTACTCTGTCTCATTTTAGGATCACCTCAAATTTGCTTCTGTGCATATTTATGTATCTGACTGCGACTTAATCACTTTGAGAAGTTATTTTCTTGATTTTTTTTGCCGTTTTTAGTGTGGAAATGTGATTGATTACCCACGAGTTCCCGATTCGTTCAATCCTGAGACTATCGCATCTTTGCTGCCCTTTTGTACATACTTTCTGTCAATTTATGTTTGCACGCGGAGCGTGCCTTTTTAATTATTTATTTCCTTGTATTTAATTATATTTAATTATCTTTGCCAGGGATTCTTTTGCAGATAATTGGTCAAACGAGGGATTTTTAGTAATCGGACCGCGATGAGCGACATGGTATCATTTTTGAGCACATGTACCGACGCTTCGTCTAGCGAAGACGACGACTCTTCTAGTGACGATGATCCGTTCGGGGACAAGGTAAAGACAAAACGTTTTTTATCTCGTTATTATTAATCTCATAGGAATCGAATGATTCTTCGCTGCCAAAGAAGCCCGCTACGTTTTCAACTTCGAGTCCAAAACTGTCGCCTTTGCGATCGAATATCCAAGATGAAAAAAGTGGAACTCTCTTTGGTGCCGATGTAAGTAAATCCTTTTTTTTTGTGGTCAATGTTTAATCAATATTTTAGCTCTCGCCGATACGTGGTGAACGAAACCTTCCCGAGTTCATTCCGACCGAAGTGCAAGAACCTCGCCCAGCGAATAGTCTCCATATTTCTGATGATGCGGCTGCAGATGTAATCGACCCAAAGACAACTTCGGCTAAAGATGATATTGGCCTGATGGATGAGTTGGGCGATTTCGACGACGATCCAGACAATTCACTTTATCCGACTAACAAAAGAAAAAGTCTGGGAAAGAAAGCGACTGCGAAGAAGTTGCCGTGCAACTCTCAGGAAAAATCAAAAACTACCAGTCAACATATGAAGACTAATAGAGGCAAAAATAACAATTGCACTGGCTCTCAACTTGGGCAGAAACATACTAAAAACCCTCGTGATAATGTGGTTGCAAACAGTCAAGAGCTCTTATCGACCCCACAAAACTCGCCCCCGTCGTCTCCATATAATTCCCGTGTACCTTCTCGCAGCCCCTCGCCAACAACATCGAGGGCAAGAAACAAGGGTCAAGAAGTAAAACGAAAACCACCGAAGAGCCGTGATGTGGCAATGACGGTTCAAGTTAAGAAGACTGCGAAGCCACTGAAACCTTCCCAGAACATTTCGCAGGGCGATGGCTCGCCAAATCTGGAAGAACTTGGCCGGCCATCTCGCCATCTCAATGATCAGATTGATTTTTTGATGGACAATATTCGGCCTCATGATGGTTATACTGGAGCAAGCCAAGCCGACAAAAATAATGATTCTGATAGCGGAGAAGAGGATTCAATCACTTCAAACTATTTTTTTGTCGAAACGCCAGCGCCAATTCATGGAATCCCGGAAGCTGATAAGTTTATCGATCCGAATTCGGAGCTCAAACGAGGTGTTCAGTACAGAGACCCTGGCGATGAACCAAAGATAAAAATCCCCTTGAAAACCAAAAGGAGCGTTATCCACTCTTACATATCGGGCAATGGCAATCCTGGCTGTATAGTCGAGTATCTTCTCCCCTTGGACGATGACGATAGTCAAGCATTGCATGACCAGCCTTCTACTTCAACGGCACCTACATCTGCTACGCCTTGGACATGCTCCATTCCTAATGGAAAACGAGAAATTCTTAAGCAAAATAAAGCTAGGCAGTCAATCCAGTCGGCACCCAAGAGAAAAAAAGTCGTTTATCACATGCAGTATAACGGAGCAAACCCAAGGTAAATGGTTGGCCGGATATATAATCATACTTATGCATAATTTTAGAGGCGATGGTGCTGCATCAGTCCATCTGAAGTGTCAAAACTGCAATGGTCGCCAGACGTTCTATTGCGACGCGTCCTTCATAATGCCAACTAAATCCGGCAAGTCCTGGATGATGAATCCAGAAAAGATTCAACTCTTTTGGCACAACGCGACTTTGGAGCCTCCTCGCGATCACCAGCGCCTTAGCCAACAATACGAGCACGTATGCAGAGGCCTTAACAGGCGAAAGATTGCCGAGATTACGTTTTCGACTGGCATTATTGTAATTTTTACCCAAGTTTACAGGTTTCAAGTAATTATTTAGAAATTGGTTGATCAAATGGGACCAACAGTCAGTGCTAAAACGGTGCGTGATCACGTGCAGACTGTCCAGGAAACTTATCCTGAATGGTCGCCTGACTACTCGATGACATCATACATCAAAAAGATGAGAAATCGCAAAAGATTCTACCGGAAACAAATGCGCAAAGAGTTTGAGAGTCGTGATGAGAAAGTTCCACTCGTTCCCAAAATTCTCGGCACGTTGAACTATCACAAACGACTCTCCGGTGAAGGGCTCAACCGCTTACGATGGCCAGTCGCAGTTACCGCCAAATTCTTGATCGGTAATTATGCGAAAATTAATTGTTGACTATTTTTCTCATAACGTTATTTAGTCGCGGATCTTCTCATGCTGTCGCGAATCCCTCCAGCATCATTCATTAGAATGATGCTGGACGGGACCTTTACCATCGCAGGAGATTTCCGGCAATGCATCACCATCCAAATTGCGATTACTGACGACCTTGGATTCACGGAATATAAATTGGTCGCCGCTGTTTATTTGCTCTCGAAAAAAAAAGTCGACTATGCCGCGGCTTTTTATACATTCTGGGCAGCATTAATGAAGCTTCACGACTCCAGCTTGATCACCACCGTCTTTGCACAAACTGACGGAGAAATGAGTCTCTTCCTTGGGTATGTCTCTATTTTAACCTAAATAGAAGCCTATCAATAATTCTGAATTTAGCGCAGAGGAGGGCCTTAAACGTCACAGCGTCAACGTTCTTTCGACTATCTGTAGTACGCACCTGGAAAGGGCGCTTTACAGAAACCTCAAGTCAATTATTGGCTTTCGATGTGTTCCCGCCGCAGTCCGAATCTTCACGTTTATGATGAAAAGCATCGTAAGTTTTTTCACTTAACTTATTTAAATAAACTTCTCTTTCTTGTTCAGCAACTGGTCAGACCTGACCTCATCATGCCGAGTCTTCTTGGACTGTACGCCCTCGTTCAAAGGTTGCCAAAGTATGGAAAGAGAATCAGCCGCTTCTTGAGAGACTATTGTCAGCGAGTCATGGTAATCTATCGTGATAGATTCTGCTATCACAAATTGCTTCTGTTGGCCAAGGAAGAGCGCTCGTCCGTTTGTTTATCCACGAATCCGGCGGAAAGCCTCAATAATAGCTTGAACAGCAGATTTCGGGATACATTTAAAAGGGTAAGTTCAAATTTTCAGTAAATGCTTGTACTTATTATTGTTTTTAGAGAAAGGGAAGCTTCGACGAAGATCTCCTTCTTATGTACCAATTCATGGATGAATGCGGACGCGAATACAACAATGGCGACATCGATAAGGAACGAGAGGATGAAAACAACGTGGCAGCTGATCGTGAAGCTTATATACAGAAGGTATTCGACCGATGCGACAAAGAGGAAATCTACGAGCGCGGCATGCCTTTCCCGAAAGAATTTTTCATGGATTTCGTACATATTGCACTGGAGCGTTTTGCGGTGAGAAATTCGACTTAACTTTATATTAATAAATTCTAAGGAAAAAGCACCTGCGCGTCACACCGCCATTCTTCGCAAACGTTGGGCGCGAAATCGACTCGCAGCACGGTTAACTGAAATTGAAAACGGCAAGGTCAAAGCTGCTGAAATGGATCCAGAAACCGAGGAAGATCGCGCGGCAGATCAAGAATTAGAAGAGGATCGCATTCCATGTGATGTGCCCGTCGGTGAAATGGAGGATGAAATCATTGGTGATGACTTTGATGATGAAGACTATGATGGCATGGAGCTGAATGACAATCGCCCTATTGGAGAACTCAATTTACCGAACTCTGTACAGACAGAGATGGCGATAGGCGATTTTCTTAAAAAGACTAGGGCGGCGAGTGGCGCTGCAGTGCCTGGTGAAAACAGCGACGCTGTGAACGCTTTACGTGACGACGAAGCCAATCAGACGCAGGGTCCTGGGAACAACACGGAGAACAGTGGCGCTGAAGAGCACACAGCAAACATGGAAATGGAACAATTAAATCAAACAATTGCCGAAACCACGGAGAACAGCGGCGCTCTCGAACACTCTGCAAACATGGAGACAGATCAAGTGAATCGTACGCCCGCGATCGAAGACGAACTGCATATGCTTGATTTCAAAAACCCGTTTGAGTCAGAGTCCGACTCTGACATTGAAACGCCGCCCTCAACTGACGTAGAAGATGCAATGGACGAAGGTGAAAAATCAGAGGAGGACTCAATTGATTGGGGATTCGAAAACAACGATGAAACCACTTGTCGGCCGCCACAAAAAGCGTCTACCTCGCAAGCCTTCCAGCACACCAGCGACCAGGGAAAAGAGTCAAGCGAAGGTGTACAGGAATCAAAACATGCTCTAAATTATGGTCGTAATCGCGCGGTGAAATTCGCGACAGAAGCACAACCATCGAAATGTCATGTCGAGGAGTTTCAGGAACGCCAAGACCAAACGCTGAAAAACGCCGGTCTCACACGCAAACGAAAATCGTGTCAACCTGCTAGGATCCATGAGCGGGAAGATAACAAGGTAAAAAAATTACAATTATCGTATTAAATAATCATATCAGGAAAACAAGAAGAAGCAGATTCGAATGGAGAACAATCCAACGATGGCCACGTTAAAGGGAAAAGATAAAGAAAGCCAGCTTCGCGATTTTGATAGACAAGTGAAGTGCCTTGGGGACGCAATGATCGATGTAAATCCAACGATGTTGACTGACGCAGCGCTCAACCAATGGCCCGACAAACCACTCAAACCCAAAGAGCAGCGGAGACACGAAAGAGCAGAAGAAAAAGCGCTAGAAGGAATACCAAAGGTGCCAGGAACTGAAATCATGGACGATTGGAAATCACTAGAGCGAGCTGCTGCTGAAACTGCCTTCTCACCCATCAGAACCCGCAGTCGAAGCAAAGAGGAGAAGCTAAAATCCAAAAAGGTCGTCAAACTAAATACCATCAAATATTCACATATTGTTTAGGACGATTCAATGATGAGCGCCAACGAATCGAAATCATTGCCGGCTGATGGTGACACTGCTCCACAACGAAGGTCTGAGCGGAAAAAAAATACTGTCAATTACAAAGTTACACTCTCTCGACCTCGAACTAAAAATAAATAAAATAGAGTCCACGGGACATAATGTAAAAAAAAGTGTCTGTTTAGAACTTTCGCTCGCCAAATTATCCTTATCGGACATATGAAATCATTAGCAGTTTTAAGTGTCACTACCGGTTATCCACGTGATATGGAGGTGTTTATTGAGGAACACGTATTGTGGAAGCTGTTGGAAGGAAACAAACGGTCATTCATCAAATTCGTGAAGGTTGAAAATGTCCGAGATTGCGACATTGAGACAAGAGGCTACTTTGGGGCGTATGTAAAAAGAAAAAAAAAAGTGGTTCGGAATGAAGGCGCGACTGAAACGATTTATGGAGTATTATTCTCAAAAACAAAACTGTTTGATGTAAAGGGAGCAACAAGTGTTTATACACCTTCTCATTGTCGATACTTCTTTTCAGCCCTCGAAATTTTTATCAATTTCGCGACAATGAACATAGATGGTAATTTTAATAATCAATCATCGCAATTCAATTAACATAATGATTTTAGACATTATCTTCTTTGGAAAAACGGATCAACACCACTACGCTGACATTGTAAATTGGGTACGAGACTGCCAAGAAAAAAATAAACGCCCGAGATCATACCCTCTGCAAAGCTGGCCATTTCTTTCGAGCGCTCCAACAATGGATAACTTTTCGCTCGACACGGAAACTCCTGTAGACTATGTTTAATGTAATGAAAATCGAGCTTTGGATTTACTTTTTAGAATGTACAAAATAGTTTTCACAAAGGCCGAACTGATGAAATGCGTAACCGATGCACTCGTTCCACTGCTCCCCTGGGCGATATTCGACCTCACGCCAGATGGAATTTGTGTGCAGTCAGTTGATGGTTGCCAAAATATTTTGGTGCAATTAGTCCTCCGCGCAGCAGCAATGGAAGAATACTCCATTGACAAACCATACGCTCTAGGCGGTCAGTTAAAGAAGTTCCTTATTGAATTTAAACTGTACTTAGTGAAAGTGGAACTATTGGCGAAATATCTGAAAAACGCTTCAAATGACGACAAATTGACAATAACCGGGGACGACGAGAATGGAAAGCTGGTAATGAAATTCAAGTCACCGGTATGATTAAATAGAAAAATAAGAAATATTTATAAACAATTGAGTACTCTCCAAATGCAATGAAGTATTCGATCAAGCTGATTGTTTTTACAGCTGAAAGATGTGTTATTTCAACGAGCGAATATGGGTAACAAGCACAGAAAAAAAGAAAAACTAATTTTCGATAGCGCTTCAATTACGATGCCATCGTGTGTATTCGAACAGACGATCAAGAAACTTTCGGGCGTTGGGGAAGTGGCAAAAATCAACGTCACTAACGGGAAAGCTGTCCTCTCGTCGAAGGGCGATATCGGTGAGGTGGAGACGGAATTGGATGAAAAAGATAATGACGACCCAAAGAACAAGCTTTTTTCAGTCGAAGCTGAGGGACCGATCGAGCTTAACTACAGTTGCAAGTAACCAAACACATCAAGAAATGAATGTAACCTATAATTACAGATATCTCGAGATGATGTCCAGAGCCGCATGCTTGGCAGAACAAGTGACGATGCAACTTGAAGATGGCGTCCCGATGACCATTACATACAACATGAAGGCAGGTTATAATTATGCGTTTTTCTTTTAATTAAATTCAAAAAAGTAACATATAAATAATAACCGCACGAAGGCTCATGGTCACCTCAGATACTTCATCATGCAGAAATGTGAAGAATGAATTGATGAGCAGACAAAAAGAATAAATCCTATTATAAGGATAAATACAGGTAGAGAGGGCACGCTCCGCGTGCGTACATATCAATTACAGAAAACGGAATGAGTGGCAATTTTTTAAAGCCCTGTCATATTCAAAGCGAATACATAATTCGAGACAATAGATTACCCCTTTGCTAACTTAAAAATTATTTAGATCATTCATAACTGCAACATCATCTTTGCAAATCAGCTGATCACTTCTCTCCAAAAAAAAAATCCATTTGCAGTTTCTCGTTATTTTTTTCTCTTCAATCAAAGCTTTTTTATTGGAAAGAATGAAAATTCTTGTTTTTATTTTAAATCGCTTCTTTTAGAATGCCTTTCTGCAAATTTCCATGTGCAAAGGAAATAAAGATCATTTTCGAAGTGATTGCTGCCATGAAATCCGAGTTCTACCTTAATTTTTCGGAGGAAGGGCTGGTCATCGATGGAATGGACCTAACCGAGTCAGTTCTTGTTAAGGTACCCATCATTATTGACACTGACAATCATATATTTTATTCCAGGCACTAATGAAAGAAGATGGGTTTCTCCAGTTCGAGAAAGGACGAATCGACACTACTGTCGCGGGAGGTAATGCCAGAACTTCTTTCCCACCATCATATATTTCCAGTAAATGCCAAAGCGATGAACGTATTTCTGAAAACATTATCGCGCGATGATTTTCTTGAATTCGACTGCCATGACTATGGAGACAAAATGATCATCACAACTGTTAACAAGGTAACGAAATTGTAAGTTGAAAGGAAACCTATTTTTTACAAGTTTAACGTGAAAACCAAATTCAAAATGAACCTCTTGGACCTAATCGATTCGCACAGAGCCGTTCCAAATATCAAGTACAGGTATCAAAAACAATTCAACAAGTTTTATCTGAATTTTAGATGCTCTGTTAAACTCTCGTCCCAGCGCTTTCAAAACGATATACGAGGCTTATTGAATGTCAGCGATAGCGTCATCATTACCGTGACACGAGACAAAATAACCCTCGAAGCCGTTGGCGAAGAATCATCAGCTGACGTAGAATTGCAAAAAAAAGACACGCGGGCGTCCGATTACGATATGGTGAACATAACGACCGATGAGAGCTTCAAAGCGAAATACTCTCTAAGGTAAGAATTTTTACGGTCCAGTCAACATAAAATTGAAAAAAAAATATAGCTTGCTGTACAAAATCACGAAGGCAACGCCGCTGAGCTCATGCATTACACTAAAATTCTGCAACAGAATTCTGCCAATGCTTGCAATTTATGAGATGGAACGAATCGGAAATGTATCCTTTCACGTTTCACCAAGACTAAAATAATAAAAAAATAAGAATCGGAAAAGTCCATGCCAATTGACTACAACTGTAGACATTTACTCTCAAGATAGATTTTAGAATGAGTATCTCTCAAAGCCTTAAAAATCTCAAAGATTGCCTTGAGTGTCAAGTATGCTTGTCTGGAGAGAATACGAAGCGACAACATTACTGTCCCGGATGTTCGAAGTTGGTTTGCCTATCGTGCATGAAAGGAGGCGATTGACAAATTTAAATGTAGACGATAATGTGGTGAAATTCTGTTCAAATTTCAAAAATTTTCTTTCCATAAGAATCGCCTGCTCACAAGCCTTCGATTGATAGGCAGAACTTTCAGTTTATATAAAATTGAGTTTTTGAGGTTAGACCCTAGTCTTTGTTGCCGCTCGAGTTAGCGATTCTACTTCGAACTGAAGGCACTTCGAACTGAACGCACTTCGAACTGAGTACATATGAAGTTGAAGTTAGATATATTCATGAATTGCTGCGATTTTTTTTCAAGTAAAATAGTTACAGTATCAATTGAACAGACATATGTAGAAAAAATAACACTGTCAGCCCGTAAAAGAAGTCAGCAAGGAATCCCGATTGCGACATAAAACAAGCTGTCCTCATTGTGCCCGTAGCTTCAAGACGGTAATTGCTCTGCCAAGCATTAATTTTATTTGTTTATTAGGAAGACTTTCGAGAAGTATACTGGGCAAGCGGAGCTCTAGAAGATGTATACAGTGAGTAAGGCATTTTTTTATGGTGGTTAATAAGGTTAAGAAATCGAAGAGCATGCAAAAGTGCAATTGAATCCCGGCAGCCAGAATGAAGCTACTTTTGCAATCAAGGAAGAGAGAATGTCGCTTGAAGGAGGAAGCAACGTTACGGGGCCAAAATTGAAGTTGCACGGAAAGGAATCTGAGACAAAGTCAGAAGAGACAAATGCTAAAGCCAGAAAAAGAAGTCAGAAATGGTAATATCAAGAGGAAAAAAATAAATCTATCATATTTAAGGGTCACCACGCAAAATTTAACATCAGTGGCATCCTTCTTTCCGTCATCTATTCACAAATCAAGAATGCCATTTGAAGACGGCGCGTACGAAGAATAGAAAAGTAATTAATAGATTGAATTTTAATTGCAACTCATAATGGTACTCTAGGTGGCGGAGATGAAACGAAGACGGATTAAAAGTCTTAACAATGTCTGCCCTTACGCGCTTTATGCTTACCTGTTCATCAAATATAACAAAAAAATATATTTGAAATTAACATAGATATTTAAATTGTAGACTAAGTTATCGTGGAATTGTGTGAGAATATAAAAAAAAACTGTTCTCGATGGCGGCAGCACTGATTCCTGATAAAAACGGATTTAGTGAAAAAATAAACGAAAAATTAAAGGGGGCCACGACGATAAGAATATCGTTCGGGAAAGGATACCTCGCAGTCAGAAGTAAGGTCATAAATGAAAAACAACGTTCAATTTTGCTGCATGAGCCTGAACTCAAAGAATACTACAAGGAAACAAATGAAACCCTAAATTTCTTTGGTAAAATATAATGAGGAATTTGGCATTAAATGAGTTAAGTAAATTACGAGCAATTCAAGAAAATGCTTGGACAAGTAGAAGAGATGGAGCGAATTTATCTTGTGGTCGATATTGGCGAAGAGGCAGAGATAAGAATAGTTGGTGAGGACAGCAAGCGAAGAAAAAATTGCTTTGTTGATACAATCCAATGTTATCCGCCACAAACTGCAATGATAAATGAGGAATTGGCAATCAAACGACAAATAATTGTGGATACGATTAATAATTTGATCAGCGAAATCAGTCAGCCAGGTAACCTTTTAATAAAAGAGTAGGGAACAAATAAGGTTAATAATCCTAGAGGAAAGACGACTGGAAAGAATGGCCTCTGCAAGCTCCTCAGCAAGCGCAACCAACAATGATGCTGTCTTCAGAGTGCCAGCTGTTCCAAGACCTGCAAAAGCCACGCTGCAAGAATATTATAGAAATCATTTTCCACGAGATCTTCTGAAGAGACTCTGTACGAGAAATGATGCTTACGAGCTGCGATCACGAGATTTAAGGTACTGAGGAAGAGCCAAAATAAAAAAAAACATTCATATCTAGCATAGAAATCGATGACCTGACCGTGAAGATACGAAGAAATGATGTTATTCTAGCCTGGGCTGATTTCATGCAAATATTGACCAAAAACCGTACGAAACGAGTTGATATCGGAGGCCTCTATGAATCAAAAACAAGATGGCGGAATTTTGCAAAAGATACTTTTCAGGGCAAAGAGGTGGCTCAAATAATTATCAGATATAAATAAAAATTAAGCTCTGGCTCGATATTGACATAAACGACTATAAGTATCGATACTGCTGCGAGACAGAGAGTCTATGCAAAAAGTGCTGGCGATTTCTAAGAATAGCCGCAGAAATAATAGATACGGCGCTCAAGAAGGACATAGGCCTATCACGGGTCTTATGGGGTAATTTACATCAGAGTGAAAAAAAATAACAATGAATAGTGTTTAGTGGACGGAGAGGACTGCACGCCTGGTCGTTAGACCCAGTCTTTCTACGCAACAGTGAGGACAACAGACGTGCAATTTTGAGTTATCTGAGCAAAAAAAACCTCAGCTACAGAGGAAAAAAACTTTACCACACGTACTTGAACACTGCATACGAAATCATAAGTTCGGAGTGGATCCATATTCTCAGCGAACAAGGTAAGCAGAATATTAGACGAAGCAAATTATTGATAAAATAATCGTTCAGAGTTGCTTCAAACGGAGGAAAAAATAAATGACATTATGGGTTTCACTGTTCTCCAGGAAGAAGAAAAAGAAACACTCAGAAAAGAAATTTTACAAGAAAAAACCGTTGAGAAAAAATGGGACATTATAGCCAATCGTCTTAAATCGGGAGACATGCAAGACGAAAACAGCGAAAGAATCATTAAATTCGCAGTCGCGCTTCCAGAATTTGATTCACCGGTCACACTACAGAACAGCCACTTGATCAGAATGCCATTTTCAATACATCAAAAAACACAAAAAGGTAAATACCAATTAGGAAAAAAAAGCTTACAGTATTTAAGTTGCTTTGCCGATAGACGCTCCGCGCACGGAATGGGAAGACATAAAGAAAATCCCAAAGTTTTCAGAAATAGCAGCAAAAAAGAAAATTTTTGATGAAAGCAAATTATACTTGGCAACCTTCCTTGACAAATATTAAACAAAAATTGAACTTGACTTAGTTATCTCAAACAACTTAGCTTAAGAATGGAACTATCGCAAGAGTTGCGCGAATTGATGTCCGACCATCACCGGTAATCCGACAAATAAGAAATGAGTAAAGCACTCATGAAATTCAGAGGGACAGCAGAAAATAGTTACACGTATTTTCTAAAGCGGTTAGAACAAATCACGACAAGTGAAGAACACGCTTATCTTTACCACACGATGCTCCGGATCATGCAAAACATGTAAGAATAATCATACTCTTCCAAATGAGTAAATATAGGATGGAATTGGAAGCTTATATGCTCGGACGAAAGCTGCTGATTCGACTTAAGTCCGAAACTTTCAACGGAGCAGCAGAACTGCAATTGGGGCTTACTGTTGACGCAAAAAAACATCGAACATGCAATAACAAGGTAAAAGAACGAAACAATATCGAAAAATACAACTATTTAGAAAATTGGAAGAAATCGACAAGAAGCATTTTGAAGATCGTCAACAGTAATTTCTTGGAGTGAAATTTTATCGGGCTTTATTGTCAACGATGAAAGAAAAAAAAACATGAAATTGTATTAAGAATGTCGGCAAAAATAAATCAAGGAAACTTGCTGAAAAACTTTCTCAAGATCCTTGCTCAACCTAATCAGTCTGTCATTTTTTCATTCGAAGAAACGGCGCTTGTTATTCAATCCTTCGACGAGGAGAAGATCCACTACAATAGATTCGTTATTCCAGCGCAAAATATCGAATATTATGAATTCAAACGGCGGATACTCGAAAGTAAGAGAAATTTTCAATAAATAATTAATAAAACAACTTATCCAATGAATAATAATAAAAACTAGTTCACAAAGTCGAAGAACTCATCCATGCACTGGACAAGTTGGCATCAAAAAAGAAGGACACGCCCGTTTTGCTGCAGCTGAGTGGAGAATTTGACACTGAGCTAAGTTTTACAGTGTACGGAGAAGATATAAACTACAAACTGACGCTGAGAGCAACATTAAAAAACGTCAGATGGAGAATGAATATGGTTGAACGAGATGAGGACTGCCGAGTGCTAGTAGCTCGAAAGCAACTTATGCTTATTCTCGATTTGGCAAGAGGTAAATTTTAAACAAGAACAAAATAATCACAAAAAGGAGGTAATCTCTGAACATTTATGGCACGCTCCGCGTGCAGTCATAGTAAAGACAAGAAAATAATCAGTTTAAATCGAATATCCATGAAATCGTAAATATAATTTAGCCGGAGACGTGATGAAGATCGAAGTTCGAGGACCAAACGACGTTCATTTCTTCTCAAAAAACAAGGACAAAACGATCGAAATCACGTTCCCTCGCAAGGATGGAATAAGGACGGAGAATTCAAGAACAATAACCAGCTTCTTCAATGCAAGGTAAAATACTCAACACTCGTAAATTAAGTTATTTCATCAATGAAAAAATATCAAAATATATATTCAGAGTTCTTCGAGAAATGACAAAGGAGATGGACATTATAAAATTTGTGAGCTTTCGCATGCGAGAAATGAACGAGGTCACAATTGTCAATTTCATGAATGAAAAGTTCAAGGTAAAAATTTGCGATAAGAGCTCAAAAATCCAAAATAACGTTCAGCTCACAACATTGATGCCTTCAATTGTGCCCCCGGATGGCGATATCCCATTCGAAGAGTTTTACAGCAAGTTGAGGATCTACGAAAACGACTTCGACAGAAAACTTGCTGATTCCTTTGTCGCAAGCGAAGAGAGAGAACAAGCGGCCCTTCCAGAAACAACCAAAAAAGAAGGTAAGATTATGAAGTGGAAGTGCAAAATAGCGCGAATTTAAAAAAATTCTAGCTGTGTCGTCAAAGAAAAGAAAGGCAAACTGTCAGCAGAATGAAGAAAACTCGGAGAAAACAACGAAAGCAAAACACCTTAGAAAACAAAACAGCCAGCGTCCCGCTTCGTAAGACTTTTCAACTGCGAACAAGAGCTATCCCGATTAATTTTCACGACGTGTGTTATTGGGGTGGGATTGTGAGTTGGGTTGGCACGGGAGCTTACTTATAGTGATAACTGTTTTTTTTTTATTTCAAAATTCTCCTGTTATTGTACTCAGATAGAAAATTGACCACCGATAAATCTGTCAAACTTTTGATACTGCATTAAATTTATATCAGCCATAACACTACAGAATGGTGGAAAGGGGACGACGATTGGTGGGAAAGCTTGACGGCAGATGAAATGATTAGATTTCTTTCTAAGGGTAAAAAAAGAAAAAAATCATATAATTAAAGAATATAATAGACGGCTGTGAACTTTACGGCCCTGGTCCCAATGGTAAATATTGCGATAACGAGTCGAATTGCCGAAGATACATTAAAGATTATGATAAACCAAAAAACTGTGCAGATATTGTCATTATCGACTAAAAAAATTGTTGAAACAGAAACCATTACGGGAAAAGAAATTCAAAATTTCAATTTCAGATGGGTAATTGTTTTTGCCGAACAACGAACCGAAGCTCAATTTCATCAAGATGGGCGAGCTCAAGCGACTTCGACTCGATCTCGGTAATCATGCGCCAGCGAATCGAACAAGGACTCCCTGTCCCAGGTATGAAATCAACAACGATAACTTGTTTGAGCCCACAGAATATTAAATAAACATAAACGTAGCCGAATTTGCACCAATGGACCCACAACAAAACGAGTCAGGCTACGTTTCGCGCTTTGGGCGATGAGTGCTATCACTGCTTGATTTGCTCCGAAGGTGAGTCATGGAAGTTCAACGGAAATTTATCATTAAATACCTTATTTTCAGCTTCCATCGCTTAAAACATCCAAACAGAAAAATAGATTCGGCAGAGAAATAGAAAAAAAACGACAAACGAGGTTCACTGTTTAAATTATCTTGCGAGTTCAATTTTCTCAATAATGTCATCCTTAATAAATGCATACTGAAAGAACCAATTAAACTCAATCCATAAATAAGGCTGGTTTTAGTTGTAGATTCGGAAACTTGCTAATGGAGCGCGTAAACAAGGCAAAGCAGGCTTTCTACGGGGGCGAAATCGCCAAAGAAGAAGAAAAATTGTCTATGACAATAGGTTCTAGAGTGGCAAAACTAGAATAACAATTTAGTTACAAAATCCACAATTAGAAAATAATAAATGACTTAAAAGCTTCTCATGAAACCTTGTTGATTAATTACATTGATTCGGACAAAAGTCAGCAATTTTGTGCAAGTTTTGCCATTCCAAAGAAAAATTCGAGGCGCTTCTTGGCAATGACGATCATCAATGCGACGAAGAAAAAGGAAAAGGCAACGAATTGCTCAGTAAGAAAAGAAACCATAAACGAAACATAATGAATTCAGAGCGGGTGAAATATCAACAGCGGATGCAATCGATGCAGGTGAGAAACAACGGAGGATTGCTGTACGCATATACAGCATCTATCGATAAGCAGCCAAAAGAGTAAGCAAGATGAAACAAAAGAAAACTAATAAATTATAGGGTAATTGAACTTCTTGCTTACGATGAAGGCCATCCAGTCCACGAGATCATAGTGGCATGGGAAAAGATCAAGGCCATGATCGAAGAAGTGACTGCCGCCATCGACGCCCTCAAAAAGCAAGGACCGAATCACTCCGGAGAAGGTAAAAAGTACTGAAAAAACATCTAAACATTTTTTCCCAGGCAAACCGAAGAAGTCGGATTCGGAGCATGAAACCATCAAGAAAGAGCCAAAGACAGAATAACCACAGTCAGCCTATTAACAAATAGCAAATAAACTGACTTGCATAATGAAATATTGAAATTACTCTCTAACCCAAAGTAAAAGCCTTAATGATTTCGATTTCAGATTGAAGCATGTGGTCGGCCACCAATGATTATGACAAATAATGAAAGTCGAAGAAAAAGTCAGGCCATAGGTTTATCATCAACATTATTTGTAAAAACAATTTTGCAGAAAATAATCTTCAATGGCACGCTCCGCGTGCAAAAATATAAAAGACAGAAATAATGAAAAGAAAAAGATCATTTGCTCTGTCGACTTATTCACATTCTTTGCGAACCTTCTTCATATTAAATATGCGGACAGTTGTGATGGCGAAACAAAAAATAAGTTAATCTTACTTGTTCAGACTATGAAAAGAGGAGCTTTTTACCCCAAAGACCTCGGCAAACTAGCAGAAAACACTGCGCCACGAGACAATGAAAGTACAATTGCACATTCTTCTGATCCTGGTGTCGACGAAACGGAGGAGAAAGGGATGCTTACCCCACGAAGCCGCAATCACCTTCGAACTGAGCGACAAAAAAGGCAAGAGGAAATCGGAAGTAGACAGCAAGATTCGCCCGAAAATATAATTGTTAACTCTGGATGGCAAAAATCGGTGTGAAAAATCTAAAAAACCATGCCAATTACCTATTAAGACCAATCAACCTGACGACTTGAAAGATACCTCACTGCAGTATCATCTCCATGAAGAATGGACAAAGCGGGAGCAGAAGAGCATGCAAAAACTACACGAGCAGCACTCCCTGTCCAATGATATAACACCCGCTTTCATTGACGACTTGCAGGTAAGTTGAATTCATCAAATACATTCTTATCTTTATTAAAAGGCGCTTTCCTTCACAGAAAACAACAATAACAAGCTGCCCTGTTTCCAGCGTGACCAAGAAAATATACCTGAAGGAATGAGTTGCAAATCTTCGGGACGCGAGTCGGTAAGATGAATTCGAATTTATATTTATGAAAGTGATGAATTAAGTTTGACCCGTTTGAATTAACGGAGAACGATCAGCTCAATCGCCCGCTTGGAAAATGGATCCAACATCTATCCGAAGCAGAGCTGGAAGCTCCTGATAGATTTTCAATTTCCGACAATAATAATACAGTCATCATTGAGAGCTTGCAGGTAATTCGCGCAAAAAAGCGCCAATTAAAGGAATTCTTTAAGAACACTTCACCAGACGGCGAGATTGTCCGTGAACAAATCGGAGGATGGGTGCAGCATCTGGAGGAACCAAAGCTAGGAGCTCGTGAGAGATTGCAATCGTCCGGCAATAACAATCCAGCCCTTATTGAGGGCTTGCAGGTAATAAACGGACATAGAGCCAATTATATCAAGTCTTAAAGGACACTTCTACAAGCAGCGGAAAAAACAACGGTTGCATTCGACTGACAGGGCTAACTGACAATAGCGGCGTAGAATTGCACAATTTTGTTCCGAAGCAGCAACTTATGTTGGAGAAGCCGCGCCTTATCATAACCACGACGAAAACTTACGAAATCCCGGGGAGCGTACCAGCAATTCACGGTTTTGTTCATGGCACAGAAGAAATTCCTATTTGCCGGCAGACGGGCAAACTCATCCATGATAAATCAAATTTCAAAATTTCTTCAGAGAAGAGTTAGAATGTGACACGCAATATGTCAAAAAATCCACCATTTATATCAATTCTCTGCTCTTGACAACAGCATTGCATCACCCTGCAAATATAAAACCTCAAAATGCTGAACAAAATACATTTAAGAATGGAAAGGCAAATGAGGCGAGCGCACGTTGGGATAAGGGTCATACCTGCAAGACAAGAAATCATAGAAGACGATATATGCGAATTTCCTCTGCAGATTTATCGACGTGTTCCCCAGTACCAGACAGTAATAGACATAAAGTTGGGTGAATAATATGGAAAAGCACTCAAAGATTCAAATCCACTATTTGAAAGGGAAAAATTATTTTTCTCGCCAATAACAGCATTTACTCACCCCATCAAGGAACTTGAAAGTATGCTCCAGGAAAGGCGAATGGCATTAGAGGCTATGGAAGGTAAAACGCAGATTCATTAAAAAATAACAAAGACTTGTAGCAGTGCACGAAGAGTGTAAAACAAAATATGAAAGAAAACGGCGGCTCCATAAGGTTTTTCTGCAGGACAAGAAGGTTTCCCTCATCGGATTTGACAACAAAATACCGTCAAGAAGCGACAGGGAAAACGACATTATATCGCACTGGTTTTTCAAACTAGGAATGTGCAGAAAACGCCATTTGATCGAATGGACGATCACAAATGAAACAAGATTGTTCCTATACAGATATGACTTACTAACGCAGGAAGGAAAGAAGAAATTTCTCGAGGTAAATTTTCTTAATTCCGAATTATAGGCAGAAAAAACAAAATTTGTAGAGAGAAACGCTGGACATGGGAGAGTTTATCGAAGGAACGATACCCGAGGAAAAACAGGAAGCCTTGTGCAGATGCTGTAACAAAACAAGAAGAAAAGACAGGCGCTGGTACACAATGGACTGGGACAGCGCGAATTTTTGGTCGAAGAAAGATGCACGCATATCGAAAATGGAAAAGGAAGAAAAAGAATGATGAATTATAAATGTAAATTTGATAGGACAAAACCACCATAAGCATAATAAAAACTATTACCATTTTTTTCAATGAAAATGAGAACAGCATACGTTCCCGAAGAATGGATAGAAAAGATGTTGGAGGGATTTTTCAAAAGAGAAATGAAAAAATGGATAGAGCGACTCGCACGGACATACGATGAAATGCTTGTAAACGAAACAAACCGTTTGGGTAAGACGTAATCGAAGCCAAATAATATTTAAATAGCATATAATCAATCACCAAATAAATTTTCGCAACTAGTGCCAATGCTTAACCAGTGCACAATGAGAAACACCCAACAGAATGTTGGGCGAGCTTCTAATCAACTGACCATTGAACATCTCGGTGAACTTGGAAAACGATCACTTCCGCCCTGCGTCAAATTCATGATAAGTGGCCTCGAAAAATATAAGAAATTAAAGCACAAGGTAATAAAAAGTAAAAATGCGACTTATAGAAGTAAGGGACGACTTAACCTATGGAGTTTTTCTACAACGCTGGACTTCCGCTTGAAGAAGCAAAAAGGTTTTCGTTGGAGAAGATGACGATGAACACTGAAAGCGAAAGACGACTACAATATTATGTTGAGCATGCATACGGAAGAAAAAGGCTCAATAGACCAATAAGTACTCCAGAGAAAGATATAAAAAGGTCATTAAACTCTAATTAAGGGAATTATACATGCGAAGAGAAGATTGCTAGCGACGCGCGAAATCGATCGTTTCACCATTGCCCATTCAAGGGAAGGGATATTTGATTTTTAAATAGAGTTCTGTGAATAAAGCACATATGAATATGAATAATCCAACAATAAGGACAAGCAATACCTACGCCGAAATTTAAAAAAATGGAAAATGGAAGACGGTGACATAGAAGACGTCTGCAATATGCCGCCGACGACGACAAGTAAAACCATCTGCAAATTCGTTTTTCGACGCTTACATGCTGGATTGGGCAATGCACAACTTGTTGATTACAAGACGCCGACAGAGTATTTCGAAGCCAGTATTGCCCTGACAAAAGGGATTCATGATGTTCAATTGAAATAATTTCGTATTGCAAAATATAGAAAAGTACTCGTCAGAAAAAGAGTTCTTTAAATCGATAAGATTTAAATTTGAGCCCTCGAAAGCGATAAAAGCAGGGCATTTACACGCAAAAACACAAAAATGATAAGGAAGAGCACGCTCCGCGTGCAAATATATAAAAGGACAGAAAATGCAGCAGATGATACAATTCATTCTCCTCAGAAATAGGTTTTCTCTAGAAAAACGAGCGTTTCTCATTTGGCCGAGAAGCGCAAAACACTTCTCAGTGTTCTTCTCAGGCTCTAGAAAAATATTTGTTTACATAATTTTCATCTTTATTGGGTGCATAAAAATCAAAACAAATATTTTTCTAGAGCCTGAGAAGAACACTGAGAAGTGTTTTGCGCTTCTCGGCCAAATGAGAAACGCTCGTTTTTCTAGAGAATTTCCGTGTTTAATTCGAATTGAATTCTCTCCGTGTGCAAATATATAAAAGAACAGAAAATGCAGCAGATGATGCAATTCATTCGCCTCGGAAATAGGTTTTGTTGAATGATGAAAACCCTGCAGTCTTAAATGCAAAAGGATTTTCAACGTCGATCAGATAAAAACACAACTCTTTATTGACGACCCTACAGCTTTGCTAACCACAACATAAAATAGAACATTCTCATTTTTGTCGACAGACGTCATGATAGAGTTCATTCGCAAAAGAGACATGATTTGAGGCAACAGGTTCGCAAGCAAAACTAAAAACTGCAAGCAACGATTGATTTCTCAGGGATTTCGTGTTGATTAGATTGCTCGTAGAAGAAATATCCGTCATCAATTCTCTAGAAAAACGAGCGTTTCTCATTTGGCCGAAGCGCAAAACACTTCTCAGTGTTCTTCTCAGGCTCTAGAAAAATATTTGTTTTGATTTTTATGCACCCAATAAAGATGAAAATTATGTAAACAAATATTTTTCTAGAGCCTGAGAAGAACACTGAGAAGTGTTTTGCGCTTCTCGGCCAAATGAGAAACGCTCGTTTTTCTAGAGAATTTCCGTGTTTAATTCGAATTCAATTCTTTTGCGAGCAGGCGGCTAGCGCGAGGGCATTCTAAATAAATAGAGTGATGTCTATAAAATCTTTCTTCATTTCATTCGATTGCAGGTATAAAAGGGATGCTTTGCAACACAGTAACACTCGTCAGTCATAAAAATTACAAATAATGATCCAATATGAATTCCAGTTGCGAATCCAAGTACAATCAGTCACAAATCGTCCTATCTACTAGACAGATCAGTTGTTACTTAGATTATCCTACCTAGAACGCTTCGTTATTGTATTGAATCCGACGAGACTTGCGCCAATCCAGTCGAACATTTTGTCAAGAAGGTTTATTGCCTTAACCTTGATAAGAACGGGCCTCAACGCTCGCAGAAGTTCAAGTCGATCCATTGCTCGAAAGATTGGCTTAAATTTATAAAAATCTACTGGAAATAAAATACAAAGGTACCACTACAACTCGCATCAACCGACGGTAAACTCCCTTGAGGGCCAACTCGTCTCGCACAAGTTCTTTCGCCAACTCGTCGCATATCTCCCTTTCAAGATTATCGTTATTGCCCCTTAAAAGCTTATGAAAAGTGCATTTTATTGCTTTCACACATATAAAAATTGATTCTTCTTCTCAATCTGTTGACTCGTCCAATTAAAAATTGAAGGCTATGAAGTCTAGGCAGCGCGCGATAAAGGTCCCCCCGAGAATATCCCCTCTGTTGATTTGGTGAATTTGACATATTTACCCAGTCTTAAGATATAATATTAAGCGTGAGAATGCGGCAGGAATTTTCGATAATAAAAAGCACATAAGCTTTAGAATGGAAGAAGTCTCTTTACTATGAAGTGCAACTTGCCACAGGTCATTTCGTCTGATTTTTCTTTTTCTGTCGCTTAGATTGAGCACTGATGCTTGAAGAAACAGTGGATTTTCTATAACAAAAAAAGTGACGATAAAAAATGAAAAAAAAGCATTACCCGTCTTCTTTCAAGGGCCCACATTGGTTACTCGAATCGCTCGAGTCAACCTCCTTCGAGTCCTCTGTTGTTGCGAGGGAAAAAGGAGTAATGATGAGTGATGAATTCAGTTTTTTCGTTGCTGCAGCTTTGAGAGCCCTTGGTAAATCACAGAGGGGATGTTTTTGATTCGGCCAACGGGTTAACTCGATGACATTATCGATGTCATTCTTCGACAAACTAACGAAAAAGTATATACAGCGATGAGACAGAATTACCTATAATCATTCATCAATTGTGCAATGTTCTTCACCGCTTCATCCAGCGTCAATAAACCAGTAGACGCATTCAACAAAGGCTGGCAGTAAAGATTCTTTATACACGGTCCAAGAACACAAGCAAGATCTGAGCGAGAATAATACCAGCTAGAGCGTGCATGAGAAGAAAATAATGCTAAATAAATGAAAACGTGAAAGGGAATGAAAAACTTACTCGAGCTTCTCCCGTTTTTTAAGTAGGTAGAATTATTCCTCAAAGAAGAAGGAAATTTCATGAGGGAACGATCCATCGTACCATCGATGAAACTACCAGGAAGACGAGATAATGTGTATAGGGTTTCGCGTAAATCGTAACGATGACTTTTGGTCATCAATGTTTCAATTTGGTCGCATGAAGAAAGGCAGTCTGAGGAGAGGGATAATTTTTCCTATAAGAAATTATATTATGGAAACAAAATTTCTATTAACCTGATGAAGATAAGGTTGTTCGGGAAACCGCGTGTAGTTTTCGAATATCATCGGGATCAAGAGATCTGGATAATATTCATAGAGTTTATCCATTTCGGAGAGCTTATTGTGGATAGAATCAGATACATTGAAAATATTTCCCTCCAAATAACGAGAAGAAGCTTCAAATAAATTTGGTTTCTTGTCTTTCAAACAACCGTGGAACATTGTATCAGAGACAGGGAGCGTATTGACATCGTCTAATAAAAAAAATGCTTAAATCATATAAATGCCATCAAAAAAACCTGGGTTATCGCAAGCGAGCATATTCAATGAATTTATCGACTGGCGAACATCTAATTGGCAACGAAGAACAATAGCGCGCAGGCATTCATCAGAAACTGTCAAGTTCTCTGCATAACGAATTTTCTTCAATCGACCTAAAAAAGATTGAAAATCCCAAAAAAAAACAAGTGAGAACCTAATATCTGTGTCGTTTGCAATGACGAAAAGAAAAGTTCGTACATGTTGGCCCGAAGACTTTTGAATTTAGTAGCAGAGCAATTATTCGCAGTAGCGATGATGGGGATGTCAGTGGATTTTACGAGACTGGTAAACTCAGCGAGGCCGCCACGGTCTGCACATCCGGAAAGTCCATCGACTTCATCCATGAGCAATAAAAATTGATCATTCATCGAATTGACATTGACATTGCTTTATAGAAGTACAACAAAGAAAAATTAGAAGGAGAAAATATATTGTCAAAACATTGTTGTACCAAACTAAGAGCTTCGCGAACAACATCGTGAATTGATTTCTTACCACGGTCATCACTAAACAAGGGCGTCATCAAAAATAGCAACGAAAATAATATGAAATACAGGGATGAGTTATCATAATACCTTGCGTTAAACTCGATAACATGAAAGCCAGCTTCGGCCGCAACAACGTGAGCAGTGGTAGTCTTCCCAACCCCTGGAGGACCAAGTAACAAAGCAGCACGTAAATGATTGCCAGAAACATAAGGCTGATAGTTCGATTTTTCGGGGTTCTTCGTGCCTCCGCCAAGACTTGATTTCCAGTTTTAAAGCCAGGCAAGCAACTTAGCAGCGTTCGATGTCTTTTGATTTTGCCCAATTATGTCTTTTATTCGAGCAGGTTTATACTTGTCCACATATAGATCAAGGTGAAGATTCGGATCGCAAGATTTAGATGTAGTTTCAGGTCGAGAACTTGAGTTGGTAAGCAGCATATCGTCGGAATCAAATCGCTCAGAAAGAGACGGGGAGCATCTTATAAGGCGAAAAAGGCCAGCCTCGTCAATTATAATTACTTTAAGACGCTTAGCCTTCTCCACTTTACATTGTCCAGGATTCAATCCAGCAACCAAATAATGAGTGCTAAGAGACAACGAAGAAGAAACTCTGCCGCCATGGGAAGAAATTAGGGAAGAGAGTTGAACACGATCAAGACTATCGCCGTCTCCAGTCAGAACGAATGAACAACCAGCTAGACAATTGCGCTTCCCTTGAGGTACAATCCGCGAACCAGGATTTCTTGCGTAGCCAATTTCGTGAATAGAATGATTCCAAAACGTCTTATTTGCCGTAGATGAACTCGTGCAGGGATGTTCCGCCGCCTGATTCGAAATGTCAGCAAGAACGGGCGGAGGATTAGTATTCGAATCGACAGTAAGGCGGTTTTCAAGACCAGGCTCTTCAACGAAAGCGTCTTCTGTTTTTTTGCTGGATGAGGGAAAATTATGAGAACGAGGATTGTCGTTGACAAAGGCGGGCTCTGACGATGAACCAAGACTTGCAGGCCGTGGCGAATGTTTGACAACAACAGAATCATCATCTAGACTACCTAAGAACAATCATATCAAATTAAACAAGAAAATTACCTGGCAAAATAGGAGCTTCATCGAAAGAATCATTATCGGGTGGTGATAAATCACATGTAGAATTGATAGATTCATCAAAAGTCTTCGATCGGGAATTATGACCACCATCCATTTTAATAACAGGCGAGAATATAGGTGCGATTTTATTATTGGAAACAACGATAGAATCGGCGTCATCGGAAACATGTACAGAACTTAATTCGTTAGTTGCGGCCACCGTAGTTTCGTCAGGAACAGAGGAAGAAACCAAATTAGGGCCCATGAGAAGCTCAACGGATGTTTTATAGGTGCCAATAGACTCAAGAGAAAAGTCGGGATGTAGGCGACGACATGCAGATAAAGATAAATCGCGGAGCGATTTTATATTAAGCGAATTCACATTTGCTTTAGGGATGACTGCAGCATTCATTCGTTCGTAGCATTTTCGATCGTTGTCAGAATTAACGGATAATGAGACTGGAGATGAAGTGCTTGTATGGGCGTCGATTTCACAAGATCCACGGGACAAAGACGCACGCAAAGGAGTTTTCTGATGAGGAATGTCGAGCGAAGATCTGATGAGAGCAAAAACAACTTCTTCGTCAATAACAGTAATTCCATACGCTTCGGCACGTTTCTGATTGAAGAAGCCAAAAAATTCACCAGCGACTGCATAATTTACATTTGGGGAAAAAGCAGTAGCAACAGTTCCACCAAAAGATAAGATTAAAGATCGAAGAGAACCTTCGTCTAATTTACGACCAGAGCCAGAAAGCAAAAAGGTTTCCCCAAACAAACAATCAGGAACGCCATCAACGTAATCACTGAACACAATCTCAGACGAAAAATCCTCCGAATAAACAGCATTCGTATCGAGAAGTGAAATAGTGCGCGGCGCAGGGACAGAGCTTCTTCCAGGACTATTTTTCGTGATGAAAGATTTGCTAGCTGGAATATCATCGTAGGTAATTTGCTCATAAACAACTGCATTGTGTTCGAGGAGATTGGGCCGATATACATCACTTAGTTGAGTAGTTGAAACCGGGGAAATAATTCCAAGTGAACATAGATCGGATAAGTAGTTAACACGAGGAGGAGAATAGTCTATAACAGAAGGGCCATCGATGGGAGCAGACGAAGAGGTTTGCTTGAAAGGCTAGATTTAGAATTAAATTTACTTATCACGCATAATTAACCAGCCCTCTCCTTAAGAACGTCGGTTTCAGAAGAATAGATGAAACCAAGATCCACCAAGTTCTTCATCGCAAATCAACAGTTAACGCACATCGAGCCCTAAATAGAACTCAGTAAATAAATAGTTATCTCTAGAAGACCATGTTTTTGAATCAAAAGAGAAAAATCGAATGAGAATAAAGAAACTTACAGGGAGTAGTGTTTCTAGAATGGATTGTTTTTTTTCGGGACAAGGTTGTCTCCCTCACATCACGCACGAGATAATAAATAAAGTGAAAAATAGGATGAAAGCACCAGTAGCAAACTAAAAAATTTGTGAATAAATGTCCGGAGCAGAAACTAGTGGCAATACCGTCGCCAAGAGCGGGTTCAAGCGCCACAGAAAAGTGTTAAAAGACAATCTCCTTGGCATCACTAAAGCCGACATCCGTAGGCTCGCCCGAAGGGGTGGGATTACGCGCATGTCGGCGGAGGTCTACGCCGTGGCCAGAGAAATCATTAGGGACTACCTAATGAGACTGGTCAGTGACACCGTCACTTACACCCAACACGCCAACCGAAAGACAATCTCCGCCCTTGACGTTGTCTACGCGCTCAAGAGACAGGGCCGACACCTTTACGGGTTCGGAGGATAAATCCATCCCAAGTCTTCAAAAAACAGGCCCTTTTAAGGGCCACACATATATTGCAAGATGTTAATACAGCCATAATAGGTTAAAGTAGTAATAAATGAAGATACTCTAGTAGAATAAATAAATAAAAATTAAAAAAAAAAAGAATGACTCACCAAACGCGGACCAATGAAAGCGCACGAGCGCCGGTGCACCAGGAGCGAAAATAAGTTTAGTCGAGACTTACACAGCCCAACCGAATAGAAATAAGTGACAAATTAGAGAATGCCAAAATCACTTCTGCCAAAGTGAAATAGGCAAAATGAGAAAAAATCTGTCACTTATAGCTATTTCAGGGTAAACTAAGTATAAAGAGAACAAATTATTGACGACAGAATCAAATTTCGAGTTCGATATTGCTTCTGCCAAAGCAAAATCGACAAAACAGAATTTGACAAGAGTAAAATTCCATCGCCAATAATTACGAGTCTCAAAATTCACGCCCGAAAATTTTATCTCAACTTACTTCTGCCAAAGTAGGAAAAGATAGAATATTCGAACTGAATACAATAAATAATGATAATAGAAAAAAGCCATAGGTCTCACTAAAGAACAGCCCTTGAGGAAACGCCCACAACCTCCCACCCTCCCCAAAAATACACCTCATTATTTATATACTTCGAACAAAATATATATAAAAATTCGGAGCAAAAAGTGCGCAGGTCTAACGAGAAGATAGCCCTTGAGGAAACGCCCACAACCTCCCACCCCCTCCCCAAAAATACACCTGTCAAAAAAAAGTAGGGAGGAGCGCGCTCCGCGCGCGAATATATTAAAGACATAAAGATAGAGGTATTAGAATTAGGAAAGGCGGAGCAGGAAGTTGTGGAGGCCGACTCGAGGAAATTGTGGAGGGCGACTCGAGGAAATGGCACGCTTCGCGTGAACCCTGTTGCTGGAAATGGCACGCTTCGCGTGAACCCTGTTGCTGGAAAAGGCACGCTTCGCGTGAATCCTGTTGCTGGAAATGGCACGCTTCGCGTGAACCCTGTTGCTGGAAAAGGCACGCTTCGCGTGAACCCTGTTGCTGGAAAAGGCACGCTTCGCGTGAATCCTGTTGCTGGAAAAGGCACGCTTGTGTTCGAAGAAAGCGGGAAAAGTGTTCGAAGAAAGCGGGAAAAGTGTTCGAAGAAAGCGGGAAAAGTGTTCGAAGAAAGCGGGAAAAGTGTTCGAAGAAAGCGGGAAAAGTGTTCGAAGAAAGTGGGAAAAGTGTTCGAAGAAAGTGGGAAAAGTGTTCGAAGAAAGTGGGAAAAGTGTTCGAAAAAGTGCCCAGGGCAAGTTTGAAAAAAAGTGTATTCAGCTCGAAGTGTACTCAGTTCGAAGTGACTTCAGTTCGAAATAACTTCGAACTGAGTACACTTCGAACCAGTTAACTTCGAACCGAGTACACTTCGAACTCAGTACACTTCGAACTGAGGTCACTTCGAACTCAGTACACTTCGAACTGAAGTCACTTCGAACTCAGTACACTTCGAACAGGATGACATTCGAACCCAGTACATACGCCCCGTGTTTGATTTTCATATTTTGAACTCTTGAAGATGATTTTCCGAATTGAAGAATTCGAGGTCGAAACGAAAAATTACACCTTGTCTACAATAGGGGCAACCAAGTGGATGCACGGTCAGCCCTTCGATCTACCGACTCTCGTCTCCGCACCCATGCGTCAGGAGCAATCAGGCACTGGCTTTTCCTGCAATATCTGCCTGGAAACAATGACGCAGATGAAAAGAAAAGGCAAAAAGGTAAATTTTCGAATTTTTTCTGATATTAGTTAAGTTTTTTTAGATAGTGACGACTCCCTGTGGACACCCCTTCTGTAAGTCCTGCGTGGAAATGGCTGCACGGTCAGCGTATGGACGAATGCCCGACCCGAATCATGTCGTCAACAATTGCCCCAAGTGCCGAAAGGCGTACGCGCTTCGACAGCTGATCGAACTTTTTATGTAATTTTTATATGTTTTACAAATAAAGAAACAAATAAAAAGATAGCATGATAAAAATCTCAGTTATATAGACTATATCTGTCAAATAAGCAATCGTAAAGTTGAGTTGATTTTTTTGATGTTCTCTAGAATCCATTTTTTCTAAGAATAAGAAAAATAACGTAAAATAAACCTCGTCAATGTAACGAACTCTAACGACGATGATCGGTTATCGGCCGTACTGGAATGCTACCATTCCCGAATATTGGCTCGAGAAAGGATTGACCATGGAAATGTTGAAGGAAGGGTACTTGATCTTGGCGATTTGTAAGTTCAATATTTTGCGTCTAAACTGATTCACCGGTTTTCAGTTATGATCATCCTAACAGTAATCGCATTTTTCAACTAATACGTGTTCACTTGCTGGGTTCGCAAAAACATCGACCCACTGAAACTGATCGGAGAGAAGCCCCTGACGAGATTGGAGAAATATGCTCAAGCTTGTTAACTTGGCCAAGAACCTGCGATGAGTTTTATTTCCTCCACTCTTGTCACTAATGACAAAGTTTATATTGTCATTCGACTTATTCTTGCGTTGTGGTCCTCCGCGCTTAATCTGGTTACTTTCGAGTCGGAAGGGATACGAGGAATTTTCGGTGGATCGTATTATCTAATTGGTATGTTTACCGCTTTCCTTCACATCTTGAAAATCTGTCCTAGCTATATGCCTAACGATTTACGTTAGCTTTCATCGAGAGCTGATAATTGACGGATTCGGAAGGAAAGTTCAGATGGTCAACAAACTTCTTTCATTATTGCTAAATATCATGGTAACGCTTTTATTCATGAAAATTGACAATAAAGCTTGAATTCTTCAGATAAATCTGCAGGTTTTTATCGCGCTTAGTTGGTGGACAAAATGGTTTGGACTTGGATACCGCTACAGAGACATACAACGCGGTTTTGATATTCCGAAATGGCTGCGATTTAACAAAGAGTTTTGCCCGATTACTTTCATTCTCGTTGAGGTCCTTTGGTTTGATACGATGGGTGAGCTATTTTCTAATTCAATAAAGTCGGCTAAGCTTTTATTTATTCAGTTACTTTCGCCGGAGTATGGGGACCAATCTTTATTGGGAATTTAGTCGTCTCTTTAATTTTCAGTGACGTGATTGTCGAACCTCCTCAAGCTTTAGGGTAAGATCGAAATCACGGACGAACATATAAATATAATTTGTAGTGCTCCACATGTACGACCTGTAACAACCATGGTTCAAGGTTTTTGCTTTATGCTCGGGTTCAAATGCATTCATTCATTGAAAAAATCATTCATTCAAATGCTGCTCGCTTCTTTCTGCCTGCTGAAAATTTGGGTATTCAAGAAGATTCCAGTTCTTGGAGAACGACTTCTTCATCGACAAAAATGTGCCACCAATTTCCTGAAACGACAAGCTTTCAACGCTCATTTCGAGACAGGTTTCGACGAACCTAAACAAAAGAGAAGAATAACTGTTGTCCGCAATGTTTACGAAAACCTTGGAAACTCGTCAATGAAGAAATACATTCTTTCACGAAAGACTTTAATCAGACGAAGTATGGATGCAAGTTTATAGACTGCTCTGTTGATCATTATATTCTGCTTTTTCTTAAATACAAACCAAAATTATTTTTTTATTATTCATTTATCGGTATTATAAACGATTTTTTTTCATGAGGTTACTAAAAAGGCGCCATCGAAGTGGTCGTAATTGTAGAATTGCCAAGAGCATCGAAATGGTCGACGTATATTTTGTTTGCAATCAGTCCGCCAGATACCGAGCCAAATATGAATCCAATGATCACCATCACAAGAGGCTGCGTGCCCAAAGCTTGCATGATGCTGAAGCAGCCACCTAATTAAAATGAATAAGAATAGATTTTTGACAGCTTTGTTTACTTGTAGCACCACCATAAATGCAACTCTGTGTGCAAGCAGCGCATGAAAGTGCAACGACTCCATCAACACTGAATCCAATAGCGAGCATTGACAGTGGAAAAGCTATGAGGCCGATCAGTCCGCAGATCAAAACCCAAGAGAGCATGTACCAGACTTTTACATCGGAGGGCCAGAGTTCGGACTCGGCGTAAGGCTAGATGAAAAAATGAGAAAAGAAGTACTGAACGCTTACCATGATATCGTCAGGATTCATTGAGGTGGTCACGTGGTCCATTGTATGTTCTCCGAGTCCAATATCTTATAAAGGATTTCAACTGAATTTTTTTAAGTCAGATGTCAACAAACTCTCAAATCCGTTTCTTGAATTGGGGGCAAAATTCTACTGGCCACGACGAACATTTTTATTTCTCTTATTATTTTGTTTGAGCTGATCTCCCTGCGGCAGTTGATTCCTATCTAAGTCTTGGTGTAAAAACTGAGAAAGGGTTTTATTCAGTTTATTTCTGGACCCTCGGGGCTGTTGATGACTCCCTTTTCCCTTTTTGAGGGTTGAATGAACTTTACTTTGAAAGTGCTAGTTTTTCTTTTGAAGATTGAAAAAGAAGAAAGTAGAATTTCTTATTGAATTTTTGGAAATAAGCTTTACTTAATTTTTCAATTGCCTTGTAAATATCATCTTTTAGAAATTGATTTTTTAAAATTTAAAGACAAATGTAGTCTTCCATGATTTCAAAATTGATAACAACATCCCCGGAAATGAAACAAATAATCACACGTAGAGGATAAAGTACTAACCATATGAGTTTCATAATTGACGAAAATTTCAAGTGGCTATTTGAAAATGTTTCAAAAGACAACTCTTTCTTGAAGTGGCGCGGATCGGCGCGAGATTTGCGGCTCATCCTCGAAACACAATTTGGAACATTAGAAGATCATCAAACCTACTCCCTTTTTTCTATTGAGCTTTAGAAAAAGCTCTCTGGAACTGTGAAAAGGGTTTTACAGTTTTACTTTGGAAGTCAGTTGAATAGCTTGTAGGAAATATGTTCTTGGTTAAAATTTGATCTATTCCTTAGTCAGCGAATAAATATTGTACTAACTCACTCTTTAATTTTCTGTTCTGCTATTCGAGTGTTTTGAGATGTTCTTGAGCATTGATCAATTATTCATTTACAGTATTAAAGAATTACTGTAATTTGAACTGAAAGAATCAAGTCAGCAATTCCGCGAATTGAGATTCTTTTGGCAACTTGCAAGGGTCGAAAATTGTTGCCGACTCCTGCAGCTTGAAAATTGCGTAAAATGTGCGCCAGCCTGCCTCGCGAAAAAAACGAAGATGAAATGAGTAAAACCGCAACCGGAACATGCGCAAGAAAGAACCTGCGCCCGCGGTCCAAATTGAAAGAGAAAAAACGACCAAAAGTGCTTGTTAATTTCACATTGCGTGAAATTTGCAGAGAAATGATCAAACAAGGATCACACCTAGGCCGGAAATAGAAGATTGCTTCCGATTGCTTCACGATTTCTTGCGTAAAAATCTGGCTTGGTTTCGCTTTTTTGCGCTAGAAATAAAAAGGAGAACATGCATTCTAATCTCAATTATATAGCGCTTGAATAATTGGCCTACATAGTGCCACTCTCACTTTTTTTTCTTAGCTCATTTGTCAACGCTTTCATATTCGGCCAAAAAAAGCAAAGCTGAAGTTTTCCGCGAAAGAAGCGGTAATTTTTAACCTTATCATTCAAATGCGAATTTGCCAGGAGTCCAGTTGACCTTTTGAAAGTCAATTTCGCTTCTTTTTTCAGCTGCTTCTTTTGTCTTCTTTTTTGCAAATTTCTAAAATCGGAAATGCAACGAGACAGTTTTTATGCGTTTCCTGTCTGCGTTTCCTTGAGTGACAGTAATTCGAGCAGTTTACGATCGAGAAAAGACGATGTTCTTGGATGAGCGAGAATCTGATGATCGAGAATGATGCATGTCAGATTACGGTGATCAATCTGACACTGAATACCCTTAGTTACGCCCTTATTATTCGCCCAGCGTGGAGGCCATGCATCTCGCGCTTTTTTCGCAGAGGGGAAATTAAGGTCATCGAAATCCGATACAGACACCACTGGATACTTGCGATTCTGGCTCAATCGCAGATCATAAACTCTCATCTTTCATTGCGAAAATGCCCGACCCGTCAAAAGTCCGTAAAACACTCATTTTCCTTCCCCGGCGCCAGAATTTCTCCTCGAGCTCGCTAAAAAGCCGGAAAAAGGTGTATTCTGTGGTAACATTTTGGCAGCAGCTTAACTTGTCCGCGGTGCCGTTTTTTTCAAATATTTTCACGCTTACACATGTTCCTCCCTTTTTTCATTCAAAAGAGCTTATATTCCCACACACTTTACTCTCGAATCAGATATTTTTTCGGTTTCTAAGAGTCTTAGGAAGACAGTCCTTAAAAAAAAAACGAATCAAATTTCGCAAAAACGCGAGTCTAAATCCCTTCCAGCGTCTATGTTCCATGTTTGGATGTGTCCCTTTTCTAACTCCTGGCTCGTGTAGCGGGATCTTGTTATGTCGAAAAATGTACAAACTACTTGGACTAACTGGATTTGCTCCATCCAGCATCCAGTTTCTTGTTTTCACTTTTTTTTCTCTGATGGAACGGGCGCGAATTAACGCGGAAATAAAGCCCATTGAAGAAGTTCTTTACTCACAACAAAATTTTAAATTTGAGCAGAAGGGGGTAAATAAAAGCCGATTTATTCAATGACTTCAAATTTTATCGGCTTTTTTTCTAAATTCAAAGATGAGCGAAGCGAATCTTGGCTAAAGAAAATAATTGTAGCGAAGCGAAGCTTCGCCTAAAAAAGCCTTTTTATTCTTGGAATTCGCGGGAAAATTTCGCTTCGCTATTATTTTTCTAAGCGAAGATTCGCTACGCTCATCTTCGATTTTTAGGCTTAACTTCTTTCTAAAGACTTTTTTGCGATTTATTTGCGATTCTATTCTTAGCGAAGATTCGCCGGAAATCGTTGTTTTGAAAACCTTGGGTGTCAATTAATTGCTTTTAAAAATAGAATAAAAGAGGTTCTGTCGCGAAAAAAGTGCGCGTGGATAAATAAGGAGCGCACAAATAAAAGATCAATCGGCGAGTTCTTTTTTATCGCCTCTATTTGGTACATATGGTAAGCCGCCGCATCATTTCCTGATAAAGGACGAGTGAATCGAGTAATCGCGTAAATAGAACATAAACTTAATGAGTGGAAGTTGTTTGCAAAAGATGCAGCAGACGATGAATTGTAAACACTACGGCGGAAATACTAGCCAGCTAGAACAAAACTAGGGGAAGGCTCACTTCAAGGGGATCACTTTTACTTTGCCGTTTTCGTTGGAACAAATGGATCGACGGACAAATTTGACAGCTTGGCGATTCTTCAGAACAGAGTTGCAAATTTTGATCAACTTTTCTGAGCTGAGCTGAGCTGACCTGAGTAAAAATTTTCTGAGCTGACCTACTTTGGAGGTTACTGAACTGAGCTGAGCTGGCCTTTTTCAGAGGTCATTGAGCGGAGCTGAGCTGAGCAGACCTTTTGTTTAAGAGAGTTCAGCTGAGCTGAGCTGAGCGGACCCTAATTAGAGCTGAGCTGAGCTAATTGAGCTGAGCTGAGCTGTTTTTTACTGTTTTTTGGTAGTAAAATTGTATTCAAATCATTGAGCTGAGCTAAGTGATGGTTGTCTGAGCTGAGCTGAGCAGAAAAGATCATATTCAGAAATAATTGAGCTGAGCTGAGCTGAGCTGAGTGAAAATTGTCTGAGCTGAGCTGAGCTGAGCAGATCAGATCATTTTCCAAAATCACTGAGCTGAGCTGAGCTGAGCGACTGCTCAACTCACTCAGCCAGCTCAGCTCACTCAGCTCAGCAAATTTTCAACTCTGCTTCAGAAACGAATGGTCTTGTTTTGAAGCTTTCTGTAGAATTTTAATTTTGCCACAATCAAGCATCTTTTTCGACCTTTGGGAATAGAAGATAAAGAGAGATTTTTGTTGAATATTTTTCTGGTTGTTAAAAACAACTGATTCTTGGCTCTATAAACTCTACCGGGTTGACCTTGGGAAGTGGCAAGCAAGAGATAATATCAGGAAGTCTATTGGAAAGCGTGAATAATTGAAAAGTTGGTTTATGGGGCTGTAAAAAAAGAAGACGAATAGAGCTGGCGAAGAAGGCAGGTGGCGAATATTTCAGACGATCGACGAGCCAGCAACTGGCCAGCTTGGGAAATAAAAACCTTTAATTTATGCCCGAGGATTTTCTTTTTCTTTCAGTTTTACTACTGCAATTGGTCGATTATACTTTGCTAAATAACAGAAGCCGTTTGGAAGATTAAAAAATCAACTTCCAGAAGATACGAAAAAAGACAAGGGCATTACTGTATATCTTCACTAAAATATTCATAAAAGAAATTGTCTATAAAATTCTCTTCAATAACAAAAGTTCTGTTCGAACAAAAACCCGCGTCAATTCTTTAAAATATTAACCGGCCCTAATCATCATTTCTTCTGCCAAAAAACAGAAATGCCTCGAAAATACATTCAGATAAGATAATTGTATTTTATGAGCAATAAATAAACCGGGAAAGTTTGGGTCTTGTATACCTTGTGTTTTACAAATTTGCAGTTTACATGGGCATTTGTTTTTTCAAATCAATCATTTGCGTAATTATCTACGTGGCTAGAATATACCAAAGTTCCTGTTCTTTTTTGTTTTGCATAAGAACGTGAATTTATTTAGGAATAATTAAGAATGTCCCATTCAGAATTTGCATTTCCCAGAGCTCGTTTTTATAGCCCTAAATAAATAACCCCAAACAGGGAAGAAAGTAAATTTCAGAGTTACTAAAAGTGCCATCATATTATCATTATTATATTTGTTGAGTCGATTTTATTTGCGTAGCCCAATATCGTTAGCCACTTCGCAAATTTAATCTACCAATAAGCCTAAAGAAGGTCTGACCTTTATCACTTCTCATTTTTTGTTGCTTCAGGGATTACGGAATCCACCCCCTGCCAAGGCCGATTTGGTAGAAAACAAGCAGTTTTCAATCCTTCTATAGAGAGGCAAACACTTATTTTATATCATCTTGTTCATAAATATTCCTAACCCTAATTCTTTTATAAGGACTTCAGCACCCTATAAACACCTTTCCTCCAGTCATAAAACGTCTTCCAAGTCCGTTTTCTCCTACTCCCAGTACCCACATGTCCTCAACACCAGCTGGTATCCCTACAACCGTAAAGCTCAACCGTAAAGTTGTTTCCGGTTCATGGCCTCAAAGACGAGAAGCCGGAGATAAAGTGGTGGCGCACCATTTTCGCGTACTACTACTCCGCCGCGGCGCTAGAGAGTTAGAATTAGGGATCGCGCGGCCGATAGTGCGGCGCGCTCAACTCTGAATTGTTGAACGCTGTGACTTTTGTACGACGAGAAACTGAACTTTCAAACGCAGTTTCAACAAGAAAACAAAACATTTTTATACACCAAAGAAACGAAAAACAGAAAAAGTAGAGATCAGAAAAGGAAAGTAAGAGAGCATGCTGCCGAAGAGCATTTGGGCACACCTGCTTTGGGTGCTCCTGCTGGTGGCCCGAGAAACAGAAGCCAGGAGCTCGCCTAAGGGCACACTCAAGGAAAGGGGCCTCAAACAAAAAATTTATTCTAGCACCTACTTTCCTCCATAAACATTCTCAGAAGTAGATCGGAAATCGAACTCTCAAACAATCCCCTCTCTTAGCTCAGCATTCAAGAAAACACGCCCAAGGGCAGCGAAATTGAGCAATTACGGAATTCAGTGGACAATAGTGTTCCACGAGAAGCGCCGCTAGAATTCCGCATTGTTCGGCAAGACCGCCAAAATGGACTGGACCTCTTTGAAATCTCCGGAAGCAGCGGAAAGTTGATTTTAAAACAGAGCCCGGACAGGGAAAGACTCTGCAATCGACGAAAACAGTGTGTCTTGAATCTCGAGGTAATCCATTTATATAAATAATAATTTAGATAAACAGTAAATAGCAGCACAAGCAACAGTAAATAAAGAGATCGAGCTAAAAGTAGATGGAAATCCTCGGCTCGGGGCGCATTAGCTCCGTCCACTCTCGCCCCGGGCCATGTCAGATAATAAAAAAGACCTGAAAAGTAGACTGAGTGAAAGTAGGAAAATAGAACTCCTGGTTCCAAATGAGCTAAATAACAGAAAACATAGCCTTCAGGGATCCATAATTCATCCCCCAAGCAGATCCTTACCTGTGTTCATGAATAATTCTCGCGCCTGGAGCATGCGCCTGTTTCACGTATACATACATAAACGTAGAACGTATGACACGAGCGAAATAGTAAATGGACCAAAAAAAATAAGATCGATTTTAAGCTGTTTTCGTTTTTTAGTCCCTTTTTAGACTTTTTAGCGGCTAATTCGACTCTTGCGCAATAAGTCTAAATTTTCCTTACCAAAAAGGGACCTTCATAGCTGGCCTATTCAATTTTTCACCCCGATCAACTGGGCTTTCTTTTTCTTGGCTACATTACACGGGCGACAGTGTGGAATCGCTGGCTGATCCCGTCTGTATCACATGACAGCCGGAGTGCCACTCGAATTCGGATTTGAGCAGCTCGCTGCTATTCTCTCCCTGACTCGAGATCTTCCGGTCCCCTGCTCGTTCTCATCGCCAGGAGTTGCTTACGTATAAATTCGATACTAATACTAATTGAAGCCTTGCCGGTATTCAGGAGCATTTGTTGAGCCAATAAATACAAATTAATTGGACTACATTTCTTTTGGTCTCATTTTTTTCATTTCTACTAAATACTTTCAATTGAAAATTTATTTCTTAAAAGAGTCTTATTGAAAAATTATCTTGTTAAGAAATCCTGGCAGATCGAAATTTTTTTCACACAAAAATTCAATTTTCTATTTTCATCCCTTCTTTATTTATAAATTTCTATCTTTAGGTGCTTGTCCTTCCCGAGCAATACTACCAATACCTAAATATCGAAGTTGAAGTCAATGATGTCAACGACAATGTGCCCAAATTTCCCCAAGGCGATTTGGTATTCGATTTTGAAGAAAACTCCCGGAGCCCGATTTCGCTCGATTCATTCATGGCCTTCGACGTTGATTTAGGTAAGAGCGGAGAAGTTAAAGTTGCGATAGAAGACGTTTTGCGGTAGTCCGGTCCGTACCGCAAGTCCAAGCTGGTCCATTGTGGCACTAATAAAGTGAATTTTCTCCCGCCTGTCCCAGTTTGCTTACTTCATTTTTCACGTTTTCCGAGAAGCAAAAATTGATTCAGAGGATATTGTAAAACGCGTGGGTGCGTATTCAAGGGGATGAGGGAGGGATGAACCCCGGATTATGTCAAATTTAGGCTGCTTTAAAATTTGATTGATTAACGCTCGAGCTCGGGGTTTTTTTTATCGAGGCCCGATCTCGCCCCCTAATGAACCGGAAAACACTTTTCTCGGAAAAAAACTGGCGGAAAATCGGCAGCTCGATACCGCTCGGTTCTCGAAATCGAGGGCGCGGTCATGTGACTGCGAAGGGAAAAAAAAAGCTTCTGGCTGTAGCTGTCAACAGTCGAAATCCAATTTATTACCGGCGACATCTGAAAGCCGGAGCCAGATCCGAGTAAGGACAAACACTGTTTTCGGGATCCAATGTTCCCGAGCGTGTGTTTTCGCTGAATTATTCACCGACCAAGGGAGATGATAGACTCTAATCACTCGGATATGAAAACAAAAACTCCATTATTTAAACTCTATAATTCTGCAATTTTTTGTTTCTTATCAAGGGACTAAGGCGATGCTCCAAAATTGGAAATTGAGAATCGGAGCAGGTGATTTTTAAATTCTCTCTGATATAAGCTGCTAAATATAAAGTCCCTAATCCGGCTGAGCGCCCTGTCGATAAAAATTGGCAGCTTCCGTCAAGCGGGTTTCAAAATTGCTCAAGCAGGGCGTGAGGATCTTTTCTTCATCCCTTTTTCTAAAGAAAAGGTGTTCTTTTCTTCACGTTATTTTGCTCAATATTCAGCAGAATTATGAGTTACGGAACTGGTTTGACAGCAGTTTCTTCCTCTGCCTTCGGACTCATCTGGGTGATTAGATCATTTTAGCGGGAATCTCCTAGGAAAAGACTTGTCAGTTTACTGAATATGCGTGAAGTTTCGGGTGTCGTAAAAGCGCATATCGCAGACATGTTCATTTCAGGATATTTTCTCCTTTCTATCTCCTTCCAGGTCCTGCATCAAACAAAACACAAAATAAAACAGAAATGTTGCCAAAACGCGGCCTATCATTTGTTATTAAAGCGGTCGTCGTAAACACCTATCTTCAGCGGTAATCGTATTTTTGGCGGCTGACACTTTTTAGAATAGAAAACGTGATGATTTCTAGTGTCTGTAATGACTCCCACTTAAAACATTTACTGTCGAAAATTTCCGCAAAACGGTATTCTTTGCTCTGTCGCAACAAGAAGAAGCTAAAGAAGAATTCTGCCATTTGCTAGTTTTCAGGTCATTTGGGGTCAATAAAAACAGGACTTCATAAGTAATCGCTTTTCACAGGTGTCACTTTTCCGTTTTTCTTCAAAAGGAAAAGTGTTTTTATTGGGGGAAAGAATTACCGAGGCATGAAACAAATGGAACATGAAAGACTACGCGCCGCGTTAAATTGTTTGGTGGAGGAGTCGCAAATTGGAGGCGAATTGCATGTGCAACAGCAGCTGCTCCATCAAAGAGCCAATCTGCCGGGCGATCCGTCAGAGAGTGTCTCAGACATCGGGGGATTTTTAAAGGAGCTCGGGCGTGGCCAACAACACAACATTCCATAGAGCTACCTAGCTCGCCAGATGAGCGCTCATCTGGACCAGCGTTAAAGCAACCCCACTATGCATCACTGGTATGAGCAATTTTAAACCGACAACACGTAGTTTTTTTATGATTATACGGTAGTTCGATCGGTTTTGATTTGGGAGCTAGAATTCTCACTTATCAGGATCAATGGTAGGCAACTGCTTCCAGGAGAAACTGACAATATCGATTGTCAAACTGGTCGCGTAATTAATGGCTGACCGGGTGGTGCCACTTATGGTCGACCCAAACGGAAACTGTCCACTCAACTGACCGCCCTTGAAGCGGCGCCGAAGATAAACGAAATATTGCAATGAACAATTTCTAATTTTCAGTTTTTTTTTTGCGAAATTCCTGTTTCTTCCAAAAAACTGATCATGTCTTCCGTCAAATAAAAAGTCTTCATTAATCTTGGCTTTCAAAAGGAGGAACCATCAACTTGAAGAATCAGCTTTTTGAAGAACTCTAATTAAGGGAGTAACTACCGTAAACTCGATTTTCGTTTTTCAAAAGAGCTTTTTTATAATTTTCTTGAAATGGTTAACCCCAAAAGTTTTCACGTTTATTTCCCTTCCCGATAAGTCCCTTTTTCTAAACAAAACAGCGGGGTACCGATAAAAAAGTGATATCGCGCCTAAGACGCCTCGGTTTCCGCCGTCATCGACCACCACAGTTGTCGTTTGTGGTCGGACGCTGAACCGGTTCCTGTCGGATCCAATCGTTTTGCATTCAAACTAAGGGGGGTGGCGGGAATAAATTTTCCAAAAGTGGAAAATTCAATTAGTCCCAAGCCAGATAATGACACTTGAGCTAGCTCCACTTTTGGCTGCGATTCGACACGCGCTCCCACGTTCCATCTCAGCTTTTTCTTCCCCGAAAGTATATTTCAAATATGTTAAAACTGTGGCAAACTTGAAAAGAGGTTGCCCGGAAAGAAGGCCCCAGCTCAAGCGAGAAATAATTATCGGCTGATCATCAGATCAACTCTCAATCAAGTTTTTGCGAAAACAATCAAAAACAATCGACAAGAACCGGTTGTTTGGACAAAACTACAGGAAATCGCGTGCTAATGAGTCAAACCTCTTTCGAAAACATTTGTTTCGCCAACACTCGGTTCATGGTTCAATCATGTGACGTCACCGATTTGCATAGTCCTACAATATATACAAGCTTGAAATTTTCTAGGTACAAGAATCGCGTGGCGCTAGAATTAGAGTAGAGCCCGGGCGCGTTTCCACTTGTAAACAAAATGTGTTTACCAAGCGAGCGTTTACATCGTGTTTCCAGCTGATTTAGGCACCTAATTTCAAAATAGACGAAATTTCAAAAATTTCAAATTTCAAGCCTGCCCAAAGTGCTTTCAAACCAAATTATTATTTATTTTGGTGGCAACAGAGCTAGATCTAACTTTGTTCTTTCAGGAGAAAACGCAGAAATCGTCTACACTTTGAGCCCGAACGACTACTTTCGGTTGGAGCATTACAGTGACCAGTCAGGAGGACACCTGGAGCTCGTCCCCAGCGCTGACATCGACCGGGAAAAGGTTAAGACTGTCCAGCTCGAGCTCATCGCGCAGAATCCCAAAGGAAATGACTCTAACAGGATCAAGATCACCGTCCAGATCAGCGATCAGAATGAGCACAAACCCGAGTTTCTCCAAAAGGTAACAAAAATCACCTTCTTGATCGTTTTTCATTTCCAACTTCAGGAATACGTTTTCGATCTTGACGAACTTGTCCCGCCAGGAACAATCGTCGGAAAAGTCGGAATCGTTGATGGAGATGGACTGGAATCAGTGACGATTAGCATTCGAGACCAATCAGCGAAAGAATTCTTTACCATTCGAAATAATGGAGAGCTTGTGACGAACAAAAAACTCGACTTCGAAAGCCTCAATACGTAAGTAACTGCTTCTGTAATTGGCGTTTCTGATGCTAAAATTTGGTCAATTTGTCAATGGAAAACGCAAGTGGGCTAGAAATGTACCCACTTGGAGCATTTTCACGCCCGTTAGTCCGGTATTTCTGAGTATCCGGCAAATTGAGCACGCATGTCCGGGAATTTATAGGCCACTTGTTTATAGGCGCATCGCTAGGAATATGCTGATTTTGTGATTTGTGATGACTTTGTTGTTTAGGTTTGACTTTTGGCTCGTTGCGTCCGATGGAACGTACTCGACCAGTGGCCACGTGATCGTCAACTTAAAGGATTTGAACGATAATGCGCCTTCTATCTCCGTTATTTTCATCGCGCCGGACACTGATGCGCCAAATACAGGTAAATACTACCCTTTTCTGGTAAAAAATTATCCGATAAATGTGATCACTGAATATTAGTCCCCCGTTCATATAAAATACAGTAGTGCTTGTACAATGGTCCACTGATGCAGTATTAAAACTAATGTAACTCGTCCTTATTTACGAGCGGTCGCAAAAAGTGGAAAAATCGCACCCTAGGGACCCTCGAGAAGCCGCAACAACACGTGAGCGATGGTTAAATCGGCCATTTTGTTCCTCTTTCTCTTTTACCCAGTTAATAATTTACAGCTGAGCTTATTAAATGCCCGGAATACTTTCATTATTTCTTATTCATTCTGCACCGCGATTGTGTCTATTCGACCAATTTTAACGCTTCGATTTCATTTTTTTTAAATGCGCGTAAAATGGTAGACACCCTACTCTAAAATGACTCGTCTCAATTTCTTAAGGGTATCTGTCCTTAAAATTTTTTTGAGAAAATTAACTTTAAAAAGGTAACTTTATATATTTACCATTCAAATTTGAATACGAAAGGATTAAGGGTGTAGCACTCGACTTTTTTCCAAGCTCCGAATTTTCCCAGTATCTAACGAGTGAGCTTCTCAACAAAAATATTCTCATGAATGTTTTTTCCCGGCGGTTTTGAGTGACAGGAAGCTCTAAAGCGCAGCTAGTCTTGTGTTATTCCAGTTTGGAAAGAATTATTTCTTGAGCGGAGTGATTTGCGGTCGAGATACGAACCACTTGGTACACGCTAAGCAGCCTTGTGGTCCCTCAATTCAGCGAGAATTTATGCTACTGAAAAGTTGAATACTTGAAACTATTCTGCACCGACTTTTGTCATCATTGAATCTTTTTTTAACCTTGATTTTCAAGGCAGAATCGAAGAGGAACAACCCGAAGGCACCTTAGTCGCGTACATCAACGCCCAGGACGCGGACCATGGGAACAACGGCAAAGTCCACCTTCGTCTTCTCGACAGCTCGAGATCCTTTAACCTCGACGGGGATGGGAAACTCACAACAACTAGAAAGCTCGACAGGGAAATCCAAAGCACCTTCAAGATGACCATCGAGGCGTGCGATCAAGGAGCCGACGCGAGGTTAGTTTTTCAACTCTTTTTCGTGTCTTTTTTTCTTTCCCTCATAAAAGAAGCAGCTACGGGAGTTTACAGGTGTCACTTTATGAAGCAGCCATATGGCCAAGTATATAGTATCTTCGTGGCGAAGTAGACGGCGATAAGGGTTAGCTCCTTGGCCAGATAGATGAGACCTTTTGCGGGTAGAAGCGCATCACCCCTTTTTGCGCTTCTAAAGCGCGGGTTTTTAAAATTAGTTTATGTCTAGTTGTGTGGCTGTACATTCAGCTGGCGACCTTATCACTCAGCTAGAACTAAGTCACGTTTACCTCTGATAATCGTTGATTGAATTTCCGGCCAAAAAGATTACGGTAACTCTCAATTTTCGAAATCTTTTTCAAAAAAAAAGAGGTTTCATAAGTTTCGCAAGTTTTTCTATTTTCGGCGTTGTGCTTATTTTGCTTTAGCACTGTACTTGGTAGTAAGATTTCCGTAATGGCGGGGTTGTTTATTTTTGGGCCAGTGACCCTAACCCGCTGGAGAGAGAGAGAGAGTGAGAGCTGCTCTAAATACTCGAAAGTGTATTCGACTTCTAAATAGCACCAAGAAAAGTGTTCACTGAAATAACAAACGGCGTTTTAGGTGTGCTTCCGAAACCATTCACGTAAAGCTCGATGATATTAACGACAATGCACCGCAGTGTCCCGCAAGTGTGCCACGTGTTCTCGTCTCCGAATCGGCGGATATCGGTGAGTTCATTAAAAATTCATTAATTATTTTCATACTCGGAAATTGATTTCAATGATTTTGAGTTTTAAGCAAATTTGATTGGTCAAAAGAATAAATAAAGAGATTTGATTGGCTGAAATGATATTTTTATCCAATCAGATTCTTATGAAAGTAATCTGAGCCAATCAGATAGCTCAAAAATGGCATTTCCTTTATTTTGAAGTTTTGTTATCTTAGATACCCTTAATCACCTCAAAACTTTTCCTGGAAGAAATTCCTGAAATTCAAGAGCTGGAAACTAATCGAAGAAATTTAGGAACTTTCATCGCGACCGCTCCAATTAGCGATAAGGACTCGGCGGAGCTCTTTGGGCGATTGTCATTTGGCCTCGAACCGGAAGGAAAGTTCGCCATTGAAAGTGACACCGGGGTCATTTCCCTTGCGCAGCAGTTGGATTACGAGAACAAGGCCGAGTGGCAGTTGGTCATCGTCGCCACTGACGGAGGCGACAAGGTTACCCGATGCAAGTTTATCGTTCTAGTCGAAGATGCGAACGAAGCTGCGCCGGTTTTCCAACACCCCACGAGCGACGATTTGGAGCTTTTGATCAACGACAAGGAAATGGAAAACGCGGAGATCTTCTCCGTCAACGCCATCGACCCGGATTATAACCCTCTCGCGTCCCAGGGGCCAAAAATGACCTACAAAATCGACGGAGCTCAGGAACTACTGAAAATCGACGAGATTTCTGGACAAGTTACACTCAACAAATCCATTGCTGGTCTTCAGGAAGATCAGAAAACTTTCCGCATCATTGTCACGGTAAGAACTCGTTAAATGAAATTGGCAACGCTTTCTCACATCACGCGAGATTAAGGTTAAATTTTTGTCAAATTATAAAATTTCAATTGTTAAATTTTCAAATTCAAAATTTCTTGGTGCACGTGCGCACAATTGACCCTTTAAATTGGGAGGCAGTCGACCGTGGCAGCGGGCAAATTCCATCAACGGGGATGATCCCGGCGGAAATCGGACAAACCCGGCGGGTTCTTCTTTTTAAAACAGGAAGGGGGACATTTGTTTAAGAAAATTTCAAATTTGAGCATCAAAGTGAATGGGATTTTTTCAATTTTATTTTTCGAGAAAGGTTCAAATTTGATAGTTTCGTCAATTTTGAACTTTCTTTTGGATATATTTTCATACAAATCAATTTCGAATGAGTACAAATCAAATTTAGCGCGAGCATTTTCGCTCTGATCTTTTGTTTAGTGCTCTGGGCCGCGGGATTAGAATGAATAATTTAGAAAGGGATAAAGCATGGGCCCCGGACATGTGTATCTGGTTATCGGGAGTTTGTCTGTTTTGAAAGAAAAAAATCTCTGCGCAGCGTCGTGTTATCGAAAATGTCTTTTAAATGTTTCTAAATGTACGATGACTTCAAACCGGAGGCGCCGACATGTTCGACATCGGATGTACCGAGTAAAGACGGCCTCGATTCTCAATAAAATCAAATCAGTGCACAAACAAGTCCTCTTTGATAAGCCCGCGTGTACATCTTACGCAACGTGAATCGGCTCTTTTTCTCATTACAGCTTGTTTTTCTTGCTTTTAAACGTCTCAGAATTTCTATCTTATCATCGTATTTACAGTCATAATTTAATCAAGCGCCCTTAATTGATTTTCTGGACCCTCGGCTTTGTTTAAACCCTTTCTTCAATTAACATTTTTCGCAATCACCGGCTCGTAAAATTTGATCCCTTTTGATCTTAGCAGTTTAAATAATGATAAATTTTCAGGCGAGCGATTCCGGCCTCCCTCGGCTGTCATCGTCCATCCAGATCCAAGTCTCCATCCGCCCAGGCGTCGAAACTGGTCTCCTCATCGACAAGAGCCTGCTCAAGGGTGGGGCTACGATTGCGCTGATCGCCATTCTCGTCTCGACGATTTTCATCTTTGTCCTGGTCTTTTTGGCTGTCGTCTTTGTCTGCAGACATAAAAAGGTAAGAAAAGTTCTCTATTACTAATTAGGAAAACTCAAAACCCGATTAGCCTAGTCCTTAGATTCTCAAAGGTTTTATCTTTCGTTGACCTTCATGACAAGTGATTGTCATGGCTACGTTTTCGAATTAAAATATTAACAAATTTCTGATTAATGCACTGGAACGTAAAGGAGCATGTCATTTTTTACTTCATCAAAGTGGTATTTTGGCAATGAAGCCAGGTAGATTACGAGTTCCTCTTTTGGCCTCGTTTCAAAACACGCTCTGAATGATTAATAAGTACAGTGTGCTTTGCTCTGTGTGCTGGAGCGCGTGCCCAGCTCTTGGTCCATTTTGTATAAATAACTAATTGCGGGATTAAGTACTCTCAAAATCAACCAAATCTCAAATCCATTAACTTTCTTTTCTTTTAGCTCTCGAGCGAGTACACGCAAGGCTCAGTAATTATGTCGTGTAATGGCAATGGCGGCTCCGACGGATCGAAACATGGTTCTGACGGATCCCAGCGGCTTCACGATGATGTCTCGATCCTCTACGACTCCATTCTTACCCCAAGATCGTCGATTGTCCCTGCTCAACTTCACTCGATCAACCCAAACGCCACGTCAAAGAATATAATTTGCTCCAAGCATCGAAACTCCAACAACATCCCTGGCTACACCGACAGCGATTCAGACCATGCTGATTCCGGTCGAGGCGATTCCGACCAAGAATTTGGCCAGAAAAACAAGCTCGGTCCCAAATGCTCTCGACAATGTCTCAAATTCGGCCACTCCGACGCCTGCTGGATCGACATGGACAATCTCAACAACGAAATCAACATTTCTTCAATCTCCCTCGTCTACGACAATCGCGGAAACGGAGTTCTCACCACTCCCGGTCGCTTTCTAGAGGCAAACTCTTCCGGCTACATTTCTGAAGAGTCTTCCCGCGACAAACACCTCCGGCGAGTGCTTCAATCGACGCCCAAGAAGTCGCCAAAAAACACGCCTTCCATGTCTTCCGGCAGCGACTCCTTGGTCATTTCGACCAAAGATGGCTGCGTTATCAACGTCCAAGGCACTTCTAGAGCCAACGACAGTCTCACTGTAAAAGAATGCCCAACACCAACGAAGATTAATATCGTGTAAATAATATATTCCTGTACATACTGTAACTGACAACAAACACTATTCTTCCTCAAGTTCGAAAGAATTTAGCAAAACTCATGGGAAAATCTACTTCAAAAATGAATAAATTCAAAAATCATCAAATATTTCTTTCATCAGCATTTTTTCATTGACCCGAAACAGGAGAAAATTGGAGAAAGTGTCATCAAATTGACTTTCTGTCGTCCATTTTGCAAATAATTATTAGTGGAAGATATTTTTGACACCGCAAATGTGGTTTTATCAGACTGAATTTAATTTTATTTTTTAGCAAAAATAAAAGGTGAGCAAGCAACTCTTTTCAAAATAGAAAATTGGCGATTTATCAAATATAAATGCATAAGAAACTATCGGATTTGTTAAGGCTTTATGAAGAGAGTCGCTTAGTTTTGAAGAGAGGTGCACTAGGAAAAGCCAAGTGGGTGCTTAAATTCGCCACATAAGGTACTTCCACTTTTCGATGCAAAATGCATGGCCCTTTCTTCTAGTATTGGCAGCAAGTGACAGTAAGTGAACAAACTCGCAACCAGGGCGATGCTATCGGCTGTCGGAGCAGAACAGGCGCCAATGTCGGACACGTAACGTTATCGGTCCGCTGAACGGGGCGAATTGACAGACTGTCGTCTCACTCTCTATTCAGCCTCAATTCATTTAGCCTCGATAATTATCTGACAAAAATTAATTCAAAATTGGCGGCTCTTTTTTACCGTTATTATTAAAAATAAAAAGAGAGAGAATTATGGTCACTAAATATAATTATTCAAGATGATCTTATGGTTTCAGAAAAACAGATACAATTACAGGCTTCTTTGTCTTTCGAGCCTTGCTGGGAATGAAGAAATACGAAACAGCCCTTGAAAATACAAGTCCACAGCTTTTGCTTTGCCTTCATCGGAGTATTCAACTATCTTTTAAGTAAAACGATCATAATTGCTTGTTCGAATGGCAAGTTTCCAGCTTTTGTTCCACCAACATGTATCCCCTTGTATCTCGTAACAGTTTTCCTTTCTCCGAATTCCCCTTTCTGCGACGTCAATTAGTGGCTTTATACCTGCTGTTTCATAAAACATTGTTCAATCCATCCCTTTCTAGCTGTTTTGCCGCTTGTTCGTTACATCAATTATTCTTCTCCAATTTTCATTTTTCACTTGTTTCATTCCAAATCAGTGTTTACGCCAACAACAGCAGATTTTTGAGCATCCCTGTTTTGCCATAATTCCCATTTTTGCAAAAATCCCTGGTTTCTCTTTGTTTTTTCGCGAAACAATGAAGATCACTTAAAATAAACCCCTTTCTTGCTTGCCTACAAATATTTCAATAAAACGACAAAGAAAGAGACTGAGAACTGATTTTGTTTTCGCGCTAAAAGTAAATTCAATTTGGCGCCGAGACTACGGTAGAACACGAAAACGGAGGTGGTGGTTGTTCACTTTGAATAAAAAGGGAAAAAACGCGATCGTCGTTATCGCTACTTAGCGGTCGGCTAGCGCTTTCGGATTTCCTTATCAAAGGCACTCTTATTTGAACGACTGTGGGTACAATAAACATCTTAGATGCATTTCCCGTAGTCTCCTCATTCCTTCCATTTATTGCTTGTTTTGCACCACGTGGAATTCGAATTAACAACTCAGAAGTCTTTCTTTTTGAGATCTTTCAACTTTCATTTTGCAAAAGAAAATAAAGACGAGAGAAACTTTCCACCCTAAAATAGCCTTCCCCGGCCGTAGAATGGATCTTTCTTGAATCACACCTTTTTGAGCTTGAAGTGGTTTTGGCGATAAAATTCCAGTGCTTCCTATTAGCCAAGTTATGTTGCAGAAAAGTTGTTAACATTCTAGCACCGCAAAATTGCCACTGCTGCCAAGTTTGCTCATCTGGGAACGGAAAATTTTCAAACTATTGCTGATAAAAGAACTAGAAAAGATAATTTACGAACAGAGCTTCTTGCAAGATTCTCTATTGAAAGAGGGCTTGCTCACTTTTTTTTTTGTCAATAAAGCGATTTCTTTAGCAAATTCGATTAATTAAAGCATCATTACATGTTTAATAAAACGTGTGGTAACACCTATCTTTGCGTTTTATTAAACAATTAGCAGCTTTTTGATTATTATGATGGTGCTTAGGTGAGGATCTAACTGCGAAGTTCGCGGAGTAGCACACATACACCCGGCACTTGGTATATTTCACCAATAAATCCTTGATAATGAGCGTTTACGCTACTCGCATCTGAATTACGCCAGTTTTTCTAAAAACATAATCAACGCCGAAGAGTAGCATTTATTCTCAATTCAGAAACCGCAACTTGCGGTGACTGAGTTTTGTGAACTCGAAAAAATTATTTTACGAAGATCAGCAGCTTTTCGAAGCTAGAATTAAAGTTATTTGTCTTCATGTCTCTAGAACATGTTCTTAGTGTTTTTGCTGCTACCTACACCAAATCAGTTTAAAAATCGAAGATGAGTGAACAGCAAACTGTTCTTGATGTTCCAGAAGTGTCCGGTTACTCCGGAGGAGATCTCAACGAACTTCAAAAGGAGTTCAGGACCTTTGGTTTTCCATGGCTCACTTTGCTTTTTAACTCATAGTTTTTATGTCATAGTTTAAATACAAATCGTGAAACCACTAATAAGGGCTCCTAAAGGCGCAGATATAGAAGTGCGAAAAAAGATGTTACGGCGATTCTTCCGAGAGATTCAAAATCACCGTCTGTATAGAAGCTATTCTACTGAAGATGGATACAGAGAAGAGTATCTAGATGTCAGTTATATTGGGGTTGATATTTCGCAACTAGAGCCAAAAGAGATTGCGTATCTTATTTATAATATTCTTCCTTGTAAGAAGAATTGTAAGAAATGAAATAATAATATTTTTTAAATAGATTGGAGACGGCAATGCTGGCTCTACCATGGTTATGACATGCGACTTTATAAATTCCCACTGAAGCCTATCCTCAGACTCTGTTTTAAACCTGTTTGGAATGAGAGGATGCCTATTTCAGAAGAAGATCGAATGATAATGGAAGTGGTAAGATTTTGAATTTTTACTATCAACAGTTTTTATTTAGACCAATTGGACGCAAGAACAGCTTTACGATGCCCTTAAGATCGTTCAACGAAAACGTAAAAATTGAATGTCTTTAATTAATCAAGTTTTTTGTTTTTAGAACGATGGAAATGTTGTCTTGACATAGCCATAACAATCTATGTTTCCAGCGTTATGTCCTTTTTTATAATTGGTTTCATTTTGACTACCGTTTTCAATACAGGGCAAGACAACACTTGCAATCCCCCACATTGCAAGCCCCCACATAAGCCATAACTGTACTGATTGTTTTTCAGGCGACAAAAAACGCCTGAATGCTGTACACAAGATTAACAATTATATTCACGAATAAATATTTTTAAGATACTTGATTTTGTTCATTTTTAACCTATCACAAATCAGAATATATTTATATCGAAAACACACGATAATAAGTCCGCCATCTTAAAATAGCCGTTGACTATCATTCTCATAATTGATTGAGCTGACAATAAATATGTATTTTTAACCAGTCAAGACTACAATGTTGCTTTTTCCTTCGGAAAGGGATAATTCTCAAGAGGGGCGATACTGATAACAACACAACTCAAACACGTTTGAACAGATCGTTGTTGGAAATACAAATAATTTAATCAATCGCACGGCGAATTCGGCGGCTTTTCGCCCCTGCTCAGCTTCGAGTTTGATAATATGTTTTCGTGAATACGGCATTTCCGTGAACTTAGGAAATAAATTACAAATTCTTATGAAAACAAAAATTAAACTCGCGCCTAAATTCTTCGCGTTTTTCTTCATTTTTCGAGTAAGCCGGCGGCGAATGAGGCGGCAAACCTTTGGCATCCATCACCATGCTGTAGTCAGGTGGAGCGTCGGCATCATCAAACGCGGCTAGAATTTTGTGTTACAGTGACAAACTTGAGATTTAAATTTTTGAGGAAAGCGATGGACGTTTGCTTCAATCGTTGATTACCTTTGTTCTCGACCGTTACGGAAATTGATTCGGCAGTGACTGGGGAAAATGTGGCTTGATTTTGGAGCGCTTGGGTTAAGATTTAGATAGGATTAAGGGACCCCCGTATGATAAGTTTTATTTTTAAAACGTAAACATGACTGAGCCCCTGAATATCTTTTTGAGAACCTTTCCTGGTCCAAGTTCGCGTCTCAACCTTTTCAGTTTCCTCCGCCGGACGAGCAGCGCTAGAATCGCATCGTGAAGATTCCCCCATTCTATTTCTACATCAACAAAATCCCATCCCACCTGTCAACACAAAGGTCATCATCAAGAAAATGATGCCAATGAAGGAGTACACAATGAGAGGAAGCTGATACCAACTTATTTTTCCGATTGAAAATAGAAAAAATATCGAAATGAAATTGAAATTGCGGGAGATTGAGCTGTTTTGAGTAAATATTTCAATTGCAACCGGCCTGAACGCATCATCGGGTCCGCATAATACACTTTTCTTCGAGCAAGGTTTTCTTTTCTGTTTTGCCTTTTGTGATTACAGACAAATACACATTTTTAGCAAATGGGGGACTGTGTTCCCCTAACAAGCAATTTGGCAGGTTGTCAAGGAAGATATATTTAATTTGTTGAATTAAAACCGCTCCTGAGCCGTTTCAGGAATCGAGACAAATTTGGGTGTTCCAGATTCATCGATGAAATTTGGGTTGAATCGTGCAAATCCATTGATCCGCTAGAAACTCATTTAACTCAAGACGGAGCTTTGACAATTATGAGGATAAAAATAAACTTTTGATTTATGAACAGCCCAAAACCTGCCAGAATTTATGGGTTAGGGTTAGAGCGATAACAACTTATAAAGCAACATACCGCCTGATCTCCGGGAATCCACGAAATAATCTAATTCAATCATCATTATAATTATTTTTCAATTATCATCGTAAACAGCTTACCCTTCCATCGATCCAATCAGATTCAACAGGCTCGCTCACCAAGGGCTTCTGTGTGCGGATAACTTGAAAAAGGGATTACTTTGTAATTCGGCGCTCGGCATTATTGGCACTTTATTAGGCGAGAAAGGAACAAAACGGGCGATTTGTTGAAACTGGGAATCGCAACTTACGAAATGTTTGCCGTCCAAGGTCGTTGTCGATGTAAACTTTTGGAGGAGCCGGGAAGAAACCACTTAATTTTTAATCCGACTATTTTCATCTTACAACGGGAAAAACATTAACACTTTTGCTGGAACTTACGGGTCGAGAGTGGGAGAGTCAAACATCGATGTAAAACCTGCCATAATTTCTCCCATCCTGTTTTCAAAACTCCGAACTTGGTTCAGGAAAGACGAGTACATCCCCTTAGCAATATTTTAAAACACGTTTCTTGTTTTGCAAATTTCTATTTCTCTTTTATATTTGCCCTTTATTTACTGCTATTTCTGGTTTCTAACTTACTTCAATTTTCTCTTCCATTTTTGTATCGGACAAATTGAGGGGCAGAACTCTCTTTCTGGAGCCCTGTGAAAGCAACAGAGAGCCTTGATTCGGACTGAATGGGACAAAATCGATCGCCCTCAAGGATCAATAGACTCGGTCAGAATGCATCATGGATTATACATTTTAATCCCCCGTGAGTTAATCAACTGCCTCTGGATTTTTATACTTTATAATGCTTCTGAAAACTTTTGTAAGATGGAGTTTATTGACAGAACTTTGATAATAAAAGGAAACAGGCGTAATTTCAGGCTCATCTAGACGTGGTAGTCGCAGTCCAAGTAACAGAGAATCCTTCAGGTCCAAAATCGGACTCGGCCGGTATTTCAATAATCTTGTGAAACACATTGAGTGATTTACCATCGTAACGTTCAGTTCTTTTTTTATTTCGCATTTTAAACGAGCCGTTAAATGTAGCATCGAGCTTTAATTTCAAGTTATATGGAGTTAGTATCTCCAGGACAACATCGAGCTTTTCATTGTTATTGATTTTGATAAATGTTTTAAAATAACAATTTCCGAAAACGACCCTCTTATGGCTTTCTTTGTGAAATTCTTTTGGCAAAAAAATTGTCGCCCCGGCAGCATTCTTTCTTTCGAAATAATGCTCTTCATTTGGTTCTGGATAAAGATACTCAAACTTATATGTACCACATCCAGATTCTATGCCTTTTAAGAACAACTGAATGTCATTATTCGCAGAAAGATCGGTTTCAGAATTTTCGTTCTTCGACTGATTTTCGAGCTGAAGATTGGTCACCGTCTTTCTACTGGTTTCAGTGAACTCGAACTCAGGATTTTCAATAATGGATTCTCTGTCGCTTGACATGACTTTCAATAAATTTTCTCACTATTATGAATATGAAGTCATGAGAGTGAAGCAGTTTTTAATCAAGCAGATTCAATATTTGATCAAAGCATGAATAGAACAGAAACATTCTGCATCTTCATCTACCGCGCCTACCGAAAACGTGAGCGAACTAATTCTATTCTAGCGACCGATGGACGATTTGAAATCGAGCAAATGCCAACCGGAGCATCCCTAAGTACCGTTCCATCAGCCGTATATTATCCGTGAAATTTCCCAAATGCGAGAATGCTCAAAAAAGTATTTCTGTATTTGAGAGGCATCGTGTTGTATTTTTGTCGGAATGAAATATGGGCAGAAATATCGAGCTTGAACGAGAAAAAGCAATATACAGTATTTGATATCAATATTCTAAGCTTGCGTTATCCATTGGGGATAACATCGGTGTATTTGTTGAGGTTCATTTCCAAGTTGATATAATGCCATTTATTCGGACCTAGAAATGGCCAAAGAAGTCACGTGGGTGAGTCTCACCTTCTTGAATCTGCGTCCAAATAAGATTCTCCGGCCTTGGGCCCGTCGGCAATTCTTCCAAAGGCAAACAACAGTGAGGCCCTATCCTACAGTTTCCTATCAGCCGGTCGCCACGTATACTTTCAGAGTTGAAGCAACTTAAATATTCATCTCGACAACTTTCAGTCGTGAATAATAATACCTAATGTGTATGCCAGACTCGGCCATTATTGACTTTCGCATTGAGTTAAAGGTGAATAAATGATTGAATTCTGGGTTCAGCGCTGACGGTTTATTCTGGGCGGGGCCTTTTTGTTTGCCTCGGATGCCGGGGAATATGTGGACTTTTACATACGGCCAGGTCGCGGAAACAGCCAGATTTTCACCACTAGGAGTCTTTCAAGCGCAGTGGCTAAGGTAAATAAGCGTACCTGACTGCTACGGCTTCGAGTGTCTTTTCATCTGGATTGTATCTGAGCGCGAATCGAATAGTCCCTCGGTACGACAATGTCAGGGCGCTTGACTTAAATGGGCTGCTAATTAAAATTCACTTCTCTCATAAATAAATAAACTCTGAGCCCTGACTTTGGCAGAATCAGGTCGGGCCTGAGAAGATTGTGATAATTGAGCTGCGTGTAGTTTTCCAATTGTTCTAATTCGATGTTTAAGCCGCTCAGGAGCTGATTGCGGCCGAGAGGGTTGAGGTCCCATAATTGAATTTGAAGATATTTGGAGGACATTTTCATCACGTCTACTTGGAAGTTTAGCATCGCGTTGAAGACGGGCGAGCGGTGGCTTTTACGGATTTGGCTTTGAAATCAAGGAAGAGTACAAAACAGCTTTAGAAATTGAAAATTTCAGATCCTTCCCGATGACGATTACTAGCAACTTTTGTCTTTTTCTTTACTTTATCTGGCATCAAATACACTAAAAGAGGATAAAATCTGCCACCTGAACCGTTCATACCTTTTATATAAGGATGGTTAGCGAGCGGAACTGGAGGAATATCAACACAGTCGACAACATTGAAAATGAGTTTGTTTCCATCTTCAAAGTCAAATTTCAGCGAAAATGCAATCTGCCCCAGCGCTTCTTCATCCCCACTTTTCGCAGATCCAAATGAACAAATACTTTCTGAGTGCGCCAATGTTCCATTTTTGTAAATTTCCATGTCTTGTGAATTCTGATTCTGATTTTGACTCTCGCTGCTGAATTTCGAGTTCTCGAGTATTATCATTTTGAAGGGTTATTCTTTCCATGTCTCTCTTTTGGAGCCATAAATGTGCGTGAGGTGGTTTTTAATTCCTTCGGTATTTATTATTTACTGCTTTTGGGCCATTACGAAATAAAGGCTTAGAAACCTCTATTTCGACAGAGCATGTAGGTGCGATATTTATACAAAAAATTCTTAACTGGTTTAATGAATGCACTGAAATCAAGGAAGAATCCCCCCAAAACTTCTCTCTCTTAGAACTGTTCCTTACGCATGACTGAGCAAAAGCAGGTTCTGCTGATGTCGCTTCTTCTGTACGCCGTTGTTCCCCTTCATCGAATTGTGATGAACTGCCCTCTCGAGTGTCATTTTCCTTCACTAGTGGTGTTTGCCGTTTAGTTCTGTGGTCTTCTTCGATCAGAGACGCTTCAATCTGCGGCGTCCTTGACGCTTTTCTACTTTTAACGGAGGAGGAGGGTCGACGAGATTTCGAATTTTCAGGAGTTCTGCGCTCCAAACTTGGCCGAGGAGGAGGAAGTGGGCGACCTAAAAAATAACGGTCAACAAAAAAGTCTCGAAAGAACATTTTTTAAGGTATTTCAAATTTTCTATATACAATAAGTCGAAACTAATTATTTTTTCGCGACATCTCAAAGTTTTTAATTATTTTTAGCTACAATTTAAGGCTTACCTTGTGATAATTTTTCGTCGAGTTCTTTAATCACGGTTGATTTACTTGTTCAATAACTGCCAAAAACTCTATTGCAGAAGAAAAGCGCGTAATATAATCAATAAGGATCACCAAAATCGGCAATTAACTTCACTTTTTGTCGAAATTAACTTCCAAAATGGAAAAATCACCGTTATCCTGTAATGATTTCGCCGAGATCTGATTGAGCCTGGAGCAGTCCTCTGTCTTAAAAATGTTTACTCCTGCGGGTAGCAGCATTCATTTTAAATAAGAAAAATAATCTCTAGCTTACCAGAGGGGGTCTCCAGGGGCGTATCGGTGTACTCTTGCGGCATTCCGCTGTCGTCCGAGTTGAAGTGTACAGATCGTCGCCGCTTAAAATCGGGCTATCTATTTCTGTATTCCGCAGATTTATTTATCTGAAGGTAGAAACCCCTCTCCTGATCAGAATTGTCACTGACGATTTTTGTGTTGTTTGAAGACGGCCTTGTTGATTCAGAAGAGCTCAACTGTGACGAGAGTTGATGATGATTTTTAATCGAAAGCTTTGGGCAACGTTACAGTTAATCGTGGCAAGAATTATTTATTTAATCAATTTATTACTAACTCAGCCTTTGAATAACCATTCAGCTTGTTCGATTTCAATATTCATTAGAACTCACAAATTTTTATTTATCCTGGGTTGCAATCGAAAGTCCCGGTTTTTCCGTCTTTCAGAAAAAAAATTCTGATATTATTGAAATCATTCCTTGTACGGCTCAGATTTTGGCCTCTCTGACGCTAGGTTTGTTCGTTGATTTCTCTTCTGATCTTCTTTTTTGAAATTACCCTTTCTCTTGACCTCCAGTTCCCGAATTCTTCCGATAATAGAGGCGCCAGGAGAATTCAACTCCGCTGAAGGTGGATTTTGCCGGGGACTCGCTCTCGGCGTTGGAACTGGATAATTATCTGGGACTGTCGAGTTGGCTTTGTTCAGCGAATTGTGATACAAGGGATTCGGAATCGATGAGGCCAGACCGCCGCTCCACAAACTCGATTTAGAGCCGCCGATGGAATTGTCGCTTTCACGTGATTTTTTCAACGTGCTGAACCAGTCTCCAGTCGCCCTTAAAATCCAACTGTAATGAAAAAATAACGGTATTTCTGATTCGAAATAGAGTTATTTCCATTCCCAAAAGTTGTATTTTAAAATTAATTATCGTTTGAAGCTCAAAAAAATCCTCTTATGCAATCATGAAGAAAACCTGCTAATCCTTTGAAAGTCCCTCTTATTTGCAAAAGTCGCAAATTTAATCTGTCTGCATCTTTGGCTCTCCTGTCGCCGGACTTTCTCATTCCTCTCCAGGACCGAGTTGATCTTGAGTATTTCCTCGGCGGATAATCCGCTCAGATCAACGCTAATCTTATCCATTTCCCAACTTCTTCACGGCGGTGGATCTCTCATCAACTCGGGAAGAAAAAAAAGGACGAGGACAGGAGAGGCTCCAAGGACAAGAGAAAATTATTCGCCGAATAATTCAATCGCCATCGACTTGACGAAAATTGAATCATAATTGGGATCATTATCCTACCTTCTTTCTTTGCTGTCTGCTGCTCAAAATATGATAAATATCCTCGGGCTGGTAAAAAAGCAATTTTTATTGAAAAATAAAGCAAGAAAACTTGAAAAAGAGAAGCAGATAATAAATTTATTGTTACGTGTCAGAGAAAGTGCCATATTGATCTTGAGCTTCTTTCAGTTTTTCGTACTTCGCCCTTTTTCTTGCCTCTCGCATCGCTCTCCGCTAAATTATTGATAATGTTTGCTTTAAGATTTTTGCTAACCATTTTCTTCGCTTGTTTCTTCAAAATCCGCTGACGAATTTGAGCAGCTGATGGCGCTGGCGGAATCCCTGAAAGCTCTTCAGAGTCTGTATCAATTTTTATTCGGACATCTTCTTTCGACGTTCGCGATTTTTCGGCTTCTTTTTGTCCTAGTTTTGACGATTTTTTTGGCGGTACTGCTCCGAGAGACTCGCCAAGGACTTTCTTCTCTGTATTTTTCTAAAATTTACATATAATGAACGTAGATTTTCCTCAAAATACCTTGTAAATGTGCGTATACCAGAACCAAATGAAGAATATTACATGAACAAGCCCGATCCCAACTTGAAAAAGAAGGAGTGGAAGATAGACAGGTCTTTCCATGTCCATATCCCAAAAGGTATTCTCATCTGGATTCAGAAAAAAGCTCTGTTTCGGTCTCTGACAAAACTCAAACATGAGCTTTATTTTAATATTGATTCGTACGCTACTTTTTATTCTAGAGAATCACTAAGAGTTGCCAATTCTGCAATACTGGCAGTTGATAATTTCATAAAAGAGCAAAATATTTATAGCAGTTTAATTTTGTTGCGGCTAACAAAGATGAAATCAATGAGGAGTCATCTTAGCTTTGATAGAATAATTTTTTGTAATAGAAAGATACGTACGCGTACACCTATTTTCAAAAAAATTACCTGGGCTTGGAAATGAGAACGGGAGAATTGTTTGAGAAAACGGGCATAACCAGCCATATGACGTCAGAAAACAAACGAATGATTGCAATTGAGGTGCGTTTTACAATAGAAACAAGTTCGTTGTGCAAAGATTAGAAATACTGTCACTCAGCAAAGTATTTATCTCATGAAATGCAAGTGACAGCGTATCCAAGAGACTTGACAAAAGAAGCTGTTGAGAAATGGCTACAAGATTTTGAAAAGAAATTAAAAAGAACGACGAGCAGAGATGATTTGGACCGATTAATTTTGTCGGTGGAGAGAAGCGAATTTAAAGATGATGGTTGTGCTGAATGGAAGGAGGTTAGTTTTGGAGAAAATACAGGAAAAATTGATAATGGATGGCACAAAGAAGAATGGAAAACTACATTTTTTCAAAATTGTATCTTAGAGAAAAATCCACAGTTGAAAGGACGCAGAATTCAACGATCAGAATTAAAAGAAGAAACTGGAGAATGGATCCTCGATAAATCTCTGCAACAGAATATTATCTCTGCTGGAGGAGAGGCAATTGTTCTTAAAGAAAAATTTCAAATGGAAAAATGGAGAAACTCAGATGGAGGCTTGGAAGTTGCTGTTCGGGTGCAAGCTTTCGATTCGGCGCTGTTTACGAAGGACGAAGAGGTTGAATTCGATATTCATCTTTCGAAAGGTAATATCTTTATGATTCGGTAGAGGCTGATTTTTAGATTATAAAATTGCAAAAGACATGACAACCGACGACGCAGACGTTATTCCATTTCATCGAAATGTAATTAAAAATTTCGTCAACATCGAGATCTTCTTAAAAAATGACAAGGAGAGAGAAGACTGCATAGGATGGATAACAATTATGGAAAGTTGTGACTCCGACTTGAGAAGAAAATTGGCAAAAGAAAATTTAAATTTGGAAGAAAGGAAGAACATAGCGATAGGAGTTATAAGAGGACAACAATATCTGGAGAAAATTGGAATCTTACATCACGATCAGAAGCCGGAAAATATTTTATTAGACAAAGGAGTAGCCAAAGTGATTGACTTTGGTATTATTGAAGAGAAAACAGGAAGAAGGAGCTATCGTGAAATGGGTTATGCAAGGAGAGGGAGCAAATATAGAGATTATCAATTTTTATGTAAGTTTTCAAGATTTGTTGAAATTATAACACTGTGCTGATAAGACGCAGGAACTGCTGCTTTTTCGGGAAACCTTCAACTTATTAACAACGCCCTTCCGTCCGGATCACCAACACATGTTTTCGTACTTTGCGAATGGAAAACAGCGTGGGCTCTTCTATTCAATCCTATAGAAAAGCACGAAAAAGAAATAGTCAAAAAGGAATTGGAGGTGAGTCTATTTTCAAGCCCTCAATAAGAAAAATGTCTGGTAGGCTTGTTGTGCTGAGTGGCTTTCATACTACTCTCCATCAGTCTACGAAATTCGCAACATGTCAAAAGTTATTTCCTTAAAAAACACGTCTCGTCAGCTTTCCTTTGACGATCCAAATCTGACTAAATCTTCAGCAATGGCTAATCTTAAACAAATACTCACAAGACAAATCAATGTCGATTTTAAAAATCTGACGAAAAATGTTTTAAACCAAAAAGAAACCAATCTCTGTGTCCCCATCTCAGTCGCAGTTCTTTTGAGATGGGCCATCAAGAATGATTTGAAAGCTGATGAATTAGAAATGGAAAGATGTTTTACTCTTGAAAAAATTTTCATTATTTTGACAATGGTTATTTATCCGCGGAGTTTGGCTGGATTTAATCTTAATCCGAAATTCGAAGAGCAGGAATTTCAAGAAAACGAAATTGAGTTGCTTCTCAAAAGACTAAAATTTGAAACTTATTTGAGTGAAAGTGGTTGGGAATCTATCATGAACATGTCTGACGTGGTTCATGGCGATTTCAATTTCGTAAAAGGTGTGACGAAAGGGGGTACCCTTATCATTTCATAATCCTTTTTGTTAACAATTTAAGTACTACTCCACCAAAACTTCACTTTCACCCGACCTCTGACCGTGACAGGCGCCTACCAAAATCCAGACGGATCAATAATTTTCCATCAAATGGTGCTCGACCGAGTCGTAAACTGCGAATTCATCCTCCAAAACACCCTCATCGACCATTCTGGCTCGCAAATCAGAATTCCTCTCGACCGACCTTACTACGCTTCTTGCTCAATGATGAATGAATGCTACAACTGTTACAACAATTATGTCTATTATGGTGACAACAACGAGTTTATTACTTTAGCAAATGAGCAATTCAATATGGAAACAGAAAAGTGGCATCTTCTTCCCCAAGCATATTCTTTAACTCTTCACTAGAGAGAACGCAGTTTTCTGGTAAGTTGATATCACGAGATGTGACATCTAAGATGTCACATCTTTTTGTTTTTTTAGATGCCGACTTGATTAAAGCACATAATGCAATTTGCAGTAATGATTGACTCGACGAAATTGAATGGCAATTGGGATCATTATCTGACGTTCATTTTGTCTGCTGCCCCGTCATTCTGATTTTATTCTTATTTACGAAAAAAAATTGAGAAATCGAGTAAATTATCAATAAATTTTTTTAAAAGTCGATTTTGCTCCCACCTCGATGCAGAAATCCTGTTTTCTATTGAAAATGTATCATATGAGTATGAATGAAACGAACCACGAGAATAATAAAATACGAGTGTCCGAATTCTAAAGCAATTAAAGGCGCAGTCTTCGCACCAAATATTTAATCTTCGCAGAATTTCTGGCCGCGTAAAATAACGATCAAAATTTTCCCCAAGAAATTTTGAGAGACATATTTTAAAGAAATCATAAACCACAAGAAAACAGGTGAGCTTCTACTGAAATAACTCGTGAACGGAAGTTTCGCCTGGATTATCCCATTATTATTTTAGCCGCACAAAAAGTTGAGAATTTTTATTTAACAGGAGATGCGCTGGATTCCTTATTTTTTGTTGAGGCATCTTTTCATACAAAATTCCTTTCTCTTTTCGCTCTTTTTTGGTAATTGGATATTTGTCGCGTGAGCGGTCAGACAAGAAGTTTTTTTCTTACTTCAAGAGAAATTTTTGAAGCATGAGTACCAGGTTAGGAGAATTCTTCCTAAATTGGCCGCTGTGATATGATTTGTAGGAAAATGAATCTAAATCGTCGTTATATTTGATTACTTAGAAATCTTCTGTAGCGTGCACGGTACACCATGCACAATAAACACACCCGAAATATCTTTCCTATCAGTAAAAAAACCCGCTCTTACCGGGCCTAACTGACCCCCAACTCGCTGCATGTAAACAATAGTCGTAAAAAACTCAAACAAATGACCTCCCCTTTACCACAAATTCAAGATCTCTCTCTTTTTGAAAAATTGTCGCACTTTAAATAATAACTTTTTGAAGTTTACGCCGTCGACCTTCGCTTTTTCCGAAGCCACGGAAGGTTCGAAAGAGAAATAATTACTACGAGATGAGTTGGAACGTCCTTGGTGAGAGTTTTACGAAGCTTTTGGAACACTTGGAAACGAATCAGAAACGGTCCCAGGCGATGATTGATACTTGGTTGGCCGTGGCACAGACACAACAGGCGTATTCAGTACGATTACAAGGTGTTGCAGAGCAGCATGAAAAGAAATACTTTGGGTAGAAATTTTTCCCTCCTGAAAATCATTGAGATTTCAGGTCAATAAAGGAAAGCGAAGCCGAAGCGAACGCAAATCTCCAGCCCCACAAAAGTTTTAACAGCATTTTCGCCATTCTAAAATCTGAAAGTACCGCGGCAAAGAACTCGTTTGAAATGATGAATTCCGCGATTGGAGCGCTGAAAGGGAAACAAGCCATGAACGCGGATGATATTCGGAAATTGAAAGTTGGTTATGAAGACAAAACGAGCGATTTGAAGCTGAAATTGAAAGAAGCGAGAAAACTGGAGAAAAATTTAGATGAAGCAGTTGCGGAGAAGAAAAGAATAACTGACCTTCAGAATGCGAAAAAGAAAAGGAAAATGGCTGTTAACTTTTTAATCTCTTCCTTGATTTCAAAAAAGCCCTATTTAATTTAAAAGCCAGAAAAAGCTCATTCTTCAAAAGCTCGACCCACGATCGCCAAAAAGCTCGAGCTAAAGAACTCATCTGCCGTGAAGAATACACCAAGCAAGTGTACATTTACAACGACAACAGGAAACACATCTTCGGCGATTTTCTACCGAAGCTTTGCGAAAAGGCCGAGGAAGTGTATAGGAAACAGGTTTGTCATTCTTTATTTATAGAAAGTCGTATTTGAGTAGATAATTGCGATCGAAGAATGCAGGTGTGCTACAAATCAGACTTTTCAATTCACAAGTATGGAAAAAACGCCTGCGGCAGATGCCGAAGAAGATTTACAAAGAATCTTTCGGACCTTCTCCTCTGTCGCTTCCAATTCTGATTTTCCGGAGCTAGAATTGCCTGCTGAAACGAATAGCTCAGGTTTGTTTGTTTAAAAGCTTTGTTTTTTTTTGATAAAAAATTCATAGGAAGTAAATCAGAAGTCCCCGATTCTGGATTTGGCTCTGGGGAACAAAACGGAACTGCAATACCCGGAAGAAGAATGACTCTTGGAGATGAAACTTATGCTGAACCGAAGAAGATTTCCTCGAGCTCATTAGATTTCGGTCTTTCTACGTACGAACTAATCGACACTTCTCCTCGTCCATCATTTTTGACGCGAGGAAATTCCGTAAAACTCACGGCTTCTCAACCACCTCCCCCGCCTCCTCCAAATCGATGTTTGCGAAAATTTGTAGGAACGGGAATTCACAATAAAATCGGTTATTATTTAAAACGTCACTATGAAATCTCAAATAATAGCGTTGTATAACTATAATGGCCAGGACGCGGAAGGCTTTGAAGTTGACAACGCCCTAGCAATACACGAAAACGATAAACTGACAGAAGAGCCTAGCGATGGAACGGACGATGGTTGGATGATGGTGAGAGATGAACACAATGATGTTGGGATGGTACCTTTATCTTATCTGAGAGAGGTCTTTGATCCTTGTACAGTATAATGATCTCATTTATTCAGTATTAAAATGTAAATAGCATTCAGAAAAAAATTTATTTCTTGTCAAATTCTACTTTCGTCAAGATAACTGGCTTTACCATCCAACAATGACTTCCTCTCCGACACAGCTAGTATAGTCGCAAGCAGGATTCAGGCCAAACAGATCAATATTGCTCTGTTTCATTGGTATTGTTACTGGTTTGGCATAGTTCATACATTCATAGAGGTCCTCCCAGGTGATTGTATCCGGTAGACCATTTGGATAACTGAGGTGGAGAATGTAGATATCTTTTTTGCTATTGCCGGTGATGTCTGGCTGAATCTTCAAAGCACTTGAAATTAATTTTAGTGATGAAAATAACGGAAGATATTACTTGAATCCAAGAGTAATTGATCGATGGTTCTTGTGTTCACCCTCTCGATCTCGATAATAAACTGTATTGAAAGCGTCATAATTTGGCATTGGATATGTTGATTTTTTCTGGCGGCGATCAATGATGTCATATGAAAATGCAGGGTCATCTTTGAACATGTTCAGCACCAATTGTTTGCATGTTTTGCGGGAGAAAAGCAAATAGCCTTGATATGCGGTCAAGTTACCAGCAGTCTTTGAAGCGATTTGGAATGAAGAAGCGGTGTTGGTCTAAATAAGAGTCAAATTTATAAATAAGAGGAGACAGATAGATACCCGGAAATAAGGCTTCATTCGATTCCATTTCCATAAAGCTTTTTCGTTTCTGTTCATCGCGTTGGCAACTCCCTGAGTGCATGGGCAGGGATCTTAATTTTTCGGAAACATATATCACGAGAACTTGTACCTGTTGTAGTTGTAGTTGTAGTTGTAGTTGTAGTCGTCGTTGTCGTTGTCGTGGTCGTGGTCGTGGTTGTTATTTGCTCGAGCCGACAAGAGTATTTTTCCTCCTGCGAACACGTGACATCATGCCATTCTCGATTATAATCATAACCGGTGATTGCGCAATCCTGGTGATCGTAGTTTGGCTGACCATCATCCCAAAATCTGAAAGTTACTTCAGACCCATCCGCGTTCAGCCACTGATCATTGTCACCATTCTGCTGCTCATATCCAAGCCATTCTCGTCGATGTTGAACTTCTTCGTGATATTGGTCCCATTCTAGTTGATTTCTAAAGAAGGAGGGGTAGCCAACTGTATTTGTGTAGTTTAGCGCCAACTCGGCGCAATTTTCTTTTGCGATTGTGTAGTTGAGCTTCTGTTCGCCCATCTTTACGAACCAAACGCTTCCTTCCGAAGTTGCAGTTGTTGTGGTTGTAGTGGTTGTCGTTGTCGTTGAGGTTACCAGCGTAGAAGACTTAAATCGGCAGGAATAATTGGTGTTTCCATAGGTGCAGTGAATATCATGCCATTTTCTGATTCCAGACCAGCCGGTAATAACGCAAGGTTGATCATCTCTGTTTGGCTGCCAAGGCGAATCCCAAAAGTAAATGTCACTTCTGAGCCATCGGCATTGAGCCACATCGTATGATTTTCTTGCTGCTCGTAGCCGAGCCATTCCAGTCGTTCCGTCACATAATTACTGTAAATCTCCCATTCTCGTGGATTTCTGAAAAATGATGGATATCCAACAGTGTTTTCGAATTCTAGAGCTTTTGCCGCGCAATTCGCTTTGGCCGTCGCATATGAAACTGGCCCATCGGTTTGTTCGACAAACCAAACTGCACCTTCCGAGGTGACTGTTGATGTTGTCGTGGTTGTTGTAGTTGTAGTCGTTGTTGTTGTCGTAGTCGTGGTGGTTGTTGTTGTGGTACTGGTTGTCGTCGTAATTGAAGATGATTCGAAGCGGCAAGAAAAAGGATTTGTCCCCCGCAAGACACGTCATGCCACTCAAGTTGATTCTCGTAGCCAGTTATTACACAAGGCTGGTGGTCATAGTTAGGTTGATTTGGATCCCAATCGTCGTCCCAATCCGTAAAACTTGTATTTGACCCGTCGGCATTAAGCCACTGGGTTGTGTCACCATTTTGCTGCTCGTAGCCTAGCCATTCTTTTCGAACTTCTACTTGCCGACGATAAATATCATATTCTCTTTCATTTCTAAAGAATGGTGGGTAGCCGACAGTATCTGCAAATTCTTGAGCAAGCGCTGAGCAATTTTCAACTGCTTGATCGTAGTTGACTGTGTCGTTATATCCGACAAACCATACAGTTCCTTCTGATGAGATCGTTGTAGTTATTGCTGGTGTTGTTGTGGGCCGAGGAATGCAAGAAAATGTAGTTTCATCTTCATTGTTCACGCAAAGCTCATCGTCCGCGCAATCGTGACTGGCGCATGGCTGAAGTTTCACAATAGAACCTCCATGTGGGCAAGAAAGTTCTAAGGGAGTAGCTCCCCAATTAAAAACTCGATCGAATTCTCCATTATCACCAACACAAGGCAATTGACTGTCACCTGTGTAGCTCCATGCCAGCTTCGATCCGCTACTCGAATAAGCAGTCCATCCACGATCACCAAATGCCAATCGTTCTGCAGTGGGCCCATCGCACCAGTAAACATCCCTACCATTTTCTGTTCCATTTGCGGTACAGACATGGTCCTTCCAGTTCATGTGAAGGGTTTTGCAGCACCCAAGATCGGTTTTTTCAGCTTCTAATTGGTTAGTGCAGATCGCGAGACTTCCATCCTCATCAGATCCGTCGTAGCAATCTTGAACATTGTCACAAATTTTACTCTGCAAAATCGGGCGCATGTAGCCAAGTACATCAGGGCCAAGACACTGAGACATTGGAGGCATAGGATGGTGCGAGACCCACGGGTCTTTGCAAAATAGCGCATCAAGCTGCAAAGCGTCAGTTGTAGTCAAATACTCCGCCGACTTGTACCTCCCCCCATTAAGAAGTTTAAAACCACTATACATAACGGCCGACGAAGGTTCGAAGCGTAGTATTATCTCAAAATTCGGCCACCTATAGCCGAATTATTCGTCAATATTTTCAATAATTCTGAATGAAAAATTCGGCCAAATTGACCGAATTATTGGGCGGATTCTACAAAGTATTTTGGTGAAAAATTCGGCCAGTGAAATTCTCCGTGGACAGTCATTTTTCTTTTTTGAGGGCTTTCGCAATCGCTATGAATGCTTGTTATCAATTCTGATAATTTGATTTTTTAGGACAATAACCGGACTTATCATTACCACAAGAATTCCGGTCTTACCGATGAAAATTAAGATCGTAGTATTCGCTAAAATAAAGGTTAGGGTTAGGGGGCACCTGCAAAAATGACGGAACAAATTACCCGAGGTAACCCTAACTAACCCTAGACTAGACCCCGGCATCTTAGGACCGAAGGGGCGGAGCCCCGAGGTTAGGAACCATTAGATTGGATACTTTTTTACTGATAAAATGGAGACTCTTAATAAACGAGTGGCTTTATAGGGGCGCGGCCTTTACTCTTGGGGGCCGAATTTTTCATCCAAAAAATCCTTCAATTTCGGTCGAAAAATTCGGCCACTCTGGCCGAATTATTCATTCAAAATATGAGTATATGAAAATTCGGCATTTGGCCGAATTTTGAGATCATACTACCGTTCGAACGGATGGCCGGTATCATAGAAATTGTTAATTTTTGGAGGCGCATCTTTTTTCTCGAAATAATTCCAGACGTCCGGTCGATCCTGCTCGTGCATGAAACCGAGAGCGTGGAGAAACTCGTGGTGGACACCGCCAGGCCCTGTGCACCAGTTTGGAAGTCTCATCGCTTGCCAGCCGTGGCGCATTCCTTGTTCAGCGTAGCCTGTTTTGCCTTCGCCTCTGCTCGCACCGCAATTCCTGCAGAGTCCAACATATGACCAGCAGCCATCACCGTCGACGTCATTCTCTCCGAAAATATGAACTCCATGCCAATGGTGAAGTTCTGGGTCGTAAAACACATCCAGACAGCCTACTGCTTCGGTGAAGACAGCCAGCGCATCGTGGATTCCCTGATGATATTCTTCTGGAACCGTCGAATCGATAAAGTAGGGAACTCGAATTCTTCCGTCTGGATCAACATAATTCCACTTTTTCGCATAAGCGCCGTCTGAAAGACCTCGACCTTCCATCTCAGTTGGAGGCTCATTATCAGCATAAGGGTCTAAGCGCATTTTGCTAGGATCCATCCCAAATTTTTCAAAAATGGGAACTTGCCACGGAGCAACCATAAGATCTCCGTACGGTCCTTGGCCATGATGATTGTCTCCGCCGTGTTGAGGTACATCATATTCTTGGTCTGATGAAGATCCCTCTGATGCAGCCTAAATTTTTATTATATCTCTTTCAATCTCTAACTTTCTCTAACAATCCAAGGTAACGCCGCTGAGAGTCTCATTCTTTCAACTGACCGGTCCTTGAAAAGATGATTCAACCCGAGCTTGTAAGGGTGTCGCTAGTGGTGCGGGTTTGTCTGTTGCGAAAGTGGAAAATCGAAATTATATTCAATTACAAGAACCTTATCATGTCAGATAAGACGCTTCTGCGAAATCAGAATGTTCCGAAAACTCTTTGAATAAAGAAGTTTCAGTTTATTGAAAGACGGGATTGTCAGTAAAATATTTCTTCGGAGATTTGCCGAAATTGATGATGACCTCGTTTGATTGTTTGAATCAGTCTACTTCCATCAATTCTAGCGCTCCGTAAGTGGTATTATTATTTGAGTATTCGAACCTGTAAGTGATGGAAAAGTCGCCTTCATGGCCTTCTATTGATGCGATTCCGCTTCTATGATACGAGCTTTGAACTTTTTCTCCGTTCATTGCCTTCAAGATCAATTAAAAATGGTACAGATTTGTAAGAGTTACCGTACAAGTATCCAATTGATTAAATTTGATGACCCTCGAATCTTCTGTTTCATTATCCACTGGGAAAGTTTTATTTAAATCATACGTGGTTTCCAAGCTTACAATCGAAAACAAATCGGTGAAAAACAGTTATTTGGTCATCCTCCTCGTCAATTATTGTGCTAAGATTTGCATTGAGAAGCATTTCCAACTCTGCAATTTTATCGTTTTCTTTTATTTCAAGCACAAAGCACAGTTGCTCAAGACTGAAAAAAAATGAAGAATATTCTAATCCGCTTTTTTGGAAATAAAAAGCATTACGTGTCAGCGTGCGTTCTTTTCCACTGTCCGTTGAACATTTTCTCCTTTCAATTTTTTTCTCTTGAACAAAAATAATGAAACAGACTTTCTATTTGATATTTGCGTACGATATTGCGCGATTTTGCTGTTTAGCGTTGCCAGGAACCACCCTTGCAATTGTTTCCCCTGTCAGCCAAGTGTCCCTTCTCACAGTAAAAACAATAGAAAATAACACGATCGAAGCTTGATATAAAAAAATGAACATAAAAGTGAGGTAGATGTGGATTTATCTTTAGCAGAAGTTTTTGATACAGAAGATGGAGTTGCATGCTTTTGAGGGTTGAAAATGAGGTTCAGTGTGTTTCTTGTCTGGAAATTGAATAAGTTACGGGCGATGATTCTAGTGCTGCGGTACGCTGAAACGCGAGCGGATGTTCCGCCGTAAGCTTCTGCTTCTCGACTAAAAAAGGGGATAAAGGTGGTAAACTTAAGAAAGGCGTCTTACAGATCTGAGAATGGCGTCTGTCACTTCGAGCCGGTCGTGGTTGTCTAATTTTCCATTGGTCTTTCCAGTGATGATCACTTCCTTTCCTTAATTAGAATGTAAGTGGTTATTTCAGGCCATCTAATTGATATTTGATTAGCTCTTACCTAGAGGAAAACGCTTCTTTTTACGAAGAGTGACGTTCAATCTCGCGCTGTATCCAGCAACCCAGTTTTGGTTGTAGTCCTCGTTGATTGTCATCATGATCGAGTATTCTGAAGGATCGTTTTGGTTGCGTCTTGCTTCGAGTATGACTCCTCTGAGAGCTAGAATCGGGTATTGAAAGATGACTGATTGACAATCAGTGATTGTTTAAATACATACCGAAGTTATTCTTCTTCGATGTCGAGTCGGGCTGACGAATATTTCCAGAGAGCCAAAGCTAAAAAAAGTTTCATTCCAAAAAGTAAGAAATAATGCTCTACCTCGAGTAAATTTCGCTTGAAAGGATAAAGCCCAGGGTAGACTTCTGAATATAGTACGGAGAAAGTCTCCTGCTGGAAGATTCTCATTCGATCAGGAAACTCACAGTCATTTTGACAGTCTTCAAGGGTCCAAAAACGAGCAGTTGTTGAGCAAGGTCCACAGTCTAGGCATTTTTCGCATTTTCCTGAAAGGAGAATTAGGGTTAATTCAAATACCATGAAGATCTCCCCTTAGAGCTCAACTCCATGGTATATGGGGTTTCAAATAAAGTTATTTTACCTTCATTCTGGTCGTACTGGTATTGATACTTGTAGTCACAATCGACACTTGATTTACATGACTCTGGCAGATGAATTGACGTCCATTTTATCGAAGCTAAAATATTGGGCTCAAAATCAATAAAAGCGAAAATTTATAAGGGGTAATCTTGACCTTCTCCCGTGAATAAATTTCCGAGCCTGGGAGATTTTAAGCGAAGACACCCTGTAGTTTCAGAGTACAGGTATAGTTAGGCCTCGGACGTAAAAAAGACGATTTTCACCATCCGGTCATCGTACGGGAACATGAGAGGGCTCATTCGAAAGGTCTTGATAAGGGCTTTCTATTTGACCGATAAAAAAACTGGGCCCTCCCTTTCTGTTACGAGTTATTTTGAAAAATATTTTTCGAAGCTTACCTTCAAAGTCAAATATCTCGAAAAAGGAGGACAGGGCCCAGTTTTTTTATAAGCCCAACAGAAAGCCCTGTTCAATAGCTTTCGAATGAGCCTATTCTTGTTACCGTACGACGACCGGCTGGTGGTGATGATTTTTTACGTCCGAGGCCTAGGTATAGTTAGGCACGCGTTGGCCGCCTTCCAGTGATCACAATCGATTCGATTACAGTTGGTTTAACATTCTTACTGTATTTGAAGAAGGATCATTCAAAACGATTTAGCACCTCAATGTCTCATCAATTAATCGATTAATTGTCTGCTGTCACATTTTTAGAATTATTTATTCTTCATTCTAAGTATTTCGATCAGTGCACCTTATAGTGCTTTTAAAATACTCAATCCTCCCTACTATCCTTTTGGACTAAAGATGGTCAAAATAAATGAAGCCGCGGGCGGCTTTTTTCTCGTGTTTTTATAAAGAAAAATGATTATTTTCGCGATGAATGCCTCAATTTCTCAGGCAATTTATGTTCTTCAAAAATTTCAATTGAAGTTTTTCCACTTCCGGGGAATTCGGTAATTTCAGCCTTGGCCATGAGGGCTTGGCGCATTCTTTGGCGGCTTATCCCGTCGGTTCCGATTGTTATCAAAAAAGTGCTCCTTGTGTTTTGGGAAATGAATATTCAATAGCGGCTGCTGCTGATATCAGTTATTTTCCAACTGTCCTTTATCGCTATTTTTAGTAGTTTTGATGGGCATATCCGATTAGGAAAGAGAGATACGTTTTTGCTGTGTTTTATAGGCAGTATTAATTCGGGACCACCCAAGAGGAACATATCGAGGCGTAAAATCGAATTTTGTGATTTCGGAAAACCATAAAAAATCATGTCAAACACGTCCATCCCCAGTTAAACCCTGTGCTTAGCCTTGGACAAACAGGACTCCGGATTAGAAAATCAGAGGTCAAGTGTCCTCCTAACCCGATATTCTTAAGCCCCACTTAGTTTTGGGCGTCTATTTTCAACTCCTGACCTGATTCAGGGCTTTCTAAGGCAAAACTAGAATCCTTTCTTACTAGTCTCTTTCTTGATCCGAAAATTGTCGACTATTTTTTGGCAAGATAGTCTGATAATCGACAATCATAGGCCGAAATTAAGAAGATAAATCCACAATTCTGGGAAAACTCAAACAGAAAATGTAAACTTCCAATCAGTAATCCTTAAAAAACCTTCTATTTTTCAATAATGAGCACTCATTTGGACTTACTGCAAGTTATTTCGTCGCTTCCATCTTTGCAGTCTGGGCGCCCGTCGCAGATCTGACGCTTGAGAATAAACTTGTGCTCCCCGATGCATTTTATTCCTTCATCTCTTCTCTCAATAAACCCAAACGAGCTTCTCTTTTGGTGATATCTTCTCAGGCCACTTATTCCTGAGAAACTCGCTGAAACTGTCTTTCTGTCTTCGGCTCAGAAAATTATACGAAAATTTGAATAAATATTATTTTAGATATGAAAATTCAAGAGCCGTTTCCTGTAAATCTCTGAATTTATCAAAAGTAATTGGAAAAATGTAAAACAACTTCGCATGTCGAACGGAATTAGCCGAGTAGTGAGATATGGGCCTCGAAGACGTGAAAAGGGAGGACGCGCCTAGGCGTTATTTGGGGCGCACGCGCGGCGGTATTCCTGTCTACGGCGCCCTTTTCCTCTCAGCTCCCAGCTCCGCCAAGATTTCTGAAATTTTCGTTCTGATATGAGCTTTGTTTCTTTGAGAAATAAAAGATGTTAAATGCTTTGAGTTTATCCCTAGTATAATATGAATAAGCTTTTAAAGATTCTTTAATAAAGAATAGAATTTCATTTAGTTGGTTAGGGTTAGAGTAAAACCGAGCTATTTTCGAACCCTGAGAATCAAGAATCTTACAAGTGGGTCACATCTGTAATCGCAAGTTTTGGCAGTTTTTTGACAGAAGAGCCGCTTTGTGTTTGGTAACTGTGGAAACAATAGCAATTAGCTTACTCGTCAGACTAATAAGTGCTTCCTTCTGAACTATCAAAATACAAAAATAATGCCAGAAGAGAAGGTGGTTGATGCTGTCGCTCAAGATCAGATTTTCAAGGATTATGTGAAGAGAGAAAAAGAGTCGGTGACCCAGTGGGTCAGGGCTTTTGATTTTATGCTGAGTGAAGAATCTCTGGTAGGTTTTTTGATCACTAAATTTTGAAAAAAAAATTTGAAGAAAAAAGCGAAAGGAGAAACTAAAACAGCTCCAGAGAGAAATCCGAATGTACCAGCGGTAATTTTAATTCTTAGTGGTCGAAATAAAACTTATTTAGACTTCTGCCAAAGCAATCGGTTCCCGAGTTGGGAAGAATCTCGATCTTTGGGCTGGAGAACGAAGAGCTCGAGGATGCATTCTGAAATCGCTCAAAATGCCTTACGAAGCTACTGTCTAGCTTTTTTTCAAATATTTCAAATAAAGAACAAAATATAAATTTCTAAGTTCTAAAAGGTTCTTCAAAAATTTTTTCGGAAGAAAAAGCGGTTTCCAGGTTCGGGAAAATTGTTTGTACAAGAATTTGGCAACAGCGGAGTGTACAAGGCTCCGCCACATGCCAAATTGATATCAAAACAGAAGCATAAATTTATATGTCAACTGGCCAAACAAACTCCTCTCGCTTAGGATCACACAACTCATCAATTTGATTACTTTATAACTGATTCTCTTCTAAATAAGCTAGGCCTAAATCGGGGCGTGAAATTACTGATGACAGTTTTACACAGGTTCCACTTTTCACTTTTCGAATTCGACTCTTTGCCCCACTCTTCTTTTTTCAGCGACTTTTCACGCGGTTTGAATTTCCCGCTAACGGAAGCAGTTCATCAAGTGCTCGACCAAGTGCCTTCTTTTGGATTATTTGCGCTAGATTTTTGATTCCAAAAATCGAAGACTTGATCGGCCGGATCACATCTTCTTTGCAAATTCTTCTGGCAGAATTTGTTCAAAACTGACTTATTAATCAAAGGAACATTTTGACTAGCATAAATGGATAAGTGTCAATAATAATAATATGGCAGGAATAATTTAGCGCTCCAATTTCGCTATTCCTGGCAAGGCTCGCTATCTGATCTCGGAATCAGTTAACCGGATCATCCTTTGTCCGATTATCACGCCTCGCGAATTACTTCTTCGTTTTCAAAGCGGGAGAATTTCAAGTTCCTTTTTTGTTGACTTTATTTTTAGTCATAATTTTTATAAAAGAGATTTCTAATGCGCTCGGGTTTGGTAAACTTCATCTTCGGATTGATCGTCAAAGTGGGAGCGATATTTGATTGTTCGTCTTCGGAAGAACTTCTGAAATAAAACTTTACGATGTTGATTTGAGAGTCAAAAGAACCTTTATCAATTTGTAAATAACTACTGTTGCGACAATAATTCCCAGTATCTTCGCAACATGATGATGTTCAACCGTGTAATCAAGGCCGGGGGCTTCTGTCTCTGTTTTTTGAATTGGAACTGTTGTTTCGTCTTCGTGCTTCGTTGTTGTTGATGTTGTTGTTGGGGACGTCAATGGCGCTGGGATTGATGATGTCGTTGTCAATGCTGGCTTTGTAGTTGATTTTGGACTTGTTTGATTTGAGTTTTCTTTCTTAGAATCGCATTATTTCTTTGCGAACGGAAAATGTATCGATAGTAACGATTCCTTCTGTGAAAATATGGCTCGTTTGAGTTGTAGAATCTGAAGCTGTGGTGTTGCTTGATAACATCGATGTCATAATCGACTCGGTCGATGAGGAAGTTGAGTTGACATTCGCAGGAATTGTTGTTGAATTCGAAAAAATTGTTGAACTTGGTCCTTTTGTCGTCATCTTTGTTGGATAAAGAATATTTTTCAATAGATAGCTTGTGTATCTGAAAAGAAAAATCAGCGAAGAACTCTATTTTTGCAAATTATATTGTACCTCTCGTCCCCTGCGTCTTCAAAATGACAAATTCCGCCTTGACAAACTTGACAAAAGCAGTTAATGACTGTTGTATCAGAAGCGAAAAACTTTGCGACTTGGAATCTACTTTCAAAAACAGCGCAACAGTACGCATGGCAGTATGTCCCGTTCAAGACATGTTCGTTTGGCCCTCCCACGATGCTCATTATCGAGTTTTGCTAAAGAAGTACTTACATTCTTTTGACCTTGTTTTCTCGAGAAGTAAAAAGAAATAGGAAAAGCGAGAGAGATTATTACCAGGATCTGACCGCGGCGCTCGGTGAAGGAGCAATATCCGGCGTCTTTGTCTTCTAGGTGCTCAAAAGTCGGCATTGTTGGGATACTCGGAAAGCTTCTTGTCAGCGGAATCGGTTGCGTAACTCTCGAAGTGAAAGTTTTTCCAAGGGGCAAGTTGACCTAAGAGCTCATAACTTTTATCAGCCAAAATTCTGGTACTTTTCTCAAAAGAAAATTTTACTGGAAGATTTTGTCGACGGAATTGTATCACAATCGTCGTTGTCACATGATAAACTTTGCTCGAAAATAAACAAATTTTAATTCTTTAATTCATTTGAGAGTTTATTATCTCCTGCCTTGCCAAAAGCAATTCACCAGATTTGATTCAGTTTCTCTGTAAAATGCCGCGTCTACTGATTTGTCGAAATAAGTACAGCAGTAACTGTAGCACTCCTCTTCGGAAGCCACGTGTTCTCCCGGGTGAGCTTCGATTCTTTTAGTTTGGAGTTTGAAAATCATCGATTCTCTTCGTTGATTTCAAAATCTCATTCCTGGAAGTTCCTAGACTCAGTTCTACGCCGCTCTTCTCTTCGAATTGACAAAAACCGGCATCAATGAGAGCAGCGGCTGCGAAACTGTAAAGAAAGCAAAATTTCAGCAGAGTTAGCATTTTTCATGAGTCGAGTGGAGAAAGTGGGGGAAAGTGACCGGAGCTGGCATCCGTTTCGAAATCCCCTCTTTTCTAACACTTCATATTCGGATAATCGATGATAAGAGTTCTGTTGCTTTCTTTCATATGAAGATTGGTTTGATATTCAGTTTTCTAGGACTTTTCTCTATCTCTCCCTATCGCTGTCCGTAAAAAGTCGACGGTGATTACCGAGGAGTAATGGAGAAACTTGGACAGATCTTGGACAGAAACTTGGACAGATTACTGCATGGACAAGTACGAACGAACACTTGCTCGATGTGATACCCTGTAGATTCTACTGTAAAAATTAGTAAACTATTTTTCTGTGGGTGGCTCCACTTTGTATTGGCGCCTGAAATTTTGCAGGCAGAGATACGGGCAAGGTGTCAAGCTGTGCAAATAGGATACAAGAGGCCCACCGACGAGCGCATCCTGCTGCGAACTCCTGCCGAAGCAGCTACTAGCAGCAATTCTCGGCGTGAACTGACTTGAGCCTGAGTAAACATAAACCGGGGGACATTGAGCTGCGAAATCGGATCAACCTCAGCCGTGGATGAGCACCAAAGTTGCAGATATAGAGAAAAAAATTTAAAATCGTAGATTACGATTCTTGAGTCAGAAATGACTTTTAATGACAAATAAGACACGGGCAGTAAACTCAGCGAAAAATCCTGCTCATATAATAGGTGGTATTTTTCAGATCCTGGAGGGCTATAAGGGCAGTAAATTGAGCGAAAATTACTGCCCATATATTCAAAAGTATTTCTCAGATCCTGAAGGGTTATGCGGGCAGAATTTTTCGCTAAATATACTGCCCGCCGTATGATTCTGATAAAAAAGAGAGAGAAAATCAAATTTTGTTTTAAAGTAATATATTTTTACAGGGATGTAAAGGAGCTTTCATAGTAACTGCCCTTTTAGCCCTCTAGGATCTGAAAAATACCACCTATTATATGAGCATTTTCTGGCTCAAGAATCGTAATCAACGCCCAAAATTACCCTAGGAGGCAAGTTTTCATTGAATTTTAAATTTTTGTTCTCTATATCTGCAACTTTGGAGCTCATCCACGGCTGAGGTTGATCCGATTTTGCAGCTCAATGTGCCCTGGTTTATGTTTACTCAGGCTCAAGTCAGCTCACGCCGAGAATTGCTGCTAGGAGCTGCTTCGGCAGGAGTTCGCAGCAGGATGCGCTCGTCGGTGGGCCCCTTGCATCCTATTTGCACAGCTTGACACCTTGCCCGTATCTCTGCCTGCAAAATTTCAGGCGCCAATACAAAGTGGAGAACCCCTTTTTCTGTTTTCTATTTCGAGAAAATAAAGAATCTTTTCGGCAATTTTTAGTGGAGCGAAGGTATCAAAAATCTCTAGAACAATTCGCTTTTCTTTTTATTTTTACTTATTGTCCCATCGTAAAGTCGAAAGAACATGTTGGACATCGCGACAATACGAGGAGCATATTTAGATGCTACAGAGAAAGCGTATGACCAAATTGAACGGAATATCGATAACGCTAAGGTTGGAAGCTATTATTAAGAAAACAAGTGACCTTAAAATATAGAAGAAAGAGATCAAGAGGTCCGAAATAATGCAGAAAAAGATGACGATTGAAGAAGAGATCGAAAATCTAGCTAAATGGAAAACTGCGCACAAATGTGATCTTCAAATTAAGATCAAAGGGACTGTGATTAAGGTGGTAGAAACAGCTTTTGAAAAAGCCGATTTTTAAACGGCGCCCAAGCTCAGCCAATATTAGATTTTTTAATTGTCTCTTCGACTTTCGTTAGATTTATCTTAGATCTAAGAACATCTGTTTCTAAAATTATTTTTGTTTACCCAGTTTAGCGGTAGAGAGCGAAACATCAACCCATCTCGTCGAAAATGCCGATTTTTGCCCATTTTCAAGCACGATTATCTCGAGTCATGTGATTAACCGAGAATTTCTAATCTCATTTTTAGAAAGTTCAATCCTTTTTCTAGGAGCATCTATGATTGAAATTGCGTAATCATGAAAAATGATAATGTTGCGAGGCCGATTGAAACTTGTGTCTCAAATTTTCAAAATTTTGAGTTTTAAAGACCATTTTTTCGTGATACCCTTAAGTTATCGTCTTACCAAAATTATTCAAGATGATCATGTGATCCAAGCAAATCTACCCTTTTCGCGTTTATCCCCTTATTAAACGATTTTTACTGTCGCTAAATTTCGAAAAACTCGAATTTGCGCCAAAACTTCAACTTTTAAGGCAATTTTAAAGGCTTTCCAACATAGTAAGAATATAGTTTTTAATAAAAATTATATTTTTCATGCATTGGGTTATCATAATCTTTAAAAAATTTTTAAAATTCCATCTTTGGCAAAAGCTGTTTCTACCCCCTTAACAAAATTAAGTTTTAGTCTAAATTGACGATAACAAAATGATCACTAATTTCTAATCAAAATTAGAACTCGACAAGGAAATCGAAAAGATTGATTTTGAGCTCATAGACACTATCTGTGAGCAAAAAGATGACCGGCGAGATCTGCTGTCAAACATGCTTGGTCGCAGATACTGATGAAAATCCGGTCTTCGAATTAGAATGTGAACATAATTTATGCAAGTTGTGCATTGGTAAACTCAAGGAGGTGGCACCATTCAAAGCTGGATCTGTAGAAGAGTTGTACTACATGTTTAGAAAACGCCGATGTTACCGACAAAATTACAAAAAGTGTCCGAGATGTGAGTTACTAGGACGATCCCCAGAACCGTTCTTTCTTCAAGAGCTTGAGCGAGCTGATCCCGCCAAAAGAGATGGTTTGTTATTTCATATTTATAGCCGAATAATAACAATAAACTCCACATCATTTCTTCAGATGATCCTCCATCTTGGAATCGCTGAAACTTTCATTCCTGATCAGACTCTTTTGGTTAAATAAATGTGAAACATATCATTTAAAGATATTTGTCAAGTTTATTTTTGTTTTATTGAAGCAAAAGCTGAAGTTTTCTAGCAATAATGATTCCTCCGAAAAGAATAAACTGAGGATGAAGTCTTCCGTCTTGATATTTCATCCACATGTTCCACGTGAGAATAATAAAAAGCGACAAATGAATGACCCAGTTCTTTGGAAGATTTCGTATCAGCCTCATTTCTCTTCGTAGGAATTTTAGAGCAAAAATTTGTTTGGACTTGAGTTTTACGAGGAGTAATCTCTTGGTCTAAGCAGCGCAAATGCCATCTTTGTCCTTGATTCTTCAAGCTCCGTTTTTGCGTTGGCAGCTGTCGTTCTCGTTCAGTTTGGCAAAGTGTCTGGTAGACTTTCATAACAAAGCATGCCTTGAAAGATGCATCTTGCAGTTTAGTTCTAGATGGGTTTTGTTGGGGGCAGTTCTCGCCAGAAAATGCCATCAAAGAGACACTATTTTCAAAAAATGAACGCAATTGAAGTCATGCTCAGTCATACAGATGTTAGCCACATTTGTATCTCGGAAAAGCAGCAAGACAAGGACGCCCGCGAGGTTTTCCAGAAAATTGAGCTTTACGAGTTGCAGAACTACATCGGATTGAAAGACCACATCAAAGTGTATGAGGTAAAGGTTCAGAGAATCCACAGAATTCATAAGTTATTGCAGCAACTATCAACAATCGTCGATTTTTACGAGAAGCAGCGAGAGATTATCGAAAAAAGGAATTGTTCATTTATTTAACAAACGTCTTAAAAATTTCTCTTGAACAAAGAACAGGTTAGCGGACATAAACGAAATCACTACGAAGTACGGCAGCATGCGAGCACCTCCCTATCGACCAGGAAGAGGTGGTTTAGCAAACAGGCTCTCTCGGGTATCAAGACCTCAATCGAGTAGCAGACCAACTTTGGAGTTCGATAAGCAGCGATTACAATATGATCAACAAAAAATGGATTCAAAACAAAACTGTATTTTTAAAAAATCTTATTTGCGGAAAAACGTTTTAAATCCAAGGTAGCGAACATCAGATTGATGAAACAAAAGAAGCAGCAACAAGCGTACCTGATTTCAAAAATGCAAGAAATAATTGGCAACTACGAATCAGAGCCACCTCAGCTCGAACTTCTTGAATTTGCGATTCCTGATTCCGGAAGTCCTTGATGCCTAAGCTTTATCTTGTTAAACACTTTATTCTTCTTTCATCCAAATAAATTTATGTTGAGCTCCGTCGTTGATTGAATTTCTAAGAAAGCATTTCTGAAAAAAGTACGAATATGAAAGCGCGCAGCTGACTGGGTATCTCTTGCAACGCGCTCTAATCTTTACCGAGAATTTATCGGCGTGATCTGAACCCACCGGTGCTTCCTGCAGGTGATCGCGCCTGCACCTCTGGAGACTCAGTCGCGAGATGGCGCTTCTGTTGCTCTCCATATATTCTGGCAGAGGCTCGCTACCATCACAACATTCTCTTCTACAATCAACAAAACAACAACAACTACAAAATGGATCACTACGAGCGAGTTGAAATGAAAGACCGCCAGCAAGCCAAGCGAAAGATGGCAACCGCCAGAGAAAAGCGCCGGATGGAAAAGCTCAACAATTGCATCGAGGACCTACGACTGATGATCATGCCGGAGACTAAGGCACCAACAAAGGCGAAAGTGCTGATGGTGGCCCTTCAACGGATTCAATACTTGGAAAATCTCTACCGCCAGCTGAACGGTCAATCTGACATGTACCAGACCGCGACCCCTTCCCCACCGCAGCAACATGCTCAAATGGAAAATGGCTTTGAAAACTGTCTTCAAATGCCACAAGAGCATGTCGACATGCAAGTGCCGCTCACACCGCCACTCTCCGAGAGCGTCCAGTTCAGCCCGGACTCCTTCTTCCACTCGGACGACTCGAACAATGACTTCAACTCGCCCGCCCGTAGAACAAATGAGCTCAGTGTCGAGTTCAACTTCTCAGATATTCTGATGAACGAAGACGCCAGCGATGCCGCTGCCAACTTTGAGAACTACTTCGAGCTCTCCAACAACTTCAACCAGCCGACAAAGATGGAGAATCCTTTGGAAGACATCATGGGAGTTTTCGACCACATTGAGCAGGTCTAATTAGCTACTCCGACAGCTCTGTTAATTTTCTGAAATGTCAGTAAACTGCCACCTTCAATTCTTCAACAATTTCAACCTTTTTGCGCTCTTTTTCGCCTGTCCCGCCATCTCAATTCTTCAATCTGACTGTTTTCTCTTCTCATATTGAATGAAAAGAGCTTTTTACCAGCAAAATTACATAAAATATAAACTAAAAATGTCATATCTGTTGATTACCGCAAATAGAGACAGTACCTACACAGTACTTACTTAACAAAATGCTTGACAAAGGTGGGATTCGAACCCACGCCCCCGGAGAGACTGGAGCCTAAATCCAGCGCCTTAGACCACTCGGCCACTTTGCCGTGACGACGAGTAGTGATAAAATACTAGTGATCGTAGGCGTCACGCCGAGCTCCGAACCGCTAGTGATAACGCCCACGCCCACGCCTGTCATTAACCCTAACGACCGTTTTACCGCCTAGAATCGTTTACGCGAGATTCCTCGGAAAAATATAAATGTCAAAAAGTACAACGTAATAAGCATGAATGGCGCTGCGAACAGTCCCTAAACTTTTGTTGGTAATTCCGGCGGCAGCAGGGTTTTATCTATTCGTCGTTTGGCTTCTTTCACGCAAATTAGGGACTCTCGAGAGAAATTCTGGGCCAGAGAAATGTTCCTGGACCGGCGAAGATGCCCTGCGGCGAGCTCAGTTCTGCAAAAGCGAACATCTATCGGGTAAGAATTACAATCAAAAATGATCAATAGTTACTTACCCTCGATTCAAAGAACTCTTTCGGAATGTCTGCGCTTGTAAAAACCCGATGGCGATTACGTACGAAAACCCCGTGGAGCCCCTCCAAGGTCTTGTAAATACTCCTATTCTTATCATCGCTGCTGATCGTCCGAAATACCTCCTTCGTTGTATTTACCATCTTCTTCTTGGTAAGCCCTTGCTAAAATACACATCGCTATTTTTCAGCGCACGGAGTGAACGAAGAAAACATCGTCGTCTCCATTGATGGATCGTACTCAGAAACAGAAGCTGTTGCAACTTTGTTTGGAATCCGCTCGTTTCAGTCCAAGTCCGAGGGCACCAAGTCCGCCCGTGTTTCGCGACATTATCGCCGTGCGCTAGAACACGTCATGAATGTTCTCTATCCCGAAGCTCCAAATATTATCATTCTTGAAGATGACCTCCAAGTTGCGCCAGACTTTTTCTATTACTTTGAGCATCTCATGCCATTGTTGGAAAATGACGAAGATCTGTATTGCATTTCCGCGTGGAATGATCATGGAATGGAGCACGCTGTCTTCTCGCCAGAAAATGTTTATAGAATCGAAGGAATGCCAGGTCTTGGCTGGGCGACGAGTAGAAAGATCATCAACGAGCTCCTTCCGAAGTGGCTACCGAAAGAACGATTCACTGATTGGGACATTTGGATGCGACAGCCTGCTCAGCGAAGAGGCCGACAATGTCTCATTCCAGACATTTCAAGGACATTTCACTTTGGGGAAGATGGATTGAATGTCAATTCGAAAATGCAGGGGCTCTACTTTAGGAATCATGCGATTTTCAAAGAAGCTGAAAAGGTTGGAAGAATCGAATACACTCCTTTAGAAAATCTCTCCGTCGATAAAAATGAAGAAATTCTTCGAGCGATGATAGATTCTAGTGAAGTTCTACCCCCGTCAGAGCTCAAATGCGCGCCTGGAACGAAGAAAGTTCCATATTTTGAAAGGTTATCGAAATCAAACAGGAGCACTTCATTCAAAATTTATTTCAAGCAAGGTAATTGATTAAATTCTTCTGCATTTTAAACACTTATAGATTCAAAAAATGACCTCGACGACTATCTTCGTCTGTGCTGGTGTCTAAACATTTGGGACTTAGATTCACGAGCAAATTACAAAGGCGTCACTAGAATACATCTTCAAGAGCATCCAGTTTTTCTCGTGGGGCATCCTTACTCAGAGTTCTCTCACGATGCAAAACCAAACGAAGTTATCGCAATCAACCAAGAAATACCAGCTGGAAATCGTCGATACAAGCACTAGATTTATATAATTTCTGCATATTCTCTTTTGTATTTTATAAATTATATGATCAAATGATGACCGTGTTTTGCTTTCTGCATTGACCTTTCTGATATTGTCAAAAAGAATAGTTTCGACCCCCTCCCATCTTCAAGCAGAATATAATATACTGAAACTGGCGTTGTAATTCTATGAGAGCAGAAGCATCTGACTAAGAATTCTTTAGTTTGTCTCACCTGATTAGCTAGAAATTCGTAAAATGAAGCTTATTATTTGTTATCTTGAATTTGCCCTTTCGCTGTCAGAGAAACCTATCAGCTGGCCAGCACTGGAGTTCAGATACAACTTCAACTGCGATAGCGCAGCTGAAGGCGTCGTCTGCGTCACCAATTGCAACGATGTTTTCGACCAGTGCGTCGACGGATTGGACACCATAGAGAACACTGATGAGATTTTCGAGTGTTATTATGCGAACTTAGACTGCATCGATCACTGTCCTTGCTACGACTTTTGCTTTGACGGATGCTCGCAATGCCCTGAGCACGAATTCTGTCCAGCTGCCTGCGACGATGAAGAAGCGAAAACTTGCCACAGCTCTTGCGTTAATTCTATGGCCAATTGCTTGGACGGCTGCAAAGAACCGCGGCTGGACTGTCACTACAAATGCAACATCGAAAACTTTGTCTGTACGAAAGATTGTCCGTGCATGAATTGAATAATTTTTTCTATTTATCTGTTTTAAAGTTCTAATTTTCGAAGCTCATCTTCAGTCACAACACCATCTGGGAGCTCTTCTTTCTTTTCGGGTTTGTCTTCCTGCATTGATTCCATGAAATCCTCTTGAAAGTTCACGATCAAAGGGTTTAACAAGCGCTTTCAGAGTTTTAGAGACCGTAGAAATACTTTCAAAAAGACAAGAGTCTCGAGATTTGTCCGAAACTTTCCTTGACTCCAGCTGCGACGACCTTTATCTTTCTATCGGGATAGTCATCCTCGTCATTAACTGGCTCTTCCTGTAGCTGCTTGATAACTTCCCAGCCCTCAATGATTTTGCCAAAAACGACAAATTCTCCATCCAGATGAGAGCATCTTTTCGTAATGATATAGAATTGGCTCGCGTTCGTGTTCGGCCCCGAATTGCTCATAGCGACGTATCCTTTTGAATAGAGATAAAGAAGAACTGATGCTTTTCAAACCTTTTCGATAATGACCGATGTCGAAATTTTCATCATCAAATGTCTTTCCATAAATTGAAACGCCGCCAACCCCGTCTTTGTATTCGACATCTCCGCCCTGTATCATCCAGTTCGAAACACGATGAAAAATGGTGCCTTTGTACGAAGGATAAGCATCACTCAATGCTAGCTTCTTGAAATTCTTCGTGGTTCTTGGAACGATGTCTCTAAATAGCCCGACATGGAACTTTCCTCTTGGGTATCCGTCGACTTCGATCTCGAGCCAGACGGATTCGTAGATCTTTCCAAATTGCGGCTTATCTTCATTAGCGAAAGACAGGCTCAATAAATTGAGAAGACAAACTGCTCTCATTTTGATTGAATGAAAGAAGGATGAAACATCGTCGCGCGCGGCCGTACCGGTAAACGCCTTGAGGACACAAAAAGAAGATTAGTACTAATCTTGAGCTACTAACATTGGCCGATCAAATTGCAAATGTAGACACTGCAATTTGGCTTGTGAATATTGAATGGAAATTTTATTGGTATGAAGCAGCGACAGAAAGTAATAAATATTAAAATGGTCAGTATTGAACTAAGGTTGAAGTCTGAAACGATATGAATATTGCTGCGGCGTGCTCCCCCAACTCCAGTATTCTTTCAGCACCAGGCGAATGAGACAAAAATGGAACAGGAAGAAAAATGCACCGAAGAAGTACCTAAATCGATTCATAAATTAGACTATAAATGATCTGCTTACCAGAAATAAACAGAAATGCCAGAAGAATGGGAAGAATAGTGTTCAGCGTGGGAGATTTTGCTTTCTACATGAAGAGTGTGTTGAAGAAGATCGAGATGTTCCCTCGAGTGAGAAATATACAAAATTGGCGTTGCGGGCTTCGTAACAAAAATTGGAAACTTCATGTCTTCAGCTGATATTGGCTCTATCTGTAGCATACAACCAGCCTAAAATGATAAATTCATAAGAGTTACAAAAGAGTTCTGGCTACCTCGCAAGCGTAGATTTTCTCGGCAAATTTAGACAATTTTCTGGCAGTGACGTGAATTTCCGGCAGTTCTATTCCGTCTTCTTTGATGAGATAAATGTCGATGGAAGAGTTTTTGTAGCGAATATTAGAGAGGCCGATTTCGTTGTGAAGAACTTCAGGGTCAGTTCCAAGCGCTAGGTGTTCTGATGTAAATTGAAGTCCCGCGAAGCTCAGGACCATTGCTTGTAGAAGGCCTTCTGCTCCAGCCTATATGAAAAATGAAATTATGTGAGTGAAATAAGTGCTTACATAAACAAGGCCGCTGCAGCCGTGATTCTTGAGCGTCAATTGCCAAGAATCTCGCAGGGCAAAAGCTTCATCAATGGTCAAAACGTCCTTCCACAGCGAGTTTGAGTGAAGCGTTGCTACTCCGTTGTAGCAGTAATCTGGGGTCATAATTGGAGCGTTTGGAATCAGCTGATAGTCTTCTCCGAGAGCTTGCGATTGCGTTTTGCTAGGCGTGACGGCCATGATAGAATGAACCGTAGAATTGACGAGCTGCGCCCGAGGAATGATATGATGTGGATCCGGGTCATCGGGGTCTAAGTGAATGCCTGTATGAAGAAGATCCTTCCATGCTTGTTCGTGATCTTCTATCAGCTTCAAATCAGACTGTTCTTGCGCCGCCTTCATATTCTTTCTCGCCACTTCCAACGCAGATTCGCTCGTTTTCGCCATTCCAAACACAATCTTCTGGCTCAATAGCTTCGTTTTCTCGTCTCCCTTCAGCAAAAATGATTCCGGCAGAATCTCGGTGATGATAGCAGCGTACAATCCTGATGCTATTCTGTAGGTGTATTCTTCAGTTTTCTCCGTTGTTTTGACATTTTTAATTGTCGACTTTGGAGTTGGAGGATTGATGAGAATTTCGACTTCGTGTAGATGGAAGCCAGTCCAGGTGAAACGCATCGTCTTTTTTGGGGTATTTTAATTTTTTCGGAAAAATATATATCTTTGATGAATTTAAAAACTTTTTGCAGGCAAATTTCTGACCTGGCCGGATTTTCTGCCCTCATGAAAGCCCGTAAAATTTTGAGTCGATTCGACCAAATCGTTTTCGAAATTTTCTAGAGAATGACGTCACAAATGACGTCAGAAGGTCCCAAAAAGGCAAAACTTTGAGTCTATTTTTAATAGCCTTTCCGAAAGAATTACGGAGTGTTCTATAGCTCAGATGAAAGCTTATTAAAGACTCTACTAAGGTTTTTATGGGTTTAAAAATTTTTTATGAAAAAGGCAAAGTCAGAATTTTGCCTGCAAAAAGTTTTTTAAATTCATCTTTAGAATTCAACACTTTCCTGAAGAAATAAATTCGGCTGCGATCTGTGGACCAGCATTTTATGAGACACATGTAAGCAGTTGTCGAAAACGCCGTGGCAAGTTGACTTCGTCAAAACTCCAGTTCTGTAGTCGATGTAAGCGTTTCCCAGCCTTTCTTTGCTATTTTCAATTTCGATGTCCCAGCTCATATCGAAGGGTATCACGTGGCGGTTGTCCTTTATTGAATTCAAAATTGACGATTTTAAATTATTATTATTTTCGAATATTTTCGAATCCAAGCCTGGTATGTAATAGAGACATCCGTAGGATCGAACGCTGACAGCATCACATGTCCATTACCGAGGATCACATCCGAGTTTTTCTCAACATCAGGAGATTCAAAATCTTTGAAGATTTTTATCGCGCCAATTTGCTCCAAAGAAGTGTATTTTTCGACGAATTTGCTCGAGCATTTTGTTGTTTCGCTAGAATGACATCAAATAAGAACATTTTTCCTTGAAGGGTTTTTACCTAGTCCAGAAGAACGATTGTCCTGGAACATGCGTGAATGTGATGGAAAGGATGCAGAAAGTGAGGATGAGAGCGAAAATGCAACGCGGAGATTTGAGATAGCGAATCCAGTCTTGTCTGTTCAGTCGTTTCACATCAGCGAACGCTAGAATCTTCGTAAATACCATATTTATTGAAGTGAGCATTTCAAAATTTTTATTTGAACGAATTGTTTGATTTATGCGACAAGAATCTTGTCTATATTTGTCTAGAAAAACAACCTTTATTAGCGCCCGTCAGAAGCCCTCTGATCATGTCGAATTCATCCCTTCTTTTCTCTCGCGGAAAGTAAAAAATAAGGAGTCTCTCCAAATATTTCGCGCTCCTGATTGGGCGTACCCAGCGCGCTTGTTCCCACCATTATTCTGCCAGGGCGTATTCTTGACTACTGTAATGGTTTCCCTTTTCAACTCTTTTCAACACATTGCATTATTTGAATGCTATTTGCAAATATTGGTACTTCGAAATTAAGGATATAGCCGTTCTCAAGGCACTTTCGTAGCGCCGAAATGGGGCGATAAAATTTTTTCATTCTAAGACAGGTCCTACCTAAAATTATGTCTAGAATTCGATTTTGATGTTTTTTTAAATTTTTTTCAAAGAAAATTTCTCTCTGGAGCGATTTGAAATCTTACGATCACTTTTTCTCGAAATCTTTCAATTAAATCGCTAAAACTAAACCGTGTATTATTATTAATAACTGCCAATCTATCTTCCTAGGGCCTCAAAATCTCAAAACCCGAGCAAATTTAAATTCTAGCGTCTTCTTCTTTTTGTCTGTTCTTTTTCAAAAATACTGCGTTCAGGGCGCTCGACCAATCAGCGCGCTCTTTCACATGCCCGCCTCACCGCGCGATGGAGGAGAGCGCCCAGCGCAGCAAACCAGAGCGCTGTCTGACGCTTCGGCTCACTCAAGTAAGCCTCATAAAAATGGCTGTAGAATCATAAATATTTAGAATCTTTTAAATTTTTGGCCCTAGGAATTTAGAGAAAGGTCCAAATTTTTAATTTATCGAAAAAACTCGACCGATTTAATGGAAAATTTTCGAGAAAAAGTGATCGGAAGATTTAAAATTGCTCTAGAGAGAAATTTTTCCATTAAAAAATTAAAAAGAACACTAGAATCGGGTTTCTAAGGCAATTTTAGGTAGGGTTCCTTTTGAAATGAAAAAATTTTATCGTCCCCTTTTGGCGCTACGAAAGTGCCTTGAGAACGGCTATATCCTTAACACTCAAAATATTTCTTATCGTTTCTCAGTAGCGGAAGATACAGTATTTCAAGAAATAGTCGCATTATCTCGGACGATCACTCAGTAAGCACGAGTTTATTAAAGATGATTCTATTGAATGGGCTATGAACTCGTTCAAAAATGGAAGTTAATTCGATCATCTGTCAGTAGATAAGTCTATCGACGGCACGTCATTCTTGTCATGTCCGATTTTCCGATTTGTTTTGTATTTTTTTATTTGCTCATTAGAAGTCACCAGATTTAAGACACTTATGCCACGACCAAAGGCCCTATTTTAAATAAAGAGAGGCAAAAGAAGGGTTTCCAAGAAGCGCCCCACAGAAACAGTAAGAATTCAGACGGTTCAGTTCGATTCCCAGCAGCTTTCGTATTCCATTAACGCAGCTATAAGCGAAGATATAAATAAGTCAGTAAAGCCCCATACGCTTCACAGACCTCATGAGCTTTATCCTCTTCGCAGGTAATTATAGCATAACACAAACACAGAGCCTGAAAATAACTGCAAGTATTTGAGCTGGAAAGAGTGACTCGTTTCAAGCGAGAGCTGCTCGATTTTAATCAAATTTATAAACTGGGCGATAACAATTTGAAACCCTTGCAAGAGAAGATTAAAATGAGCAAATTCCCTTTGTGTTCCACTGCCAGTAATGAAAAACGCTCTACGAGGCAACTGTCACTAATGCAGGACGGGTCGAGAAAGCCTAGCTTCGTTGAAGAAGAGTTCGAAATTGCTCGAGAAGAAACTGCCTTAAATTTTTTCTCGTAAAAGCTATGTTTTTAGAAGTAAAATCAATAGAACTTAGGGTTAGGGTTATGGTTTAGCGTTTCAGATGAGAATATTAACCCTGACATCCTATTTTCTTAGCAACATATTTATATAGTTACAAAGCCAAATGAGGTTATATACAGTGTCAAAATCTAAAGATTAGCCATTCCAGTCGGGTCACAACTCCTGTCAAAATACTTTTGCTAACAGTAATTGAACTTACATAAAGCAGAAAATCTGCAAAAAAGGAAGCGAGCGAGGGAACGATTTAGGCATTCGGGCTCAGAAGAAAATTACTGGGCCGTGGAATAATTCATTTCGGCTGCGTATCGTTTTAAAATTGCCAATACTTGCCACTGGTAGTAAAATTGACGCGCTGAGCCTATATAAGAAAATGTGTTCGCCTTGCTGCTATGGCTTTCAAGGTAATTCCAAGGAGATAGTAATTACTGTGAAAATTCATTCTATTTTTTTTTCTAGGCTTTCAACATCAGAGCTCCAAAGAAAAAGCTCAGCAGAAGACAATCGCGAGCTGAGCTTGAAATCAGGAACGGTACACATCAATTTGTAGCAGACATTACAAAATTGACGTAAAGTAAATGCTTTCAATCCAAATATATAGCTCCTCTTTGAGTAGATATATTTATCGGGCGAGCATTAAGTGCTTCGGTTTTCATTTCCCGTGTTTTAATGAGACGGAGGCAACAGAGGGCCATTCTCCTCCCTCAAATGGACATAGCGGGACTTAACTGTGCATAATGAACATTTATCACGTGCTTTATGGCTACTAGATAGAATAGTTTTTTTTTTCTCCGAAGATGGATATTTTGAGACGTGTATCGAAACGTGGCAAAAGAGCTAAATCACTGGACTTACCTCCGACTTCTGTAAGATCTGTTGTTCTGGTAAGATGCACCAGCAACTATTGTAACTTTATTTCTTTGATATAGAGATTTCTTGAACAAAATCATCTGTGGAACTTCGACGATGTGTGGGAAGATGCAATCGGAACCAAACTCATCAAAAGAGCTCTTCAAGAAGATCGTACTACCAGAGGACTTATGGAGATTTTTGAGCTCAGCAAGAAACAAGCAAGTTTTGCTTTTAGCTCATTTCGTTCAAGTGCAATTTCAGCATAAAATACGACCGATTGGAATCACACGATACCTCAACGAGTTAGTTTATGTGCTCCGAAATGTGTATAAATCTACCGAGCTTAAAGGTTTCTTGTCAAGTCTGAAGAGTATTTAGTAAGAGCTTTTTTGAGGATTTGAGCTGGACTCTCAACAGATTGAGGTTTTTATAAGAAAACTGGAGCTAAATGAAGAAATTGTATTTTCATCAGGAATGGGATAAGCTATTTAAATGGAGCGCGGAGAAGGTTCTTAAGTATATCCCCTCAGACTATCATCTACTGTACTCGTTATTGAGCTATCTCGGCTGGGACGTCTTCCAAGATTCATATTCATCGACAGTCTACCTTCAGTGGAAATGCCTAGAGCTTGATTTGCGAGTAAATTTGGACACATTTAGCAATTATTCCAAGATCGAATCTGGCCATTTCGTCATGGTCATTACTCTAACTAAATCAACACCGATTGAACTCGTGCTAACTCAATTAAAAACCCAGGCGAAAGCGAACTCAAGACGATTAGTCTTGATCTTTTAATGACCAATTCTAAAAGGTGACGTTTACAAAGTAACGAAAACGGATACGAATGCAACATACGCGCTTCGAATTATGGCAAAAGACAAAATGCCAGACTTCGATCAGCTAGAAAACTATTTTGACATTTTGACTCTTCTCAGGGACGTGGCTCGCTTATGTCTGGAACATAACTCAGTTGTTAATGATCGTTGATGATTTGTTGGTCATAGAAAATAAACGAGTTTCTAATGAGCGTATCTTGCACGAAAGGTGCTTTTATCGACCAAGTCAGCTACATATTCCAGGATTGCTCGACCATCTTATTCAGTAAGTCTTAAGTAGTGTAGCAGAATGATGGATAATTGCGATTGTAGTCCATGACTTTGGCGACGGGGGCGATTTGCTGAAGCTGCATAATCAGCGCGGTGGATTCACCTTGGAGGAGGTGCTCTTCTACACGTGCGAGATGGTCATTGGCCTGGAGTTCATACACCAGCATAATATCTGCCACAGAAACATTTGTCCGAGGTCGATTCTCATCTCAGGAACGGACAAAAAGCCAAAATCAAATTGAGCTTTAGAAAATTGATTTTTCATTCCGACTCTCAGGCACCGGACATTGCATGATCAGTAACTTCTTCGACGCTGTCATCTGCTCTAACAACAATGAAATCACTGGCGACGTCGGTTCCCCTCAGTTCAAAGCACCGGAAGTTATCTCCGACAGCTACAGCAAATCGTGTGATATCTTCTCTCTTGGCTGCACAATTTATTACTTGTTTTATGGAGAGTCGCCAATAGGTAAGACACAGCAGCAGAAGACAAACCTAACCTGTTTCATTCAGTGACGGACCCTATCACGGAGCAAATATCGTATAAATTGCTTGACAGATTGAATCAAGTCTCGCCACTTGGTTTGCAAATTTTGCTCGCAAAAATGCTAAGCTTGGATTTTTACAAAACATTGTCGAGCCACCTTTTTTGATATAAGTACGTCAAATATTGATTTGGGTAACTATTGTTGCACAAAACGAATCCAAAAGAAGCAGCGACCCAGGTGCGCGCCTGAAAGTCGATCAAATCCGAACGGAGAAGATCTTCCATCAGACAAACTGGTCACAAATGGAGCTTAAAACAATTGATGCACCAATTATCGTCTCAACAAGAACAGGTTTGACAATATCCTTTCAAATCATCAATGGTTGCTAGAGGAAGAAATAGTGGACAGAATTGCTTGTTTGGAACAAGACTCAAAATGCATCGGAAATAGTTCAGCAAAATACGAGTTTATAAGCAAGACTAAATGGCGAAAAGAAATTCTAGCTATGGTTTCTTATGTTTCTTATCTCTCACGTTAGTATAGCATCATAGAAACCTAAATAGACACTGTCTTTGACTTGTCCACTCAAAATGCGATTGAAAAGAGTCAAAACGAAGATAACAGCGGCGATCAGCTTCAAGAAACCGAATTTCAAGACATTTTAATCCGAGGAGTTTGCTCAAAAGCCGCCGATTCCAGGTATCTTCTTTGCGATTCAATAATTCCAGATAATTGACCCCCAAAAAAGGTTCAACCCAACGTGGTCCAAAAGAGAGATTTTTCTCTTTCCGAATCGGCTCGAGATACCGGCCGAGCAGATCGTCATTCCCATCGACGAGATCATCTCGGTGGAAAAGATCAAGCCAAAAGACACTGAGGCGATTCTTATTAAAACTCATTCGCGGGACATCACTTTCTCTTTCGAAATGGGCTTCGAGCAAGAGCAGTGGTACGTCGACATACTAAAAGGTACAGCAATTTAATCTTAAAACCATTGATAAATTGATCAAGTGTGGAAAAACGTAACAAATCTTTCGAAAAACGCGCCAAAGCAAATTTCAATACGAAGATCGATGAAAGAAGAAATGAAGAGGCAGAAAAAAGTGGCGATTGCGCACTCAAAAATCGCCAACGGATCCGTATCATCAATTTAACCACAATAAAAAAACTGCATAATAAACTCAACTTATTCGTCGATTTTCTAGAACAGGGTCCTTGTTGTTGCCAAATCTCGGTTTTTGAAATCAGTTTAAATAAAAAACCGGAAAAGGTAAGATCTTTTTTCGTTTTTTCCCTTCTTTCGCGGGAGATTTTTTTCAACATTTGACAGTATCTAGCAGGTGGGATGGAGACCGAAGGATTCACTATCAAATCAAGGAGCCCCAAAGCGCAGATCATCGGCCCACCTACCGCTGGCGCCTTCAAAAAACGACAGAGCGGTAAGATCTCCTTTCGGAAGTCACAAATAAGAATTTAATCTAGGTCCCACCTCTTTCCGAAAATTTTATGAGCGAGGAGATTTCCCCATCGCCCTTGAGCACGATACAAAAGGAAATCGAATCGCATGGAAAGTAGAGATCGAGAAGCTTGACTATCACCATTATTTGCCACTCTTTTTCGATGGCTTATGGTAAGAAACTTTTGCTTGACACGTTATGTTACTGTTTTCAATAGCGAAACAACGCACCCATATGAATTCTTTGCTAGACAAGGAGTTCATGATATGCTCGAGCATGGTGGATCGAAAATTCTTCCAGGTAAGACTTTCCTTTTCAGCAATAGAATATTGAGTACTATTCTTTAGTTATTCCCCAGCTGATCATTCCGATTAAAAACGCTCTGAACACGCGATGCCGACCGACCATCTGCACGACACTGAAGGTCCTCCAGCACCTCGTCATCTCTGCCGATATCGTTGGCGAAGCTTTGGTTCCCTACTACCGCCAGATTCTCCCCATCCTGAACATTTTCAAAAACATGAACCTCAACAGCGGCGACGGAATCGACTACTCGCAGCAAAAGCGGGAGAACATCGGGTAAGCCAGTAACAAGCCAGTAAACAAGTGACTGACTGTATTCTAGAGAATTGATCCAAGAGACCCTCGAGGCGTTCGAGAAGCACGGTGGTCCAGATGCATTCATCAATATCAAGTACATGGTGCCTACTTATGAGTCTTGCCTGCTAAACTAAGTGTATCCTTTGCAAGCTGTTATATCCATACTCGCTGAATAAAGTGATTTTTTATACCTTCGAATTAGTGCTGATGCGCAATGAAAGCATCATCACTAAGTTTCATTGTCAAAAACGAGCAACTGCAGTCAACAATAGGCTTAAACTCTAGCGCGGTCGAGCTAGACCAGCTTGAGGTTTTATTGTTCCAACCAAAAATTATACCATACCGACTGGGGTCAGTAAGTTCCTTCGTAGACTGGTAAACTCACTACTTCACAATGAGAGAGTCTGCGAAAACAAAAGCCTCTCAGCAAAGAGAAGAGCTTTGTCTCAAGGATTTCTGGCTCTTGAACTTGGCGAATCTGTGAGTTCTCAGAATAAACGAGGTGTGTTTTAGACACTCGTGCTTCAAAGAGCCCCGGTTTTACAGGAAATAAATGGCTCATGCGGGAATTTTCAAATGCTACTAAGAGTTCCATTTTGATTATACACTATTCCATTGATAAATGAAGCAATTACGATGAAGGTGAAATTTTCCCTTTTCTTCTTCAATATTGAACCTTGAAAATGAGAAGGCGAACACGTAACGTGTTTATAGGCTTCAATAAATTTCGCGATTAACAGACGCCCGCTGAACTCAACCTGGACAGGAAGACGATTGAACCCGCTGAAATGTGACGGAATAATATCAGAATAATTGCGGTCACGGAAGCAGACTGCCTGTCGATTGTAGCTTCTGAGAATGTAAAAACGACCGTCTAAATTATTTAGCTACTTTGTCAACAAAAAAGGACGGCCAGACTTCAAAACGGCTCGTAACGGAAGCCAGAGATGAACAGTTGACTACGCGCATCCGGCGAGGAAGTTCCGCCTTCGTTGAATTTCCTTTGAAGAGTGAAATTTCAGCGATTATCAGCGCGCCAGGTCAAAGGCGAATTCTGCTGACTCTTGTCGAAGTTCATTACTAATAAATTAATGATTTACGAGGTGGCTTATCGAGAAGGTGCGCTCCCCGAAACCGCTGGCTCCTCGCAAGGGCAAATAATTTTTTATTTCAACTAATTAAGTCTGAAGAAGAAGCTGACCACAGCTCGCGTCTGTGCCGGCAAAAAAGAAGGTCGACGAGGATCCAAGATCCATCTTCATTGATTTCTTATTATAAATATGCACTAGTTAATTTAGCCAGCGCGTCAATCAAAAGTTATTAGAAATAAATCAGTAATATATTTTTTCTAAAATTGGATCCGGGAAAGTCTCCTCAAGTCGTATCCACGTCAGCTCCGCGCTCGATTGCTGAGTTGCGCTCCCGCCGATAAGGAGCCTCTTGAAAGGTCTCCATCAGAATTACCTTAAACCTATACATAAAGTCAGCTTTAGTCTATTTCCTTCGTTTAACTACCCTACCTTGATGGCATATTAAACAATTGCCGTTGTGCATGAAATTTAGCCTCTTCTTTGAAGAAATATTTCAACAATTTTCGGGTAGATAAATACAGTAATCAGACTGTTTCTTAAAATATACATATTTCCGGCGGAAACACAAAAAATACATTTATTAAAAAATAGACGAAATGAGAAAACACGTTTTTTTGAACTTTGAATTTGCGTCTTATTCTCAAGAGAAACCGTAGCTATTGAAAGAAACGTCGATTTATTCTTAATTCAATGAGGATTTCGATCAAATTATTCAGCGCACCAGGCGTATCCGCGCGTTAGTACCGGCGTTTTCAGGAGTTCATCAATGTAAATCAACACATACCACACCAGTTCTATTGCGGATTGGTGAAGAAATCGAAAGTCTTGAATTCGAAATTGTGTTGAAATTTAGAGATCAAAAACAACCGCCGACCCCTTCAGCAGCTCATAATTGATTTGAAAAGAAAGATACTTTCAAATTGATTGAAGCGAGTTTAATTACAGTAGCGTCAAAAAATAAGGTAAATGTCGAATTTTCCTGCAATTCTTCTGATAAGAGATTGAGATTTTTACCTAGAATTTACAATTTCTTATCTGTTTATTTTGATATTCCGGGTTAAACCCACAAGAACAAATTATTTTGCATAAGCTATTTGTATTCAAAATAAGGAAGTCAGATTATTTACTAGTGTCGAAATAATGAACCCCAACTAACCCTCGAAAGAAAAACTTTCCGTCCGCTCGGGGTGAAAACACAGGTCTTAATTGTTCTGGAGGTCGAGGCACACGTGAGGATAATTCAACAACCGTCGTTGTGAAATCTGGACGACCCCAAGAGCCGTGAACTTGAGCATGGGTCCAAATCTGGTGTGGTGGGCTCGCTCTTATGTGAGCCATCGATAATGTTCATCTACTAGCCTGGTAAATGGTTGAATAGGTAAGGTCTGGCGTGTGCTCAGAGCGTTGCACTTGAAGTTTCAGAAGATCAAGTGCCGCCCCTGCTCAGGCGCGATTGGTCGCCGAGGATCATCTCCAGCGCGGACGTGAGCTCCTCGGCGCGTGCAACGGCGCAGTCTCTCCCGTCATCGCCCGACTGCTCCCGTCCGCCTACGCCTCGAAGCTCTTCTCGCTTCTTAACCGCGCCTTTGAGAGTGACTTCCAAAGCGAGCCTCCCGGTTCAATGTCCTTATGGCGCGTTGCCTCGCCCGCGCCGCCAGCGGACCCGACCCGCACCGAAGTCGCCGTGGTCCGCAGTGGCCCGCACGGGAACATTCGGCCCGCACTTTCGAACCAAAAGCGAGATCGAAGGCGCGGGGCGAAGCGCGCGCGGACGTGCTGCTTTTTAAGCGAACCTGGCTTTCAACGATGGCGCGCTTGGCTCGCCGGTTCACGAACCAAAAGAGACTGCTACCAAAGAAAAATATTGAAAAAGGAAAATCGAAAAAACCACGAGAAAGAAAGAGAGTCAGAGAGAGATCGTCTGTGTGAAAGAAACAGATCTAAACATCAACAGAAGGCTCGACAGCAGAAGCAGTAGATATCTGCTGTTGCTGTTGTTTTCTGTCTCCAGTTCTGGCCCAGCTTTGAAAATACTAATGGCGGGCGTGTGCGTTAAAACAAGGCTGAAAATGTTTTGTTTTAGAAATCGGTAATCGAGACGACGACAAGAGAAAGAGAGAGATCTTCGTCGACGCTCAGAGAAGCGGCAGATTGCCATGCACAAGGAACGGGTTTATTACCTCCTGCGAGTTTACACACGTTTTACAGTGCACGGGGCAGTGCACAAGACTGTACTTTAGACCTGTGACAATAATAAATAACGGCCTCAACCTTCGCCCGGTAATGTTAGAATCCAGCAATAAATCTACTTCAAGTTTCTGACTTTCTGAAGTTTATGATTACGATACTCATAAAAACCGCGGGACAAAGGGGACAAAATGTGTATATTTGTTCGTCGGAGCATCTGTTCTGGATAATTTTGGGATGGATGCTTGAGTAACACTCGTGTTTAATTAAATCTAAGCAAGCGGAGAGTGAATAAATCCCAAAAATAGCTCCGTGTGGAGTAAACCACGCATCACCGAACGCCCAGAAAAAGTTCCCTTTACGAAGTACTCCATCAGTTCCAAGGCACGGGGGATTTCTCATCCACACTCGAATTGAATGTGGAGATAAGATAAATACAGTATTTACACTGCACGTTGCCGGTGCAGCGGCCATGATCGCGAAGATCGATCGCGTCCAGAAAGAGAAAAAAAAACCCTTTCGTTTTTTCTTCTCGATCGATTTTTACAATTTACTCGCTAATGTTATGTACATTTTACAGGCACGGTTCAAGTGCTGATAACAAACGAGTTGGAAGCAGAGTGGAAAATCAGCGCCGCGCTTTCGTTTTTCTTTCCTTCACAGACGGGACCAGACGCGCCATGCCTTTCCCGTCGGCGCTTAAATCTTCTTGCCTTTTTTTTTTGCTTTGATAGCGGTTCTTCGCACCGCCAGACGCTAGAAATGCTATTACTCGTGCATGGATCAGCACAAAAATCAGGCCTTGTGTGTGTTTGTGTTCTGCTGTTTGAGAGGCGTAATCTTTTTAATTCATTTTCGTCAAATAAACGTGCCAATTTTAGCGTCAATGATTAGAACATATTTACCTGGCCAAATACAGACTCGGCGGGGGCATTTTCGCTCGTTTCGCTGTGGAAGGTCGAGGGCAAACGTTACTCTGCTCATAAAAATATTGAACTATTGGGTCAACAGACATCTTGCCGCTAGCAGTTTAAATATCATTCTCGCAGATGTCATATCGGCCTTCATCAGCGAAATTTTATAAAAATAGCCTCGCCAATTTTTCAGTAGAAATTTTCTCCCAGAAAACCATGTTTTTTCGAGCGCCAAAATAAGCTTTCTATCAAATTTATTCTTTAATCACTTCCAAACTTCATAAAATCATCGTAAAATATGGTCAGACCTTGGCTTCAGAATATTTATGTTTTCATCGTCGTCTAGGAGAAATTCTCCTTTGATATTCTTTATTCATACACGCGGCACAAGCAAGTGGGTTGACTAGAATAAGACGCAACTCATAATTTAGTCATTATGCCGGTATCAGCGTTTTTCGTTTTTTTTTCTGTACAATAATTGGAGCTAAGCCTCGCCGGCGTATTTAATCTATCTATTATCTCAAAAGGGTCAACTAAAATGTATCCGCGGAGCATTTTACTCGACGCTTTGTGAGACCCGGCGGGACGTCCTTTTTTGCCCTCGGTATCTACTTACTTGGCTGGCAAGTATACCTGGTGAAATTTGGACTGTTAAAGAGGGATGAGGACGGGCGCTGAGCTACTTACGAATGTCACCAGTGACATCGGCTCAGCGAGGAGAGCACTGCTTTGTTTAGAACAGGCGTAAACAAAATAATTTATTCAATTATCCGAAATGCCGCTCCCGAAAATCCCCAAACTCAGACTCAACTTACTCATAATTCCGAATGAATTCATCGCAACCACAGTAATATGCTCCCCTTCCTTTTTATTCTTCTGAAAAGTAAGAACACTTTCCTTCGTCTCGACTTTTGCTAACAAGCTTTCAGTCGGTAGAGGCGATACAATTCTCCTGGATGGAGATGAATCGCGTGCAAGCTTCATGTACAGAGGCCCCTGCGATCTTGTCAAGGTATTTTTCTCAACGGGCGAGCACTTATTCTAGCAATTTTTTAATTAAGCCTATTGGTCGCAATTCTGAAGAAGAAGATTCTCTTTTCAAATATTATCAAAAACAAACTTCCCGGCTAACTGTAGATAAAGTAAGTCGCCGAAAAACACGATAGTATTTTCTAATTGTGTGATCGAAAATGACGCATAATTGCCGAGCAAGGAATTTTAAGAGCTCGAAACAAGGGGCCTTGAAATCCTTTAATAAAATGATTATAGAAATCAGCCGCGTTTAAAATCCAAAATCCTACTTACCGCGAAGCCCTTCAATGGTCCTGTTGTAAAGGACCAAAATCTGGCGATAGTATATCTGACTGTCAGAGTGCTGAAAGTCATCTTATCGCTACTGTACCATTTAGGTAAGGACGCAAAAGTAATTCGCATGCAAATTACGTTCTATACTTTCAGCCCAGTCCAAATAAATCAAGTCAGTCGATTCTTCACTCGCGACAGTGGCAGGCCCGAGCTTGTCACTATCCTCATCAAAGGTACACATGTATTTTACGAAAGAGCGACTCCGGCAAAATGAAACAGATACACTCGAAAATGAATTATTGGTCGGCTCCTCACAGGGCATGTAGATCACAAAATTAATTGAAAATTCGTGAGTCCCCCCGTGTTCTCTCCTACATCCCCTGGGACATTAATTTTATCAGCTCGACTTGAGGAGGCTGATCATGAGAGCCAAAATACGATTATGAATAGGGTCGCGCTTTGCGGGGATTGAATTTCACCGCCACGGTTACTCTCAGACAGACCATTATTTTTCGTATTCGTATCTTTTTCATTCACGACTGAATCAATTACAATTATTTAAAAAGTTCAAAAGTCTTTTCTTGAACGGAATATTTCGCCCTTTGGAGGTGTTTTCAGAGATGCATATTTAAATACGATTTAACAGACTCTAAATTAACGATAATTTTCAGCTGACGTGGCGAGGCCACGCGTTGATAACATCATACCAGCATTTGATCTACAGCTAGTTCTGGACGCAGATCCCGACTCCTGCGCAGGGAATAGATTCACGCGAAAGTTCAACTACCGAGTACCGACTCGCCCAGCACACGACCGCAATTCCGTCCGCTTCCTTTCATTCTCCGACGATCTTTTACCCCAGAACTGTCGACTCACAATGTTTTTACAGAAACCTTGTGAGCAATTTCCGTCTGATTGCAAGGCAGGCGGCTTCTTTTACTATTCGTGAGTCAAGAATTTTTAATGAAATTTTAAAGCGACAAATTATTAGTTCTTCTGTCACGCCAACATTGTTCAACACGACCTTCTCGAGCGAGGACAAAGACATCCAAATCATCGACACGGCCGAAATCATCACCGGGAAGAAGCTGGACGTACTATTTCCACTCGAGCCACCTGCACCCGCTCTTTCTTATCACGAACAGGGGGACGCGCTCTTCACAGAGCTGCCTAAAGGTAATTGACTTATCTGCCTCAACTGTCAACTCTGATGATGAACTTTTGCCTTTTTATGTTCTGGGCGATTTTCCGCGGAAAACTCATTTCCGTAGCCCGGACGTCGGGGAGCGCTGGCCAATGTGGTCCAGTGATGAGCGTTTGTCCTAACTACATCGCTTACTCGATACAAACAGTCATTTTCGGATAAAATATATGTAAAGATGAAGGTAGCTTGAGTTGACTTTTATACCGTTGTATCTTTTGTGGCTACGTGGCAATACGGTATTATCGATTTTTAATTTCTCTTACACAAAGAAAGCGCTCGCGCCAGTGACAGTTCTGCATCGCCTCTGAGTTCATCCCACTTAGTGGCTACAGTTGTTTAAAATCGATAACATAAAGTCTAACTAACAACTCTATTTTTAGCACCACCAGTGATAATATCGGGATACTCTGATGCGGATATTTTCCACTGCGAGGCTTCTGGATACCCGATCCCCATCTTGGAGCTTCACCATCCTAATTCAGGTAATTATTTAAAAATATTTCCAATTTCGAGCAAATTGGATTATAACAACCGTTTCTTGATGCTTGGATTGTCGCAAATCCACTCTAATTAATCAACAAAAAGAACGAGACTGTATCTTTCGGATAGTTGCAGTTTATATCCTTCGGTACTAACTCTTCTCGTCTGAGTTTATTTCTCACGTGAGCGGATATTGAACATGCGAGTAATTTCATTAGCCGATAATTTATTAACCCAAGTTCATACACGTTTTCTTTGTTGATGATTCTGATCCAATGTGGCAAATTAAAATAGTTTATAACCCGCAGTGGCGATGACGTGACCACGAGTAAGAATGTCAACGACAATCAAATCCTAAAGGCAATATAACGCCGGTCCATGTCTCCAAATTGATCTTGAAATGCCGAGGCCGATTTGTGTGATTCAGCCGGTCTTCGGGCAGATCATTTTGAAAATTTCATGAAATTCTAGTGGCGTATGCGGCGGCGATGTTAGTTGTTGAACCGGCATTAAGACTTTCGGGGGGCTCTGTTGCGGGTGTGGTGCCTGCGGGTGCAGTGCCAGTAGGCTATAGGACTGGGCTATGGACCGTGTGGTGCTACGTGGCCTGGTCCGTAGATATGTCAATGGGCCGACCCGTGAACTTGAGCCACCTCACCGCGGGTCGGTCCAATAAAGTGGCTCATCTGATGAGATCAGCCGACGTGTGCCGCTTCCGCTCCCGTCCAAGTGCTCATGCAGGACGTCGATTTTTATTTGTCGCGTGTAACGGCTGAGTCGACATTGCCCCTACTCCAACGCGTTTTTCCTCGAGCGCAGAGTAGCTCCCTGCTGCGGATCATCCACGAATTAGTGTGATATCTAAATGCGCATTAAATCTTACCATTGACCATTCGAGGCCTTTGTCGCCCTAGGGAGGTCAAGCGCTTCACCTGTCACGTGTTATTGAGCCGATCATGAGATACTACAGCCTGTAGTCCATCCCGCCACAAGGCAATTAATCAAAGTTCGATCCCTTTTTAGTTTCGCCTGAATTCTTGATAAGATTTTTCAAAACGCATTAAAATATATTATATTCCGTCTGTAGCTTTACACTTGCCCAGTCAGAAATTCATTTCGCTCGCCCTGTTGTTGATTATCACGGAAGAGGGTGAGCCCCTCGGGAGAGCGGGAAGCAAACCCATTAACCTTGATTTCGCACCATTCAATCATCATATCGTTGACGGTCTTGCTCGAGTCTAATAACCACAGAAATCAAAACATTACTCTAACAGAAGTTTTTAAGACGACGTGCTGCAGAAGCCGAAATGCGAAAGGACGAAATGGAACAGAATGGTCTGCAGATGGCAAATAACACCAAACCAGCGACTTTTCCCATACACCCGCTGCCGGGCGAAGAACGAGCTTGCAACAGCAACAAAGAATATTCCAATCAATGATCATGTCCACCGAATCGAGCATTTGACATCAGGCACAGTTCGTTAATAATCCGTGTTCTAAAGTTGAGGCTGTAACTAGCACTTAGCATTCTAGTGCGCGCTACAAATGAAAGGGGGTCTCATTGCCTCCGGAGATAGGCCTTACCGGCCTCTCAGCTAGCGATCGAAAGTTTAAAATACCTCAATTTGCACGTCAATGATAGACCGCAGAACGAGTTCAAAAACGGCGTCTATGTTTTACTCTGACACGACTGTTAAATTTACACCACAAACAGTAACAATTCGCGAACTTAAAAAAGACTCATCGAAGATCTCAGTACATGGAATTAGTAACCACTCGAAATCAAATGTTCTCCTTGTAGCCAAGCTGCAACTGGCCCCAGCATGGTCAGTGAGGCAGAATATCCTTACCTCGAGGATGCGCGCTGGTGGATTGAAATGGAAACTGAAGTACGAAGATGTGCTCGTAGAGTACAAGAAAACTCTACTCAAAGAAGTGGAGTTCGTCAAAGACGGCAGTCCTTCTTCTTTCGCCTGCGGACGAAGAAAATACACTGTCGAGCTTGACGATAAGACGTGCCTCAAACCAGAGGGAAAGTGTTATGCCTTCATTAGACTTGAAATACTCTTCCCCGATGTCGACGACTCGGGTGAGTATCAGGTCTCGTTGGTCAACGCCTCGCCTCACAACAAATATCGCATTTCTCAGAGGTAAAGTTAACTTTAGAATATGGCGCCATCACGTTATTCCTAATTGTTATATAAAATCTGAATGCCATCGTATGCATCTACCAAATAATGAACGAACGTTAACCGCAGATAATTCAAAATATTTTTGAGACATGATTAGTGGATGGAAAATCCCATTTTGGCGCAATAATCAGACTTTCAACGAGTTATTTTAGTGTACGGATCGACATCAACGAAGAACCCAATCCGTTTACGCGAGATTTATATTTGCCCAAGACCCCGGATGGTAGATTCAGCGTCTTTGAGATGAAACAATGTACAGTTCTCAACTCGGAATCAATCGACTGCAGATGGTGGCCCTCATTCAATACATCGCAAACAACACCTATTTATTCTGTCCATGCGTTCGACCAAAAGGTCTGCCTCGATGAACTCGCACCATACAACACAACAGTCGTCACTGTCAAAGATATACCCATCCATCCGCCCAGTTATCAACAGCTTATCATTCGCGATCTCATACCTGGTCACTTTTACAAAGTCACTGTCTGTGCATGGCAGCGCGACGAGATCAACAGGCTCCAAACGGAGAGTGGCTCGCTCCTCGCTGTCATCGACGGCCGAGGTCAACGAAAATGCCTCAACTGGCCTCATGTTATCCAAATGCCAGAAGATCGACCAAAGTACTTTATTGAGCCACCGAGTCTCGTTCGTGATGCTTTAGATCGCACAGAGTTCGCATATTCGACCCAAGACATCAAAGACTTAGCTTCAGTTGACATCAATCGTTTTCAAGTCGTGTTTACGATGAATGATCTAAACACGCGAAATGCTCGCTTTGGGCAATGCCGTCATTGTCCCAAACTCCGATTCCTATCTCAACTTTCCGAAGGAACAAATTCTTACGCTGGCCCTATCCCTCGCGGAGTAATCATCCAACCCTTTCCTCGGGGGTTCAACGAGCATGGATTTGGACCTTATTTAGACGAAATGGAGCCGCGAAGAGACGCTGAGGAAATAATTGAATCCGATGCTACAATTACATCTTATGAAATTCAATTTAGCGAAGTCAAAGTTCGAGTTCTCGATTACCCTGGGGACTATTTTGAAGTAAAGTGGAACATCAATCGAAAATATTTCAAAAAAGAACAGCTTATTTTGATGGATTACGAAGGCCGAGAAAGCGGTAGAAAGATCATTGATTTGAAGAATGCACAAGAAAAAGAGCTCACGTGCTTTTTGTATGGTGATGATTTCAGCTGTACAATCTTGGTCCCGATTCAAGCTAACATTGTGTCGTTTGAAAGCGTCGGTGGAACTGTCATTCTATCAATTTTCCTGAACAAATACTTCCTCCAGGAAAACGATAAAATTGTGAAGAGTAATCCTAACGCGAAGAATTACTTCATCCCTCCTTATCTGGCTGAAGTGCGCCGAGAAGTCCACAGTTTCAGCATCAAAGCTATCCCAAGAACAGCATTGTTCCATAACGATTTCCAGGCACTTGTGCGACCGGTAATTTTCACGGTGAACCTTGGTCTGTATTCTTTTACGGAATCACCCGACAAAGATGGACTCACATTCCGAGAAAGAGTTGCTCTTACTCCAAGGAAGAATGCCGACTTTAGCGCTTATGAGATCGAGTACGAGATTCGTACGTGCGCAATAAGTTCAAAGGTTGATCCCACACCGAGAATAGCAACGTGTCGCAAGACGAAGTTCAGCGATGTGACGATTTCACTAACGCAATCTTTCGTTGGCGAAGAGGACATCTACTCGCCCGAAAGTCTGCGTGTGTTGATCGAGCCTGACAGAGCTGGAATTCGCCAGGAACATGCCATAATGGAATATGTCAAAACTATTGAGCCGCCAGAAGTTGTCTTGTCGCCGGTTCCGAGCCAGGACTTGTTGGCAATTGCCGACGTCTCTTCGGGGCGCCGACTTGCGTTTGGCATTGAGAGCGAGCTAGAAGTTCAAACCGTTCCGATGCGGAACAACTATGCGTGCGAAGAAATCGAAACTTTCGAAGAAGTCAAAGAGTCGTACACAACAACGACCTTCGTCCTTCCTAGGCTCGGTACTGACGGAGTCAGTTTCTACGGAGCACTCGAAGATAGTGCCGACGATTATGAGTTGGAGGAGCTAAGGACTCACATTGGAACTCGAGAAAACAGTCGACGTGAGGTCCCGATTGGACTTCCAAGTATTGTCACACAGAAAATCAAATCCTTCGGTGGTATTGATGGTTATGCGACGCATTGCGGTGGTTCTCTTATCGGATGCATCAACACTTTTATCAATTGGTCACCGAGACAAAAATCGATCAAAGGAAACGGATTGCTTCAATTGGTAAATTAAACATATATTTGAATCTGATTTCAATGAATATTCTAGCCTCAATTATCACAGAGCACATATTATGGATACGACAGAAACGGCTGTCACTACTGTTACAGATCAAGATATGTCTTCCGGGGTCTTGAACCTGCCCTCGCTGGCGAGAGCGGTCTGAAAGGTACCTTTATTTATACATTCAGATCTTTACAGAATACATAGGCAACTGGAGTGCTGGAAGACACTACGAAAACGTAGGAAAATTAGAAGACACCTGCATCTGGGCTGAGAAGCCTGTTACCCAGAAACTGCAAGTGCTGCCTTCTACCGTAGAAAAAACATTTGACACTCAACCTACACCCACAAAACCTGACCCACCCATTTTACCGACGAGCATAGTAGTCAAAGTCGGCGTACTGATCGTAGTGATGCTGCTTTCCTGCGTATGCGCTTTGATGATCCTGAAGAGGCACTGCTGCCGTAAAGACGAGCATCACCACGCTGCGATACGCCATCATAATTCGCGAACAAATAGACACGAATACTTTCCGGGCAACATTGGAAGCCGCTGCGATGTTGGCGGCCACCCGTCCGAGCTGTCGGAGGGCAACGGCATAAATGGTAAGTCGCTTCAATTTGATTTTTTGCTCTCGCCTCGCTTTCGCTTTTGCTACGCGCGGGATTGTAAGTAAACGTAAGAAATGCAACGCTCGTGTGCTAGATTGGGCTTCGTCGAAATCGTTATCGTCAATGTTGACGGAATCGTCATCACGCTCGCGGCTTGATGATTCTGTTGGCTACGCTTTGCTACCCGCTGATTGGTCTTTGGCATGCTCAAGTGCGCCAGCTATAGTGCCACTCGTTTCAGATCACACCTCTTCATTCGATTCCGGCATCGATAGGCGTTCGGTGACCCCGCCTGCGTCAACCTCATCGAACACCTACGCCCCACCACCAGCAGCACCACCGAAGAACAATAAATAGTTTATTTTTACTTAGCCGATGTTTACCCTCTGTGTGCACATTGTCTCACCTGATCATGTGTCCGAAAGCCCAAATCCCGTGACTGACTGAATCTCGCCTAGTCGCGGTGCCTGCTAAAGCTGCTACTGCCCATTTTTATTTTTCCCATTTCAGTTCGGCGGAACCCTGTGGGCGCCTACCCCACTTTCCTCTTCAACTTTAGATTACACAAATTGAAGGCCGCTCGCTCGACAGGCGGTCGCTCATTTGACAGTTCATCGCGTTCCATTATTACTATTATCATAATTACAGGAGCGCCCACTATCGTTCAGACCAAGTTCAAGTAAAAATCAAGTTTCGCTCGACACACAAACGTCAGAGAGAGGCATCATGTGTGGTGAACTTTAAGCACCAGGTGGCGCCCACAATATAGCCGCCGCCCCGTTACAGTATAAACTTTGACTACTCTGTCACCACCTTCATTTTGCTGCCCTTCATTCGTTAAATATAAAAAGAAAACAACGAAAACCTGACCGAAAACCGATGAGGATACGGCCGCGCTTTCATTTTGTAACAAATAAAGCTTCAAAATCCAATCTCGTCAAATTGTACCACTCTCTAGATTAGATCTATCTCAAAGAAAAATCGTTTTCCTCAAAATGAGAGAAACGAAAATAAAAAATGTCCGACGCAGAGAAATCCTTCCAAGGCAGTGAAATCAGGTTCAGTGAGAATGAAAGCATTTGTACAGAGGATTTTAGCGGATCAGAGACGCCAAACCTTAGGGGCACAGTAACAAGGCGCTTTAGCAGGAAGAATAAAGAGAACAGTCCGAAAACGACGACAATTTGGAAGAGGTAATCGAAGGTAGTTTCCTTTCTTGTTTTTCTGAAGATCTCCGTCGCGGTGGAAAAAGGAGGACGTAGACGAATTAAGCCTGCTTCATGACAACGATGATGCGTCGATTGCCTCCCGGGAAACAGATCTAGCGGGTTCAGATCTTTTCAAGAGGCCAAGAATTCCGAGAAGCTACGATGGCGATACCCCTGTAAGCATTATTCCTCGTTGATTTCTATTGGGGTGTTTTAGCGGAGCAAGCTAGAAGATTCTTTCCGCAGTAACATTCCTGAAAGTATTGATGAGTACAGCTTGATCGAACATGTAAAAGGTAATTTTGTGACTCAATAGCAGAATGCGATTGAAGGCCTATCTTAGTTTTTGTTCAGGAAGCTTTCGAGCACGGTTGGATTCGGAAAAGGGCGATACAGGAGAATTCAAGAGCACTGAGAACGTTTATACCGAGTTTTTTCATGACGTGAAGCTGAAAGACGAGTTCACTTGGGATGGAATCTGGTAATTTTAAAAACTGTTACGCTTGTCCATTTTCTAGGCCATTGATTTACACAGCTTTGATCTCGATTGGCATTGAAGTATATCGCGAGTATGTCAACTCCAATTTTGAAGCTGCCTATGATGTCTACACGATCAGGATTGTTTCTGTCTTCTCTGGTAAAGAAAGGCGGATGATTTTCGAGACTCATCAATTTTTAGTCCTGATGATTTTGGTCTACTGCGCAATCATGTTTTTCGAAAGCTACGTGCTCATGGTCGCCCTTTCTGTTCTGGTCATCGTCAACAATTTTTGTTGCATTCAAGCTGCTGTTCTCGATATCATCGGTTTCTACACTTCATTCGACGAGGTGAGCTGTTTGATTTTCATATCTTTATTGGGCGTAATCTTCAGGCAGATAAGGAGTCTAGATATCAGCAGTTTTTGAAGTACTACCTCGCAAACATTCTCAACCCGCCTCTCGTCCTTTTCCAAATGAACGCTCTCCGCTATACCTTCCTCAACATACACGCCTGGCGACTGGGAGCGATCAAATTCGACAAAGATCGCCGCAACTGCAAAGAAAGAAAAAATTCAAGCTCCGAGGAAGAAAGCAGTGACGAAAATGACGACTCGGGGCTACTTCGGCCAACTGAAACTGCTCTCTAAATGACACTCAATAAAATACCTCTCACAATAACCAGTAATAGCTGGCTCTCATTAAAATTCCTGATCCAGGATTAGTGGGTTTATTACTCGATTTGTCTATTGATTCTAGGACCTTGAACGTTGAACATAAATATCAATAAATGCTTTTTATATTGTTGAGTTTGAACACCTGGCAAAATAAAATTGAATTTCAAATAGTTACAGTACTTTCTGCAAAAAATTTTCGTCTTTATCGCCCACTTGTGGTATCGCCCAAAAGGTCGACGTAGTTTTTCGCATGCAAAACAAATGAACTATTTCAGTGCTGATACAGGTGCTGCCATTTCTGGCTCGTTGAGATGGCTCGCTTTTGATCCACTGTGCAGCTAAAATCGCTCCTAAACTTGGGTAAATATAAATCTTGAGCTAATCAAAGAAGAGGAGTCCGATTAACTTCCGGGCATTGTTTCCGCTTTTTATTGGCTAGAACAGCTGTTCCAGAGAAGTTTTTCTATTGAGCAAGACGAAGGGTGAAAATTCTCATAATAGTCAGCAGTAAAAAGTATTCGTGGGACGTTGGATGAGTCAACTTCTTGATTGGATTAATTGAATCCATCGTCAACTAACTATCAAAAAAGTCTTCCAGGCAACGATCATGCTCTCTTTGATGAGCCCATGTTTTTGTCATTGTTGATAGGAGATCTCCCATGGACAAACTTCCGTCTACTGCTCCGATTCATCCTTCTTTTTTTGCAATTCTTGTTATCACTACAACATTATTGCTTATTTGTACACGACTCTTCATGGGCGGCCTGTGTCCTGGAATGTGTTTCGAATTCCAGCGACTGTCTTGCTCCTTGCTCAAGCACCGAGGAAAACTCGCAATTCAGGGATTTCATTTCGCATCATAAATATGATTTTATATGGGAAACCTTAATGACCTGTCAAGGGCGAACAATAACACGCGAAGATGGATTTTGAACTTGGCTCATTCATATTTAAATCAGCCTAGTTTTGAATACAAAGGGAAATTGCAAAGAATTCTCCTCCGTCTTTGAGAATGAATGTGCTTGATTAATTGTGTAATCATCGCTGTGAACTTCTTTATCCGGCAAGTTGAGGCTCGATTACCAACACACCTGTGTCGTGAGAAGTTACTGAAGGCGTCATTCACAGGGACGACGAAGGAGATAAGCACCTTCCTAGCGAGAAATAAACTGGTCACTCTCTGGGAACTCATTTTAACTCCCTTTCGGAAGCTTTTTTGAGAGCTTACAAGATAGCTTCCGATCACACCTGCTTGATTGAGCCTCTTATAAAATTGTCTAGTTTTTGATCGATAGTCTATCTTTTCTATAATTTCTTTACTGTATTTCTTACTGAGCATATTTTCTATGATTTCAAGGACCTAAATAAGATGTTATACAATGACTTTATTTACGAACAATTATCTAACTAAAACAAGTCGCAAAATTTGATTGTTATCATTGATAAAAATCAATATAAAAATATCATGCATTTGGTGTATATATAATGTTTTATGCTCGCTATTTATAGAAGAAAATTTTGGAGCATGAAAAAATGTTCTTTTGAGGTCCGGCGCTGGAGCGGGCGGCGCTCGCGGGTGAGCGCGCTGGCCGCGGCTGATCTCGATATCTGCTCGCCTCGATTTCGGCTGATGCAGGACAACTTCAATTTCATGTCGTAAAAACACTTTTCTATAAAAACAGAGAACAACAACCAAAGAGACCTCAGTACTGATAACGAAGGGAGAAACAAAATCCAAAGAAAAATCCAAGAAAAAGTCGATAATCTTCAAGAAAAAACAGAAAACAAAAAATAAATAAGCAATGAATTTACGAAGAATATTATTTTCATGCTTCCTTATAGAAGCCAAGGTATGTTTTTATTTTTTTAAAGATAACTTCGAACGAAATTCGTCAAATTTCGACATGAACTTTTGAAAGTAAACATCAATAAATAAAATTCGATGATTAGTTGACCGGAGGCGAGTGTCCTAATTTTCGTCTTTAGGTACCCCAATTTCCCTCGACTCCTCTCTCCAGGAGCAATTTCGGGAACTCCTGGGGATTTATAGGGGCGTTGAATTGTGCGGCCGAGCGCGCTCAATTTGAGGTGCCAGTGGGATTTATTGCCGTAAAACGGGTTATGCTCGATTTACGGGAATGGGGACAGCTGGAGCAGCAAGGGAGCATTAAGGGGATCAAGCCGGAAACTTTTCTGAATTTTTGCCAAGGCGGCGGTCCGCTAACTTTTCCGGCGCTTACTCCAGCAGTCCAGCCGAATGTCAAATGTCAACAGAAGCATGCCCAGAACTACTGATCCGATTTTGACCAATTTTCTAGGGCCAGCTGCTCTACCGCGTAATGCCAAACGACGAGCCGATGAGCCTGGACATGGCTCAAACTGACAATATTGAATTCTTCTCCTGGGCAGAAACGGAAAGCGGCAGATTGGTAATTGGATCAAGAAATAGATTGCTGATTTATGAGGACCGTGTTAAAATTTTTCAACAAAAAAAAAGACCTGAAATTCTTTCATTTAATTTGATAATTAATATCTTAGAATTAAAATAGTAATCACAGAAAGGAATAATTTTAAAGTTTGTTCTTGATATAAATTTAATTCAAAGATAACAATTGATCTTGAGATAGACGACACGTGTTGTCTACCAAGGGTCTGCTACCTAAGGCTCTAGTGGCCGGACTAAGACCAGCTAATACACTAGTTTAAAATAAACAGTCACGGTAGCCAGAACATCGAAATATTTTTTGGCAGTGGTCTCGTATACGGTAACCAAAATTAGCGAGTAAAACAAACGCCGGAAATACGCATGTTTTTGTATTTTCACCCGGCTCCTGGCAGCGCTAGAATTGAAAGTTGTTTAACACGTGATCAGTCCAACAAAAATGGATACTTGGAGGAAGTCAGCTCAATTACAATCAAACCAGAAGCGATCACGAAGAGTAACTGTCAGAGAAGTGGTGGAACGGTAAGTTTGGATAATTGGTTTTTATTTTAAAAATTCTATTCTGAATATCAAATTAACTCTCTTCCCATTAAATTCTCTGTCGAGTATCAGTAGCCTCTGAAGGATCTTCTGAATGTGGGAACAGTATCTAGCTGTCACTGATTCCGCTGCAGTGGCACTTTTTTGAAAAATTCTGACAGTTCATAAGCCGATAGCAAACCATTTGCAATTTATGCCCTTTCCGCGGCAATTAAGAAAACGCATAAGTTCAATAAGCAAGTTTGCTCAGTCAAGTCTTACGTCACTACTTTTTCTCAGACTTTTTTTCTTTGAAAGAGCTTTTTAAGATTTCGGTTTTGTTTTAAATCAAATAAATGGAACATGTTGCATATTTGACGCGCTGCCAAAAATCGTGCTACTTTTTTAACATGTTTAGTGGTAGAATCTGAGTATTTTTGAAAAATATTTTTGTAGATTTTTAGCGCTAGAATGTTTTCAATCGGGTTTTGTTCGAGTGAAGATACCCTTGAAGATTTTTCCTTTTTCGAATTATTTTTTAGGAAATTCGTAAAACTTGATTCTTTCAGCGAAAATCTGCGTTTTAGTGACCTCGGACCCGTGCCGAGCTGGATCAAGGGGAGTCTTCTTCCGCTTCCGCCCATAGACCCATAAAACGAAAAGATCTCGCATTTGGGATAGTGTGTGGGGCAAACACACTGTTCCAGATTTGTAACGCCGAATCGCACAGAGCTCTGCAGCTGACTGTCATTTCTAACTTTAATGTAAAGCCATAAGGATGATAACTTAATTCCAGAAGTCTTCAATTTTAGCAAGGCCGGCCCCCCTGGAATTTTCAAGCGCTTTCGTCATTTCATCAGTTTTCTTCTCCAAAATCTTCTGCCAGAATATAGCTTGGGACAATAACCAGACCTTGTATTGAGAAAAAAGTAGAGAGCACGGTGCGTGGCCCAAAATCGACGCAATAATGATGAGTCCAGCTGAGAACCCACAAAGGGCCAACTTTTGCATAATTAATCCAATTTCACGAAATTACGGGGTCAGTTTTTCTTTCGCCAAAATTTATGCTTATCGGATTGGTACTACCTTCCAGTTTTTGACAAATCCCCATATGGGGAATTCAAATTTTAGCATTTTTCATTCGATAGTTCGATATCTTCGCACTGGCAGATGGAAGTTGCCGGGACAGGCGGAAGCGTGAATGGAACTTCTGGCGGGTGATGGGCAAAGGTGACAGATTCTTGGGGCCAGTCCCGAAAATATTCAAAATCTTCCGAGATTTTAGGAAACTCGTGACGGCCGGATACCCACCGCCATTTTCGCCGGAAACGGCGCTCCCTATGAAGAAGTCTACAGGCTGATTAGCGCTAATTGCTTATCACTTCTTGTGAGACAAAGATCAAAGCAACAAGGGTCCAACTATTTTCCGGAAATTTGAAAAGGGGTAATCGACCTCGAAATTTTTTTGAATTCGAAATTTTTCGAAAGTATTCTTGTGGAAAAGAAGACGCAACAATTTACATAATTAGGGGTGGCTACAGACGAGACTTCTTTTTGGATCAAGATTTATTGATCATTAGGGGTTAGTTTTTCTTTTTTTGGGTCACGTTGGGACGAGAGTTTTAGCTGATAAGGGGTGAGAATCTCGCGAGGTTATCACTACCGATTTGTATTGGGAAACAAGATTCCGTCCCCGGAATTGTGTACCTAAAATAGTACGCGGCTTGTCAACAAAACCAAATATAAACTCGCGAATAGTCCTCGTAGATTCTAGTATCGCTACACTTACAGTCACACGCAGGAACAGGTGATTAAATTAAGGCAGTGCACGGGCCATTCTTTTTCTATTTTCTGAAGGCCATAAATTGGATCAGGGGCACTCTGCCAGCGGGGGTAGGTCAGTTCTACATCCGCTAGAGTTGACTATTGACGGCAATAATTCGAATTGAATCAATACAGCATCAAGTTTTAAAACTTTTGTTTAGGAAGAAGATTGTGATAACTGCCTGGTCGCGATCGGAATCGATGAAGAGTCGATTTGGGCGTGTGGAACTTATGCTCATCGACCGATGCTGTACTACTTCGAAAATGGACAAGCCTCTTACAAAGCGTACAGGAAAGCTTGAATCTCCCGCTAAAATATTTCTTCAAATTTTCTCAGCCCCTTGTTTGCCCTTGATCGCGCCGATTTTCGGACAAGGGCTTGTTTTACGTCAAGGCCAAAAACTGAAAATTAAAATTCTGTTGGCCCTCTCTTCGTACGGAATAATTTTCACTCTTGCTTGCCAAAATGTTGATCTTTCTTGCCAATTTTGGTGAGAAAAGAACTGGGTTAGGAGATCAGGATTTGAGTTGAGTCAATTTTTGGACAGGAGACCGATTGGGAAAGACAAAATAAGATTGATTAGCGAGAAATTTTCTTGGTAAATTGGCTCTGTCAATATATACAAATTGTTGGCTCATCAAGAAGAAAACTAGAATTTGAAGGGTAAATCATTAACTAACCATCCTTACGACATTGAAGAAGTATTATTATTCGTCTTATCAAAATTACTGAGTAAAATTAATATTTATTATTCTTAAAAATAATAATTTTCTGATTTTCTTACGCCTTTTTTAATTTAAAAGAATACATCAATTTATCTCATATTGCTTTTTGTTTCCAAGAAAAATTCTTCAGTATAAGTCTGAAATTTTCGAGAGACCTTCTCAGACCACTAGGATTATGTCCCGTCAAAAAATTTTCGGTATAACCCTAGCACGTGTTCTTAGGTTGAGCGATTTATGTAATGATAAGTGTACTATCACTTTGAAGCCGGCTACGGTCCCCTCGGCTGGACCAATAAAACATTATTTCAAGATTCGCTTTCTGAAACCGACGGATGTCACATGTTCTATTTGCGCTGCCTGAAATTTTACGAATTTTGGCACGCGCTTATCCTTAGTGAGCAGATGTTCGATCTGTGGCTTAAATATTTATGACGGCTGAGAAGATTTTCTTCAGAATAACATTGCGAATATTTAGGGAGCAAATTTATTCTCCTGGCATTTGATAATGTCCTCCTCTAAGTTCTGTAATGCTCCTGGTCAAATTTGATTTGTATTTTCTTGAGAATCGCGGGTGTGGGCCCCTTAATTCGCGAAAATGCCAAATGTGTCTTTCAAGAATTTTTTCTAGCGCCGATTTTTCTGCAGGTGGAAATTCCATTCCATTCTTTATTGCCTTGTTGACCTCAGCAGTGGTCACGTGGGGCGTTAGAATCTTCGCTTCACAGACTGACACCTTCCTAGACACGAGTAAAATTGTTGTTATTATTATTTTGACAGATTTTCCGACATTCTGAGACTTTTTAACAGCCGCTATTTTCTACTCATCAAGGTGATAATGGTTGATAATTAATCGCTTTGATCTGGCGAAATAAAAATATCAACATAAATAAATAAAGCGTGTTTTTGATAAACAAGTCTAGCAGATTTGGGACATGCTTTCTAGGTAGGATAAAGATGAGCTTTTTTATTTGAGGAATTAATGAGTCGGGCTAGATCATTCAACTTGACATGGGCTTGATTAGGGCTAATTGACGGTGACCTTGAGATCAGAAAAGAGGGGATGAACAATCTGATTTATAAGAAAGAAGTGAGCTTTCATTTGCAGAGTTCATATTTTCGTTGAACGAAGCTCATCTTTTCACGATTCCATCAAATTAGCTTCCCCAAACACACATGGATTATTTCGCCCACTGTTTTTCCTTTTTGGCTTGTGCAATTTCCAATTGTCGCTTGTAACAAAAACTTGAAAATGCATTTCCTAAACGCAGCTGTCGGCGAGCTTAACAAATTTACCCTGAACCAAGTTTGTCTCCCCTTCCCGGAAATCCCTAAAAAGCACGGTGCACAGAGGCACACGAGCGAACAAACAAAGGCAAAAAAATCAAATCAAATTCCGTACAAGTTCCGTGTGTTTGGGTTTTTACGAGCGCCTTTGAGAGCCGAGTTCTACGACAAACATGTAAATGTCGCATCGCACCGCCAAGAATCACTGAGTTGCACAGCTAGCTGTCTTTTTCTCCGGATATCCGCTAGGACAAAAAACTTCTTGGACTGACATTTTGGAGGCAGCTATAAAGCTAGTTCAGCATTTGCTCTTCTCGGGAGAAAAGTCTGCCAGACTTCTCCTTATCGTATTATACAGGAATAAACAGTACCCCGATAACTAGGCGAATTTATACAGCTCCTGGTTTTGATCTTGTATTTGGGTCGTCTGAGATTCCTCGAAATACCGGAAGTAATAATGCCTGATAAAGACATCATCTTTATCAGTTTGTATATTTACTTTGTCTTCAAATAACGATACAGTATCCGCGTGAGAAGAATGATCTTCGGAAACATAACGTGATCCCTGGGAAAAGACATTCCGTGTCAGGATAAATACTGTCTCGCAGTACAGTTCCACAGTTTTACTGACGGTAGTTTAGTGGTCCGATAAAGAAGGTCAGGGCGTAGAGTGATGGTTTGAATTTTTTGAAAATTAGCATGAAAGAAGAAAAAAATGAAAATTCAGAAAATAAATTCCGCCGGAATTCCGGAATCACTCAGGATAAGGATCACGGTGACCTCAATTTGGGCTGGATTCAACAATTTCAACGTGAAAAGTGAAATATTTTCGAAAGAATTTCCTATTCCGAGAATGATCATTCTTTCTTTACAAGGCTTCGTAAAAGTCATTCTCGGCCGAGGGCGAATTTACGATCGTTGACCGGAAATCTCGCTTTTGTCAGTCGGCGTGTTATTGAACGTGGCCGGATATAAAAGAGTGTAAATGGCCCGAGGCGCGTGTGCTCTTTCAATAAATCTGTCACGTTTCGCGACACTTGACTGGACTAGTGTACTAAACTGCTCCTTTCTCCGCCGGGGGTTCGATTTCAACCTCGCCGCGCTAGAATCGCGGTGAAACGCAATATTCAAGCTTGAAAATAGTTCGATGACCTGTCCGAAGTCTAACCGACGAAGTGCCTTTCTCAAAATCGCTCAGAACGATGCTCGAAGTAATTCAACGGCGACCGCAAACTTTGAACAAAAATCGATCTTCATCGCCTCAGACGATCCGAACCATGCTTATCTTGAAAAAAGGTGAGCACCCACAGAACAATGAATTTTTCATTCCTATTTTATTTCCATCGTAAAACTGTTTCCAACTTTTTATAAGAAAATCTACATAAGATAATAACTCATCTTAAATGACCGATCAATAAAATGACTTTCAAAATCATATTTCATAAATCGAAAAAAAACGGCACAGAAGCAAATATAAGCCAGACAAAAGTTAATTGAAAATTCCAGTCGGACTGGTTGATTTACGAGATTTCTATATTTCGGACGTGACCGGTGTCCATAAGCGATGAAAATTTTATGTCGCATTGAAAGTACAAATAGTAAAACTCCAAAGCCATAACGCCGTATTCGGCCGTTTCTTGTGAGTTTTGATTGTCTTCATTTCTCTCAATTGGCCATCTCCATTATTTACTGCCTTCCAATTTATCAAAAGTAGGATACTGAAAATGCCCTATAAACGCGCGTAATTATGAATTACAACATAAATATTTAGTGCGTTGAGCCCAGTGAAAACAGTGCTCGAAAGTGAGAGCTTCTCCTCTGAATATCACAACGAAAAACAATGGTTCGAGGCGCCCGACATGCACCTGCTTGTCGATCTTCCCGAAAGAGTTCTGCTCATTTTTGCGGGCGGGCACAGAAATTCAAGGTAAACTCATTCATATCCCCATTTTTAAGATACAATTTTAGGCGAAATATGATCGGCTCTGTCCTAAAATCTGACCGTGGTGGATACAACGACGCCCGCTCAAAATTCACCTCATTTCGTAAAGTGCCTTTCGTCTGCCGCTCGAGCTCGTCCGTCGCGACTTTCACCTTCGCCAATCTGGCCACCGTAAGTGCCTCGATAAACTTGGAATCACCAAATAAAGGATTAAAAGACGCGTGCTTCTTCCTGCGCCAAAGCCTTTATCAAATGCGCATCGCTGTTTTTTTTTTGAAGCACAAAGCTAACTTAGGCTTCTTAGGCAATCGAGGGCGAGGATGAGTTCCTGGCAATTTTCAAAACGGTCAATGGACGAGGAGAGTACGAATCTGCTATGTGCTCGTATTCGTACAAGAATATTCGGGAATATCTCGACTCTGGCAATTTCGACGAGTATTCAGGTAAATCCTTATCGAATGAAATACTCATCGAGACAAAACGGATGTCTGAGATAGTGACGCCGTTAGATCTCTTATTGTTCATCCTCACTCAAGTACAAATGCGATAAGAAGCATACTTCCCAAATTCAATCGAAGAGCGTCATTTCCATTTCTTGTTCAGTCGCTCATGGGATCTCCTCATCATGTTTTTCATTCCTTTTCATTTCCTCTTATCTAGGCCCTCGTTACGAAGCTGCAGATGGAAAAGAACTCGTTTCCTCCCCAATCGTTCTCATCGACGGCGAAGTCATTGCTGCCCTCCAGTCATCTGCCGATCAGTTTTTCTTTGGCCTCGCTGATGGCAAAGTTCTTCGAGTCACTGTGCGGGATGGTCAAGAGCCGATTCTGGCGAACATCGACAGTCCAGAACCAAGATGTGGCAAAGTCAAGTCGTTGCTAATGCGAAGGAATTCTCATCTTGTCATCGCTTGGGAGAAGTGTCTTTTAGAAACAAAAGGTAGCCACCTGAGTTTAGAATATCTTTGTCATTTCGTGACGTAAACCAGTAAAAGAGCTCTTATCAGCTTGATTCTACAAGAAGGTGCAATTCTCGCGCCTTCTCTAGCGAATACTTTCTCTTCCGTCAGAGACCACACTGAGTGATCGCCAGAGCTCTTAAAGAATGCGTTTAGGTGACAAGTTCCACGTCAAGAAAGAGCTTGAAACTGCTGACAAGAAAGACCTGGAAGGCGTGTTTCAAGAACGTCTGAGTCAAATGGAGAATAAAATGAAAGACTTGCACGATGTGATAAATGCATTGACCGCTAGAATTTACACCGAAAATGATAATCGATCGCTCGGAGAAGTTCTTGGGTGAGAAATATTTTTCAAGAAATTGTTTCAATTTCTGTTCATTTAGGGATTTCGATCTTTTGAAAGTGAAAGTGGAAAGTGCTGAAGAAATTGCTCAACGCCGCGTTGATGAGATTTATGAAAAGTTAGAGAAGAGAATCGAAGATTTGGATCGCAGAGCCCTCCAGTGCTGCTCAGCTTCGTCGTCTCCAAAGCCCACTCCTGCATTCAGGCTCAATCACGTGATGCAGCTCGACGAGCCGGTCAGCGTCGTTGCCGAAAAGCTGAACCAGATTGAACAACAGATGGACTTCTTCGACAAGGAGACACAGCGTCTCAAGTCGGATCAAAAAGAGCTCCAGTGTAAGTGGCTTGCGGCCTTTGACCGTGAACGCCTTCTAAAGAGGATCCCCTTAATGACTTGTGAACGGCGGCGGGGTGCCATATGCGCAGCGCTTGTTTGAATGTACTTATCCGCGCGACGACTCTTTTGATGGCTATTGAGTCGCTGCAATAAATTCTTAAGAGTAACTCAAGGTCAATTCTACCCGCCCCCAACTCACAGCATAAATTACGCAGTGTAAATCTAATTGCACTTTCAGCTGGAACCTGGACGTACACAAAACAAGTGGTGGACGACATGCGCAAATTCTGCTACCAGAAGCAAAAGACAAGCATGAACTGGGTCGTCGATCTCAAATCGAACGTCACTGAGCTGGAGGAAACGATCAACGAAGTCTCAAACCAACTGCGTCGGGTGAAGAGACGAGTGGACAAAAAGGCACCTGGGTTATAAATTGGTTATCTCCATAAATTTATTTCCTGAATTGCTTTCAGCAATATTCATCAAAGGGGTCTATATTAATTCAAGTTCTTGGAATCAATTTATAACCACTTGCAAGGGACGCAAAAACCGTCGAAAAAGGAAAACCGGAAAGAAGCCTCGTGAATATGAACTCGTCATCCCTGAACTTTCCCTATCGACAATGAATTAATCTTTAATGAATATCGCGCTGCCCAGAAAAAAAAGACTCAACCAAAAGTTGAAAAGTAACAAATCGCAAAACTAATCCTGTCTAAACAGCTTTCATTATCTTATTGCTACTTACAGGAGAATACTACCTTAGTTCACGAATATTCAAGTTCATGGATCAAACGATTCAATTAAAAAAATTAAAATTTGTGTAAATATTTATCAACGCTTCTACTGTATACTTCTAACATAAATAGCTTGAACCCAAACTGTAATTTCTGCTGCGACTTTTTCACAAAAAACCGGCTGCCTCATCGTTACAGGACTGTATATACATTAAAGCATAAACAGCAAAACAACCAAACATACCCCAATTTTTAACTGTACCTTGACATAAACAACTGTAGTTGACTTGTAAATAATAAAGGAATCAAATGCAAAAATATATGAAATCAACAAGGAAATTCGAGAAATTGAGTTTTATTCACTGAAAATATGGCTGAAACATAGCAGGGTAAGAAGGCTGTGGAACAGAAGGGTAAGAAAGGTAGTAAGTAGGTGGGTAAGCAGGTGGAGCCTGTTGTTCGCTGAAGTTCGTTGGGAAGTGTTCGGCGTATCCCATCGTAGAGTACCACATCTGAATCGGAATTGCTGGCGCAAACATGGATGGCATCTGACAGAATCGTTTCGCGCTCGGGGGTGGAGTCGGAGCCATGGATGAGTAGTAGTCGGATGAGCTGGAAATCGTGGAGTTCAACGCGTGCTCCTCTGGAGTTTCTTCTCTCTTTCGCTTGCTCGGGTTCTCAGTCGTTTCATCGCTGTGGACTTTCTTCATGTGAAGACGAAGGCTTTGAGGATGATAGAATGTCTTGTGGCAGTGATCGCAGGACATCGGAGTCGAGGAGTGAACAAAGCGATGCTTTCGGCGGTCAGTAGCGCTGGCGAAAGTGGAGCTGCATCCTGGTTCAGGGCAAGCGTAGGGTCTTTCGCCGGTGTGCTTCCGTCGATGGATCTTGAGGTTCTCGGCGCGGGCGAAGCTCATCTCGCAGTAGTCGCATTTGAAGGGCTTGTGGCCGGAGTGAATCTTGACGTGGATGGTGAGTTGATACTTCGCCTTGAAGGGAGTCTTTCGTGAGCAACCTGACCAGTAGCAATGAGCAGGATTGGTGGCATTTTCGTTGATGTGGAAAGCAAGATGACTGTCGAGTCCTTCAGTGGTTGCGAAGATCCTATGACATGGGTAGCCGTTGTTTTCCCAAAGGCAAATGATGGGGGTTTCTTGAGACATTTTTACTTTTTGATATGAGAAATGCAAAGCCCGAAGGATTTTATGCTCGAGCTCAGCTGCATCCGCTTAATGACAGAAGCGTGCAACATCATCTGCAAGATTAAACTGATCAAAGACGCTCATTCCGATGGGATCAGTGACGATCATCATCAGAGAGAGAGAGGAAATTAGACACAGGTGAAACAATCAATGTTTGAAGATTTTTTATGAAAAGTTTATTTACAAATGTTTTTTTTTTACAAAAATATGTGTTAGAAAATATAAAGATAAATGCTTTTTTCGATTTTTCAGGCCTTCAGGCTTCGATCGACGTTGGTGACGGAGCTCCAGCGGGAAAGTCGTTGCCCACCCTTAGCAATCTTCCTCTCCTCTTTCTTGCCAGACAATATCTGAAGAATATAATGAGCAATATGGAATCGCAAACGTCAGAAGTGTTTGTTAAAAATAAGTGCCACTAATTTCCGAAAGAACTGATTTTGATTTGATTTGATTTGTTTTGATTAGTAACAGATCAATTTCAGCAAATCTACGCAAACTACAATTTTACCGAGAATTTCTTCCAGTAGTTCTTTGACTACTCCTAAGCTCTGTTGAGCAGTTTCCTGAAGGAATTATTATGTTGTTCTTTGCGGAAGACTAACGTTATAGCTTTGTATGTTTAGATCAATGTCTTCGTGTGTCCAATCTGAAGGCGTGTGCACTTTTTCTTCCTTTAGCTCTTCAGATTTTTATTGATCTAAAGAGAGTTTGAACTAAATAATTTTAATAAAACTTACCTCGTATATCATATTTTCCCAGTTGTACGTTGCGTTTTCTGCATATCCTTGAAGTTTGAAATACGTTGGAGTTTGGAGCGAATGGTAGATTGGCGTTGGCGGATCAGAAAGAGTTATCTGCAGCAAATCTTGTTCGATCTAAAACTGGTTTAAACTTGAGTTCCGAAGAGCCGACTTACGGGATCTCGGAAGGTTCCACTGACTCTCCACTTGTCGAAAAGCGTGCAGCTCGATGTCTGATCAACGACGTACTCGCGGTGCGAAGGAGGACTCGCGATATGGTAAATTTGAGTTTCGTCAATTGACCCCGTCAGTTTCATCTCTGCCATTCTTATGCTCATTCCTCGCTCGTTCACGAGATACAGCAGCTTTCGCAGACAGACGAGGCGATCTTCCGCTCTGATGCGAATGAGTACTGTTCGTGCTGCCTGCTGAAAACGGACCAATGCAAAATGCCGTCCACGCCATGGTGAGTTTCTGTAGAGGTCAAATACGGGAGTATATTCTAGCTTTGTGTTTGCTTCTCGCTCAGTTCGTCCCTAAATTCAATCATAGTCACTCTTATCATTGAAAAAAATCTTTACCTGTATGATTATTTTTCTCCCATCTCGTTTGTTTTGTATTTCTTCAATTTCTTCTGGCTCAGGGATGTCTTCACCAATTTTCACTTGCCATTTTAGCTTGTTATTCTTCTCAGCTTCTTTTGCTTTTCTCAGTCTTGCGCGGAATTCTGTCGTTGCCGAATGAAATTTGACAAAGTGCTCGTCGAGATTGGAAGGGACAATTTCTTTCCTGTTGAGAATTTTGTTGATATGGTGAATTGCTCCGATTTGTAGATTTTCAGCTGGAGGATCGCCGGCGCCAGAACGGGAGCAATCGCTTCTTGGTGGCCTCGGTTTTAGTCTGTCCATTGAAGCTACGTCTGAAGTCGAAGCTTTCACCATTTCTCTTCTCTTCTTTCGATGAAGCTCTGTTATTTCATTCTTGATCGACTTGTCCACAAGCGTCTTTTTTGACTCCTTCACTTGATCCGACACGTATGCTTCTTCGAGCGGTGCTTTTTCCAGCGCAAATTCACGTTTCTTTTGAGTAGTAAGGAGACCGGGAAGGCAGTTGCCGTTCAGCTCGCAGCGAAGCACCTTACGGTCGAAAGTTGAAAACTGAATCGTCATTGTCGCCGAACATGTGACGAATTCTGTTGGATTGAAGGCAACCTCGATTTCTTTATTGCCTTCAATGCTCCCTGAAGCGGGTGTAACTGAAAATACTGGATTCGGCGGCGTAATTTGGCAGGTGTATGTGAAGACATCGCGTGAATCGGATTTGAGAGAAATTGAACGTACAGCAGACTGGCCCAGTGCGACTGAGCCAAAGTTTATCTTTTTTGGGAAGTTGTCGGCATCGATTGTAGGGTAGGCATAAAGTGGAACCAGTAGGTTTTGGCCGACGCAGTGGATTCGGATCGAGTCCTGAAAAAAACATAAAATTCTGATGATTGGCATGGAATTCACCTGGTAGACATTGTCTGAGACAAGATCATCCTTTGTTGGCGTGATAAAATTGACCGTGATCTCCACATGCTTTCCCGGAACTACGCCACCCTCTGGTTTCTCGTACGAGATCTGCCAACGGTTGGTGTTGATTGGTGCGATTATATGGAAGTTCGCTCTTGTGCTCGACGCATTGATAATTTTTACTTTCTTTTTCGTCGGCCCCTTCAATGAAAAATATGATTTTGACTGTCTGTTGAATTAAATCCGTACCTTGTTTAGCAAAAACGACAATTGATGAGGATTGACCCGGAGAATCTCATTTTTCTCCAAGTACGAAAAAATCTGCGTCTCTAATAAATGATGTGGCGGTTTTTGACGGACTTTTTCGCTCTCCTCCTCTTCTCCATATATTTCTTCCAATCTACTCTTTCTAACAAATGCTCGAAAAATGTCTTTTATCGTCAAAATACCTGTATTTGAAGCTGTCCCTGGCTAAACCAGCAGTTGACATTTGGCCGCTAATTTTCTAACTGATCTCTGAAAAAAATCACATGTCTTCAAAAACTAACGTTCTAGAAACATCAACTCTCTAAAAATGCAACCTACCGGTACGGGCTCATTTTAAACTGAAGTTACTCTCATTTTCAATGAAAAAAACATAAGTTTGTTCTAGAGAGAAAATGAGTAACGATTGGACGCGCCTCAATTATAGTTGCATAGCAACGGAATATATTGAAATCATGGAAGAGTTCATCATCACTTGCTTGCTCTGGAGCAAATTTCAGCGAATTTGAGCAAAAAATAGTTGAGTCAAAATGGTCACTGAGTCTTTCTGTTTCTGGGTATTACTCGATTTGGCAAGAATAGGCATTATTTGCTTTATTTTACATTCTTTTTGCGTAATATCTTTCATTGAGTTGGCAATCGTCCTGGAAATAGGGTTCATGGGAATGTGCAGATGCTCCCTACGTAAAAGGGAAATTTCATAAATTTAAATTTAGTAGAAATGTTAAAATTTTCAGCTCTCGCTGCTCTTGTGGCCGCCGTGCCTAGCTACAAGACTTCTGAAATCAAGAGCACAGAGAGAGGAGTCGAGGTTCCCGGTGAAAATGGATGGACAGTGACTTGTCGAATCGAACTCGACAATCCTCCAGCTTTCTCGCTCATCGACGGTGATGATCTTTTCTACACTACTTTTGCCATCGGCCCTGGTGATGCTGTCTACAGAATCAAAAACTGGATTAGCCAATGCGGCGCGAAACCTGTTGCTGAAAAGCTTTTCACTGAGTTTCCCTGGCCTAACGCCATCCAGCCAGTTCCAGAAGCTCTTTACGGCCCTCGATGGTTCTCAGTCTCTTCGGGCTTCTTTCCCAATTCAAAGAACGACGGCTGTGTTGCTGTTTTTAACGCGGACACTTTGGAGATGCACTACATGACGCCTGGTTGCAAGCATCTGCAGGGCGAACATCCAAGCTTCTTCTACCACAAGGTGGAGTGGCACGATATGGACCAGGACGGAGATTTGGATATGCTCACTGCTCGATGCCTCAACGACGGGCCAATTACGCCAATTAATCAGACTCTTCTTTGGTTCGAAAATGACGGTAGCTTTCCCAGCAACATCAAATTATGGAAAGAGCATGAAATTGCTGCTGGTAAGCTTTTCAATAAAAGACAAAAAAAAACTTAAATTAACCAGGTAATAACACCGCGGATGTTTTCTTTGACACGACTTACTTGACCCGACCAGGAACAACTAAGGAGCAGCTTGTCATTGCCGTCTCTGGATTCTACTCTCAACAACTTGAGCTTATTTGGACTGAAGACGCTGACGACGACTGGCTCTACGTCTCTAAGCATCGATCTATCATTGTCGATGATGCTGGCTGGTAAGTACCTTTTATCACTTACACAGGCATAATACAAGCAAAGGTACTTCGAAGTTGAATTCCACGATGTCAACGGCGATGGCAAGAAAGAGATGCTGACGACCACCTGGTCTCGAAGCGACGAAAACGGAGCTCTTTATACCTACTCTCTCAACTCTGCTGACTGGCGAAATCCCGACAGCTGGTTCCGACACGACATCTACACTCGATTCCCTCGATTTTTGAATGCTGGATTTGGATCTCCAGGAGGCTTTGCTACTGGGGCAAGTAATGCTCATATCATCTTGTTACGAAGCAATTTTTAGACGAAAAAGTCTGGCGAAAAACGAGAAACGATCTGGGTTTCTGGCGATGATGACGGGCAGGTCTACCAACACACTCCACTTTCTGATCTTGCTCAAAACTGGAGGTAGACTTTTTCTTTTATCTTTCTGCTGAAATAGTATGTTTCAGATACGAAACCGTTCCTATCTACAAGACCGATGATGATCTCGGCTTCGCAACTCTTACTGGCGCTACAATTGGACAAATTCAAGCCATCGACTACAACAAAGATGGTTCCACTGACATTCTCATTCCAAACTACACTAGAAACGAGATGATTATTTTAGAGCAATGTGGTATCAATTGCGAGATTTAGATTTTATTACTGTGAATAAATCAAAATTAAGTAACAATGTGTTTATTTAGTAAAGACTCTTTGTGAAAATTTATGACCGGAAAACTCGCATGCACAGACTATCAATGGACCATCGTATTCATCTTAAGTCGAGCATTCAAATTTATCTTCCGCTAAATTTTGTGAACAAGATTTTAACAAGAGCTTAATACCTTAATAACTTCTGAGTACAAAAGTCAAAATGAGTTTCTGCTTTTTGTGAGGTACTTTTTTCCGAGTTTAATACTTCTTTCATCGTCATTTTTGAGCGTTTAAGATATTTTTCCGAAAAAAGTCAAAAGTTGAGAATTCTAAAAAGTTTGTTTTTGCCATTTAATTGTTTCTCAAATGTCAAAAAGATACCTTCCCGTTTCAGATGACGTTAAACATGCTAAAAGAGAACGAATTAAATCTGTCATTTAGATAACCATGAGTTTTCTGTTCACTCTAATCATTTAATTAATTTTATTTCCGAAGAATTCGCCGTCTAAGGTTCTTCGTTTAGTGAGGAAACACGTAAATCTTGTAAGTCAATCTGATTCAGGACTTACGGAACTTAATTTAAAAAGAAAACTTCCGGACTAACACAGAATTTTCTTTATGAGGATCTTTCTCAATGAGGTTTCCAAGTGAGTTCGGTATTTCAGAACAATCCAAACGGAAGTATTTTAATCGTAGAATAAAAAGATAACGTAATAACGAGAATTAGTTTTTATTAAAAGATGCAGCTTGCTTCGATTATTATTTCTCATTCAAAATTCGTTTATCGTTTTCATAACTAATACAGAGAGCCAAGTTTATAAGTTCAGAGAAAAGTACTGCTATTTGTATTAATCTTCACAGGTGCAATGATATTCTTACACACTGCCTAAGCAAGATTTTCAAATGGTGAAAATGTGACTTACTATTAACTCTGTAGAGAATCAAAGAGAAGTTTTCCAAGAAACCCAATGATAGTGCCATAAAATATCCGGTAATTTTGAGTATTAAAAATTGTATTGAAAGAAAGGCTTTCAGTTATAGAAATTATCCATCTCTGGATTTTTTTAGTTTTCAGAATAGCAAAACAGTTCAATATTAAAATAATAAGATAAAATTTTTATTTTTTTGGTATCGCGTAATTGGTATCTTTTTATTCGTATTTAGAAGCGATAGCTCATAAATGGTCGGAAAAATATAAATTTTCGATTTTGACAGAAATTTTAATTAGGAGAAAACCACTATATTGAACGTCTTTGTCATCATCGATTATCGAACGATCGAAATATATTCAAGAGCCGAGACAAAGATGGCTCTTCCAGTGTCCACTCTCATCCAACGTCGAGATCCCGCTCATTGGCGGATTACACCGCGCAAATTTTATTTTGAAAGTATAAAAAAGTAATCAAAAAGTTCGAAATAATGAGCGGATACACAAACTCATCGGCTGATTCAAGGCAATTAAACCTGTCAACGTAAAGGATTTTATTAATGACTAGGAATTTGACTAGTTTTAGATCTCAAGCTGCCGTTGATGGTGAAAATGAAGCCTTGTTAGCTCGTGCTCACATCGGAAGGAACACCGAGCCAGGGTGACAGAAATTTACTTTCAATTATTTCAACCCTTTTAGCCCTACTCAAAGAAACAATAATTACGATAACCACGCCACCGACATGGATGCTGATGAGATTCGTCGCGTTCAGCTCTCTTCTGACGCCAACGCGGAAAACAACAATACTACCTAGTGATATAATCTTCTCCAACTCTATAATTGGCCGCAATAATTACTTCTCTTTAGTGTTTTTAATTTTACAACTACCTAGCTCTTTGAACTTCTCAATCCGCCCTTATCGTAAATGTCACGACGACTTTGTGTATAATCTTGTTGTGTACTTCCCGTCAAATCTATTTCCTGATGCTTTCCGAATTTCATTTTTACATTCGGAGAAAACTTATTCCGAAGAACTTTTAGAAATTTGTTCCTTGACAGAATATTCAATCAAGGAACGTTCACGGCCATATTTTATGTTATTCTGCTTTACTGTTAACGCATTCTACGTCTCTAACTATATTAAGATTGCGCTCGAGGTTGGAACTGATAGTCGGACTCGGAATGTACAAGACAAAATTTTGGATGTTTCGTAAACATTGAGTGAATGTATATTGTTGTGATATTCATTCTAACGGAAACGATCGCGTGATCGTCAGGTCGCTGAGACTGTCTATGCGCCACTTGATTCCTGGAATTGGCCACTTCCGGGCTGACGTTTCCGGGAAAACCTTTACGGAACAAGCTATTACGTAACACTCGAGCAGTACTAGAATCTCAAGGGCCAACTCGCAAAATTTTCGACTTGAAGCTTGTTTGGGTGAACTGGGGATCAATTCAGACTTTACGAATCTTTTCGCGTAATGATAAGGAACACCTGGATAATTGGCTCCTAGAGAGCTAGTCAGAACGAGTCGCTCAATAATTTCTAGCTCATTTTGAGTACTAAAAGCTGAGTCGACTCCGGTTTCACGAGTTCAATCGTGTTTTTTGAGCAATTTTTTGAGGAACTTTGCACTTATTTGTGTTCTTCCTTGATTCCACGAGTAATAATTCTAGTTTTGCTGTCATTTTTCCTCGCAAATTTTGTAAGATAAGATGAAATTTGCTACTTTTAGTGATAACAAGGCGGGAGAACTGGAAATTTTGCGTGATAATTTTCAGCGGAAGTTTTTCGATTTTCAAAGCTGCGTGGAAAGTGGTCGGATTGCGGCATCTGCCTAATTAATGCTGCTTTCGGATGTTTAGGGGTCAGGCTCTGGGTTGACTCTGAATTCCGCTTGTGGCTCTTGAGTTGCTCCTTTTTTGAGGGGAAGTTTTGAGCGCTCTTTGATCGCGTTCCACGCCGCTTGGTTGATCGGCTTTGTGATCACCAGGAAAATATTTGAATTTCTCATAATGTATCTGAACCTAAGCTCCACTTTTGCATTTGATCAGTACTTGAGACGATCACATGCGCCGATGATATGTTTTCGATACACAAAAATTGATTCCAGAAGGCATCCACTACCTACAAAACAAGCTACAGTCTAAAATCCACAAGCTAAAGATAGCTTTACTCTGTAGAATTCTTGAAAAAAGTGGATTAAACGACCCCAACGCAGCGGCTTATCCTACAAGGACTCGTTTGCACTATGCCCGGCCAAGATTTGGTCGCCTTCGCCGATTGAAACATTTCCAAAATCAAATCGGTTAGAAGTTTAGCGTGGCTTCGCTAATAGAGAAAACCTGCTCCTAGTTAATTAAAGCTTACCATATGTTAAAATTCTAATTTTGTATCTTTCGTTCATTCAATTTCTTTAGCCCAAAAGTTAGCATTCAGCTAAATTGAATCGTTTATTCGGATAAAAACACACTTTACGCAACCCGTGACTCAGAACTTTTCAAGGCTCTATAAATTACTGTCTATCTAGCAGATTAATATTTTCATAAATTTGCAATGTTTGCTACATCATCTGAGTTTATATTTCTAACTCAGAGCGTCGACTACGTACATCTCGCCTCTAACCGGTCATTGAGTACATACTTCGCTGCAACCAAGAAACTTTTGCGTCGATAATGAAGTTGTAAAAGCTGCAGCCGTCGGTTGATGTGCGGCGTCGCTAATTCTAGGGTTATGATAATTATAGTGAGCGTTCTGCCTTGCGTAAGCGCCACTGGGCTAGAATTGCCCCTTCTGAAGTGCAAGCACCTACTGGGCCTAAATAGGCGCAGACTTGCGGTCTCGCTTTGCAATTTTAAGACTAAATGAATATGTTTAAAGCTGGAAACTGAAAATTCGGTTTGAAAATAAGTCTGCTTTTGGTCATTCAAGATCTGCAGCTAGAACTTCTGATAAAAATAACGAGTTTTTCTTTATTCAACTAACAGCCAGTATTTGAACCTCAAACATAGTCACCATATTCTTCGATACAACATCAATAATACTTGAGTTTCTGGTCCGAAGGACCATCCTAAAGTAGCATTTCAGAAAGAGCAAATTCGAAATCGCCATTGAGTGCTTTTAGATACACCCTCTTTTCATCTAATTTTGAATGAATAATTGTAATTGCAATTGAAGTTCTCAAGGTTACGTAAGGTAAAGTCCTCCAAGTGTGGCTCAAGTAGCAGCAGGCGTCGGCGCTGACGGCGGCGCTGCTCCTTTTTACGTCAGACTGGGTTGAACACGGGGATGAGCCACGCGGTGCGCCCGCGCGCGGCGCAAGAAACTCCTGCTCAGCGCCTTAGCATCGTCCGATCACGTGTTCCATCGAGCCCACATTGCAGGGAAACCCTTTTCCTAGAGCTCATCATTCGCAGAAAAGCCAAGAGCAAAAATATTTTTTATTAATTCAAAAATCGAGAAAAAAAAACTTTAAAAGAGACATAAAAAGAACGAGAAAATAACCTACAGAGCTAAATTTCAAATCGACATGCTGTCGACAGCAGCAAACTCACAGACACCGTCTTTTCTACAAAGACAGCACCAACGACTTCCGAGTTGGAACTCACAACTTCAGGAGGCATTGTCTTCATGCTCCGCTTCGACTGGATCAGTTTCTCCAGGAAGATCAACTTCTCTCACAGGTTCAAGCAGCCCAGACCCATTCAACAGATCCACGTCGCCAGGATCGTCCAGAGACTTTGACAAATGCGGATTGAACTTTCACGATGCCGCTTTGGATGCAGAATTGGCAATGCTCCAGCATGCGTACGCCTCAGAAGCGGTCTCGCAGCTTTTATCTTCGACTCAGACCTCTTCTTCTTCAAGTTCTTCCTCTCCAGAATCTTCTCCTTCGAGAACATCATCACAAGAATCTACCCAGCAAAGCCAACAAAAGCCCCAGTCGCAAGGAGCTGTCACGCAGAATCAAAATCAGAGCGGACAAACCGGAAACCAGCATCAAATGAATACGACTGAGCATGTCATCAGCGGAATGAACTCGACAGGGTTGGCGCAAGGGACGTGGAACTTGATGGATCGTCTCAAATGGGCTCCGAACAAAATAATGCGTCCAGCGGAAGACGCCTGGAAATCTTACCTTGATAATCCCCTGGCCACCGCGGGGCTGATGCAACTGCAAGCTCAGGTAACCAGAGCTCAAGCGTAGATTTTGAGGAGATCCGATCTGCTGACTTCCTGCTCCCCCGAGTCAGGATCTCAGGGATTTGTTTTCATCTATTCCATTACATTTTGTCTTCTTCAAACTCAAATCATTCAAAAGTGTGCCTTTTAGAATGCCTTAAAAGCTACACATGTCTAGCGATTAAAGGAGTAGATCATATTCCAGTAACTAAAATAAATTTAGAACCACCATGACGATTCTGCTCAACATGCTGCCCTTGGCCTCCTCTACGACTACTACAACGGGCCACGTAACGTCCTGCAGCACAACATGCATGCTCACCATGCCCAGAACATGGCCCAACAAAGCCAACAGAAACAACATGTTCCCCAGCAAAATCACAACCTTCCACAAGTCCAAAACAGCCAACAACACCACAATGCTCATCAAGCTCAGCAACAACAAGAACAGCAACTTCGAACTATCAAATCAGAGCCTGTTGATCATATTTTTGGTCAAAATAAGTCGCCAGAAGTTGAAGGTAGCAGTGACTCAGACAACGATGTCAAAGACGGAATCAAAACTGAAGGCCCAAATGCTGGTCTGCCTGAAGACTATCAAGGGTTTGTTGAACACGGTAGACCTAGAATTTTGATGAAAAATTTTTCAGTGAATATTTCGAGTACGCTATGGAAGCACCAAAGAGTCTGAAGCAGAAAGAAGGCGAGCCAACGATGTCTTACATCAATAAAGGTAATTGTGACTTTCCGCGAAATCGCGAAATTTCCCCCGGTTCCGGTTCTTCGATTTCAGTACGGGCGCGCGCGTGTGTTCCCTCTCAGATTCGCGGCGGGCGATCTTAAGATTTGGATTATCTCGCTCAATTATGATTCCAGTTTCGAAAGTGTCAACGCAGGCGTTAGCCAAGCTCTGACATGGAAAAAGCCGCTACATTTCCCATTTCACGCTGTCGTCACATTTACGATGGCGCGGCTTCTTAATTGAGCAGATTTCCGTTCCGCATGATTTTGAGTCCGGATGACCAGTAAAAGGCGAGAAACCGAGGAATAGTGAAGAGCGGATAGAATCCTCTATTGACCGGATATGAAGCAAGCAACGGTTGAATGGGATAGATGGTTAGGCAACGTAATTTTGTAACGGGTCGCAGTGTCATTTACAAAATATTCATTTCGAGTTCTGGAGAGCGCTGGGTAAGTTCCGGAATGATGAAAATCCACGTGCTCCAGGTGAGCGAAGGTCGTCGGAAACATTTCTCCGCGGCGCGCCTTCTGCTGCCCAGCACACTAAGTTGAGCCTTCAAGGGTTCCGGAATGTGTTACCGAGCGCTGCGTGTCATGTGACGTCGTGTGATTTGGGTTGAGCTCTTTCGTAATCGCCTGACACGCCGCTGCAGCAATTTATGTCTGCTCAAGTCCGCTAAATCTATATAAAAAAGAATTACGAATAGTTTAACAGTAAATCATTAATGTAAAGTAGTGATGTAAAGGTGCAATAACCCTCGGAATTTTGGGTTTCGACGGTGCGCCACGACGTCGTGCGAGCACTTGAAATGCTCCAGCAAATGCTCTCCGGGTGTGTTTTCCGAGGGCCGCCGAAAATTACACTTTTCGAAAACGTAAAAATGGTAAAATCACCACTGGAGGGATCAACGCTGACGTAACTGACACGAGTGCAACATCGAAAAGCAGGTTACTGCCTCGAAAACATCAGAAATTCAACATCTGACATTATCACGGCGCGCACTCTGTTTTGAATTGAACATGTCCAAACTCCCAGAGTAGGAAAGAGTATCATGTTCAAGAAGACAAGCTCTTTTTCCGTGCTTTTAATGATATTTGCTTTTTGATAATTCGCCGGGATGATCTTCTAATGCTCCTGCTGGTAAATGTTTATTCTTTGATATAACGGGTTGAATGGAGCTGTTTTATGGCGGCATCTTATTATTGAAGGTGGCGGTGCTATCAGCGGTGGTGAGCAACTGGCCCTTTGCGCCTTATCAGAGACCCTTAATGTTAGTTTACTTTAGCACCCAGCGGTGGTGCTCCAAATGACGTGTTCCTTGATTGCGCCTCCCACATCGGATCAGAAGGCGGCTTAACATTTCCTTCTGGAATTCGCTTACTCCAGCTGAGCGCGTATTTATATGCACAGGATAATATGTTATAATGCCAAATCTTACGTGTCGTAATCCGTCTTGGCGGTGGTGGAGGAGCGCATCTTGTTCAATCCAATCCTGATTATAATTACATGCTTAATTAGCGATACCCTTTACAGGCGATTTCACACTACGGGGTCATGGAAGGTGAGGAGTCCAAATATGCAGGTGGTATCACCTCGTTGTCTCGGGACCATCCAGATGCGAGCAAGTGCGGCGGATCAATAGCGTAAACTGCCCTGCATCGCAGATAAAATCAACATCCGCTACCCCCCTTAGAGAGATAATTTGACGCAAACTGGAATTTTGAATAATATATTTTGAAAATGAAATACAAAAATGTACAAGATTTTTAGTAAGATACAATTAATGTGAGTTTGTACAAATTATAATTCGCAATAAACTGATTTAAACTGGACGATGGGCTCATCTGGGTAGCCTGTAATTGGCGGCAAATTTCTCGGATATTTCTAGGAGATCATTAGAAAAAGAATTTTTTAATAAAATAAGTGACAAAAGTGTCTTTGTACGTTTTTGACAAGTAGAGATTCATTGCAAAATTTCGCCCATTCCATCCGCCCGTTTCATAAGATTGAATCAAAGATTTATCCTTGACAGTAAATAAATATGAACCGGAACAAGCTTTGTGAGAACATTGTAAGACAAAAGTGTCTTTGTACGTTTTTGACAAGTAGAGATTCATTGCAAAATTTCGGGTGTGAGACCCTTCAAATATCCAGAAAATGCTGCTATTTATCCTTTGACCCGCGGTTATAAGATAGACTAGGGGGAGTGAGAGACCTGGTTTGAGTTCTCTGGCCAGTTTTTTGATTTTCTCTTTCACTTCTTCGTAAGTAGGAAAATTAAATTTATGCTTAGCCGCCATATTTTTTGCGAATTACGCTTCCACCGAGGAGATCCGTCCCGATTACGACCTAGATTACCATCACTTCTAACCCCAAGCTACTCTTGAACCGCCGCGCTAGCTCACAGCTGTTATCTCATTTTCAAATCGGTACCTATTTGGACTCCTCACCTTCCATAAACTCCTAAACTACGCCCGACTAATCCCACTTACACGTATTCCTCAACCTCGTTTTTTTTTACTATTTTTTAAAGTTGTACCAAACTAACGATTATTTCTAGCACAATTCTACGCCATCAGCCTTCGAGAAGTTGGGAAGACTGCCTGGAAGTTCCGAAATACAAAGGTGAAGACTGTTGTTTCCGTCATCTTCGGCGATGGAAAGCCAGAAGAAGAACAGCTCCGGCACTGGAAATACTGGCACGGAAGACAGCACACTGCGAAGCAAAGAATCATTGATATCGGTGAGTGCAGCGCCAGGAGGAAGGGGAGATTCCTTTATCAGCAAATTATAAGCATGGTGCGATAAGCATTGAGACGTGTTGGTGATGTTCACCCAACAGGTGTGCTCGAGCGGCTTCTGAATATCAAATTCCTCAAAAACCTAAACTGGGTGTATTTGATAATATAGCGGAATCGTGAGTGCAAATCAAACCAATATGACGTGTCGCGTTTAATATTTTCGAAGCCCTTGAAAAGCTCAAGGAGGGCCCCGCCGGCTCAACCAAATCCGTCCAAGGATAAGGTTTGCGCGCGCCGCCGCAAGACACGCGTAATTATAAAAATACGCCACAGAAAATGAGCACCCCTAGCCACTCACTGACCAAACATTTTCCTCGGCAATCTTGTAATCGATAAAGGCAACAGATAACCAAAAGTAATCCGGACACCGTAGCTTATTATTCAGCTGTTATTTTTTCAATCAACTTTTGGAGGCATGTTTTATCAATCATAGCTTCGTAATTACATTTTCGTTATAAAATTATGCATGAATCCTTACGTTGGTTTATGTAAATTGACCCAAGAGGTCGTCACACTGCGGAAGCGATCAGTTCCATCAGTCGATAACTGATAGTGAGTGGGGGTCCGCCTCGGGTGGTGGCGCGAAATTAGCACCTTGTAACAATTTATTACGCGGTGCCGTAAATATGGCCCAGGAATTTGAAACACGTAGGGCCTTATTCAAGCCGCTTATTATCGGGATCGAAGGATTCAACCCAGATTCATTTGAAAGCCGCAAATTGCGACTTCATCAAAGGCTCACTGGGTTTAACGTGGTTGCATTCGACACGCAAATTTAAGACAGTAGCTATTGAAATTCATAAATATGGTCAACGAGGACTGAGCAGAGGGCCACTTGAAATCATAAGAGAGAGGAGACGAGTCTTGAGTGACTCGAGCCGTGGGGATCATCTCCGATCCAGGAACACGTCGGGTGCCCGATTTAACCCCGCATTTCGTCATGCGAGAGGAAAACAGCTCAAACGGGCTTACCTCGGCAAAGAATCCAAATCTATAACAGTCTCTTTTTAAGATGCTCTTTGAGAAAATAGCCAGAGCACTTTTGACATTCCATATTTCAGCGGACTACAAGGAATCTTCCATGATATCTGATATCAACGAGTTCTCCCACAATGCCATCAGCTTCACTTGGGACGTTAACGATATTGCCAAGATCTTTGTTTCGGTCAACTGCTTGTCGACAGACTTTTCAGCGCAGAAAGGCATCAAGGTAATTTTAATAAATTATAATTGTCATGAAATGGTAAAATTTCACTTATAAAGAGAGTAAATATAGCCTATATAGCCTAAATAATATAGGTGAGTGGATGTGTCTAGAAACTGTGAAGCATAAATTGCTAGATTCAATCCTTGAAATCCTATAAAAATTAAATTCTCTCTATATTTTAGTCCTTTATGGTGTTAAGAGTTGTAATTCTATCTAACAATGATTCTTCAGGGTTTGCCACTTCTGCTTCAAATCGACACCTACACCGACATGCGCCGCAATGCCAAGCCCGCCCATCGAGCCACTGTCCAACTCAAAGTCTTCTGTGACAAAGGCGCTGAGAGAAAGATCAGGGACGAAGAGCGAAAAGCTTTGCGAAAAAAGGGAGGCTCCGGCGCGGCCCCGCCAAAACCGCAGTTCCAGCTTCCCGTTCAGAATCCACTCGGCATCGTCATGCCCGGGCAGCAAGCTAATGTAAGTCGCCAAGTGAATTTTAGAGAACGAGAGTTAAGCTTATTAAAACTCGGTAGATTAGGGAGCAATTTAAAGGATTCTCAAGTTCGCAAAATGACCAGAAATGCTCTTGCTCAGTCAAAATTTTCCTCCTTGATTTCTTTTCTCAATTTCCACTTTTAGATGATGCAACCAAACTCAAAACGAAACGAAATCGTCCTCTTCAAAGCATCTTCTGACTTATCTTCGAGCGTCACATATTTTACACCAGAGGTTCGTAAAAAGTACCGCCGTCAAAACGAAAATATTGTTTGACAGTTTGAAAAGTGTCGCTAAAATAAACGGCACTTACAAAGTTGTGCAAGCCTAACAAATTTTTGTAGATGGCTTCGCGGACCGAAGCAGATTATCTTGCGGCGGGTGAGATTCCACCGATGGATACAGAGGGAAGGAAGAGACTCTGTGATACGGACGGAAATGAAATTCCACAAAAGGTAAATACCATAAATCCGATATAAGAACAAGCTTTATATATATTTCTCGATCGGAAATAAGTGAATTACGCCTTCAATAGCCAAACTGACTAAATTGCTAGCTAGCTTCATATGAATATTTAGATACCGAGACATGATCCAAACACAGTACTTCTTTACGTCAAATCTCCTGAAGCCGAGTGTTTCGACGCTCTCATGCTCTCCCAATCCAACTTGACCGGATTAACCGAAGCGGTTTGATCAAAAACGCTAAATCAAATTATCAGAAAATAACACTTCCATTGTAGATCGTTGCGAAGTACAAAATCAAGGCTGAAAAGATTTCACGAATCTACAAGAAGTCGAAGAAGGGCGTGCTGGTCAACATGGACGATATCATCATCAGACATTACTCAAATGAGGACACTTTCATCATCACTTTTGAAGAAAAAGCGGGAAAGACTAAAATAGTACTCACTGAAGTTTGAAAATATCATCCACTGTAACAATAATTGACCATTCACTGTAAAAATGCATTTTTTCTTCAAACACGATGCTTGTAAAATGAACTGTACCAAAAATTGATTTGTAGAGAATAAAATGATTTTAATCTCTGAAGATAATTTATTTATTATTGAAGAAGGCAGCATGGTGGCATATTTTTATAAATAGAAGTTACAGTAGCTAATTATTCGTCTTCATCAGCAACAAGCAAGGAATACTCCTCGGTTGCCCAGCGAGCCCAGTTCCAGTCTTGATTTCCGTCAAAAGGCTCACGCTGCTCTCTAAAAAGGGTTCGTTTACGCATTGTGATTGAATAAAGAATGATAAGTACCTGTCGAGATATTTTTCAGCGTTGAGGAATGTATCAAAGAAGATATGCTGAAGACGACATTGCTTGAGATCGCGGAGGGCTATGATGTGTTTCGTCTCTGGTTTGACCAAATCCAGCATCAGGCAGAGTAAATCAATGAACGGTAAGGGTTCTACTCCAAGAGTCCGCAGTCGAGTTTCCTGAAGAATGAAGTAGAAAAGACTGTTAAGGCTCGGACAAACCTGTTCAGCATAGAAAAACTCCAAATCGTCGATCGTTATTGCACCATCCCCGTCTCTATCCATCACGCGGAACCAATACTCCGACGATGTTGACGTACTTTTATCCTCTTCTGACATTATAAACCTAAAGGAATTTCATAAATCAACATCATAGCGCTATTTTTAATCTAGATTACCATACAAATTCCGAATATTCCATTACACGCCGTTTAGTCGTCACTGTGCCGGATAAAATTCGGTCGATTGCTTTTACAGAAATACTTAAAAAAAAGCAATTAGGGAATATCAAAATAATGAAACACTACCTATAATCACCATATTTTGACAAATCCGTAGGCCCGATTTTGAGATCATGATCGGAGTCAAGCTCCCAGAAGCGGCAATAAATGACATAGAAGTGCTCATAGCTGAAGAATCGCTGCTCATTGTTGATATCATCCAGCGCATCCAATGAGTTCAGGACTTGTGCAAACTCGGATTTCCGAAGCCCCGGAAGAGTGAGTTTTTTGTTCCAGGCGGAGGCAGTATAGAATAAGCGAGCAATGACAGTAGTAACGTATCTTAAGAGAAAGTGTTGCGAAAGGTTACTTTAGTAAAGCGACGTAAGATGTAAACAACACGCTAACGAGATAAGCCTCAAAGTTAAGGTGAGGCTTTTCGCGCAAGTTTGAGTGAGGGTTGAAAGGAATTTTTCGTCGCTCATGAAAAACAATTTTGTCTGACAACAAATCAGAGTGAAATCAAGGAAGACCACCTAAATGGGTCGTTACTTACCTAGTGTGAAACTCTGGGGCACTCCTGAGGAATTCAAGTCCAGGATGCGTTTCAATGACGTCCGTTATGAGAGGAGTTAAGTCGCTAGGAATTAAATAATTGCGCGTCATCCCATTCGTGAGTAGGGCCATGAGCTGGCTCTCTGAATCGAAGCGCGTCTCGCATATTTTTTTCCAAGTCGAACCAAGTTGAAAAATGGATATTTTCCCGCCACTCTTTCCTCCACACGCGCGGAATAATGGATCCTTCCAGTAATACGGAAGTTTCATTTCTTTTACCAGCGGGCCCATGTCTTTCATGAAAAACTCTTGCTTCCTATTTTTCTTTGCGTATTCGTCGATAGCTTGAAGATATCCGCTCATTTCTCCGGCTGGACGGGGCTTTCCAAATGGGAAATGGAATTTATCAACAGGTGGAAATTTCTTCGGAAGAGGTCGTTGCTGAGGCTTCGTTGGTGCAGGTATGGAAGGTGCCGATTTTGCTACAGGTTTAGATTCCTGTGCCGGTGGTGTGAATGAAGGATTCAACAACCTGTTGAGATCTTTCTCGACCGTCGATTTCGGCTCTTGACGGGTGATTGCTTGCGGTCGTTTTTTAGGGGCTTCAACTTGCGCTACTGGAGTAACTCCTGGTTTTGGCTGGCTTTTCGCTTGCTCGTCTTCCGCAACTTTTTTCATCATTTGCGCCATGATATTCGCAGTTTTTCTTTCTGGAGATTCTTGCCATGCTTTGACCGACTGTGCAGAGTTTTCTACCGAACCCAAATTTTCTGCGAACTCGACTTTTTTGGGCGACACTGGCTCTGGTGCGAAAGAAGCAGGTAAGATATCTTTCTTTTGTTGTTCGACCGGTTTCAGCTTTTCCACTGGTGCTTCCTTTTGAGGTGGTGGAGACTTCGAAGAAACTGGCTCTGGCGAATTCACTGGTGAAATTTTAACGGCAGCTGTCTTGGGAGCTTCGGATGTCGGTTTTGTTGGCTCTTGAGGGGTTGATTTGATCTTATTCTGCAATTTGTTCTTCAACTGGCTCAGTCTTGATGATCCGCCAATAAATGAGGTTTTATCTTGCTTCGATGGTGCTGTTTGAGTGCTCGTTTTAGTTGTTCCAACAGAGCTACGAATTATCTTTGGTGCTGAAATTGCATTTTGAGCCGATTGGGACGGAGGTGAAGTGCGTTTTAATTCAGGAGATGTCGTTCGCTTCGTTAATTGATCTTCTTGGGGAGTAGGACTTTTCTGAAGAGCTGCTGACTTCAAAGATGGCGGAGGAGATTGGACTGCAGACGGTTTTTGCTGGAACTTTTGAGAAGATTGCTGTTGAATTGATGAAGGGATGAATTTTGACTTGACTGTTGGCACTTGAATTGTGATTGGATTTGGCTCTTTCAGTGCTTTATTGCGTTGATCTTCGAGTTTAAACTTATCAATTTCTTGATGCGCCTTTCACGGTTCAGCAAAGTTTCGATTTATATTTATCAAGAAATGAGAAATCAAAATGAACGTAAATTATTTTAATTTCATATAAATGTCCTTAGTAGTTAGAACCTTCCTGAATCGTTATGTTATCCAAGTCATCTAAAAGTGCTCGCATCGTCGGGCGATCTGGACAATCAAGCGAAACCTTCGGAGCTTTAATTGATGGTCCGGTAGGAGCCAAAACTTTTTGCACTGGACTTTTTCTGGGCTCAGGAGAGGATGTATTCGTCGTGGTTTCTGCTGGCGGCGGTGATATGTTCTTCATGGCAAGAGCCAAGAAAGGGTCCAAAGTTCTATCTGTCGACGGCGATTTAGGAGGAATTGGCGATTTTGGCGGGGGCTGAGCCCATGGCCGCAAATCTTCCACACCAAGTTCGTGCATCGATGTTTTTGTGAGACTTCTTCTACGCTTGACTCTCTCTTGCTGGTGTGATGCGAGGCTGTTTCCTTAGGAGAAATATAGTACGGAGAAATATTAATTAATCTTCAATTACCAGACATATTTGGAATATAAACAGACGTTCTCATCTTAACTGCTCTTTCTGATGGCTCCTGAATAAGTTTGAGTTCAGCGAACGTTTCATTTTTACAAAAAGAGAAATTCAAGCCACACATAGATCGCAAAATACAAAGGTATAAACAGGAAACTAGTAAGATCTCACGAAAGGAAACTGTTAATTGAAAGTTTTTTTCAAAATCGCATGCATTTATATTAGAATCTCTGCAAAATCGTTTTACCTGAGATAAGCTACGTTGAACTGGGGAATGATTTGGCTTAAGTTTTGTGATGAATAATTATGAAACAATTTTAGAATCAATAAGAATGTACATCGAAGATATTTGAGATTCAAATATAAACTTACATTATTATGATTTTCTAAAGGAACGGATCTGCTTTCGCCTACATCTCTGTGTCCAATATTCCTGCTTTTCTCCAAATAATGAAGACTCTCTGCAGCTTGAGCGAGCCAAGAATGAGTCTGACCGTGAACTCTTGGCGCCTTGCGCAAATTATTCGCTCCTTTGACTCCGGGAGATGTTGGACTGCTTTCAAAAAGGTTCATTTTGAGGCTTACTCTTCGTTGATTTCAATCATCAAAAATAATATAAAAGAACCTTGGCTTGAGTTATCATTGGTGGGGACCATCTGGTTCAAATGCGCAGTGATGATATTTCGCGCGGTCGACCGGTCGAGGAGCCCCTTCTGGCCCGGTGGGGAAATCCTCTTGGAAATTGTACGCTGCTCGGGCGGAATAAAGCTATTTAGGGCAGAATTTGAGCTAAAAGCCTTTGTCGTGCGTGAGCTGCTCGGTGACGATGATAACGACGGCGACGGTGACGTTGAATTACGCTCTCCTGAATCGTAGGAATTAAATTTCCGGAATCATTACTCATTCATTCAAAGCTTACCTGTTTGTGGTGATTTATTATTAACAACAGTGATGCTGAACTCTGGACGACCATTTCCGTTCAAATCATTTGAGTTCTGATTGATAGTCTGGACAAATGGGCGATTTCCATTCAATGTGCGCATTTGAGCATTTACAGGCGACTTTTGCTGATTATACATCGTTGTATTGGACGATTGACTTTGGTAGGACTGCGTTGAATAGTTTGATTCATTACTTGTGGATCTTCTCAAGGACTTTGGAGAGCCAAGCTCGATGGCGGAACCGGATGGCACGACGATTCGGAGAGGATCTCCTACGCGCACAGGCGTGCGCCTAAATTTTTAATTTAAATGAGAGCTCATTTACTGTTTTTCTTTTACTGACGACTCATACCTGGCAGTTTGAGGAGACGTAATAACGAATGGTTTGCTCGGATCTGGTGGATTACTTTCTCTGGCTTGGCGACATATCTATCTCTAACTATCTCCGTAAAATTTGTTCGTTTGCGGCCCACGCGTAAACTTAATCCTTTCTATTATCCGTGTAAGTGTTTGGAGCTCGAGGAGATCGAACTTGAGCATTGTGAAAGAAAAAAAAAACTTTTGAGAAACTCGGCCACAGCCATTCACTCAGTCTAATGGATGACACTCAATAGAATCCTGACGTCACATGCTCCATTATTTGATGGATCAGGTCAGGTAAGGGGGGATAAGTGTGAGTTTCAGATGGATTTTGTTGTCACAAGACTCAGAGAATTTAGAATTACGAGCTGTTTTTTGTTGGATTAACCAGAGGGCTTATTTATGACGTTCTGAAAAATCATTTATGGTAGTAAAATGTCGAGTGTAATATTCCTATAATTTTTACTGCTTCAATAAAGATTTCAAAGCCTATCCTTGATTCAGTTGAGTTCCTAGGACTGGCCACATTTGATCCGTCAGTTAGGGGGAAGCAGAATCCATGATATGGCTGTTGTTTATAATCGGAGACACTTTAAGAACAGTGTTATAATGTGTTAGACACAGGGTGGCCTACTTGGTGACAGTGGATTTATAGCTAGGTATTCTGATAACGACTTCTTTTGCTTTTGGATTAGCTGTTGCACTCATCGGATTAGCCGGCAGCAGGTCCCAATCTTAATAAAATGTAAACCACAACAACCAGCGCCTCGAGGAGACCTAAATCTAAACCATTTTCTTTGATTTTTCTCTGACATTTAATTCGCCTGTATGTTGTCATTTCAAAAATTTTGAAGAGGGATTTTTTGGAAAAAATCAGCGAAAGTCGCGAGAGGTCAAATTATATCATGCTGGCAAGGTCTTTCTCAAGCTCAGCAGGGAGCTCACCAGATCTCTCTCTTTCTCGACGAGGCACGAGCAAATTGCCCCGCAAGCGAGCTGCTACACTGAGTTCAGGCTACTCCAGATTACAATGAAAATCACTCTTGAGCAGAGGCTTTAGTAGCAAAAAATTCCCACAGCTTATTTTACGGCTTTTTTTCGAGAAACATTAATATCATTTTATGCTGCAAATTAAAATTTCTTCTACTAATCATCCAATGATAAATATCCTTATCGGCAAACGAGAGATTTCATCAAGTAATATTATAATTAATTCAAGAAAAAAAACGTACCTGGGGGACTACTTCGCACGGGCCTGGAAAAGGGGGGTTCTCACTATCCGATAACTTTACGAACTGCGGAGATGAGAACAAAATTACACAAGATATAATGAATTCGACGAAGATATAGTTACTCTTGCGTATCCAATTGGAACGAGTTATACGAAACATATAGAGATAAACCGCTATTCGGCACCGTAATTAGCAAAAGAACTCTGCGGAGAATTATATTAATTTTCAAAGCAGTAAAATGTCTCGATATTTAATTTTGTGTTTCTACAATTTGCGCTCATTTACAAGTCCATTTACTCAAATCGAACATCAGAAATAATACCTTGATGGATTGTAAGCTGATAATACGGCAGGCCATTACTGTGTATCATCCCTTTTTCGAGTAAAAATTTCAAATCAACCGCTCGGTGCCAAAATCTCTGCTGCCTAGTGAGTCAAATTGAAAGTATTGAATAGCACGAAATTGAGCTAAATTTGGCGCTCAATTAAATTTGTCATCCTCTGAGCGCATTCAATGTCAGTCTTTCTGCCTAGCTTTCGAAGGTTGCATTCGTCTCTGATTGCAAATTCGAAGAAATAAGAAAATGAAATGAGAAAGGATTCGGAGCAATCATCGATCGCCACTACCTTGTCGGGATTAGAAGCTTTTCTATCTTCTCATCCAATATTCCTAACGCAAGGGCACTCAATCTCGCTGTATAAAACGTTTCCTTGGTCAATGAGAGGCAAATGAGTTTTAGATCTAAAACTCAGTGTCAATTACAGTCCGCAAATTGCCGATACAAATGAGCACTATCGACTTTGACCTCGAACAGCCCTCAAACTCAAAATTGACTGGAGCTCATTAAAACTGAATAAGAACAGTTTTAGAGATGACTTGTGGTGAAGGGATTCTTCTACAAAAGAAGGGACTTTTTATTTATTTTAAAATCATAGAAGAAATAGTCTTTCAATTCACCTTTTTCAACTTCTTATTCTTCAAATCTCTTGATACAAGTTTTCTTTCGACTTTCTCTCTACTTTTGAATATTTCTCAAATTTCGGGCGCGGCGCGGCTCGATCGCGAAAAGGTTGAAATGACTCTTCTTAGCAGAAGCAGCTGACCATGGCCCCCTAGATGCATCTTCCTCTCTCTCTATTCATTTGACACGTTTTCGATAATGACAAGGGACCAGATCAAGCCGCCTCGATCACAAGCTAATCCCAATTTCAAAAACTCATAATTGCATCCTTCCCGGACAAATTATATGACGCTTTCTTTAAATTATAAAATATTCTTCTTTTTGACATTTCTATATTTTCTATCTTTGTGTTTGGTCTGCTTGCTATCAGTATTAATGAAAGTAAAGGTGTTTTCTATCATTTCAATATCTAAGAATACTAGTAGACTAGCTAGTTTATGTAGTTTTATAGAACAAAAATAGTACTTTTTTGTTTTCTTAAATCATATATTATCCACGAAATATGTCAAGTGAATGGGTAATTACAGTAACAAGGAAATATACAGACGTGACGAATAATTCAGCATATCCGAATTAGTTCACGGAAGTTGAACTTGTTGTACTTTGAGGAAGTGGGGGGAGAGTTCGCAGGAAACGCATGTATGTATCGGTCTGCATGAGTTTGAAGACGTGTTCTTGTGCCTTGACCAGACAGAGCGCATCGGGTGGAGAGGCTTCGAGGCCTGAAATGGCGAGGCGCTTCGTCTCGGAGTCGATGTTGATTTCTTGTTCAGCGCCGCTCTGAAGAAAGTTTTAATACTTGAAAGAATTTGCAAAGAATAAATATAATTATTTTCTTATCGCAATTGTTAAAGACTTTAATCGTTTGGAAAACTTACCAAGATAAACTGCTCAAGGATTTGAGTCGCTTTTTCATCTCGGAGTTCTTCGAAGTTCTTGTATTCTTCGCAAGCGAGCCAAAAGCACAAATTCTCTTCGGAGTGTTCTTTGGCCAAGAATTCTCTGAAGGCTGAAAGGCTTGCTTCGCAGGCGATCGTATCAGCAAGGCCCAATCGAATGGCGCAAAGGTCGCTTTCGACAAGTCGGTCGAGGGCGGAAGTTCCGTTGATAGGCAACTGCCCCAAGTTGGCCTCAGATTCCAGTCGGCGGGCTTTTCGTTCTCTGTGCTTCTTGAGGAGCTTTGCACTGACCCAAGTGGCGGCGAAGTTAACTTTTTCTGGAAGAGATTTTCTCTCGCCGCTGAGGGCCCCTTCGCCGGAGTCGCCAGAGGTGTTCATCTGGTCGAGGTTGGAGCTGCTCGCGTGCTTGGAAAGAAAACGATGGTCTGCTTGGAGCTGGGATTTTCTGGATTGGCCCTTTGCCCCTGCGAGATTTGATGACGATGAGGACGACTTCAAGGTGAAGTATTCGTCCTCTTGTTGCTCGTCAAATGACTTTCCTTGCTCTTGAAAGGGCGAGAAGCGGGGAATCTCTAATGCATTCGTAGTGGAGTTTCTTCGTCGGTTTCTGATGGTTTCTCGAGCGCCGGAAACAAGCTTGACGAAGGCAAGGTCGATTCTAGCAGGGCCAAAGGATTTTCTTCGGTTTTTTGTCGATCCGCCTCTGAAAGAAAAAATGAATAAAATTAGCGAAAAAGATTAGCTTGACTTTGCCCTGTCGCGTTATAAATAAATAATTCTAAGGTACTACCCAGGTCCCCGTTTTTCTCCGCTACGCAGTCTTCATCAATGATTGACAAATAAGGGCAAAAGCTTTTTTCGCACACGCTGTTATGACTTGTAGCTGTGACAATAGGAAGTCAATGGAAAAAAACGTGCTGATTTCCTGTCATTGAATTTCTTGGCTCGATTTTTTAAGAAAAACAGCCGCAAAAGGCATACCTTTTATTCTTCTTATAAATGGGCTAATTCTCAGTATTTGGACTGCTCTGAGAAAAATGGAATGGGAAAAGGATTTTGCTACGGAGCGGGATATCAAACAGGTAATTGATCAGCAATGAGCTGGATCATCCTCGTCAAATAAAATATATGGCCTCTATCTACTCTTACAGGCTCATGAATATGGATAGAAAATGAATAACTATGGGACTGGGCTTACCGTGGCAAGGAGTCGGCGGCAACGTCGTATGCATTCATGTCAGCTTCGCTTCTGCACCTTGACGGGGTTCTCTAAACGTATTTTGTCAAAATCTGTCGCTCTGCTCTATCTTGAGCCATATTTCGTATGTACAAAATTGAGCACGCATCGAGAGAAAAGATATATACAATTGGGTTCAATTCCCATACGCTCTCTTGACTCTAACGATTTTACTCCGGTCGTGCAAATAAGAACACTAAAACGCGAAAAACGCCGAAATCGTCTAATTTTGTAGAGCGAAATGGATCGAATTAAAGTTCTTTAATCTACTAGATAGTTTTGCTTTTGGACTTACATCATTTGTCTCGACTTGGCTGCGTCGGGCGAGGTCGATTTGTCTGCTGATTGAGCACTTCCACATAGCGGCTAATTCAGCACTGTCAGCCTTGAAGGTGTACTTTCGTGGTCCGAAGCCCTGTTCTTCGTCGATTGAGATTTTCCATGTCAAATCTGGTGTTCCATCTGGGCCAAAAGCTTCGTAGTCCAAGGTCACTTGGCGAAGACGAATGGGCTCCTCGATGATTACATAACGCTTCTCCATGGAGTCGTACTCGGTGATGATCATCATGTCTGTGAGAAGGATGATCCACACTCGCTGAGGTTGAGCCACGCCTAAATCGGACATTAGATAAGAAGGAATTAAAATGATCGCTGCCAGATCACTGTATTTTATCGAGAAAAAAAATGAAGGTGATATAATCAAATTTTTACCTGAAATAGTAGCGAAAACAGCTCCGGAGTAGACAAAATCGCGTCCATCAGCGAGCAAACGAAGGGGTTTCAGACATTCGTCGAATTTAAGCAAATTGTTCATGCCACCAAGTCGTCCCTGGCGTGGACTCTCCTCCATGATTTCGGGCTTTGGAGGAGCCGAAGCCTCTCCTGCATCGTCCAGGATCTCTTCTTCGTCGTCAGAAAAATTGAACTTTTGAATTTTTCGAGGGGACTGAGTCTCTTGTGCCCGCTGTTTGGAGAACTTGGAAGAGCCGTTGTTGAGGATTTCTCTCTCGACCTCCAAGTGAAGATCGCTGACAGTTCTCAGGATCGCTTCTGATACTCTCGCGGCGTTTTGTTCGGCGACAGACTGTCCGTTTACGGATAGAATGCTGTCTCCGCTCTTTACTCCAACTTGAGCTGCGACGCAATCTTAATAAAAATAGTGAATATATTATTCTCGGCGTAAAAACAAGAGGAGCAGCTTTAGGTTTGGCACTAAGGCAGCCATAGTTGTCAGCAATGGCGCTAATAATCGATCCCTTGGGTGAATTTGTGAAACCAAGGTTGAATGAATTATGAGTCAAAGGTCGCTATTTGGGTGCAGTTCGAATCTCATTGCTTTACAAACTAATTTCATCTGTTCAAATCTTACCTTCAAAGACGGTTTCTACTTTAGCCGGGCATTCACCAACGAGGGTAAAGCCAAAACCGCACCATCCTCTTCGAATCGTGAGCTCTTTGATTTCAACCTGAAACAATGGGTTAGTGGCTTTCTCTTCACAACTTCTCGACACCTCTCTGGGCTACTTGAACATTAATAATTGCGTGCTCTAGTGCTATAATTAAGTCCACGCGCGGGTACATTATTTTTACCGCGTACAATATAATCGCTCCCCAGAAGAGGGAGAAGGGGAGCGCAAGTAATTAAACTTGGGATCCTCTTCGATTTTGTTCTCACTTTTTTAATTCAGCGAAAAAAATGCTTCTCGGTTAAAAGCTGTGCATTTTAGACATTTTAAGAAACTGGACAAAGTCACGATGTACTCAATAATGCATATGCCATAAATAAAAGCGATGGGAAATTACCTGCTCGGCTTGAACTGAGATGTCCTGTCCGTGAAGCGAGAATCCTTCTTCGAAAAGAGGGCTTGGAACTCGTCGCGGGCTCTTCGGTGTCGAGCAAAGTGGAAGTGGGATCATGTGGTTGTCGCGCCATCGAACTCGTCGGTCACCATTGATGTCTCCGGCTACGATTGACGAGAAAGCGGAGCTGGAAGAGGTAGAATTCGACCAGTCGCAGACGGATTGGACGGGCTTTCGAATCGCCATCTTTTGAGCAACGTGTCCTGATGGGTAAATATCCGGTGTCTTGGATACTGCGAGATGTTTTCTGCGGCCGAGATTCTCAGAGAGGAGATAATACCAGCCCTAAAACAGAAAATTTAAATCATGGACGAGAGCCCTTTTTATTTTCCACAAGTTCACATTCTGCTGAACTGGATAAGCTCTGATTAAAAACCGAACGAACTATACCTTAATGATGGATTGCTCCTGGATGATCTTGCGTGCGCCGAAAGACATGCATCCGACGAACTTGGGCTCGGCATCGCCTTTTTTCTGGAGATAAACTCGAATGAAGAGCTTTGTTCCAGACTGTAGTCGCTCGTTGATATCGCTAAATTCACTCATTTTATATTTGCTTCAAGTTTTCAATAAAAAATGGCGAGTTTATTTCCTATTTGGAAAACTTACAATGTAAATGTTTTGTTAATGTTGCTGGCATTTGGTTTGATGGGCTCTGAGACTTGGCCCATTTCAGGATGTGGACTGGGAAGAAGGTGAGCTTCGAGGACCATCGTCGTGCCTGGAAACTTGGACTGGATTGATCGGGCTTCCAAGACAGTGACCGCCAATCGGTTCTCAGACCCGCAGACAACCAACTTGAGCTGACCTAAATAAAACGCTTTGAGGCAATGTGGGACACTCAGAGCATGTTTTTCGCTGCATGAAATTTGCGGAAAATTAGAATAAAAAAGCGCCCGCCAGGCTGTTCAGAGGCGCTCGGAAATTCACGATTTTCAGCTTTTAGCACAGCTGAGTGCCTTCTGATAATATTTTGAATTCTCGATTCAAGAAACGCGCAAAATGGGTTTAGGAGGTTTTAATTGTTCATAGACTCATTGAGTAGTTGACGAAAATTTTAGAATTCTATCTGGGCTCCTGATAAGAAGATTTCAAAACCACCAGGTGGAAAAAAGTGTAAGTCTTTGTGTCCATTATGATCGTAGACTAGGCTAAGCCTTCTTTATAAGAAGCTCTAGATCTGGTGCTCTGATGAAGATAAGCGCGCTCGGGTGAACACGGCGGGAGGCGGCTCACCAAAGCCTCTGCGGGTTAATCGATAGTAAGGATTTGACTTTCTCCCCAACCGTGGCCTTTCAAGATCTCTTGCAAGGCGACCCACTTCCCGTTGATCTCAAGGGCGTCCCTCTGAGATTCATAAAAAATCCATAAAAGAACCGATTTGCATCCCGTTAAGATTGAACTGTCTCCTTACCTCTGTTAAAGATGAGCTTGTTTGGCTGGTCATCGGTGTAGGACTTGTAGAGTGTCTCGGAGACACTGGGCTGAAGTCTCTTTGTTCGGACGACAGAAGCTGATCGGAGAATTGGTCGACTGGGCTGGACGCAGATGGCTTCTTGCGATTCCAATTCAGCATGTGATCTCTTTAGTTTTCGGATAGTCGCAGTTTTGCAAACTGGGGCAAGCATAGTCATTTTGTTTCTTTTCGTCTTGACTTTACAGTTTCATATCTCTTTGCTCGATAAAAATCTCAAATTTTTCCAACTGGGTGGGTAGAAATTTTGCGCCTCTGTGCTTTCTCGAGGTTATTCGGTACCCTGAATGGAAGCCCTGAAGCTTTCTCCGTCTGCTTCAGCGTCGAGGGCGCGCTTAGAGTGTTGGACAGGCGCTGGTGAGCTAGGTCGAGTGTTCGCGGCGTTTGGCGCGGAGTTTGAACAGCGAGCGGTGGCGCGCGCTGTCCGAGGCCGGCCCAGCTGGCCGCGATAAAGCAAGTACTTTGCGGCAATTACACACTTGCCACGGTTTATTGACAATTTGTGGGGCATTCTGTGGATTGAACTGTGGACAAAACCATCAACGGAATTACTAACATTTGACAGAATGGAGACTTCCGGAAGGACAATATCCAAATCAGTTACGCGTCTTTTCCGGGGCAGGAATAATATTTGGAGAAACTTGGAAATGTCAGGCATATTTATTGCAGCTTGGTCGAAGGGTTGCTCAGGTGAGCATGGAAGGATCCGGTGATTTATGACTCTTTACTCAGGAGATTGCCAATACGATATCGGAACTATTAGCCAATTGCAGTGTAACAGTATAATCGCTAATATCTTCATTAAAAAAAACTAAACAGTATCTTTTTAAGTCATTTTTATGGTGCTTTGACAATCGTTTCTTTCAGAGGAATATTTTACGGAAAAGAAAAAAGAGTTTCGTTTTAAATTTATTAATTGCAAAAATCTATTTCAGGCAGGTTTGCAATTCGGTCTATCTACAGTGATTAATGAAGATAAATGAATAAGAGCATCGTTGTGTGTGCAATATTTTTAATTCATTTCAATTGTTAAATGTTTGGCGACGGCGAATGGAGGGACCATCTTTCAGCAGGATTGCGCGTTCGACGACTTCTTTTGTTCATATAATATTCATATAAATATGTCTAAAGCATGTTAACATCTGAGCAAAAGATAATATTTATTTCCTACCCAGATCCGTATGACGGCGAATACGCTGATGCAGATTAGGAGGAATAAAGCCGGCAGCATCCTGAAATTCAAATTTAGCTCTCTTCAAATTTTGTTATTTGACGAAAGGGTTCAAAGTGGCTCCATATGGGAAATATAGGTTATCAAAAGGTACTTACCAAAAGCCATTGGCTTGATAAAAGCCGGGCTGCATGTCCGAGTGTCTGATATACAATCCCTCTGTGCTCGTCATTCTGTTTTTCTCGATATTTTTTTATGAGATTCGTGTGTTTTCAGTAATCCGTTGAAGCTCAGAAGAGGATCAGTCGCAGATTTATTCACCTTTTTCGCCCCTAAAACGGACAAACTTAATTTTAGCAATTACTCGATGGGACAGTATATGGCCCGCCAGATTACATCCCCATTTTATTTTACAGTATCAACTTGTGGCCTAATTGCTCTTTAAAAATCGCCCTCTGAAAATTTTGACCATATGAAATTGTTTCATAACCTATCGAATTCTCCACAGTAGTTGGGAATGTTCCCAAGTTGCCCAAAGGTAAGGCTTATAATTTGCTAGGCGCGACTGCTAGTTACTCCAAGCTGGATAAGCCATACTAGATTATAAAGTGATGAAGTCATTTAATTTTACTTTAAAAAAGTTCATTTTTTAGCTTCGAAGTTCGATTTTTTCTATTTTCGGAAGCTGAAAATACCCGGAAATAGAGCCGTAAAGTTCGAAACAAAGGAAATCGGCGAAGTAGGTCAGCGCGAAAAGTTGCAAATCCCTATAAAAAGTTCGCTCCGAAATCGAACCAGCTATATTTTGACCCCAAGGCCGAAGATCATGGTTATAATCCGGTCGAACTACTGCAAATGAATTGTCAACTTGCTTGTTTTCAAATTCGAAAAGCCGCAAAATAAAGCCGCAGCCAGTGCCCTGATTAAAAAAATCTTTCTTACTGTATGCGAGACCGATCAAAATTTAAATCACCACTCACCTCTTGTTGTAGTATTCTCCTACTAGAGATTTATTAATAATTTCAGTCGAGGAAGATTCTCGTAGGAAAAGATTTCTCTATCGCGATTCTAATTGACGTTGAAGTGTTTTGCCCTGGAGCGCATGCAGCAGTGGCTCTTTGTCTTCTTCTGCGAATTCTGCCCCCGGGCGTGTATCTTCACTTTTTTACTCTTCTCGAGATTCGTCCTTTCGCGATAATTTTTTTGGGGCGACAGGGGAACGCGCCGCGGGCTCTTCAAGGAGAACGAGCCTCTGGAGAGTTGCTCCCCGAGCTCTTCATCCCTTCAAGGCAGCCATAATCGACCCGCGTAAATCCCCGCTCCTCTTCAACAGAATTATTTTCCGCGCGCCGCGTCTTTTTTTACTGGTGATAAAAGAGCCCACCGCTCAGGATTACTGTATCCCTCTTCAAATGGTTTTGAACTTTTTTTCTCTTCAAAGATTTTATGAGCACGGTTAAAATCGAACTTCTTCTGTCCGCGAATATTGATTTGCCAAATTTTATTAAAAGCTTTTAACAGACTTTCGTCTAAAATATTCAGGATAACTACATGATTTTCCTGAAAAGAGCAATTTCGATGCCTCATTCGGCGAATTAAGGGTATCCCCATCCAATTTGAAAAATAACGATATAGAGAAGGAAACCCTTAAAACTTTTTGATGCATATTTATGGCGATATATGAATCATATAATATGATATCATATAATATGATATTTTCCGATGAATCCTTTTTTCGGGAATCATGAATATTGCAAGTCTATTTTCAACCATTCTCTTTTTTCAGCTGACCAGTGGGTTAAAAATTCAGAGTTAAATACTTTTCTCGGCGCTGAATGGATCCCGGTTGCTTTTCACGATGCTATGAATAATTAAGGCACCACAAGGCGCCGAAACTGAGGAATTAGTAGCACAGGATCCTCTTTATATCAAATTATATACGACACGATGCGATATGAGTTGTGAATTATTTACAACCGCTGCCGATGGAACATGTCGAAGTGATCAAATTTTAATACAATGCACAATTCTAAGCGAGCTTAAATTATGACCACCCGTCAGCCAGCATGAATCTAGTTTTTTGATTAATGGGTCATTTAATCATTTTATCTAAAACATGGAATCGAAACCTGTACTACAACTGGGAGGATTTTTTTCATTGAAGAATCTTTTTTTCTCGCGTCTTTAAAATGATTTTATTACAGTACGGCTTCGGGCAGTTTCATCGAATGTCCGCTAAATACGAATTTATACAGAATAATAATAATAGTAGTAGTAATCTTCGGTCAGTCATCGTCCTGCTCGCAGACAACATCCAGCGGAAGTTGAAAAGAGTGGTCCCCACTTTCGCGATCTCTTCTGTACAAGTAATACAGGCAGCCAAGGGTCACCTATTTTTAGCTATTATTAGGTTTATGACGAAACGGGGCTAAGTTTAGCTGTAGATAAGCGCTATTAAATGTTTTCGCGCGGCGCAAGGTTATTTTTTCTAGCGCCGCGGAGGACTGCTACTTACAAAAACAGAAAGAAGAAGCATGATTCCAGCAATGGCAGCGATCGCCCAGTGTGCATTCGCATTCCACCAGTCGGGGTCGATTTCTTCTAAGCGAATGTCAGATGAGGCGGGGCTGGCGAGGGGACTCACTTAGCGAGTTATTTTTAATCACGAATTTTTTTTTCATTTTTTGTAAATTTGAAATTGAGCCCCAATACAATTTTGGGCAGGAAAAAATTCAAAATTCAAACCTGCTGAATAAATATCAATATCCGGATTTAGTCGCTCTGCTTCTGCATCCTCTATCTCTTTGTCCATCTGTTTCTTGAACTTGAACATTTCTACCCATTTCACCGGCATTGTGTCTTGAAAAAAAGGTGCTTTCAACTTTGGCGTTGGTGGTGATGTGGCAGCTCCTGAAAGAAATTCTTCACACGTTTTCCGAGTATCGAGGGAATCATAAAGCTAAGACGAGCGTTCGTTCTTTTGTTATTTAATATTATTTAATAGGCGCCGCATAAGCAGACGACGCGCCTCAACAGATGCTCCACGACTTTGGATCATCATTGGAAAAATGAATTTTTAAAGCGCAACTTCATCACTTTTTGACGAATGAAAAACGGGCAAGGTTGTTATGACAGACTTGTTCACAATAAAATTTAGGACTGCTTTTATTTCAATATTTGATAATAATTCAATAATATCATTAAAAAAAATGCCCGGAAAAATGTTAGTTTTAACCCCAAAATGCAGTAGTAAAAACGAATCGAATCACAATTCCGCAAAAATCAGGCCTTTTTGTTGTCAATTTTGAATTGGATTATCCACTACGGGCATATGGGCTGTCCGTTTTCCGTTGGCTAATTAACCGACTCTTAATTCGCCATAACGCGGCCATAATTCGTTACCCTCCTAGCTCGACTGCCCGGGTCGATGATCGAACGGAAATATTGGCGTTGAACACGTGCGTGTGCCCAAATCTCGCGCCAAATGACAATTTATCCTCGTAGGGGTCTCCTTAAACTCGCGTCAAAGAATTTTCTCTATCAATCTTTCTTGGTACCTTATAGATTTCGTTCATCCTTTTCATTAGAAAAAAAACTGTTCTAACCCTACATCGCCTTAAAGCTTTAGGCACACAGGGTATTGATTATAAACATCCATAAAAATTGAATTAGTGGTCGATCATAATCGCATATTCTTCAACAGTCTGAATACCTACTGACCCGATAATTATCCAATCTCTTGAAGTAGAATAATTCTTTCAACCCTGCTTCAGGCGTGTCGAACAGAAGTCACACTTTTCTCTCGACTCCATATTTTTTCACTTCTTTTCTCATCACACATTAATATTCATTTGCACCCCTGTCATCTTATTTTTTCCATTTTTACCAATTTGAGAGATTAAAAAACTTAGAAAAGAAATAGAATGGGAATGTCTCCCCATAAGGCCCCGGAGAGAAATTAAGAGAATTGATTAACCCTGTGTGTGCCCAATCTGATCTGCCTTCGCTTGATTTACATTCTATTAATTTGAAATAACAGCAAAAGTCAATCCAAAATTGCTTTAAAAATTAACTGTTTAGCTTTTTTAGCCTTTTTTTTCTTATATCATTTTCTCGAATCTATTCTTTTCCATCCCTTTTTATAAGAAATCTAAGGAAGTCGTCGATTAAAAGGTCATCGAAAAGATTCGCCTGCATCGATCACTCCCAGATTGTAAATCTCCGAAGATAGCCTAACCTACTCTGAATGAAAACTGTTTATTAGTTTATTTGCTCGACAAATTTCCCCTTCCGGCACCGGTTTCAGACGTCAAGTGTCAAATTTGACCTTTTTGAGCTATTAGCGAGGAGTTCCGCACTCAGCCGGGAAAAAAATTCGACTCAATCTTTGTTGCATAAAAGTTCATGTGCAGGGCCATGAAGATTACCTGGTGGGAACGGAAGGATGCCTCTTGGATAATGTTTTTACGAAACTGTCACTTATCAAAATTCATGTCAAAATGAAAGATGTAGCAGATGAGGTATGAAATTGAATTTGAAATGCGCTGAAATCTTTTCAGTGCGTCTTTATCGACAGTCTTACTGTCCAAAATTTCGATTCAAAATATAAAAATTTACATTGTAAATCATCTTTTCCCTTCGTTTCTACATTGAATAGTAAAATCTTTCCAGTGTTGATTTTACGATGAAAATCTCCAAATTACAATCACATCCGGAATCTTCCCCTCCGTCACGGGCAATATCACGGCAAAGTATGAAACAGCTCCTTCTTTTTCTTCGTTTCTGGTCGATTTACTTCCGGAACATTATGGTATGATCGTATCTTTCAATCACAGGGGCTACGATGTTTGAAATTGCCCGCGAAATTGCGAATTCTTGAAATTATCTCAAGAAGAAACGAGATTTCCCAGATGGAATCGCTCTTCCGGGTTCCCGTCGGAATTTCCCCAAATCGGCGAATTGAAAGCGACCTCGACAACCTCGGCAACCTGAAGCCAGCTTCGATATCAAAGGTAAAATGCGACTCCCAGAAAGCTGGAAAGGCAGGTTCTAGGGGTTTTGATCGAAATCCACGAATATTACTCCGACAAAAAAGAGCCTCAATATTCGGGCGACAAATTTTCTCCCTAACCTTGGCCTAAATATTTACCCCTTGGGTGCACCTGTTTAGACTTTCACGCATTTATCGCTACATCATCGCATCTACTAATACGGCTTATCTGGTGTTAACCTTACTTTCACACTACTGGTGCCATCTTCAAGCCATGCTATGGAAGAATCTTGATAAACGGAGAATTTATGAAGTGTCTTTTAAAAAGATCTAATTTTCGAAAACTGAAGGCCGAAATTTCAGTCAAAAAAGCTGAAGAGTTAACTTCTTTGATCATTTTCGAGCAAGTCGAAAATTGCTAGAAATCCTAGACGCACGCTGGGGCATCGTTATCCAATCCGCAACGAAAATATTTTCGTTGTTGGGGATTAAGGAACATCAAACGTGCGCACTGGTTGCATCGACTGCTGGATTAGCTGTTTTATTTTATGTGCATTAGTGTAGCTCAAAGATGCGCGGTCACGTGATGACACCTTTCTTGGAAGCCGCAAATCGCCCCGCAAAAGGGGATGAACGGGGGAAATCCGGAGTCAATTCAAACTTTGAATCTTTTGGACTGGAAATTTAAGGGTGTCAACATCGTAAATTAAAGTTTGATGAAAAGAATGCAGACGCGTAACTCACTTATCGCAGCGGATTTAGCTTGTCAGGTGCACTACAAACAAAATATATCAACTTAGCCACCTCCTGGCTGCTTTCCAATCACAACGAGTCCTTTCGATCATATCCGAGTTTCGATCAACAAGGCAAGTTCTTAAAATGGCCACTCGAAAAATGGCCCCGTGGTCAATTATCGATCATTTTACTTTGGAAACAAAAAATTTTACTTTTTTGAAGTTTTGAAAATTTAGACTTCAAAAGTGATGGATCTGGTGCGTCAAGCACAAAGCCTATTACTGCCCACTTAGGCACACGGTGGGCACCACTGAACTGATGTTTGACCGCTAGCCACGTGACCCAGCTTCAATGAGAGTGATGGCCTAAATAATCAAAAAGGGAAGCGGGGTAATAATAACCATTTAGTTGATAATTTTGGAGTACAAAGTGGCTTCATGTTGACACGGCCGATAAAAAACGACTCAATAAAATTAACCCATCAGGGCAAAATTAAGCTTCTGAGGGTGTTGGTCTTCGATTTTTCGAAAAACAAACTAATTTTCCGATCGAGTAAGTTATTCGAAAATAAATGCAAAAACAAGCTTCGTCTGTTAATCCTCCAATTTAACATGCTTACTCAGCTTTATGGAACAGGCACGCGATGATTGAGGTACTCAATCTCGGCCTAAGGAGGGCCAAAGTGCCCGGTGCTGGTCGTTTTTGAAAATTAACTCGACAATTTTCTAGTCGAGTTCTTTTCTAGTGTCGTTTTCGACCCCTTTCCCGTGGAAAATCCTAATCCCTAGCAGCGTGTTTTGTGCCCCAAAGAACATTTTCGTCTGGATTAGCCGGATCAAGGGGAGCAGAGCCCGCAAAAGAGCGCAGGGAATATTTTTTCGCGGCTGGAGAAGATTTGCTAGAAATTCCTAAATCGAGGGATTAAATCGTGCATTGCTCGATATGAGAAAGTGCCTCGATTTCCGGATGTCGGACAAGATGCACAGGATGGATTAGGGATCGTGAACACGTGATATTAAGTAGCTGGCGCTAGAAAAAGTAAAGGAGGATTAGCCGGAAGTATCAGCTGCAAATAACCAGCAAATGAATGAGCAGTAAGGCCGTCAGTAACGATTTTTCTAAGCTATCGTGATATCCCTCAAAATCTCAACACAAAAGTACTCAAAAGCCGACCATAAACCGGTTCAAAACAATTTGAAGATGATATCTCTTCTACGAGCCAGGTGCGGCTTGAATTGTCCACGCGATCACCCCTCTAAACCTCGAAAAGCATCGAAGGGTTGTTTATGGAAAGTTCGCCCTTGTTGTTTCTTCTATTTTTCTGATGCAGGTGCTCAACGCGCTGGCCGCTGCTGCTCTTTGAGGTCACGTGATCGTCGCTTGCAAGGTCCATGGGCAGCCCTTTGGAACTTCAATTTGCTATCTAGCCGAGCTCGATCAAAGAGGCACCTGTGGTTATCAGACGAGCGGCCAAAGATGCATCAAATATCCAAAAGAAGACTCTCCGATAATAGATTCCGGCGAAACCGACGACGGGGATAAGCCGCTCTCCGCATTTTTCCCGAGTCACTTAGCCCAGCCATATGTTTTTGAGCTGATAAAAAGCCGGGTTAGATAAGAAAAAACTCAAATTGGACCATCTTTTTTCCGCCTAAAAGCTGGTCGTGACGCAGCTCTGATATTCGAAATAATAATCGATAATTAAAAAAAAAAACAAGTAGCAAAAAGTTATTAACCCAATTCTCCCATGACCGCGTCGAATTCGCTAATTGATCTTCAAAGCTCGTCAAATCGTATGTGGAACTTCACCCTGACGAAAATCCCCTTGAAGCCCCTTTGTTCCCATGTTGAAACTGGATAGTCGGATGAAAAGCCAAAGTGGACAAGCTGTTCCACACCGCTCGGTCAGTCTTATGGTTTTTTGGCGCTTGTTTCTTTTGTGCTATCTTTCCCACCATCGCGACTGATCCTTCTCAGCCTCCTTGTGCCCAAATATTTACGCCAGGAGTTGCCAAACGGCTGCTAAATGCTGATCGAAATGCTAAGTCTACTTGAGAAGAATGCTGCTTCCTCGAGAGATCATCCCCAGAGCTGGAAAATACTCTAAAATAACTGCGGCCTATTACCAA